CCTGGGCTTGTGTGGGGGCGAGAGGCTGAACAGGGGACTCGTTGTCCGTCATCCGAGTGGTGTTGGTCGTTCGACGCTCGACAAGCGCCTGACTTGTGACCGTCACCTCCTCGTCCTCGTCAGAGGAGCAGTCGACGATCTCAACAGCGCGTCTGTTCGTCGATCCGGTCGAAGGAAGCGGTGCGTTAGGCTGGCGAACGGGACCGCTGACCGCGCTTCCCTGGGCAGCTCTCTCGGTGATGTCCTGCTGCGATGGGATGTCTACCGTGACCACATCGTGAATCTCGCGACGCGATCCTGGGATGGTGCGAAGGGCGTTCAAGCCCGGATGAGCAGCAGCAGCAACCGAGTCGTGTCGAGAAGCGCGACTGTATGGCGTCGTATCGCGCAGTCGACGAGCGGCGTGCAGTGCCAGCTGCGGCACTGGGGTTGGTGTGCGGGCGGACAGACCGGTCTGGCGTCGAACAGGGGTGTTCGCACGGACGACAGAGGTGGCGCGATTGCGACCGGATGTGAGAGCGCGAGAAGCCGATCTCACCATGCTTGACGTGGGTGCGATGGAGCCAGGTCGAGGAGCAATGGAGCCGCTTCGACCAGACGGGGTGCGCGATCGAGCCGTGGTAGGCGTCGAGCTGCGGTGGACGAGGGGGGTCTTGGAACGTGCTCTGGCGGAGACAGCGGTACTTGCAGCGGCAGTGGGACTGGAAGTCGTAGGGATAGCGAGCGAAGGATGAGCTGACTCGATTTTTACCACGGACATGCTGCCGACGCGATTGACGCCCATCACGCACACCTCGTCGCCATCGCTGGTGCCGAGGCTGACGGTGGGCGCTTCGGTCTTGACTGCGATCGTCTGCTCCGTCGAAGCGATGGAAGCTGTGGAGCTAGCCCTCGTGGTGTCGGTGTTGCCAGTGGCGGAGACGCGCGGGGAAAAGTTTCTGCTCGAAGCGCCAGACTGACCTCTGGCCACTGCTGCGCGAAACCGCTGCATGATGCCGAGGCTGTTGGAAGGGCGCTGCGTACGCTCCTCGGGCGAGCTATCGCCGGCTGCGCCCCTGAACAGAGGCTGCAGTTCACATACAACGTTACTTTATCAGTGACGCAATCTTGATGTGCGAAGGTGAGAAAGTGAGGGACTTACGAGAACATCACCATGCGTAGCGGTGCGGACAGGCGTAGGCGTCAGCGGGCTCACCGCAGCAGGACCAACGATACGGATCCCCTGTTTCGCGGGCAGCGAGGAGGCCGGCGACGTAGCTGGCGTGCTAGGCGCCGTGAAAAAGGCGGAAGAGACGGTCGAGGAGGAGGACGTGGACGACGATGGGGTGGATGGCGGGGGCGTGCATAGTTCGATGATTTGCGCCATCTTGTCGCGAAGAGAGGGTGGTGACAAACGAGCGTGATCGTGTGAACTCTCGATCTCTTCAAGTAGTCGAAAGCGCGAGCTGATGTGAAGTATGTGATGGAACGAGACGTGAAACGGAAAGTGAGGCCTTAAGTACCTTTCATGATCCTGTGTGTCAACGGAGCTCAGCGTGTCAGCGGACGACTTGACAAAGCATTGCTCTCCCTGCTCAGCATGCAGACATGGTCAACCCGCTCAAAGCGTTCGAACGTGAAGACTGGCGGAGAGCGAAGATCCCGCACACAAGCTTTGTCTCCAGTGATGGTGATGGGCGCTGTGCGGACGTCACCTATCGACATGAGGACTCGCATCCGCCCCCATTCTCAACTGGACACAACGTTATTGGACGCAATCAGCTTCGCAACGATCAATGCAATGCATTCAAGTGCAGCCTAGTCAATGCCCACAGCCCAAACCTCCAGTCCATAGCACTCGAACCTTCCCTCGCCCTCCTTCCTCCCCTCGCCCCTCGCCTTCCCATCACACAGAATCTCATTATCAAACGCCGGGCAACACGAGCTGACCCCCTTCTCCAAGTTCCCATCCACCCACAACCCAAACTTTCCCTCCCCACCCCCGACACTGAGGAACGTCGACTCGGACAGAACCATATAATCGTTCCTCCCCGTCCACTTGTACTGCTCCACCCCTCCCTCTTCACCTCCCTTCCCCACAGTCGTTTTCCAGAGAAAACACTCGCCGGACCCATAGTAGTGCTGCTGCGGTCGCAGCTTTTCGTTGACGAACGCACCAAAGACGTTATCGCCCTCGTCCTTGAGGGCGATGATGAGGCCTGCGTCGGAGATGCTGCTGAGACCGCCGCCGACGTGCATCCGCGAAGAGCGGGTGCCCATGGCCTGTTGGGTCTCGCGCGAGGCTCCGCGCAACCAGCCTTCAGCTGCCTCGTCGGTGTCGGTGTTGCCTGTGACCGTGTCGGATACGGAGCGCTTGATCTTGGTTGGGTCAAGTCCGGAGGAGACACGATGGTAGAGTGTCTGGAGAGAGATGCCGTGCTGGTCGAGCGAGTAGAGCAGACTCCATCGCTTACCCAGCTGCAGGCGCGGTGGGAGCAGCGCTTGCAGGCGCGAGGCGTGGAACGGCTCAATGACCGATTCTGTCTCGTCGCGCCGGTTGGAGAGGGTGACCGGAATCGCACGCTTTTCTTTTTCGTCGAGCGTCCACTGGCCCGTGTTCCATTTGCGCGTCGAAGTCGTGTCAAAGCCGGGGGCACCTGAGATGGGAGCAGTCGAGGAATGAATTGGTGCACGACGGAGAGTGCCACTCGAACTCGCGGACGAAGTGGATGCACTGCCGGCAGCAGGGGCGAACAGGTCCCTGGCGCGGAGCGGCGCTGTGCTCGACGAGCCGGAGGATGGCGCTGCTGCACCGGCGGAGAAGCCGGACGATGTTGCGCCAGAAGAGGATCCGAAGGGTGTTTCTTGGCTGTAGTCCCATGCATGTGGCAGGGTCCCTCGTCGATTTGAGCCTGAGCTGCGTCTGCGGACGCCTGCGCGATTCTGACTGTCGCCTGGCTGTTCAGGGGCGTCGCTAGCGATGATCAGCCCACCACCTGGGTTCGAGTCCGCTGCGCCATGCTTGGAGGAACTGCCGCCCTGCTCGGCTTCATCCTCCGGCACGATGAAGTCACTAGCGCTGGGCAAGTGACTCGCGATCTCGCTCTGAATACCTCGCAGTGTCGTCCATGTCTTTCGGATACTACCCGTCCAGCTGGACGGTGAAGCAGGCGAGAAGGAGCTCGAGCCAGATTCTCGTTTCTGTTCTGCTGACCTAGACTGCGGGTCTGTTGCATTGTTGCTGCTGATGGGCTTCGGAGCCGTCAGGCCGAAATACGAGTCGTTGCGCTTAGATGGGGACCTAGGCATGGGACTGATGCGTGCGTCGTGCATGCTTTCGAGCTGATCTGGCTCGAGGACCAGCGGGCTTGACTTGCCCAAGGCGGCCTGGGGCGCTCGCTCAAAGCGGGAGAAGAAGTCGTCGTTGGCAGTGTCAGAAGCATCCTTCTGCTGCTGTTGCTGTTTCCTTTGCTCGAGCCTTTTCTCCACGCCGCGAAGGTCGATGACAGGCGGAGATGGACCACGGTTTGGGTTGGTGGCGACCTCGAAGGCGTCGAAGAAGGCGTCATCTGCAGGGTTGAGCGCCTGACCTGTTGGCGCTTTTGACGAAGATGATGGTTGCTGCTGCTGAGTCGGGAGAGTGTGTGCGGCCAAGAAGGAGCTCCAATCTGCCCATTCCGATGAGGCGCCCGTTCCGCTGACTTTGCGGCCCGCCATGGGCCTGCTGACCGTTGACGGGCTCGTCGACGTCGGCTGAGCCGCTTGCGCTGCGGCTACTGTCGTGGCATCCGAGCTTGCGAAGTGGTACTCTGCGGGCGAGAAGCCGGCGACCATGTCTGCTTCTGTCCAGTCCTCGGCGTCTTCGTCGTCGATGCGATGTGGAGGCAATGAGGATGGGCCAGCACGGCTGTTGGTCGGCGAGCCAACTTGAACAGCTGAGGATGACGCTCGACCATCGAGAGGCTCGGAAAGCTCCTGGTCGAAGTCAGAGGGGAAGGCGGACGAAGAATCGACAAAGGAGCCAAAGCCGTCCGATTCAGCTTTGGCGTGCCCCGATGGTTCGGAGACGGAGCCTCCGCCTCGCCGGCGCAGCGAGGACTCAGGCGACGCCATTGCTGCTGAGATCGTCCGCTGTGAAAGGTGTGCTGCTTTACGGACTCATTCCTCGCCGATCTGAAGAAGGAGAGCGGCGCTTCGGTAGCTGTGTGTGCTGTCGATGCGTTGTCGAGTTGCCGGCGGCTCAGCGTCCGAAGATAGGTGATCGTTATAGTTGAGGTGATCTCGACGAGCTTGGAAGCTTCCGAGGCGATTGTCAAAGGCCAGCTTTAGCTGTGGTTGTAGTGTGGCGGTCTTGTTGGGAAGATGTGAAGGCGGAGAGGGTCCACCGTTGTCACACAGCTTGGGAACATGATGTGTCACTTTCAAAGTTGCGGCCGTGCGAAAAATTGAGGGTGTGTGCGAGCTTTGTTCTTGAATTTGGCGCGTCGGCACTCATGAAGCAGAGCCTCGGCACCACCAACTCGGTCTGTGCGCGTCACCTCGCATTGCGCTCTTTTGGCTCACTTCATTACCTACACAGCCTTCGTCTCATCCTGCGACATGAAATCGGGTCCCTCAGCCACAGATGAGACTGTCAGACGATCACAGACAAGAAGCTGCGCTGGTGAGCCAATGACGGTGTTGTTACAAGTAAGCCCGGTGGTACCCTAAACGAGAGTGAGAAGATTAAAGCGACAGTGTGAATGGAGCAAATGCGACGACTGTCGCAAGGGGACGTCAAGTCGAGCAAAAGAGAGCGGTTGATGAAAACGAATGTGAGTGTTGCATGGCTTGCGTGCCAGCGTGATATCGAATCACTGATAAAAATGAAGGTCGAAGGCGGTCTTCCAAGCCACGGCGTCTTCTGCAGATGATGCTTGAAGATAGAGGATCTCGGCACCATCGACGATGCGCAGGTTGACACCGCCAAGGATCTCGACGGGTCGAACGAGCTTCAGCATCGAGCGGAGCAAGACAGGCGCACTAGGATCTTTGCTCCTCGTCTGCTCGGTGCACAGGACTGCAACATCACTACACAGGATCATGGACATGCGCTGATCCTCGGTCACTTGTTGCAGATGGTCCGCGGAAAGGATATGACTTTGGCCCGGCAGGCCGGAAGGCGACAGCATGCTGCTGTTTCGTTGCGGCCCAGCACCGCCGACGGATGCACTTCTGCTGGAACGAACAAATCCGGGAACGCGGCGGACCACTCGCTTGAGCTGCAGAGATCCATCCTTGAGCAGTCGACGGTGAGGCTGCACCAACGGCTCACCGATCGAGCCTCGGATGCGGTACTGCCACCCGAGCAATCGTCGGTCCTGCTCGGACTGGCGCTTGCTCTCGTTGACTTTGGACGCGATCTGCGTCACATGCTCCAGCGCGGCTGCAAGGGCGTCGGCATCAGTCAGACGAGCAGTGTCGGTGCTCTTGACCAGGTCCTCCAGGAGCAGACGGTATCTCGGAATCCTTTGCACTGGTAGCAGCAGGTAGCTTTCGACGTTGAGCTGCGCGTGTCGAGGATGCGTACGGCAGCGCTGCATGAATGTCTTGATCTTCTTGCGCTGCAAAGGAGAGAGATGGCCGTCGTTGCCGAAGATACCAGAGCCAGGGCCGGCGGCCATCATGGCCGGCGTGAAGCCATGGGCGAATGCTGCGGCGGCGGTGCCGTGATGCGCAGACATGGCTCCCAGTGCCTGTAGAGCTCCGTAACCCGGTCCTCGCAGGGTCAAGCCTCCGCCATGAGTAGCCGAAGACGGCACCATCCAGGCGTGGATGCGCTCCTGGGCAGAGTCGCAGTTGTTGATGTAACTCGAGTACATCTTGAAGAAAGCAGCATGCTTCGAGAAGACCGAAGCCACGTTCTCTGCCACAGCCGCGGTCTCTTGAGCACTCATCTCGCCTGGAGCATCTTGATCGTGCTCAAGGACAGGGCTTGTCACGGCGATAAGCGAAGGCAGAAAGACGGTGCGGTGGAACCGCAGCAGTGCCTCGACGTTGCCAAACACAGAGCGATGCTCGGTGGGCGGAACCACGGGAACGCCGCTGTTGCCATCCGCGGGCGCCATGGCTGGCTTGACATAGATGTCGACCAGCTCGCTAAGACCCTTGACGTATGTGCGCTCTGTTGACACAATCTCTGCAATGATGCGGAATCGTCGGATCGAGTCGTCCTTGGTGCAGTGTGCGGTGCTCATGCGAGCCGAATCACACGTAGCAGTCTCCGAGACGGAGCTGGCAGCCGTACTGGCAACGTAGTCCCCGCTCGAGTCTCGCGACTTGGTGGACGGGTTGCTCGACTCTGCTCGATGCATGCTTGGTGTGCGCGAGTGGCTGCCGGTGTCGCGGAGCTGCGCCAGGTTGTTCTTGCTGGGTCCGACAAACGAGGCCGCTTCGGTTCGTGCAGCGGCTAGGTCGTCAAGATCGCGCAGGTAGTGCATGAGAGCACGCAGACGAGTGCGGTGCTGGTGAAGGCTCTCCTCATCCATCTCCATCGGGGAGGCAGGATGCACTGAGTCATCTGCGTCATCATCGCCGGTCAAACCGGTGGGAGCAGGTACTGCGAAGGCGTGCACGGGCAGGAAAGTGCGTCTTCGATTCTTTTTCGCCTCTGCGTCCGACACGAATGGCTGCAAGAGAGCGGCCGACTCCGAGGGCGTGGCAGGCCCAGATGGAAGGTCAAATGCGACAGCAAGGTGATCGGTGTTGCTGTCGCCGTCCATAGCAGCGGACAGGCTGTGAGATGCGAGGGCAATCGAGGAGGGGACAGGCTCGGACTGAGAAGCAACCATCAGCGGAGCTGCTGCGCTCTTTGAGACGATCGAGTTGGTCCTCCTGGCGCTGGCGGCCAAGCGAAGCGATTTACGCGCCGCTCTCGGCGACGGGAAGCTGGCTTGAGTGGGGCTCGGCTCCTGATACATGCTGGCCAGTCTCTGGCTCGAAGCCTTGCGACCGATCTTCTTGAGGAAGCCACCCCACTTGCCTCCGTTCGAGAGACGTCGGCCGACCACTTCGACATTGGCATGTTCGATGACTTGGTCCTCGTAGCCAGTCGCAGGTCGCGAGCTCACCTCTTGAGGTCTGATGTATCCGCTGTCGTCGTCCTGGGAGTCCGGCGTCGATACTGGCGGCGTAGGAGAACCGAAATGGCCCCTGAGCATGTTTTGCAGGTCATTCGCGCTGCGCATACGGGCCATGAAGGGTCGTGCGGGTAGCGGCTGATCGAGAAGGCCAGATTGGCGGGGCTCGAACGGCTCGTCGTTGGCCAAGTGCGCTTGTGCGGCCAGCAAGGGATTTGTTGTCGTTTGATGAGCAGGCGAGAGCAGAGGCGCCACAATACCTTGCCACGGACCAGCAAAGCGGTTCCCTTCGACAAAGAGATAGTTGAGCTTGGACATACGGTGCAACCAGCTTGGCAGGAAGAGGAGCTGATTGTTGCGCAGACTGAGACGCTGCAGCTCTTGGAGCTGAATCAAGCTTGATGGAAGGTGCTGCAGTCCGGTGGAGTCGACCGACAGCGTTCGCAGGGCACGCAGATTGAGCATCCAGTCGGGCAGGTCGCCCACGGGGTTGCCGGAGAGGTCGAGTTCCTCGAGCGCGACACAAGCGCCAATGGCATCAGGAAGACGCTGCAAAGCGCAATTGGATAAGTCCAGGACCAGCAGGTTGCAAGCGAGCGGCAAGGCGCGCTCCAGCACCTCGACGAGCCCCTCTGCTCGATTTCCGCCGAGCAGAAGGTGGGTCGTGTTAGGGCCCGTCTCGGCCTCGATCTGGGCCATGGTCAAGTCACGGCCTTCAACGATGGTGGCGCTACCCTCCTCGGCGGTCTTGACCGCCTTGGACTCGTCTACGTCTGTCTCGACGCTTTCGTCAAAGTCGTAGAGACCCTCCTCCCAGCGCATCTTGCTGGTGTACGCGCCGACAATGTGGCTGAACTCGGCATTGTGCAAGAAGCTGTTGATCGACACGTCGGACACTCTGCGTGCGCGCGACGCAGCCGACGAGGTACGCAAAGAGATTCTCGACGGCGAGTCTCGCCTCGGACCGCCTTCTGCTGCCTGCTGGAAAGCATCGACAGAGTCGCTGAGGTCATCAATGGTCGTGTTGAGATCGTCGATGGTGGAAATGCGCTGCAGAGATGGGCGACTGGGCCTGTTGTTCGCCAAGGCTGGGGGGCGGTAGGGCGAAGTGCGTGGCGAACTGTCTGTGAAGGGCGAAGTTCGGAGCGATCCCATGGATGGCGACTGTCTCAGTGAGCTGGTGCGCGGCGGGCTCTGGAGTTCGGGGAGATTTCTTCCGCCGATCTCGCCAGATGTCGGGGTGAGAACGGAAGAGCAGGTCGGACTGGAGATGGAAGACGACAGAGTCTGCGAATGCTGTGTCGCGCTGACCGCTGCTGGGAGATAGTTGGCCGAGTCCGACGAGCAGCGGGTACGGGAGTCGCGACGAAGCGGAATGGAGGGTTTGGCCAATGGCGATGCAGAGGCGACAGCAGCTGCGATCATTTCATTGGCGGCCGCGACCGGGGTGACATCGCTCATGGCCCTCTGCATGCTTGGCATGACATTCAATCCCAACGAACGCAGGCCAGCTTCTGCGGGCGCGATCAAGCTGTCTGCATGTCCACCCACCTGGTGCTGGGGAGGGAGACCAGCAAGCGGAGAGGCGTCCATGCGCCTGGTCCAGGAAGGGGCGCGATGGTGCGAGAATGGGCCTTGCAGAGCTCTTGCGCTGCCAGGAAGCATGGGTGAGGGCATCACTGGAGCGGCGCTAGATCTGCGGCTTGAGACGTCCAGGCCGAGGTCCGAAGTGATGCCCAGTCCCACCGAGTCCTCGTCAAGCTCTTCAGCGAGCTCGGCTGTTTCGGTGACTTTGCTGTCCGCATCCGTAAGTACTGCCTCCGAAGCAGGATGGAATTGCGCACAGGTAGGACTTGTCTCGCAGCTGGGCAAGCTTCTCTCGGTCCACAGAGACGTGTGGGTCGACGATGAGCCTCGAAGAGAGTAGTCGGGTGAGAAGTGCGAGTGATGCGAACTGAGCCTTCGACTGGCTGGAGAGGACTGGCCGCTGTGGTCTTGCTGGTGGGCAGAATCCAGAGCAGCGGAGGGCTTTGGCGAGCTGATAGCATCCGATAAGCTCAGACAGGGCGGCATGGCAGGTGCATCGTTGTTGAGCTCCATACCCGTCTTCCAGTGCGATGGCAGCGAGGGGCGTGGCGCTCTGCGGCTGGAGCTAGAACGCTGGCCAGAAGGCATAGGCGAAGTCTGCGCGAACTGTTGGTTTGTTCTTGGAGACTGGGGTGGCCAACGAGGCGAGTAGAAAGCCTGCGACGGCGAGGCTCCGATGCTAGCAGAGGAAACACTTGCCTGTCGTTTCGGAGCTGCGAGAGAGTGAACGATGCGAAGAGACAAGGACCGAGTCAGTGTCCACGTCATCGTGTGAAGATGGGCACGACCGCTTTGAGTACTTACATTGGGGTGACTGATGTTGCTGAGGACTTGTATCAATCGCAGGGAAGTCGCTGGTTGCTGAAGGCGCAAAAAAGGGGCGTTTGGGTGTGTCGAAGTCGAAATCGAGGAAAGAAGCAGGAATGTTGCCGCTCGAGCGAGAATGCGCAGCTTGCGAGTGCACGAGGGAATCTTGGACCGGCTCGCTGCTGGTTGACGCGAACTCTGTGTGGCTGCGCTGCACTGCGGGACGAGCTGGAAGAGCCTTGAGGGTGTAGGCGGAGTACAAGGTCGTTGCGGACGATGATGGCAGTCGTGATGGTGGAAGAGACTTTTCGGGGAGCAGCGAGGCGGTGTTGGCTCTGGGAGTGAGCTGAGAAGCGGTCATGGCGTCTTAATTGCAGAACGACTCGGGCGGGTCTGGACCTGAAGAATCGGGGGACAATGTGACAATAGCGAGGTGCCAAGGGGTCGAATGCGGTGCTCGGCGCAGCACGCTGCGGCTCTGACAGACAAAGCGCGAGATCAGAAGAAGCACACAGCCAAAAAGAGGACAGAGGGCCTATTCCCGAGCGTGTTCACCTCTTGTAGGATGAAGCGTTTCGGGGTGACGGAAGCAGAATGAAGCCGAGTCGGATCGAGTCTTCGGTCGTGCACCGAGATGAAGCGTTGTCGATTGTGACGTTGATGCAGCGATCGGAAAGCCCGAGCGCAAATTGAGTTGCAAGACTGCGTAGCCTCGCAAGTCGCCGGCGATGTGACAATAGAGAGGAGAATGGTGGGCCAGGGAGATGTCCGCGCTGCGGTCTCGGCGTGCTGATGATCTGGAAAGGAGAGCCTTGATGCGAATCGACGTCGAAGGGATGGTGGGCTGCAACGTGCTAGCACTGCTGCATGCTTTTGAGTTGAAATGAAGCGGGGTGTTGGTCTGGATTAGGCTTCAAAGGGACGTGGTGGTCCGTGGGAGACAAAGGTTGTCGGGGCAGCCGGGAAAGGAGGCCTCTACGCTCGCTTCTGACGCTTCTTGTGATGACGAAACAGCGACACCGACGGGATACTGACAATGGTGACCGAGAGGGCGCTTGAGATGATGAATCTGAAGGGCCTTACGGTACCGGTGGGTTTTTGAGGTCCAGGCAGTGGACGCGCGCTTGCTATTGGTGTTGGTGGTGGGGAAAGGAGCGTCGCGATCGCGAAGAAACCTGAAGCTCTCAGGAGGTCTTGACTGGTCAAAACGCAACGAGCGCGAGCGCGACGGATTCCGACGAGGAGGAGAAGATGGATGGGTCTCGTGGTGAAGCAAGCAAGAGCGGACTGGTTGCAGCTCAGCCGCGCTTCTGCCTTTCTGTGACGGCTTGATAGGAGCTTCACTGCAAGGACCGAGAATTCGAGGGTCCTCGCTGTCTGAGCATCGATCAAGCAATGCGAGAAGGCCAGCTGGTCACGCAGGATCTGCACTTTGATGCATGCGAGATGCGAAGGGTGCAGCTTTGCAAGGTGTGCTTTGTGATTTCAACGAGGGCGCAGCCGCTGCCGCCACCAAATCTCTAAGAGCCATGACATGCACTTAGCACGTCTCGCTTCGCGTCAAGGCCAGCTCGAACGTGTACAGTGTCTGTCTCACAAACTGCTCCGGACTCGAAGCGACCCGAAAGCGCAATCAGCAAGGAGGCGAATTCGATCCAAGGCGAACCACGCCTCAAACGGAAGAAGCGAACGATGAAAGGGGCGAATTCGCAGTCGCCTGTCAATCATGCATGGCCTACTGCGGCGTCTAAACTTATCAAACAAAGGGGTCCAGAGGGCTGACACTGCTCCGATGCCCAGGTCGCGTAGGCGAGAGCTCGAAATTGTTTCTTCCCAGTGAAGCAGATTGCATCGCCCTTCCGTGCCGCTCGATCTGAGACAACTTTCTTCTTGCCCCTGTCAGTCAGGCAAATCTCGCTTTCTTCTTCTCGCTGAGCTCGCTTAACGATATTTCATGCTCGTAGCTTCTCTTGGAAAAAGGGGTTTCCACGCCGCTGAAAGCTGGACTTGCCGAAGATCGTCACGATCTGCCTTGATCGTCTTCGTCGGCTGGTCGAAGCATCCACTCAGCTCGCCCGCTGACCACCTCGTTCATCAACTCGCTCGCTCGTGAGCTTGCTCGGCTCTTCATTGTAGTCTCCGCGTGGCGCGCGTGGAAGTTGGCTCACAAGGTCCATGCGTGGGAGCCTGGTTAACGCCTGCAACCGGCTCTAATGCCCGCCCACAGGCAGCATTTCCAACCCCGATGCAGCCAACACAATGCTGGCCGCTGTCCCCATTTCTGGATAGCGCGGCGCCTGATTCCGACGATGGCATAGTCAGGCGGTTCCGAGGATGTAGAGCTGGCGATCGTCGATTGCTCCACGGTCGATACTGTGATGATGGAGACTTCTTGAATGGTCCGTGAGTGCCTGACAAGCATCCTTCGGTCTGTCCGATTTTTGAATTTAGGATGGCAACCGATGTGGTGTTGCCTTCCTTCCTTGGCTTCTGTGCATGCCAGTTTGCGCTCTCACTCCGACTCGTCGTGCCGCTGACGCAAATCAACGGGACTGTCATTAAGAAGTCATGCCGCAGTGTAACCGACAGGGAAGCAGCTGTTCTGGTGATGCAACAAGCCTTGTTGGGCTGCACTGTGCACGCAGCCAGCGCCGAAAGCCACCACTGCGGCCTCATGTAGCGTTGCTTCCGATCTCGTCCAGGGGCATCCGAGTCGCATGCCTGACCACATTGTCCCAGTCTCTGGTCTGCGTGTCGACCGTTGACTCTCTTTCGAGGCAACGCTTCTTTCTCGACCTTCCGTGGTTGCTTTCGCTTTCCTCGAAGAGCGAGTCGAGCATATACGATGACAAGGCTTGACAAGGTGTGGACCTTGGCGAAGCGTAAAGCGCGCGGATCGGCTCGAAGGAATTCCAAGATGGATGGCGAGAGCCGCCTCGCTTCGACCATCGCACCCATCGGATCTGAACGCGGAGCTTCTTCCGTATCTTCCCACCGATCTGCCGTCGGCGAGTAAAGTCGAGAAGCGATCCCCATGCTAAGCCTCGCCAAAAAGTGCGCGGATTCGCGACCGCTCGGCTAAACTTCGCTTACGATTTCTTCCAAATCTCGCAATTGGCGACTTGGCTCGGATGGAACAGCAAACACTGATCCGACAGCCTCTGCGGATGAGGGATGAATGACCAGTGCGGGATCTTCGAGACGCAGCACACGCGCGATACCGGTCAAGCTCGAGCGTCACCCCTGAGTTGCTGGGAAGAATGTTCGTCGTCGTCCATCTCACACGCGCGCTTCCACTTTACGCGAGAATTTGCCAGACTCGACCCGATCTCTAGCTACTTGGCCCCTGTCCTTAGCGAGCTCTGCGCACGCCACCACACTTCAGACCGTGCGTGCTCAGACCCCAGACAGGACTCGCCGTCCGGCAGCCGTGGAGAAGTAGAAGTACAGATCGCATTGCCGATTCCTTACGCTAGAACCCAGTCGCACCCTCCCTGAGCTGAGCCAGCTTCTTGTTGATCTCGCTCGGCTTCCTATCGAGCTCCTGCGCAATCGCATTCTGCTTCGCGGGCGGAAGCAGCCCAAACGTCTCGCACAGGTCGCCATCGATAACGCTCTTGACGGGCGCATAGCTGCTTCGGTACGCAAGATGGTCTCGTCCAACCAGACTGCTGTTCTCCTGCCTGAGATGCGATTGAAGCGTCGACATGGTATCGACATCTTCCTTGCTGACAAAAGGAACGAGAGCGCCGATGGTACCGGAAATGCCGGTGTAGAGCAGCACCTCTCGACCACCGGGCACCATCACCGTCCTGTTGAGCGAGGTGACAATGTCACCGACAAAGTAGTGTGCGATCAGCGAAGCTTTGTGAGGCGCTCCCATGAGGACGGGCTTCTCGTGCACAATCGTCATGCCCGTCGGATCCTCGTCCACACTTCGGCTCGTGTCTGCGTCGATGCGGAGTACGTAGAGATTACCAAACTTGTCCGCGGCCGCAACCGTGTCGTAGTCGAGCATCGTGCACCGAGTAACGAACTTGGGCATCACATCGTCGGCGAACACGACCAGACGGTTCTCGAGCGGCTTGTAGCTGGCAAAGAAGATGCTCTCCTGCTGATCGCCCACGACGATACGCGAGCCTTGCGCGTCGAGCGAGATAACGGCGGTCGGGAAGGATTTGTTCTCGCACTTGCGGAGGAGCTTCTTCTTGCCCAGATCGTAGATGCGCAGTGCTTTGCCAACGCCTGCGAGCAGACGACCTTGGAAAGGACGCAGCACCAGCGGGATGTCGTCCACCTCGGTTTTGTGCAGCACTTCCAACTCGCGACCGTCGTTGATGAGGCGGTACGTCGTGAGGTACGCCTTCTTGAACGAGCGGGGAGACATGACGACGTCGACCGCTGAGCCGACGACGAGCATCCCTTCCTTTTCCGCGCTGGCAAATGGTACAATGGCGAGGCTGAACGCTGCCTCATTGTCGTCCAGCTCGAGCTTGTGCAGTGTCTGCGCCTGCACGCCGTCAACAACGCGGATGCAGCTCGCCCAACTGCCTGGTTCTGCACGAATGAGACCAAACTCTGCCGGATCGAGGTCCAGTACACCTCGCTGAAGGGGCTTGAGCTCCTTTTCCAACAGTTCGGTCCGTCTGCGTTGCGCGCCCGGGGAAAGCGTTCGGTGCTCAGCTTCGACGACGTAGAACAAGCCTTGCTCGTTCGGATGACTCACCATCTTGCGCGGTGTATACGAGAGTGCCACCGAATCTTGCTTGAGCTTGCTGGCGAGCGAAGGGATGGTAAAGATGCGAAGCGTGCTTCCGACAATACCGATGAGACCCTCGGGGCACAGCTCTGCGCTGAAGGACCACGCATGGTCCAAAGCGTCAAAGATCAGGGGCACGAATTGCAAACGGTCCTGGTATGTGTAGGAGAGCCAAGTGCGGGTGCTCAGTGCCATTACGGCCGTCTGCCCATGCACCCTGGTCCTCATCAGACGCACAGCTTTGCTGCCCAGGAAGCGCGTCCTTGTGTCTGTCAGCTGACCGGTCACCGCATCGAGGACGGTGCGAAGGAGCACGCCGTTCTGAAGTCCGATGTTGACAAAGGTCGTTGCGTGATTGCGGTCGATGGTGGCATCCTGCATCTCCGCCATGCAGATGCTCGACGCTCGAGCCGTGAGTGCCTGGATCGAGATCGATGACAAGGTCGAGTCTGGCTCCAGCGAGACGATGCGCACGGTGGAGTCGTCACATCCCACTGCAAGGTAAGGTGTGCGCTGACGGCCTTCAGGACAATCGGCCATGCTCATGGTGAGCACACTCGCGCCCATGGCCTTTCGCTCTTGATACTCGTTGAGCTGTCCGTCCATGTCGAGCTCAAAGTAGACCAGCTCGTTGCTGCTGAGCGCAACCACCACCTGGCGCTCGTTGGTACACGTCGCCACGATCGTCGTCTGCCGTCCGTTCGGAAGGCTGGGGGTTGCCCATTCGTTGATCTGCTTGTCCACCAGGATGTGGCGGATACCATGAGGGTGAACCTGCAGCAAAGCATCTTCGTCGAGCTGCTGCACTGCTAATGTTGGAGAAGAGGTCAAGAAGCCGCTGTCCGAGACCTCCTCGATCGTCTCGCCGATGCTCAGCACCAGCGTGCCGTTGACGAAGCTGAGAATGATGTAGCTGTCATACTCGTCTTGCCGTGTGATCTTGGTGGTCCATACAGCGCTGGGAACGCCGGGCAGGTCCGAGCTGACCGCCTCCTGAGCCTCGAGTCCGTGACGTAGCATCTTGAAGCTGCTTCTCGCTCCACGTCCGCAGGCAGCAAAGATCTGTGGCGAGTCTGATGCTTGCGGATTGAGCGGCTTGGCGTCCAGAATGGGGTCAAGGCTTGGCAGCTCATCGACCTGCACGAGGTTGTCAAGTGGTCTCGGCGTGAATGTCGGTAATTGTGGCCGTCTTCGACCTGCTGCATTCTCGTCGTAGTCGGTCGACATATATTCCGGCAAGTCATCATCATCACCGAGCTTTTGGAAGGAGTACAGCAGCTGCGAGCCAAACTCCGATGCAACGAACAAGAAGCCTGACCGCAAGATGGCGAGACCTGACGCGACGGGGACCGTGTCAAAGTATTTGATCTTGAGCGAACGGATCTCGTCGTCTTGGTGCTCCATTGTGATCTTGAAGAGGTCGCCGTCTTCGGTCTGGACGAGGAAGAAGAAGGCGTTCTTCATCTTGTGCAGTACGCTTGCGACGACTAAGGTGCCGCGCCTCTCGGATGTCTTCTCGATCGGATTGAGTCGTTTCGGTATTGGTACGCGGTGCTCTGGTTGGTCCTGGTGCTTGTAAGTGATGTAGTCCTCGCTGCAGACTAGCACACCGCTGGGTCCGTCCCATTTCTCCTGATTCTGGTTGTAGCCGCCTGGCACCTGGATGAGCAGGTTTGACCGCGGATCGACGGGCTCGGACCATTTGCGCACGACGTGGTTGAGGCCCAGGTCGAGCTCGTAGTATGTAAGCGTCTTTTCAGCCTCGGCGAATGCACGTCCTGTTGGGTCGTGGTCCGCATCCGAATAGTCCACTTCGAGACAAGCGAACAGAGGGTTCTCGAATCCGACGTCTACGCCGACAATGTGATGAATGATGCCGTTGGGTCGATGCGCCTCAAGTGGACTTGAGATGGTCAGATTCGCTTGCGCATCCCTGTTGAGAATGTAGACGAGCTTGGCTTTCTCCATGGCACCGATCATGGTTGCGCGACCCTTCGGATCGGTAGCGAGATACTGTCCAGGAACAATCCTGCGAGACCCAGAGCGACCGAACGTCTCTTGATGGACCTTGTCGAACGAATTCGTACTCGGCTGAAACTCGAGAATGACGATCCTGCCCGAATCGGAGCCGACAATGAGGTAGTCTTTAGAGCCGCCGGTGAGGCGGAAGGCGGCCAGGCTTCGGACAACGCCGAATGCATCATGGGAGAGGACGAAGTCGACCTTGCCGGTCTGTGTGTCAGGTCTGAGAAGCTCTAGACGACTTCCCTTTGCAACCACGATCTCTTGCTGCCTTGTGCCGGAGAATTGTCCCACCACAGTCGCTGTGACGCTGCCTGATGGCTGCAGCGTCAGATGGTAGAGGTGCATCCCATCCATTTTGCCCTGATAGCGAAGATCTATTCCTCCCGAGTAGCTTGGCGGAGTCGAAGCTTTTAAGAGCACATCAGTGCGGAGACACGGACAGCCAGCAGGTGGACGTCGGCGGCAAGGGCCTGCGTTACAAAGCCGAAAGGATGTGGTTGCACCTTTCCTTCTGGATCGCCGAAGAGAATGGAAGGATGTGCCGAGAGGGGGTGGCTGTGCGCTGAGAGTGCGAGGCAGATGATTCTCGAGTCGCGCAGCCTCTGCGTATCAGCTCAGTGTATGCGTCCGTGGAGCTTTGCGCCAGTCGCAGGCGTGGTGGTCGGCATCATCGACCATGACGGGTGAATCTTCCAGACTGCCAAAGCTTCAGCAAAAATGTTCGGAAAACGGGCTGGCAATTTTCAATAGCTGTTACATCGCAGGTTGTCTCAGACTCGAGGTTCCCAAAGAGTTCTGGGATGCTGCACAGGAGATGTTGATGCTCATGTCCAATTCAACATCCGCCCTCATCATGTGCTTCGGTGCTGAGACGGCTATGCAACCAGGAGCACAGACAGACTGCTTGGGGTGCCATGCACTTTGAAACATAAAGTCATTACATTCGTCGGGCTGGTATCGTTACAACATGGGAAGAGAGACAAGCAAGGTGACGACGATACAAGGAAGAGGTGTAGAGGCTGCAGAAGTACAACATGTGGATCGCCACTCGTCCAATGGTGTCGTCATACGACAAGAGCAAGAGCAGAAATGTCCGTGGCGAGCCGATGCAAGCAAATGAGCTTTGCATGAAGAACAGACGCCGTGTGCTGCTGATTCCGGCCCCTTGAAAGGGGCCGGGAATTGGCAAGGAGCTGTGCGTATCTGCTCGGGCAAGCTTAGAAGCTGTAAATGTTGTTCTCCTTGGTGGCGGCGGCGTAGTAGTGCTCGATCCTTTTCTTGAAGCGCCAGCACATGAAGTAGGCATAGACTTGCAATGCCCAATCGATGGCGAGCGAAAAGACAAAGGCGATGTAGAGGCTGTGAAAGCCGGCCGAACAGAGCCCAGATGGCATGGTGCCACTGTCGGTCCCTGCTTCTCCTGCTGTTCCCCATAGTTGACCGCCATTGTTGCATTCCCAGACGATCTTGGTCTGCTGTCTGTTGAGCTGGAAGATCATGAAGCCGGCTCGGACGGCGACAACGAGGAGAAGTGCGGGCCAAAGGAAGAAGCAGAGACGCATGAACATGTACGAGTTGTTGGCCATACCGATGGTCGTCAGAATGCAGATGGCCATGACACCCATGCCGATACCGCCGTAGATCTGGTATTCAGGGTAGTTGAAGAAAAGGAACTGTCCTTTCTGGAAGAGGAGGATCGAGCCTGCCAAGTTGTAGGCAGCGATAAAAACGTTCCACACCATGGCGCCATGGCGCAACGGGAAGACAAGGAGACAGTTGTCGCACCACATGATGGCGGTTGATGTGAAAGCTCACTATGTCAGCGCAAGTTGAAGAGCACGCGACAAAGTCAGCTCAGTCGACGCTGATGTGAGCAAGCTCAAGACGGGTGGAGAAGCTAGCTTCTCGCTGATAGCGGATGTCGTGATGTCGTTAATGTCGTGAGATGGAGGTGTCGATGAACGATCCCGGAGATGTGGGGGAGGATGAGGTGGGAAGGGAGAACGAGCGTATGGTGAGATTGGCAAATCCAGGCGGTGGAGGAGCGAGCGGAGTGCAGACGTCTGAGAGAGAAGCTGAGAAAGGCTCGCAAGGAAGCGGGAGGCTGAACGAGCTAGGTGCTGTAGGAAGAGGCGAGTCTCGCGGCGGTGAGCGGTGAGCGAAAATGCGAGGAGGGGGGCGCTATGTAACCTCAGGCAGGGTGGGAGATGGACAGGGGCCAAAATGTCGCTAGATGCATGCACAACCGCTCGAGCTGAGCGTTCTTGGCTCTGGAGAGCTCCGCTTGCTTTCCCACATGCTTCTCCTTTCTATGCTTCGTTCTCCCGACGCTGTTCAGACATGTCAGCCCCATGATGCTCCGATGGCTGAAGCTAAGGACGAAGGCGTAAGCCGCCATGGTCAGACACAGACAACGTTGCCCGTATCATTCGACAGTGTGCAGCATCGTTTCCTCTGTCGCGTCGATTGCACGTCAAGTGGCATGGCCCACACTACAGTAGACACCAAGGAGCTTCACGCGTTGCTGAACGATCCGTGCTCGAAGCCACGCAAAGGTAGAGGAACGTGCAAGCGCGACTTTGGCTCGACTATGATTCGAAAAAGCCGTGCGCACTCTGAGCGAGTGAGGTCAGTGCATCGTATGATGTGAGGATAGGAGGTCTTTTGCGTGGGAGCGTGGGAATCAGGTCCAGCGTTCCTCGTTGGGTCGTGGGTGAGTGTCATTCAAAGAAACTCCGTCAACTCCAAGCTTGTTTAGGGGTTCGAGTGTCAAACCTCATGCAGCTCGCTTAACCCCAGATCATCCCTGTCAAAATGATCTGCGTCTCCAAAAAAAGGAGGTCCCGATCTGGACGTTGCTTCCGATCGACTATCGGGAGATTTAGACTGTGTGCTCTCCGCGTCGCGCGTAAATGTGCGAGGCTGACGAGGGTTCAGACAAGCAACTCATGCACGCGCGCACACACGCCTGCCTCAGGGCAGAGGAAGGCTGCCTCCAACTCAGCCACTCTTCCAGAAAAAGTGTTGGTCTCGAAGCTCGTTGCTCTTTCCGCAATCGTTGTCTTCGACCTCCGCCTCGACCCACTCCTCCCTTCCCTCACATTTCTGTGACTCAATTGCATCGATTTAGATCAACAACAATCTGCTTTCTCAGCCGCTTGTATCTCGATACCAAAGCAGGCCTGCGACAATATCGACGACGCAGCGGGTCGACCACTCGTTGCTGCATGGTCAACTAAAGGAGATCGTCGAGGGGCCACCTCCGCAACGCGCAAGAGACACCAGGCAGCTAGTCATCGAGCTCGTCTCCCGTAGTAATACGCACGTCCGCCTCGGTCCACGCCATTTGGTCGGTCTCGATTCGCTAGCCGACACGGCCAACCATGTCGCAGAGGAAAAGGCCGTCCCAGGCCACCGACGGCGGTGGATTCACAAGCGACGAAGATGCTATCGACGCAATATCGCCCAAGCGCATGCGTCTGAATCGCACTAGCATTCTCAGCAATCGCGATGATGTTCCGGAACAATCGCAGTCTCGATCACCAGACGCAAGGAGTGCACGCAGGTCGCAGGCAACAGCACCACCGGAAGAGGATGACGGCATAGTGACGCCGGACGAGCGCGAGGAGGATCACGAAGAAGAGGAAGCGTCGGAGGAGGAAGGCACCGATGAAGAAGAAGAAGACGAGATCGACTCGCAAGCCGAAGAGGACGCACGCAGAGCTGAAGCTGGTCAAGGAACAGCACAGTCTGGCATCGTCGACAAGATCGAGCTGCGCAACTTCATGTGCCACGCCAACTTCACCATCGAATTCGGGCCCAAGCTCAATTTCGTCATGGGTCGCAACGGCAGTGGCAAGAGTACCATCCTCACCGCTCTCATGATCGCGCTCGGAGGCAAGACCAGTTCCACCAACCGCGGTTCTAGCCTCAAGGACCTCGTCAAGAAAGGCGAGACCTCCGCCACCATCACCGTCACGGTGCACAACGGGGGCAGCGATGCATTCAAGCCCGAAGCGTATGGACACTCAATTATCATTGAACGTCGCATCCTTGCGGAGGGCGGCGGTACCTGGAAGATGAAGTCCGCCAACGGCAGGGTGGTGGCAACCACAAAATCGGAGCTCGAGTCCTTCTGCGACTTTGCCAACATCCAACCCGACAACCCGATCCACATTCTCACTCAGGACACCGCTCGTCAATTCCTCGGTAGCTCCGACCCCTCCGAGATCTACAAGTTCTTCCTCGAAGGCACACAACTCAGTCAGCTTGTGCGTGAGTACAATCTCATCGAGACGCACGTTCGCAGCATGAAGTCAGCGCTTGCACTCAAGTCGGGGGCCCTCGAGCAGCTCGAGACTCTGGCGGAGCACGCATTGCAACAATGGAAGAAGGTGCGCGAGACACGTGGCTACCAGGAAAAGATTGATGCTTTAAACCGAGAATTCGTCTGGGTGCAAGTCAACGATGCCGAGAACGAGCTGCAACAGGCCGTCGAAAAGACCGAGCGGATCCGCGCCAAGCTCGTCAAATGCGATGCAAGTCTCAACAAGACCCTCGAAGCGCTCAAGAAATGCGAAGAGCGCATCGTCGAGCTCGAAAAGGAGAACACCAACTTCGACGAAGTGTTCTCGCCCATTCAGGAGCAGCATGAAGAGCTCGTGCGCAAAGACAAAGATCTCGCTCAGCAAATCAAGGCGTTCACCAGGCAGGAGCGCGAGATCAACGACAAGATCATCGATGTCAACAGGGACATCGAGAGATACGAGGACCAGATTCGCGAAGAGACCGCCAAGCTCGCCCAGGACGGTCAAACACATCGACAGCAACTCGATGAAGAACGCCAATCGGCGCAAAGGCAACGTCAAGAGCTGCAAGACGAAACGCTCGAAAAGGAAGAGCAGCAGCGCGAGCTCGAGACTCAGATAGCGGAGGCCACACAGCGCGAAGAGGACGAAGGCCAGAATCTGCGCCGCTTGAAGGACGAGTACTCGACGAAGAGCTCCCAGCTTGTTCAATTGCGCGAGAGCAGCAGGAACAGGCTCACCGCGTACGGCGGAGCGAAAGTGCCTGCACTACTGCAAGCCATCAATAGCGACAATGGCTGGAGGTCAAAGCCCATCGGTCCGCTCGGCACTCACGTCAAGCTCAAGGACATGCGCTGGCAGAGGATCCTCGAAACCGTGATGGGCAACACCCTCAACGCCTATTTCGTTTCCAATCATGCAGACCGTGTACGTTTGAAGAAGATCATGGATCGAGTCGGCATCCACCAGCCCATCGTCATTGGTACCGACGCTCTGTTCGACTACTCTTCGGGAGAGCCCAACCGCGACATCACCACCATCCTGCGAGTCCTTGACTGCGATGACGAGATTGTCAAACGTCAGCTCATCATGTCGGTTCACATCGAACGCGCGGCCCTGGTCGACAGACGTGCCGACGGCGACAGGCTGATGCGAACGCAGCCCTACAATGTTCAGGCATGCTTCTCCGCCGACATGTTCAGCATCAGCAGCGGGGCCACCGGCTCGCTCTCTACCGCCTTGCAGGACCACCGCGGCCCTCCACGTCTCTCACAGAACGTCGGCGACGCTATCCGCAAATTCGAGCACGAAGTGCAGCAGCTCGACCATGAAATCGCCGAATGTACCCAGCGCCTGCGTGACGCCAAGCAAGAAAGGGTTCGCCTGGAGCGTGCAAAGGACACCGGCAAGCGTGATCTCAACAACCTGCGAAGACGGAAGGACGATCTCCGTCAGCAGATCAGCCGGATCGATGAGCAGATGCAAGAAGCTGCGCCAGGCAACATCTCCGCACTCGAAGATGCCAAACTCGAGGTGGAGACGAACAAGGAGGTCATTCTGCAGCAGTTCCAAGACATCCAACGTCAGAAGACCGCCATCGTAGAGAGGCAGAAGCCGTCGCAGGAAGAAATGAAGGCGCTGGAAGAGCGCAGGCGTCAGTTCGAAGAGAGGATGGGCGGGATCCACACCTATCTGGTAGCGGCCGTCGCTGAACGAGTCGAGCAGATCAACAACCGCGACCACTGGCAGAGAAAGCGCGCGAGTATCGAAGCGGACGTCAAGGAGAGCGAGGCGGAGGAGACCAGGCTCGAAGCGGACCATCAGCATCTGGAGTCAGAGGCGCTCAAGTATTGCGACCGGGTCGACACCACGCGCACGCCGAAGCAGATCCAGAGGGAGATCAACGAGCTGGAGCTTCTCATGAAGAAAGCGGCCCGGGAGGCCGGGATCACTCTGGATCAAGCGGCGTCAGAGCTACAGAAGCGCAAGGATGCGCTCACAGAAGCCCAGGAAGAAGTGCACAACATGAACGAGGCCGAACGACGACTTCGCAGTTCGCTCGCGGTGCGCTATGCCAAGTGGAACTTCTTCCGTCGCTCGATCGCTTTGCGGGCCAAGAGCAACTTTGCACGCAACCTCGCGACCCGTGGCTACGAGGGCACGCTCAAGTTCAACCACAAGCTCGAGAAGCTTTCGCTCGCCGTCGATACACAGGCGCAGGACCAGTCGGCGCGGGCCACGCAGACGCAGACCCAGGGCAAGGCGCAACAGCACTCGAACAAGGGCATGTCTGGAGGCGAGCGTAGTTTCGCCACCGCCTGCCTGCTGTTGTCGCTCTGGCAGGCCATGAGCTCGCCCATCCGATGTCTCGACGAGTTTGACATCTTTATGGACCAGGTCAACAGGAGGGTGGCGTTGTCCATGATTGTCAACGAGGCGAGAGCGACGCCGCACGTGCAGTACATTATGATCACGCCGCAGGACATGCCGGATATGAAGGGCGAGCTGGACGATGTTCGAATGCTGGTGGTGAATCCGCCAGAGAGGAATGAGGGCGCTCTGGCAGGCAATTAGCTGAGGGACCGATGGTCAGTATAGTAATGGCAGTATCAATATCGCACTTTTGCAGACTGAATGTGATGAGTCACAGCGGTGAATAAAGATGCATTTGCGATGCTGTCTATGCTGATGTTACAGAGTGATCCTTCCGTTTCTTCCTCAGAATCTACCCGAGCCCGTAACCTTGCTCGTCTTCAACTTGATCATGTTGGTCAAAAGGTCGTTGGCCGTCGTGTCGATGTTGTATCCTCGGCCCAGCGCCGAGATGTAGCCGTTGATGTAGTCGATCTCGGTGCTACCTCTGCGCTTCTTGAGGTCGGCGTGCATCGAGGACCAATTGGCGGCTGTCATCCTTGCCACTCGTTGCGCCTCCTGAAACAGCGCTTGGGGCGTCAACGAAGGGTGTAGCATGGGTTCGCCTGTCTCTGTGGAGAGGATCAGCAGATCTTCTGTTGATAGACCTGCTGTTGATTTCCGCTTCGAGGCGTCAGAGGAAGACGAGAGGTGCTCGCGTACCTGCGCTTCAAGCACCATCCCCGCTTCGAGACACACCGACCACATGGCGTCCATAGCAGCAGGGTTGCCGAACAGATCGCCATTCTTGCAGTCGGCAAGCGCGGTGAGAGGGTTGATGCAGGCGTTGATGACGACTTTGCGCAACGCGCGGAGCTGAAATTCGCGAATGGGCTCCCATTCGACGTTGAGCGGGAGCGAGAGCAGACCTGCGACGGTCGCTCTCAACGTGCGAAGGTTCGGCTGGTCAGGAATGCTGCCAATCGAGAGCTTCGAAGAGAGCGAGTTCGGATCCAGCTCCTTCTGCGGGTCGGCATCTGCGTCGGGCGCAAACCTCTCCCATCCTCTCGCCTTCTTGCTCGCCGCTGATCCTATTGTCGGCAGCAGGCCACCTTTGACAGTCGCAATTGTGTGGCCAAATGGGACTTTCTCTGCCTCAAATCCCTCTGATCCTGCCCGACCGCTCGGCACGATACCGAAATGCAGTGCACCAGGACTGGCATGCATGATATCCAACGGTCCTTTCCTCCAACACCCATGCGTGGTCGAGGCCAGGATGAAGTTGGGTCGTGACTCGGGATCCTTGAAGAAGGTGTCGAAGAGCGTATCGAGTACGCCCATGCCGTTCTGGAGCAGGACAATGGTGGACCATGGGTGGATTCGGTGTCGAATGCTTTCCAAAGCCGAGAGCGTGGTGTCGCACTTGGTGGTGATGATTAAGCTGTCGATCGGACTGGCCCGTGGTTGCTGATATGTGCTTTCGAGCGTGGATATGAGCGAGATGCCACCGTCGTTATCTGGAATCGGTGTTTTCGACGAAGTTTGCTCCTGTATTGATGGGGTATCGGACGGTGACCCTGTGGGCGTACGTGATATCAAGAATCGGTCTTCCCCGTCTTCCTCTTCTTGTTGCTGCGTCTCGTTTGCACGGTTGCGCCGTACGATGGACGCAATCACATCTGTAGGACTCGAGTTGAAATCGGTCTGAAATCCACCTTCAATGTCCCTTACACCGTCTTGCTCGACGATGATCGAGTTGACATAGCGTTGCTTTGCCTGTCTCCCAAAAGCTTTCCTACGCAGATGTAGAGTGACAGACGTCTGCAATGGGTCTGGTAGCTCGGACTGGATGTAGGGCGGGTGGCTGAGCGACGAGACGATGGTGCCTTGCCTCTGTGGTGGAGCCTTGTTAGACAGGTTGGACAGCAGAAGCTCTCGCCGCGACTTGCTCGACGATGGTCCAGGTTGTAGGAGCTGTCGTTGAAGCTTGACGGAGCGCTTGAGGTGGAAGGCGATGAGAGAGCCTATCGACCCGACGCCGAGGACGTGATACCTCATGGCTGGGGGCTAGAACAGTGCCAGGGACCAGCCAAGAGCCCAGTGGCAGGGTCCAAGAACGAAACGAAAGGAGAGACAGGAAGGAGGCGTCGTCACTATCTTGAACGCATGGGGCCGAAGGTGCATAAGACAGGACCAGAGGTTGATTGCTTGAGCCGGATGCCAGAGACGCCGTGGCGTGCCGTGTGGAGAATCGATCCTCGAAGTACGAGCGACCGATTTCGAGCGAGATGTGGCGGATGCGAATTCACTCCTTGTGTGCCTGATTCTTACGGACGACGCCTGCGTATAAGCGACGGCAAGAGAGGGAGGGGCGGAGGGCGCAAGGCACTGATGGCGGCAAAGCAACACACCAGACTGAGCCGGAAGAAAGGATGAAGTAAGGAACGAGCGAGGTGGAGTCCAGTCTCTCTTTTTTGGTTTCTTCGAGCTTTCTCGGTTTGCTCAGACGAGCATGACAAATCCAGGTTGGTCGATCCGTCGTGTTAGAGCTCAAATTGGGCGGCAGACAGCTGAGTGCTTGCCAAGAGGCATAAAATGAGCGCGTCTCCCGCTTCCATGGCTCAGCCAGACCAGTATCAGATCCTCGGCAGTCGGTCAAGCCAGTGCTCACTAGCTTCACAGAGTCTTGTGACACATCCTCCTTCACATACCACTACTTTCACCCTTCTTCTCTCGACACTTGCCGACCATCGCAAACGCTGGCATAGCCTTTCGCGCTCCATGCTGCTCGTCTGAGGCGCATTGACGAGCACATCTATGCTGGCATAGCCAGCCGGATCACCTTACAGCTCACACTGGGCACGGCCGCAGTCGCCCCTAGCGCAGAGCATTGCGGTCATGGAGGACGAACAGAATGCCGCCCTGCATCTTGGCGGTCTCGCCCTTGGCAATGTGCTCCGAGACCTCGGTATCGATGAGCAGCACCAGTCTGATCTCGAACGTCTCGGCATCGCCTCGGGCAGTGGCAGGATCAAGCAGGAAGACATCTACAATGACAGATTTGCGGACGACGACAACGACTTTGGCGGCGACGCATATCACCGCAATGGCGCCTCCTCCAAAGACTGGGAGACAGAGGTCGACGATGAGATGAGGCGCGAGCGGGATGGTGAACACGACGCCGAGGAACGAGCCGAGCTTGACAGGTACTACCGACAAGGCTTGGCACAGCTCGAACAGCCAAGGGCACCGCTTCGAGGAGAGGTCGACGACTTCGACGATGATGCGAGCGAGGAAGACGAAGACGTGCCTCTTTCACAACAGCCTTCGCTGCCTCAGGCGAATGGTCATTCAACGCAGGCCAACGGCTTCTCACGGTTCGGCGAAGGCATGATCAAGGTCAAGGAAGAACGCGACGATGACAGCGACATGGCATTCTTGTCGGCGCCTCCGCACTCCTCGTCCAGCGCCGCTCCACCAGGGCGTGCGCCCTTGCTCCTACCAACCGCTCAAAGCTCACGGCAGGACTCGCCGCAAACACCGCCTCAATCCCAACAGCCGTATATGTCGGGTGCGCCGCCTGCCCGCCCTTTCGTCGATATGGAAGAAGTCAAGCAACACTTTCCCGACTTTGAGCCGGGAAAGATCCTCAACTTCACCGAGCTCTTTGCCACACGACCCTCAAAGAAGCGCAAGCTCGGTGCTCCATCCGCCAAGTTCCACATCACCCCAGAAGATGAGCTGCCGATACCCAAGTCGACAAGGGAGGAATTGGTACGGTCCTCTGTCGTCCGTCCCCACCATGCGTCCATCCTTCCTGGTCTCACCAGCGAGCTGGACCCTTCTGCAACTGGTGCTCGTCGGACGGATGCAGCTGACGATGAGATCGAGCTCGCCGTCGTTTCAACTCCGGACGTCAAAGCTGAGAAACGCAGCGCCGCTCTGGCGCCTGTCGAGCTCGATGACTGGGAAGATCGCATCGTTTGGGATCCATCGAATCTTGCTTCAACAATGCCAGAGGTTACTATCGACGTGAAGGCCGAGTTGTTGTCGGAGCCTTTGGCTACACTTGCACCGCCAGCCATCGACAAGCCCTTCAACCACGATCTCTTCAGGGGTGCATGGACTCGCAGTATCATATGGGACGCACATACAACCTTCGAGGCTTTCGACAAGCTGGTCCTCGACATGAACGACCCGCAGATGATGCTAGAGGAGGACCTCGGGCCGAAGACCAAACAGAACTCCCTTCTGCGTTCCGACGCACCTGTTGTCTCCGCAGCTGCCCAGCGCGATCTCGCAAGGCGTCAAGCAGAACTCGATCCACTCAATCTGTCGAACGACAAGTTCTACGAGCAGACGCGTGAGCACCGCCAACGTGTTCGTCAGACGCTCGGAAAGCTCGTCGTCCAACATGCATGGCCTGCCATCAAATTGCAGCTACCTTGGTACAAAACCAAGCTTACAAAAGCAGAAGCGAGATCGTTCCATCGTCCCGCCATGCAGTTCCCCACCAACATGCCCCTCCACTTCTCCAAGACCATCTCGTCCAAGAAGAAGAAGGAAGGCGCCGGCGCACGCAAAGCCAAAGATCCGAACGAGATGCTTCGCACCACGCGAGACCTGACGCTCAAGGACACTGGGCCCTACGTGCTGTACGAGTATTCGGAGGAGTATCCGCCGCTCCTCTCGAAGATTGGTATGGGCAGCCTCCTCGTCAACTACTACCGCAAGAAGGACGCCAAGGATGAGCATGTTCCGAAGATGGACATCGGAGAGCCCTACTTGCTTGACGTGGCGGATGAGTCGCCTTTCATGAAATTTGGCAATATCGAGCGAGGACAGGTGCAGCCGACGTTGTACAACAACATGATCCGCGCGCCCCTCTTCCGCCACAAGCCCGCCCATACGGATTTCCTCCTCATCCGGAGCACTACCAAGAACGAGATCCGCTACTATCTGCGAGAGATCCGCAACCTCTTTGTTGTCGGCCAGACGTACCCGGTCCAGCAAATCCCAGGACCTCACGCCCGTCTCATCACCAACAACATCAAGTATCGCCTCCAGATGATCGCGTACAAGCTCATTCAGAAGAGTCAGCGACAGCGTATCAAGATCCACCGTTTGATGCGCTACTTCCCGGACCAAAACGAGCTGCAGATGCGACAAAGGCTCAAGGAGTTCATGGAGTACAACCGCAAGGCAGGCGACGTCAATCAGGGTTTCTGGAAGCTCAAGCCACACATTGTCGTGCCAGAGGAAGCCGAGCTGCTCAAAATGCTGCCACCGGAGAACATCTGTCTCGCTGAAAGCATGCAAGTCGGTCAGCGACACTTGCTCGACTGCGGTTACACAAATACTGCCGAGGGGGACGACGACGACGAGAGCAAGATGGACATCGAGCAGCTGCTTGCGCCCTGGATCACCAGCAAGAACTTCTTGAATGCTACGCAGGGCAAGGCCATGCTCAAGTTGCACGGCGATGGTGACCCGACCGGCCGCGGCGAAGCTTTCAGCTTCATTCGAGTCTCGATGAAGGAGATCTTCGTGCGAGCCGGCGAAGACGTGGAAGAACGTCTCGCACAAGCCGAAGCAGACGCCAAGAAGAAGTCAGGTCATAAGTACAGCGTCGCCGAACAGCAGGCGGTCTACCGATCCGAGATAGACCGTATTTGGAGAGCACAGTGTCGATCGCTGTCCAATCCGGTGCCGCCAAAGGTGACCGCGGAGGACGAACGACGTGCGCTTTTGGCAGCCAACGGAGGAAAGCCCGACGCTCCTCGCAACGGCGGTCGGGGCGAGTCTGTCCGTCGAGACCGCAGTCCGAGCACCATGAGCACGGTCAACGGCGATGGTGCGGACAAGTCGAACAAGATCCTCCGCATTCGCCGCTTCATCAACGGCAAGTGGCAGCGCGAGATGGTGCGCGATCCAGCCGTCATCAACGCCTATCTCACACAACGCAAGAAGATCGAGGACGAAGCCATCGCCACCGAAGACTTGCTGCCGACCGGCGACGCAGCCATCGACATGGCGCGCATGAAGCGACTGCAGGAGGAGCTCGCACAGCGCAAGAAGAACCAAGAACGCCGTATCCAGCGCAAGAACGCCAAGGCCGCCGCAGAAGGTCTCGCGATCCCAGGCGGCTATAAGAGCTTGCTCAACAAGACCGACACCAAGCGACGCTGCGGTCGTTGTGGAGAAGTCGGTCACATGTCGACCAACACTTCTTGCCCCATGTTCCAGAAGGACGGCGGCAAGAATGGAGCAGGTGGAGCGGCAGGTGGGAGCGGCGCAGGCACACCGGGCACCCCAGCCGGCGGAGGAAGGCCAGGAATGCCTCATCTGGCCAGTGGAGGCGGCTTCTTTGGTCCTGGTATGGCCATGGGAATTGGAATCGGCAGCGCAGGACCGATGACACCTATGACTCCAACAGTGCAGACGCCAGGAGAGTCTCGGGCGCCTTCGGAGAGCCCCGCTCCAGGCAGTGGCACGCCGACGCCAGGGCTCAAGTTGAAGCTCAAGAAGAAGGCTTAACAGCAGCAAACATGCACCAAACGGCCATAGTCAAGCTCACCCATTTCGTCGTCCAGACGCCTTTTGTATTTGTATCATTGTAACTCTACGCTCATCCATGAATGTTTGAAGGTACTTGCTCTGTATTGCTCTGTGCTGAAAGAGTCCGTGAGTGAGTGTGAGTGCGAGCCTGACCATATCCGCCAGGTGTGAGTGCTTCAGGGTCCTGCGAGAATTTCGGGATCCGGACCCTATTGGTGGTGGAGGAGAACTGAGCCTTGTCTTGCGATACTTCCAGATCCCACTTCATTCCCACACACCGCATAACAACAGCACAAACGGGCCCAGCGTCTCAGAGACCGCTCCCGCTGGATTCGCATCGACGCTCGCTCAGGATGAGCGGTGGCATCGGCGGCTTTGTCAAGAGGAGCAAGCCGAGAAGCTCAGCTTCGAGGCTCAGCTCGACCTACGACGATGAAGAAGATGTCGAGGCTGTGCCGTCAAGCGTCTCCATCAAGTCGGTTACGGCAAAGGACAGTGGCATTGTATCGAGCTCGAGAGCACCCCGTCGGGCCGTTAAAGGGCTCGACAACGAAGACGAGGAAGACATCCCCAGGTCAAATGTCGTCTTCCGGTCCCGAGCAAAAGGGGCGAGGGGAACGCCATCCTCTTCCTCCGTGGCAGCCAGCAGCAGAACGGGGTTAAACTCAACATTGGCGTCAAAGCAGCGTCCTGCGGTCAGTGTCATGGTCGAAGATGATCTTGGAGATGAAGGCGATGCCTTTGAAGTCCGTCGCTCGAAACTCAACACGACAGGTAAACCGGCTAGAAGATCTGCAGCCGACACCTCATCCTCGACAGAGGCCCCAGGACGGTCGACACCGCTTCGTCCAACGACCTTCCAGTCGATTCCAACACAGACATCTGAAGTCCCTTCCAGCGCCTCGTCCGGCCTGTATACCTCCAGATACCTTGAAGAGCTACGTTCATCAACACCTACCTCGCGTTCAAGGGCACACAGTCCTACCCCGGAACAGCCTCTTGGACCAGGCACACGCATCGACGATCCCATGGTGGCGCAGACCTCTCGCATGGCGCTTGAAGACCACGGTGACGGCGACCTCGCTCGAAGCAAGTTCGCCGCTGACTTCGCACACGACGCCATTCCCAGCGAAAGCGTCATCCGCGCAGCCAAGGAGAAGCGCGCCAAGCTCCGCGCCGCCGCCGCGAACACCACCTCCTCTTCGGAAGACTTCATCTCCCTAGCGCCGTTCTCCAAGTCCTCCGCACTGAAGAAGTACGATGCGATGGAGATCGACGACGGGCCGCATCCGCACTCCAGACTGCAGCGGGAGGAAGACGAGCTGGGCGATGGCGAAGACGATTTTGCCGAGTTCACCGGCGCCACCGACCGCATACCTCTCGGCGAGAAGGCGGAGAAGGAATGGATTGACCGACAGAGGCGGGAGATGGACGCTGCTGTGCGCGGTGATTTTGATGAAGATGCCGTGGTGGAAGACGAGATGGATGAAGACGAAGAGGAGTGGGAACGGGCGCAGTTGCGACGTACGCAGAACGTGACACAGACTTCGCAGTCGAGAGAGGCTTCGCCCTTTCGATCGGCGCCAATACCTGCAGCGGTGCCGTTGCCGTCCGTTGGATCGTGCTCTACGCGGCTGGAGCTCACGGTTCGTGCGCTGGATCAGAGTACGGCTGCCAACGCGGCTGTGGTAGAATCGTCGACGAAGGAGTTGGAGACGATAGAGGCAGGTGAGGCGGAGAATAAGGTGAAAGTTGCACAGGTCGAGGACAAGGCCAGCTGGTTCAACGAGCTCGATGAATTTGTGGGCAGCTTGGCGCGGTTCATGGAGGAGAAGATCGGGAGGCTCGAGGAGGTGGAGAAGCAAGCATTGGATTTGCTATTCAAACAGAACAGTATGCACTCGAAGCGGATGGGCAGGTGGCTCGATGCAAAGCTGGAAGCGTCTCTTCAGATCAGGCTTGCGAAGAGCGCGGTGCTCAATCTCGCCGAGGAGGAAGATGACGAGATCGTACCAGGTACCGAGGAGTATGGTCTGCTGGCACCAACCGAAGCGCCACAACTGGACCGTCTGGACCCCGCCGACGAGCTCTCCTTCACCCTCGCCCAGCGCGAAATCGCCTCAACCCGCCGATCCATCTTCGCCGACGTGCAAGCAGTCGAATATGTCGACCCGGGAGCCCTCACCGGCCTGGCACCTTACGCCTTCGGCCACCTCTACCCAGAGCGCACTTCGCCGAAACCGACAGACTACGATCCGCATCCACGCAGCGTCGTTGCGCGCTTCGAATCGTGGCGTTCCCTCTATCCCGAGGAGTACGCGCAGGTGTGGGGCGGTCTCTCCCTGGCACAGATCTGGCAGTTCTATGCGCGACACGAGATGTGTCTCTGGGTACCCTTTTCTCAGCCAACACCTTCCGGAGAGGGGATGCCTTGGTATGAGGGCGCAATATGTCTACCGGAGATGGAGTGGTATAAGGGGGCATTTGGGTATGTGAAACGGGCCCACGCTGATGCACAGGCAACGGTGGGGGGCGACGACGAGGTGCTTACGACTATTATCGCTAATGTGCTCGTGGGACATTTGATTACATTGGCGAATAGGGGGGCCTTTTCGCCCTGGTTCGCAGAGCATACGCGCGAGGCGGTGGAGTCGGTCGATTGGGTGGTGAGGGCGCTGTTGGGTGCTGAGCATGTTCGGTACGTCAGCTTGGTCGAGGCGTTCTTAGACGTTTTTGGGGCTCAGATTGGGAGATTGAAGGAGGTGATGGAGACCGGGATGCATATGAAGGGTGGAGAGGAAGGAGCGAGGGCAGCGGCAGAGGTGGTGGATGCCCTGGTGCAGCGGTTGCTCAAGAACTTGGTCGCCTGGTCGAAACCAGTGGGGCTCAACGATGGCGCTGCGAGCGGGCAGTCGACGGTGCTCGTCAAGACAGTTGTGGGTCTCGTCGAGACGTTGGTATTCGACGTTCTTGAGCCCTTCCTTGCGGTAACGGGCCAAAGGGAGGTCACATTGCAAGCTCGAAGGCAGATCTTCGACGTGCTTCCATCGGAGATCGTCGCCAGGTCCGAGAGGCTCACGTTGCTTTCACAGTCTCTGAATTGATCACACTGTTGCAGACAAACATCTGTGGAATGACAAAGCCGTCATTCCACAAACAACATCACAGTCAAAGTCTGTGTTGCTGCTCCTTCGTGACGACCGATCTTTGAATTCATACAAACTTCCACGTCGCCTTATCGCCCGCCACCATAGCCTTTGCCTGCTCCGTGCCCACCACCTTCTCCAGACCGATCAGATCGTACTTGCTATACACCACATAGCTCGCAACCTCGTTCGCATCCACCTCCTCCTCCTCTCCCCAATCCTTATTCAAAAACGGGAACTCCAACACCTCCGAGAAATACCTCGCGTTCTGGGGAACCTGATAGAATACGACCGTCTTCGTGCCCCTGATCTTGAATCTTCGGTAGAAATGCGCTCTCTCGGTCAGCAGGAGGAACCTCTTTTTCCCACTGGCAAAGGCCTCTCTCGCCCTTCGAATGTCCTTGGGTGTCGAGTATTCCGAGATGCTCGTGTAGGAGAGGTTGGCCGTCTCGCCGGGTTTGCGCTTCTCGTTGTGCTCCCGGAGGAACGCGTCGAGGCGCACAAAGTCAAAGTAGCTGGGGACGAGGATGAGCGTGTGACTGCTGCTGACGGCCGACTTGCTCAGCTGCGCCAAGGTCTTGGTCGTGAAGTGGGCGAAGCGGAGGTCGGGCTCGGAGTGCGGGTTGGCCGCTTCGAATCGTGTAAACGTCTGACGGACACCAGAGACGACCTTGGACATCTCCGCCTCGCTCTCGGGCGTGGGGGCGACGGTTCGGATCTTGCCCGCAACGTTCTGCAGCGTGTGGTTGTACACGGAGCGCAAGGCGGGGAAATCGTGCGCGGAGAGCATGATCGTTTGCCGAAACATCCCCGCGCGATTGTCCAGGTAGAACTGCTTCACGCGGGAGAAGTCGGTGTCTCGACTCTGACGTGGGATGTGGTTGAGTTTGTCGAAGACGTACTCGAGATGCTCCCAGTTCTGCATGCTGATCACATCGGTCTGGTCGACGATCACCATCTCGATGCTGCTCAGGAAATCGCTGTCGCCCTTATCCTTCTCCATTCCCAATCGCAACCCGAGCGGAGAAGCAACGATGACATCCGAGTCGTAGAATCCACTGAACAGCTTGAGACTCTTTCGTGTGACCTTGAGCCCGAGCTTGAACGAGTCGTCGATGTTTCCGGCAAAGTTGGCGATGTGATCCTCGGGATACTTGGCTGCCACCGAGGCATCAGCGAGCTTGTCAATCGCCCCTTCGGGAAGGTTGTACTCCTTGGCAAAGCGCGACTTGTTGTCCACCTGCGAACAGAGACTGAACTTGGTGAGCAGATCGACCCATTCAAGCGCGGAGTTGCGGAAGGGTAGGAGGACGAGCACTTTGGGTCGCGTGAAGCCTTGGTCGCGCAGATCGAGGTCAGTGTCAGCGTCGGATGCGCCGCTAGCGGCGAGCTTGGCGAGCTTCTCGTTATTCTTGAGGACTCGACGACGTGTTTTGGCGACGTGCGACATGGCGTGCATGGCGAGCACTTGGCGGTACTGCGCGCGGTCACGGAGGGCAACATTGGCATCGCAGAAGTCAGCGTAGCTGCCAAGCGTCGTGGCGAGCGCTTTGTGGAGTGGTGTCGGTGAAGAGAAGTGTTTGGCGGTGAAGGCGTTGAATGCATCGAGCACTTTCACTTGCGGTTGACCGGAGTACTGCTGTGAATCGAATTCGGGAAGAGAAGGGCTCGAAACAATGAGCTGCGTGGAGAAGGAGGGCAGGGTGGACCGCGAAGTCGACCAAGTGAGCGAGGTGGTAGATTCGGGGAGTTTGGCGATAGCTTGCGCATGTGGACCGTCACTGCCAAAGTGAGCATCGAACGCGGTGATCTGGCTCTTCTTCTGCTGCTTCTTCGGAGCTGAGGAGGAGGCTGCGTCAAAGTCCTCTTCGTCATCGTCCGAGACCTCGCCCACAAGCTCGAGACCGTTCTGCGAGATGGTAGTAGATGCGACGGGAGCTGCGCCATTCTTGGCTCGTTTCGAAGGCGAAGGTGTCGAGGAGAGGGCGGCCTTGGAGGTGGACGCAGTAGCTTGCTGTGCAGCTACCGCTTTGCGAGTGATCTTGTCGTAGTGCGTGAGGTTGGAAGATCGCTGTCGCTTGCCTGGCTTGGCAGCGCTGACGTTGATCAGCGTGAGCAGCTTGAGTGTCGGATCCATATTGACGACCGTCCTCCGCTGGATGCGACGATGGTGAGGATGAGGAGAAGTCGAAGTGCGGTAAGTTAGCAGGTTGCTGAAGCGGAGAAACGGCGGACAGGAAGAAAGCTCGAAGGGTTCGGAAAGGGTTCTGCTGCTCCCTAACCACAAAAAGAGGAGTTGTGTGGAGGAGTAGCCAGAAAAATTTCGCAGATGTCAACCTTTTTTTTCTTCTTCTTGAACAAATCAGCGCAGCAGATCAGTCAAATTTGGGAAAGGCTCAGTCGAGTGACCATGTTCAGATGTGATTGACATCGCTCGCCACTACTTCACCTCTTCACACCATCATAACCCATCACAGCTACAGCGGCTTCGTCAAAATGCCGCTCGCTCAGTCCAAGAACACCGTTGGTCTCGGAAGGGCCATCCTCAACCGCAGAGCAAAGGAGGCCAAGCAGCGCAACCAGACCGAATTCCACACCACCGACATTAACAACTATGGCTCCGTCTCGAATCTCCGCTCCGTCACTCACGAAGGTGACCTCGAGGAGTTCCTCAACACTGCCTCTCTGGCAGACGCCGACTTCACTGCAGAGCGAAGGAACGGCGGTGTCACCGTCATCACTGCCCCCAATCGCGAACGCACCCGCCACAACCCATACTTGCTCACCGGCCAGGAGGAGCAGGAGGTGCTCAAGAAGCACGTTCAGAACAAGGAGCGTCTCCGTGTACCGAGGCGACCCGAATGGACCAGTGCTACCACACGTGCTCAGCTCGAGCGAGCCGAAAAGGACGGTTTCCTCGATTGGAGGCGCGGTCTGGCCGAGCTCCAGGAAGGTGTCGGATTGGTGCTGACGCCTTTCGAGAGGAATCTGGAGGTGTGGCGTCAGCTGTGGCGTGTCATCGAGCGAAGTCACCTCGTCGTTCAGATCGTTGACGCAAGGAATCCGCTTCGCTTCCGTTGCGAGGATCTCGAGAAGTACGTCTCGAGTCTTGGCATTGGCTCGACCAACGGCATCGAGTATCTGGAGGAGGGTTCGACACAGAAGGGCCCAAGGAGAAATCTGCTGCTCATCAACAAGGCCGATCTGCTTGACGACCAGCAGAGGAGGTATTGGGCTGACTACTTCGATGCGCAAGGCATTCAATATGCTTTCTTCAGTGCAGCCAATGCTGCTGCCATCCAGCTCGCCCGAGCGGAGGAAGAGGAGAGGCTGCGTCTGGAGCAGCTCAAGCTCGCAGAGCCACGCACCGAGGATGACGACGACGAGGAGTACAGTGACGAAGACGAGGAGGATGACGAGGACGAGGACGACGAAGTGAAGGCCGCGTCTGCTGCGGTCAGTCAAGGCGCGAAAGACGCCCAGCCTCTGGTAGGTCAAGAAGCAAGTGACCGGGTGCTCGATCACTCTCAGGCCGCTGTTCGTGACAACTTGGTCGCCGAGAAGGCTTACGGACAAGACGATGCAGTCGACGCTGCTACCGCTACCGCTGCCACGACCCTCTCTGCTACTCGCGACCCAACTCGCGTGCTCAACGTCCTCGAACTCGAAGAGCTCTTCATGGCATGCGCACCACCTCTCGACGATTTCGCCATCGACGGCCAGCCCGCACCTTCCAAGCTCGTCGTCGGTCTCGTGGGGTACCCCAATGTCGGTAAATCATCCACCATCAACGCGCTGCTCGGCGAGAAGAAGGTCTCGGTCTCCTCCACTCCTGGTAAGACCAAGCACTTCCAGACGATCCACCTCTCGCCCACCACTGTGCTGTGCGATTGCCCCGGTCTCGTCTTCCCACAATTCGCCACGACCTCGGCAGAATTGGTCTGCGACGGTGTGCTGCCCATCGACCAGATGAGAGAGTACACTGCTCCCGCCGAGCTTGTCGCCAAGCGTATTCCCAAGGACATCGTCGAGGGCACGTACGGCATCCGAATCGAGACGCTCACGGAAGAAGAAGGCGGCAATGGCGTACCTACCGGTCTCGAGATGCTCACCGCCTACGCTGTGGCCCGAGGCTACACGCGTCAGGGCCAGGGCAACCCAGACGAGTCACGGGCGGTCCGTTACGTGCTCAAGGACTATGTCAACGCCAAGCTGCTCTACGGCAACCCGCCACCTGGCGTCGACGCCGACACTTACAACGCGGCCCAGCGCGAGCGTGCACGCGCGGCCCTCGCCGGTCGCAAATACGATCCCTCCACCGCGCACCTCGCCGAACACGAGGCTGCCGACGGCGACTTCGACGACCTCGATGCAGACCTGCAGGCGGAACTCGCAGAATTGACACGAAGCAGAGGGTCAGGTGTCCCGCGGCAGTCGGCGAAGTCGAAAGCTCTTGATTCGGCATTCTTCGACACCATGGCTTCGTCCAAGCCGACCATCGTGGGCAGGACAGGGTTGCCGACCGCCGCGATTCAGGGCAGGATCGCCAACGACGGCTCGGTGATCAAGATCGGCAGTGGGCAGCAGGGTCAGGCGGGAAGTAAGAAGCATAACAAGGCGAACAAGCGCAAGAAGCAGCGCTCCGGGGCCGGGTTCGACTGATGTACGCTCAGCAATTGCATTCGCTTCACCTCGTTGACCTGGCCGTTTGTGAAATGCGTGTGTATTGAGATGCTGATATGAATCAATGCTATGTGAGACCACGGCCCGTGTATCTGGTCGGGATGGGATTAGAACCCTCTACTTTCCAAGAAGGCCCTCACCTCATCCACCCGATTCCCTCGGATCTTGATCTTCCCGCTCCCCACAACCTTGCCGGTCTGAACGGGATCCAGATAGCTCGGGTTGCCCGTCCTCGCCAACATCTTCCGTCCTGGCTTGACGCGGAGCGGCTTCTTATTCACCTCCTGTCCGAACATGTCTGCCTCTGCATCGGCGTAGGATTCTGCGAGGAAGAGGGAGAGGTCGGTCTTGAGGTCCGAGATGGAGCCTTGGATCTTGCGGACTTCGGTCATGGTGCGCGTGCCACCGTTGCGTACATCGGTGTAGACGGGGAGAGAGGAGAGCGTCTTACCGACGCGCGGGACGAAGTAGCTGTATTGTACGGGGGTCGGACCTGCTTCCGATTCGACGTCAGATGATGGGGTACCGAGTGGTGTAGCGACGGTTGAGTTGGAGCGCGAGGGTGAAGGGAGTTTACTGCTCGATGCGACTGCTGCGGAGGTTGAGGCGAATGAAGATGGTTGGTGCAGCGCCGTGCGCAGTGTGTTGCGTGCGATTGATGCCATGGTTGCTAACGCCTGTGAGGGTGCTGATTCGCTAGCGACAGATGTGGTCGATGATGATGACGAAGAAGATCAAGGTATACAACTTTTCTTCTCAACCTCAAAAAAGTCCACTCCGGGTCCGCCTAATTTTTCGACCCCTTTCCGTCTGTTGTCAATGAACTCTAACATCTGTCTAGAATCCGTCGGATGCGGAGAAGAAGGTTATTGGCCGACGTGGCGCCCGTTCCACCACGGCCTCCCTCCCTCATCGCAGGAAGATCTCGACGCACCCCCTTCCCTTCGTCACCCACCACATCAACAACGATACCATCACAGGTGGTCAGGACGCTGCAATCATGTCGGACACGATCAAGGAATTCGTCGATATCCCGCAGAACTTCTTCCGCGAAGGGACGCACTTTGTCAACCGATGCACCAAGCCTAACCGCAAAGGTGAGCAACCACCAACCCCGGCTTCGCCTCCCTTCTCTACGCAGGGAGGGGAAAGGCATGGGCAGTCGAGGATGAAGAGAGATGCGAGCGGGACCTGTGCTGACTTCCTCAAGTTCTCGCTGGGTCGACAACAGAATACATTCAGATCTGCAGAGCGGTAGGCCTCGGATTCGTCGTCATGGGGTTCATTGGGTACTTTGTCAAGCTCGTACGTACACACCTTGATTCTCACATGGCAGCATTCCCATCGCATTCGTACGGCCCGACCAGTTGGAATGCTTCGAACGGCAACCGAGTCGAACGAAGGCTTGTCGCAGCCGTGTCGAGAGAATGACAAGCATGGAGTGGGAGGAAGTTGCTAACACGCCCACCTTGATCTTGACTCGCTGTTGGCACAGATTCACATTCCAATCCACTCGATCGTACGTTGTGCATCCTCTACCGAACAGACGACATGGTCGACCATGTCGCTGCGCCGAACTGCCCTGCTGACTTTGTCCCTCCTCGCCTTCTCGTCTATCCCTACGACTTGCGATTCTGTCGTCCTTGCAGCTTGTGTAAGTCTCCTCGTCCCGTGCAGTTCCCTGTGTAGACGAAGGAGGGATCGACCGCTGACCGAACTGCTGTCTCGTTCCCTCTCGTGCATGTCACCTTTGCTTCTCGAACAACAGCGGCGGAGCCTAAAGCACACACACTCGCACGCACCGACCAAGTTACCAGGGTAGTGCTTGACAATACGATCCTTCTTCAGCAGCATCTCCCCTCGTATGTGGTTTCTACGAGCGTGTTACTAGCCGCGTGGTTCTCGCTAGCGTGCATATCAACGCGGTGCAAGTTTGATGTCGACGGAAAAGCTCGAGTGAGAGAGTGTATATGAGTGCTGGGCAGGACACGCCGGGGACACAATACAAGGTCGACTCAGGGGGGGTGTGGATAAGAGCGTCTGCGATGCATCGCGATAGCGCAGCATACCGAGCTTGAGCCTGGCGTGCCGCATGTGTCGGCCCTGCTCGCCAACGAGCCGTAGTCGAAGGTGCACATCGACATGCTGAGACCTTGTGAGTGGACACACGACCAAAGCCCGAACGCGCACGTCCACATCCTGGACCAACCCATCCCCACCACCTCCTCCCCCCACACTCACACCCTCCATCAACCTCACAATTGAACCTTCACACAACTTAGACACTGAATCACGCACGAATCACGCACGAACATGAGAGCAGAACGACCGGCCCTTTTCGAGAACCGATCATAGTATTTTTTGGGTGTGTGTGATGTGTGCAAGCGTCACCGTTAGAAACGACAACGAGAATGACTAGTGTAACATGCTATCCCATCTCACCTTTTCAGGCGCAGAATGGGAACAGCGAAATCGAGGATGCAAAGAAGAGGAGAGACGCTTATGCCTTGAGAACGTACTTGCGGTTGGCAAAGTGGATCTCGCGCTTGTGCTGACGCTCGGTGATGCGGGTGCGCTCGTGCTGTTGCGATGGTGAAGGAGAGTGAGGGAAAGAGGGTCAGCATTATGTTGAGATGACAGGAAGTGTTGCAATAGAAGAGCGGTGTGCGGAGGTCTGAGATGCGGGGCGTTGGGTGATGCCAAGATGGTAGACCTGCTTATCGACAATGGTGGGGAGTGTGTCCATGGGTTGTCTTGCAGCACAGCGTCATCGGTGCGTCCGGCAACAGCGTCCATCTCCGTGATCAGATCAAGTCTGTGGCCATGGCTTCGGCACTGGAGCTGTCCGGATGCAATGACCAATATCGACCACAACCGTTTGTACCGCTCTGCATGCGATGAGCCTGACCCAATCGATGGCGCCTCCTGCTCCGCACCTCCTCGATAGCACCGCTCTTCTTGTCGACTCGAAACATACCTGGTTGAGCTTGCGCCTGATGGCGCGGGTCTTCTTGGCGCGCAGGTCCAGGGGGATCTGGGACTTGCCCTTGTAGAACTCGCGCAGGTTGGCGCGCTGCTTCTGGTTCATCACGGTGAGAACACGGGCAATGTCCTTGCGCAGCGAGTTGATGCGCAGGATCTTGCTCGACGAACCACCAGCCACCTTCTGCACGCGAAGGTTGAGCAGCTCCGTCTTGAGCTCCTCCAGCTGCTTGGTCAGGTCCGTCTTGGACTTTGATTGCAGTTCGAATGTCTTGACAACCTGTTGGGTGGAATGCAAATGGCGGGGTGTGAGTATGTTGTTGAACGAGGATGGTGGTGATGATAGCGATGGCAAGAGGCTGCAGCAGCATGGCACGTCGAGGAGGCGGATGTAGATTCGACGACAATCGGTTGCGGGACAAGGCTGAGAGTCACAACGGACGATGACCGCAAGATTGCGCAGATGATGGTGTGATGGCCGTCGATGGCACTTGCTCCTTCTCCTGAAAGTGTGCATGGCATGCTAGGGCAAAGACCAGTGCCTTGTCTATGACATCAACCTCGGGAGGGGTTGCTTGGTGCCGGTGATGACTGCAATCTGCGGTGGCCGTGCATCACGAGACATCACTGTTGTTGATTATGTCTCTGCGCTGGCAATCGATGGTCGATGTCGTCGAAAGCAACACGCTGCGTGCAGGTCAACACATCCAGCGTCCGAGAGCATGACCATGGGTTCCGTCCTGAGACTGCTTGTACGGAGTGTCGTGGTGCTGCTGTGTGCGTGTCGGTGCATCATAATTCCTTCTTAGACGGCAACATGCTCTATCTCGCAGTGACCTAGTACCATGATCATTGATCGTCCAAGTCCGCATAGCGTCGATAAGTCACATCCTCCTGAACAACCCTGACCGTCTGCTGAACCATGCTTTGCATGTCGAACCTGCATCAAGTCGGTCGAACGCTGTGCCATGCTGTGCTATCTCTGTCGTATCTGCTGAATGTCGAACACCTACCATTTTGACGAAGTTCCGAAAAGGGTGAAGAGATGGTGAAGAGGGTCTTGAGGATGGAAAGCCGGACAGACGATGATGACGACCAAGTCGCAGACTCGCACTCAGCTGCTTGGCTGCTGGTGTGCCGGGCGGGAAATTCTGTGCCTGCAGACGGCAGTCGTGGCTTCGAGGTTTCTTCCAGGCTGTGGGCCTCACACGGATTCAAGATTTGACAGCCACCCAGGGCTCAAGGTGAAATTGGAGGCAGCAGCCAGGCAGAATGAACGAGGCGATGCCACTTCCAGGCGCAAGAGCAGTCTGAATGGTTTTCTCTGATTGAACGCGGGCCCCTCGGCCGAAGTCAAAAGTTGAGTCACGTGAATGCTAATTTTTGCCCTTGTCCGAAGAGGATGTCGTTCTAACAAATCTGACTTCTCAGCTTGGCCGGCTCGTCGCCCCTCAACGTCGCTCAGATGCTGGCGACGCTCACTGGACACAGCTATCAGACAACCGCATGATCATGATGGAACGACAGTCGATGTCATTCTGTTGCCCTGATGGCAACGTACAAATACAGCGGTAGTACCGGAACGATGCAATGATACACTAAAGTAAGAAGCCGCTGGAGGCAAGAGAGACGGATCCCGATCGAGTCGTCTGTAGACGACTCCCGGCGATGGTCCTCGTTTGCGCTCCTGATGACGATACTAATACGGCTGTGTGATTCTGGCGTGGAATCAGATGGCGACGGAGAGATCGCTGGTCTTGTATCCGATCCGGCCCATGTTGCTGCTGGCGAAGCTTTGGACGCTGCTCGACTCGGGCATGTCGCCTACTTCGCTGCCCCTCGAGCCCATCATCCCCCTCATGCCCATCGACTTGCCCATCCCTGCCTGGGCGAAAGTCGACTTGACGGGGCTCGGGAAGTGGCCCATGCGCGAGAAAGAGCCCAGGCTGGACGACATGGATCCGAGCGAACTTGAGCTATCCGAGTGAGTGAGAGACGGCTCGGCGTGTGCGACACGGCGCGATTCGAGCGCAGCACTGTTCGCGCCGACCACGGGCAAAATGCCACCGGCGCGGTAGGTGGTGGAGCGGGAACTGCGACCTTCGTCGTTGTAGCGCGAGGAGCGGTCGCCTCCCATGTGTGCAGGCACAGGGCTTCGGAGGGCGGGTGAGAACGCTCGATCGTTGCGCTTCATCGGGCTTCCATCTCCATTGAGGCTGGCGGCGAGACTCAAGGGTCGAAGCTTGAGCGACGATGGCGAAACCTCACCGCCATAGGGTGAGAGGTGGGCAGCGGCGGCCGTATCGATGGGGGCGAGGTTGCGTGCTGCCCCGCGCATCGGTCGCAGTCGCAACGGAATCGATGTCGTCGAGCCCATGGACGATGCCGAACTCGTGCTCTCCGACGGCGCGTGTCGCGACTGGTACATCGCCGTCCCATCGATGGGCGTCAGAGGCGGCGTCAACGGCCCCACCACCCGCTGCTGCGGCGGCGCGAGTATCAAATCGTTCACCTTCTTTCGCCCGTACGCCCGCTTCGGACTGTCATCCAACTCCTCCCTCTCCTCTTCCTCCTCCACCTCTTCTTCGCTCTCAAACAAGCCCAGACCCATCGTAGAGCTCTCCTCGGGGATGTTACGGAGTGATGACGTTTTGGGCATCTGCGACAGACGGTATCGCTCCGCAGCCTGACTGTCCCGTTTGGCATCCTTGGCTTGCGCCTTGGCCACGTTCTGCTGGACACTGGCCAGCAGCTTGGCCCGACGGTCGGCTGCGAGGTCGAGATCGTCCCCCATCGAGTCGGACATGCACGTGCTGTTGCTCATCATGCTGATGGTCGAGGCGGCGACGCTGATGACCGAGTCGCGGTAGTGCAGGTGCTCATCTTCGTCGTCGGCGCGGGCTCCGGCGGAGGACGTGGAGGGAGGTCGTGGAGTGACGTCGCCGTCGTTGGGGCTGGTGGGTGGCAGATCTTGGTGTAGCATGGCCGGGGCGGAGGGGACGCTGTGGACATCGGGCGACGAGGCGACGCCAAACTCGATGCGCTCAGTAGAGGAGCTGAGCGAAGCCTCACCGATCGGGATGAGCGGCGAGTAGAGCGATTCGGATGGCGTAGCTGCGCGGTCATTTGCCGGCGACGTGGCCCATTGACCGGCGTGCAGCATGGGCGATGGCGACGCGGCAGAGTAGACCGACTGAGGCGAGCCACCGAGAAGACCACCTGCGGGAGCCGCCTTCTTGAATCGAAGCGGTTTGGTGGGTTCAATCTCCTGACCGTTGAATAGGATCGCAGGGCTGCTGATCCCCAGTCCAACCTCGTCCGGTTGCGGAGACAGAAGAGGAGTGGTGCCAGGTCGCGCAGAGGACTTTTCCGGCCTGCTCGCCGTCATCTTGGGTGTCGCATCCGTAGTGGCAGCGCCATCGACGTCCTCGCCCGTTGCGAGGAGCGGGAAGGTAGCACTAATGGGACTGGGAAGGGGGCTGAAGTTGGGCGTGCTGTTCTTCGATGCGAGACCAGGCGAGCTGCTGAACGACTTGCGGGGCAGGCTCAACCTCGCCTTGAGAGTGTCCGTGAAGCCAGGCTTGGGGCTCATCGAAGGCGAAGTGCTACGCAACTTTGGGCTGAGCTGGGCAAAGATGGGGCTGTCCGCGCCGAGACCAGGCGAGAGATGTCCGCCATCCGCAGGAGGATCCGGGATGAGAGCACGGTGGTATGAGCTCATGAAGTTCATGGTGGCACCTTTGCTCGTGCTTGCGAGAGGGAGGTGGTCGCTGGACTTGGCCTTGAGGTTCGTCAGGCCGAGACAGTTGACTTCGACCGACTCGACGTTGATGCTCGGGCTCGGCATCTTGGCGGCCATGCTAGGCGATGGCGGCATGGGTGCAGCTCGCGGGTGCATCAGGTCGGGCATGACAAGCTTGGGTCGGTCGAGTGCCCCGAGCGTAGAAGCTCTCTTGCGCATCGGTCGAACCGGAACTGCACCAGCCTTGGGAGCGTCAGACTGACCCTCAAAGACAGTCGGGAAGCTAGCCTGAGGCGCCTTGTCCTCCGCAACCCTCAGCATAGAAACGGGCATAGGCGGAAGAGGAGGAATCGAAGCAGCTGGCACAATGTTGGCCTTGCCGATGCTCGAGTTTGCCTCAAGGTCGACGCTCGTCTGCGAAGAGCTGTACGACATGGCATCGCTGGAGTAGGATCGCGTCGTCATCGAGTCTGCCACGGTGGAATTGCCTGCTTCGAGGTCAATCTCTGAGCTCTTGGAAGGCCTTCGCAAGCCATTGATGATCTTGGTGAACGTGCCTTGCGATGGGCTCTTGGTAGGTCCCAGGCCGAGACTGAGCGGGCGGTAGGAGGATTCGAGGACCTCCTGCTCCTCTTCGTCGTATGGCAGGCAGGGAGACGGTGCAGAGTCGAAGGCCGCCATGTCGACGAAGATCTGACCAATCGAGCCCGTGGCGCTGTGGAACGTCTCTTTCGCGGACGACGCATTGCTTGCTGCTGTCGCGCGGCTCGCCTTGCTTTGCAAAGAGGCGTTGGAGGGCATCTTGTGCATGGGCGCGCTGGTCGGCGCAGGAGGCAGGCTCTGCGAAGGTGGCGGCGTTGGCAGATGCGATCGGACCGAAGCGGGCGATGGCAATGTGCTCAATTGCGATGCAGGACTGGCCTTCAAGCCTGGAAGTGTGGCAGTCTCTGGCTGAGCAGGCGAAAGCGCTTCGATGAGGCTCTGCATGCCAGCGCTCACCTTTGTCGACTGCGCTGGCTGTGTTGCTACTGCCGAGGTGGGAAGATCGAAAGAAAAGTCGCTTCGAAGCTGAAGAGCCTGCTCGAATGATTCGTCGTTGCCAAAGTCGATGCCGAGGTCGAGGATGGGTGTGAGGGACGGCTCGTCCGCGACATCTTGCGACTTGGCACCTTCCAGACCCCTGTTATCTTCCGACAACAGGGCTGGCTTGGACGCGCTCGTGGGCAAAACACCGAGGCTGCGAAGCAGCATGGAAGGAACTGCACTTCGGGTGAGCTTCTTCTTCTGTTCTGTCGCTTCCTTTTGGTCGTTCACCAGGGTGTCTTTAGAGGGAGAGGGTGATGGTACTCTTGGCGACTTGCCATACGCCATTGGCTTGAGCAAGATGCTGGGACCGGGCGACATGGTGAGCTCGGTGAGGCCGGGCGACTTGGGCGTCCACGGCGATCGCGGCGGCGGCAAGTCGGCATAGACGGGGGGCTGCATCCGGGGCGACAGCAGTGCCGGGTTGGGGAACTTTGGCGATACGAACGTCTTCATGGGGAAGAAGTTGTGCTGTCGCACTGACACGAGTGTCCTCTGCGAGAGCGACATCTTGGTCAAGTCATGGCGCGCGTCGTGAGCGCGATCTGGCGCGAAGTTGAGATGCGGCTCGCTGATCTCGTCTGTGGATATTGACTTTGCTTTGATGTGCTGTGCGTAGATGGCTGCGGCGGAAACGGGGCGTGACGAGGTGGTACTGAGGAGAGATCTGCGTTTGCGAGCGCGAAGGTATCGTCGAAGCGCCACGGCGACAAAGATGAGCGCGGCAAGCACAGCTGTGCACGCGGCGGCGAGGAGGGAGGTCGACAGCGTCGAGAGGCCGCTGTGACCGCCCGCAGCAGCGCCTGTGCTCGACATGGTTGCGTATCAAATGCCCGGATGAGCAAGACGCGACCGTACTGTCGAAGGAAGAAGGTCGTTGCGCGCAGACTACGCTGAAAGGCTCGCTGGACGAGGTGCCGTCGTGATCGTAATGATGATAAGGTCGAAGAATATAGTGATAGAGGCGTGATGGTAATGACAAAGACGATGATGACGACGAAGAGGAGGACGATGATGGTGAAGAAAGTGCAAAGTGATAGAACCTCAACGATTCAGATTTGGCTCACGGCTGGCATGATCGAGGCCGACAGGCCAGCAATCAAGAAAAGGCAAGAGGTCGGTACGACGAAGCTGCAATGCAGATCACTGCCGTCATGTGCTCCTCCAGCAGACAGGGAGGGCAGAGATTTGGCTCTGTGCGAGGCCAGCTCAGAGGTGGCATCGACCATAGTCTGCACGATATCCGAGCCCTTGCACCGGAAAGGCGGGTGGGGTCACTAGGCTGCAAGAGCGTCGATCTGCAAGTGAGACAGGGCTGCAGCGCGAAGAGGAGCGTGCCCTGAGCGAGAACGGTACGAGGCTGACTATCATTCTGCAGCACCGCGGAGGGAAATAGGCCAGCCACGCCAGCGGTCAAAGCGGCCATGAGGCATGCTGGTCCGAGGCATCACGCGCCGAAGGAGGGAAGCCAGTGGTTGGACCCTGAGCTCGAACAAAAGAGTGCATGCCAAGTGAATCGGACTCGACGCTGAGCAAGGCGGCCTTTCAAGGCTTGCAAGGCTCGGTATGCCATCAAGCTAGTCTTGCAGGCTCCGAATGAATCGCAGCTCGAAGCGAGAGATGCTGTCAAGGAGTGAAAAGGAGGCGAGAGTGGATTTGCGCCTCTCAGAAGGACAGGCTCGGCAGACATGACCGAGTTGCATCGTGCAGCTGTCAAACAAGTCCGAGCTGCTTTTTGGAGCGCTTAAATTTGGCGCTGAGGCGAGATGCCCGTCTGCAGGGGTTGGGAACGCAAAAAGCAGCTCAAGCCAAGACGCGACCGTGATTTTTGGAAGCGCAATTACCTACTGCTGACCAAGCCAATTTCACAGGTGATCAGATCCGAAGACCCACGCTCTGAGAAGAAAAAAGTCGACTTGCAAGCAGCTCAGTCGGTTCAACCAGCTGCGGCTACGACCACATACGTCTTCCCTTCCTCCGTCAAACACGTCAGCTCGTGGCATATTCAGCTGGCGCAATGTCGGATCTGCGGTACACGGCGGCATCGCAGCTGGAGCACCTGCACAGCAGGTACACCGGCACCATCAACGCCGACACCGAGAAGCAGTAAGTGCTCGACCATCAATACCTTCCACTTCAGGCACACTCCATACTGACTTGAACCTTCGATCTTGCTCAACAGCGAATGGATCACACATCAGCTGCGCGACACCAGCTCGTCCATCGTCGGCCATCCACCTCTGCTCGCCTACCACGCGCTCGCCGACGGAGAAAGCAAAGCTCGCGTCAAGTTTGAGCTCACCGAGAAGATGCTGCAGCCTTGCGGACCGCCTCCGCAAAAGGAGGACGATTGATCATCTTTTCCTCACCAACGATACCCGATTCCACTTTGATACCCTGACGACTCCTTCGTCAACCAGCACGGCCCTCGCTGCGAACGTATACCCTTTGTTCATCGCACACCACGGACCATTTCGCAAACAACGACATGATCGCATCCCGCGTGACCCGTGTGCACGACTGTGCCTTTCTCATTTCCCCACATCCCTCCCCCTCTCGCCTGTGCTGAACCCACGGTCCTGGCTTATAGAGTCACCCGCTGCCTTTTCCAATGGGCTGTTCGGGCGCTCGCTGGGACCAAGATCAACCCCCTCGAATCCATTTCTGCAGATCAAGATCGCTGACAAGCACCCTTGTTTGCAAATCTAGATACCGAGCCTGCTGCTTCCTGCATAACTTGAACCTGGCGGCGCTTTCCATCTCGCTGTGATTCTTCATAGCGGCCGGACGTCGAAGGGAGGCGGTAGTAGGGACATTTCATCCATAAATCGACATCTTGTTATCGGCGAGAGCAATGCAAACGATGTCGACGCTTTCCATTCCTGGCTGTTGAGCATGTGGTCCGTCTGATGAAGATGAAGATGGAATCTGGTGGGTGGGGTGCATTGGGCGGGGTCTGGTGAACGAGAGCAAAAAAGAACTGCAACACCTAGGATTCCCGCGTGGTCCCCCACCGCAGTACTGACTAGGCGATACCTTGCTTAACTTCGCAGATCGGACGGGATGCGGTGCTTTCAAGGTTCTATGGCCGCAGATATCCATCTACATCTCTTCTCCCTACATATACCTTACATTCAATCGTGTGAGTGCTATTTCGAGGCTCAAACGTGCTAGCCGAGACAGAGCTTTGTGCGACGTCAGCTGAGATTTTGCAGATCCTTTCGGCACTCTTCGGCATGCCTTCTATCGCCGCCTGAAAGCTCTATTTGGCTGACCGTCGCGTTGGATCAGCCCACTTTTTGCGTAATACTCGTGCTCCACTTCCCATAGAAAAGGCCGGTTTGTGCACAGAAACATTCCGCGGCAATGCACTTTGCAAGATCGTCCTCCCGGCGGTGATTGGAGATGTCGGTGACGGGCTCGAGCTCCGTCCATCACCACCACCATCTGACGATACCCTACACGATGCCATAGACATCCATCACCCAACGATAGACCGCTACTTCTGACATACACGCTCTCAGATCATGCCGTCAATATGGCCCTTCGCCGGGCTATCCACCTCCGCCGCCGAAGCTTCAACCTCTAGCTCCTCTTCCTCCTCTTCCGACACCCGCGCACCACCAATACCACCGCTAATCATCGTCGAAGGGTTCCTCTCCGCCGCTCAATCCGTCGTATGGGGTAACGAGTTCCGTCTCTACCTCGGCGTAGGCCACCAACAACTGATCGACCATACTTCCCCCAACCCTTCACCCGCCTCGCGTCGTTCTTCCATCGGTTCATCCCGCTCTGTCGTCTTTGCGCCCATCGGCCCCGTGAGCAGTCTGCACGATCGAGCGTGCGAACTCTTCTACGCCCTTCGAGGCGGCACGGTCGATTACGGTGCTGAGCACGCGCGCGAACACGGTCATGCGCGGTTCGGTCGTCATTATGATCGACCACTCTGCCCAAGTTGGGGAACCACACCGGCGCATTTCTTAGGTCACAGCTTGGGTGGACCAACGATCCTCAAGTTGCAACAGCTGTTGCGAGAAGGGTTCTTCGATCACGCCCTGTCCTACCACACCCACGGAGAAGGAAAGGAGGGAGAAGAAGGCCAAGGATGGACACCCGAAGACCTGATTCTGAGCATCACCTCCGTCTCCTCCCCTTTCCGGGGCACGCCTCTCGTCTACAGTCTCGGCAGCGAACCGTTGCCCTATCCAAAAGTACGGATGTTCAGCTTTGGCGATTTGTTGAGCAAACTCGTGCATGTAGCGGCGTACATCGATGTGCCGGGGTTCGATGCGCATGCTGATGCGTGGCATTTCTCTGCTCGGCGGCGCAAGGCTGTTCGAACGCAGGTAGCTGGCCACACCACCGCAATTTCCCATGGCGACACCAAGCAGGGTGCTGGCAGGCAGGAGCACGAGCAGGACGAAAAGTCAGCAGGGGTCGGGGAGCTGCTGCGTCAGTTATGGCGGTCGGACTGGGCAGGTGGTCGAGACTGTGCTCCGTGGGAATGCACCTTTGCCCAACGCGAACTTGATTCCCCCGAGACCTGGTCACTCTCTTCGAACCCTCGATCACGCCGCGGTAAAACATGGTATCGCTCCTATTCAGGCGGGATGACCCTTCCCGATGCGCAGGGTCATCATCGACCCGAGAGCTTCTGGTCCTTGTCGCCTTTGACGTACACCAGTTGGCTCATTGGTCGCTTCGACTATACGAAGTTGGACCCCAGACCGGGTTTTCTGAAGGGCAAAGTGCGGGAGGAGTGGTGGAAGAACGATGGAGTTGTGCCGTTGGCGAGCCAGTGGCATCCCTTCGAATGCGCGGAAGAGACGTGTAAGCATTTTAGCGGGATGCCGGCGAGTTTGCCTGCGGGCAAGAGGCGTAGGAGGATGGAATCGACGGATTCCAAGTCAAGACCATCACTGTCCCCGGTGATCTCTTCACGCTCGTCCACGTCGGAGTGCGAGACGCTGGTCGATGTGGACGGCGCGCTCCCACCCTCGGGTACAAGGGTTGAGAAGACACTGCTCAAAGATGCTTCCGTCGATGCAACCGACGGTCTGCCGCTACCAGCAACCTCCAACATCTCGACGAACCGCAACATGCTCTCCACCGCGCGATCCGCAGCCAAGATCGCCTATCTCACCTCTCTCCGCGCGTTCCACCCTGATCACCAGCCGCTGACCACGCCTTCCGAGGAAGAGCTCTCCTCCTTCCTCCCCCCCTCCCCTCCGTCCCCGAAAGGAGACGAGGAGCTGTGGAATCCGCGCGACAACAAGTGGTACACGTTCGAAATCGACAATCTCGACCACACGAGTCTGTGTCCCTTTTGGACGGGCAGCGAGGTGCAGAAGCAGTTTTGGACCGGGATTGGGTTCTTCCTCGCTAGTGTGGATAGGTTGAGCGGATACCCGGTCGAGATGCGACTAGACGAACCCGCGACAGGCATGTGAAGGGGAGAAGGAGGAGTGATGCACAGTATACCTTGCTAGATTCGCAAAATAGATGCTAGATCTCCAACGGTGTGTTGCGTGCGTGTGCCATCTGGGAGCCGTGTAATGCGTTTCTGTGACGTAAGGAGGAACGTGGGAGGACATCGTTGACCAGGTGTCATCGGAGCTGTGATGAGAGGGTGCTAATGACGAAGTGGATGGCGAAAAAGCGTGCATAGACTGGCCACAAACGCTGATGCTGTGCAACATGCGATGCGAGTCGATGCCATCATCTAGGGTGCGCAGCCATGGAGCGTTGTCATTTTGGCCTGAACCGCGACCGCAGCGCCAGGGTGCGAAGGCTCGAGACGACTGCGGTTTGGAACGCGCCAAGGTGCGATGCGAGTCGACAAGTGGGCTTGGCAGATCGCACCTGCTGCCCCATGGCAAGAACACGAGACTGCCCCCAGTCTGGCCAAGAACCCCGCGTTCTGTGTCGAGCCGTCAGCGGCGACTCGGACCGGACAAGGTCGCAGGACGCCGCCGAGTCCAGTGGCTTCACTGCCGAAGCATATCGTGCGCGCCGCTCTTGACCCGACGCTAGCAAGCAAGCAACTCCGCCACACGCACACATCAACACCAAGAGCATGTGTGAAATCTGAGCAGGAATCCATTTCGTATCTAAACACCGTTACATCTAACAAGGGGAAAGGGGGTCGTATACATATATCATCGGGTCATCTAAGGGCATCGCAAAGTTAGGCAAGACCAAGCGAGCCAGCGGGGGCGGGGGGAGCGCCGACCTCCCTCTCGTTCTTGACCATGTTGGGGCTGAGATCCATCCTGGGGGTTTGGAACCTTCGCTCGTCAGCCAGTGCCTGGACGGCCATGTAGGGGCTTCGCTGGGCCATCTGTGGACCCTGTTGGGAGGGGACTTTGACGTTGATGGGTGCGAGGTTGTTGTAGTAACCCGCACCCTGTTGTTGGGGCTGTTCGTAGCCGGAGCGACCACGAGTGGGGGCTTTAGGCATCTTGAGTGGGAAGGGACGGGCGTCTTGTTGGGTCAAAAACGTCCCGCTTGCCGTGGGCACGGTGGGTTGGGGAGGGGTGAAGCCGATTCGGTTTCCATTGGGCGAGAGGAGCGGCTGGTCACCGGGTCCGTTGAGGGGTGTACGGGGTGACATGGTGGACGAACTCGCACCCGCGGACGAGAGCGTCGCCAGAGAGCTATCCGAGTGCAGTCGGTGGTGGGCGATCGACGTCGGCGCCGACGAGGCCGAGAGGAAGCTCGCGTTCGACGTCGAAGAGTGCAGCGGCGGGCTGATGAGGGACGACGTAGAGCCGTTGTTGCTCAGCCCACCGACACGACCGTTGGAGTAGACACCGCCGAGGTAGCTTCCGTTCGACTGCATACTGGGCAGCTGCGAGTTGGACGACTGCGGCGTGCCCGAAGGGAATCGACCGACGGGGCTCAGCATCGACCCGGGTTGCGCGACGGGAGCGGAGGAGCTGCGATCGTACGCGTGGTGAGCCGCATCCCCTTCGTAGCCGTAGTACGAGGGCTGGTTGCCCATCTGGCCGTAGCGAGCGCGCAGTCCCTCGCGGTCGTCCATGTTGGGACTGGTGGCGCTGGGCTGCCAGCCGTTGCCGGGCATTTGGAGCGACATGGGCGGACGCGGTTGCAGGACCTGCGTGCCGAAGGCCGGGCTGGAGAAGCTGGACTCTCCACCGGGCGTGCTGCCGAGCATGCCGTCGCTGCGGCTCGATGGAGAGATGTGACCGTCGCGTCCGTACGACGACATGGGACCGGAGACCGAAAGAGATGGGTTGGTGGGCTGCGAGCCCGTGGTAGCCCTGCGCTTGTAAGGACCACGCTTGATGCCACGACGCCTCTCCTTGCGGGCACTGTCCTGGCACGTGTCGACCAGACCGTACTTGACGCAACGACCGCAGGGTCGCCCCTCGTCGCACTTCTTGCAGGCCTTCTGGCAGTTGATGCAGGCGTTCTTGACCTGCTTGCGCTTGGGTCGGAGGCCACCGCCGCCCTGAAGGGCAGCGTAGCCGTGCTGGTGGGCCATAAGGTCCGGGTGGTGACCTTGGAATTGGCCGTTGGCCATCATGTCCGGGTGGTTCATCTGGTGAGCGGCGTAGAGCTGACCATTGGGGTCCATCTGGGGCGAGGAAGTGTGGTGCGAGTAGTAGCCAGCGTGCTGCTGCTGCTGTTGCTGTTGCTGATGCTGCTGGGAAGCGACATCGTTAGGGTGCTGCTGAGCAGGGTGACCGTAGAAGCCCTGGTTGGGGTAGCCAAAGTTGGAGGCGCCGTACTGGTTCATCTGCTGCTGCTGTTGCTGCTGCTGTTGTTGTTGTTGTTGCTGCTGCTGTTGGTGACCAGCGTAGGAAGGCGGTGGGACGGGGGAAGACGAGTCCTGGCCTTGGTTGAGGTGATGCGGGTGCATGGGAGGAGCCATGCCGTACGACATGGTGTGAGTAGGAGCGCCTGGGCGACCAGACATCTGATGGTAGGTGGGCTGAGTTGACGAGCTGGCTCGGCTATGAGGGCGACGAGGATCTGCAGCGAGAGAGATGCAGAAGACAGAGTAGATTTACGCGTCGCAAGCCAGTCGGTGCTAGTGAAAGCTTTGATGGATGTAGGATGCGATGGTTTCGGATGATGGTGGTGACGACAAAGGATGGTGACGAGGATGGGAGGATGGTGTTTAGGGACGGGCGGAGAAGCGGGAGTCGGTCAGAGTGGAGAGAGAGCGGAGTGGACAAAGGTAATAAGGGATGGGGTGGGATCTATAAGGGCAGAGTGAACGGAGTTCGAGTTGCAAGAAAGGGAGCAAAGGGCAGATTACGAGAGAGCGAAGAGGGAAAGATGCAAACGAGGAACGAGGAACAAGCAGAAGAGGAGCAGCGGAGAACCAAACCAAGGACGAGGACGAGTCGAAGACCCAGGTTGAGTAGGTCGGCACGAGTTTTGGCAGGAGCGGAGACGGAACTTTGACATAGGCAGACCAGGGAGGGCAGCAGCCAGAAATCGAGAGAGTGGAAGGGCATCAACAATGGAGAGGGCAGCTGTGGTCTGGATGGTCCAAAGGGAGAAGGGAGCGGGGAACGATGCTCGAGAGCGAGAGCGAGAGAGGGCAAGCGCAGTGGATCAGCGAGATGCGCACGAGGGCGGGCAAGGAACAAAGACCCAACACCGAAGACAATGATCAGAAGCGACAACAGCAGCACCAGAAAGGACACCTCCAGCAGTACAGCGCAATCACGAGTGATACGGACAAGCTGCATCCAAGGGAAACTCTTGAAGAGAACAAAGAGAGAGAGCGCAGCAGCTGCAATTATGCAGCAGTTCGAACGCGAACGCGGGCAGCAGAAGTAGGCGCAAAGCGTGGCATCGTATTCCCACCAGCAGCCAAGCAGCACGGGCAAGCAAGCAACAAGATGCGGAGAGCCGGACTCCTCCTGTTGCTCTTGCAGCCACGAGTTCACATCCACCACGGACGGGCAACAGACTCTTCTGTCTCCACCGAGCGGGACCGCTTCGAACAAAAACAAGGGTGCACCTCGGCAGTGTCAACTTTTCCAAATTGAGTTTTCGAATTGATTCATCCTGTCTCGCAGGCCAGATCAGGAACATGACCGGTGTACTCACTGGCCCTCAGGCACTCGAAACAACGCGCTGAAAAAGGCAGGATCCGCGCTCTGCTCGCTCTCAGATTGGGAGCGCGTTTGTGAGCGTTTGTGACTGCGCAGCAGTGACTCTTGTGCAGTCGGCGTATTGGAGAAGCACTCTCGAAGCATGGCGAGACGATGACCAAATTGAGACGGGCGCATCCGGAGGCAGAGACAACGAACCGAATCGCGACGACGAGCAGCGACTCTCAAAGCAGAGTAGAAACAGGAGACTGACTCGAGCATTTGGGGTGCGCGAGCAGTCTACTTACAGCACCAAAAGAGGGGTGGGAATGAGACAGCGACTCTGCCACATGGCGATTTTGAGAAGAGGAGGCACTGGTCGAGCCTTTGCGAATATTCACATACAAGCCTGTCCGCTGCGAGGATGTGCAGTAGCCGGGTCTCAATGCAGACAATAGACCAACCATAGAAGGGCGGAGGCTCAGTACCGTTGGTGAGAACGATGCAAGCGAGGCGACTAGCGCAGGCGAGGTGAGTCGAAGCCAGCAAAGAAAAGCTTCGAGAAAAAAAAGGAGCTAAACAAATTAGGCCCTTGAGAGTGGTGACCCGCATTCACCTCAAACGATCCAGGAACCGTCCACTCTCTCGCTGTTGATGAGGCCTCGGTGTAAAGATGATTCTGTATTGATCTAACTATTCCCGGCGTTGTAGCGCAAAGCTTTTAAACGAAAGGCGAATGAGACGAGGCCGATCCGTCCAAGACGCCCACAGGAGCCCATGTGACGGGGCGCGATGGGTCTCATGTACCAGGCTGTATGACGCTAAGACGGGAAGACGATGGTTGCTCAATCGATTTCGTGGCTCAATTGTGCGAGAGATGGTGTGGTCTTGAAAGGGTTCGAAACCGCAACGTAAAAGGCTGGACCAAATTGATACAGTACAAAGCGACTCGTGGCGTGATATTTTTTCTCATGCAAACTCCTTTTTAGGCTCTTTGTTTTTCTGAATGTGGCTTGCGGAGCCTGGCCCTTTCCCTTCGCAGGCGAGATCAACAACACACAGCGCAAAAAAGCAGGGTTCAAGAGACGCGGGAGTGGAAATTCGTCCTCGTGCATATCAGGCATCAGATCAGTGTGACTAAATGAGTTGAGCTGTCAAATCATTTCGAAAAAGCGGGCGGGCCAGGTCCCAAACCTCGAATCCCGAGGCGCGGCCGGCGAACCAAACGCTGGCCCGCATTGTTGCGGTCTGCCTCACCTCGCCTCGCCTCGCCTGCCGTTGGTTGAGTGAGGCTTGTGATGGTGGCATGATACCATGGTATCTGCTCTCCAGCTCTCAACTCCGTCGAGACAATGATAGCTAGCACGCGAGACTATCAAGGGCCGAGCTCGAACGGAGTCGTGTACCGAGCCAGCGGCAGACAAAGTGTACCGTCCAGAGGAGGCCTTTCGAGCTCGACAAGAGGTGGCTCAGAGGAGTGATCCACCGCTGTTCGTATCGAGGACAACTCATCGACGTATTGAGCCTTCCAGGCCACTGCCAGTCTGTAGCTGTTCACGGCCAACGAGAAACCCGACATGTTTGCTACGACTGTCGTACCGCGCGAGTCTGTCAGAGAGTAAGGCTGTTGTGAGTGTCGAGGGAGGACCCAGGATTTACAACGCGCAATGCACCGAAAGTGGTGCGAATGCGACCCAAGGTGAGGGCAGAAAGGGAGAGAAGAACCAAGATCGCTTCATCTGCCCGCTCGTCCGCGTCGAGCCCCTTGGTCGATCGAGGAGCGTGATCGTGGTGCCGCTTCCCTTTGAGTTGACCCGATCAACTTCGACGTACAACAACACTTTCTGCCTGGATTTGGGCGAGACGCTGGTGTGAAATCCGTCGGCCTTGCTCACGCTTCTTAAGGTCCTCGATCGATCACCGCGTGATTTGGCTGTTACTCCCGCGGCGCCATTCATCACGGCAGACGCGTGAGATCATTCCTCTCTGAGTACGTTGATCCTTGTACCGAGAACACCGAGTCGAACGAGTGTTTTCCGGGACCGTCTTACCACACGGCGGACTTTGAAGGGCAAATGGCCTGAAGCGGATGGAAGGATTGCCAACGTGGCCAAATTTAGCAGCAGCAGACGCTGTATGCGGTGCTCGAACTAGGTTGTGTGGGGTTCCAGTGAGTGAAGATCCCCCATCCGCCTGCTTCCCGCTTCGGTTGGGCAAGAGACACATGGGAACAGAGTGCGACTCCGCAACCTCGCTTCGGTATCTAGGGTTCCAGCGAGTCTTTGCCATGTGCGGCAACTCCGATTGGGGGGTTTTTGCCTTTTCGCGGCGTGCCTGCGTCGAGTTGTCTGAGCCAAAGAGACGCATCTGTCGCATGCCATCATCTAGCTGCTTCTCACCGAGGTTCAAAAGAAAACAGAGGTGAAGGGAGCTGTCTCGGTCTGCAGCGATCGTGAAGGGACATAGGGCCAGACCCGGGAGAAAGAGACAAGGCAAGACCGGGCGCGATTCATCGGCGTTATGGCAGGCCGAGCAGTGAAAGGTCGTTTGCATCATCCACCCATTTGTACGCAAAGTCGAACATGACAGCATCAATAGGCTGCGACGATAGGACGGCGGGCTCAGCGATGACAGTTGAGACAGCGGGAGAGTCGGTTCATCCGTGATTCCGCATCAGTGCCATTCGCACTCAGAAGAAACAGATCGCATCCACCGACAACATCCCGTTTGCGACAGAGGACTGCGCTGCGAAAGATAGCATCCCAATCGATGTGACGGATGAAAGGGGAAAGGGAAGCGGAGGCGGACGGTCCGCTACGCTGCTTTGTTCTGTCCTGTCCTTCCGTCGGTCACGATCCACGTCTGCATGCATGGATCGAAATTGGGGCCAAGGTCTGTGTGAAAATTGGACTGGAGAGACCTGGATATGCCTCTCGTGTCCCTCCGGCTCTGCCTCTGTATGCGGACGCCACCATCTGCGTTGTATCGGTGCGAGACCGACCAGAGTGCTATTCACAGCGGGTTTTTCCGACCCGCTTGTCTGTCAGCACAGCCGCCCCAAGGGCAATCAATCACAACAACACGGCGCACCTTTTGGATTTCAAAGACAGGCGTGTTGACTCCGTCGCCAACCCAGCGATATGCCGCTCTCACTTTGGCCTGTCCAAACAGAAAGACAAGGCGCTTGCTCGGTGCGTGAGGCATGTTTGCATGAACCATGTCGTCTGACTTTCATCACGATGGCTTCGATTCCGATTTCGAGCTCCTTTTCCCTTGTCTTGTACCGTTCTCACTTTGTAACCCGTGCCAGTCGGCGGTGAGTTCAGCACGACAAGCTTCGAACCGTGTCTAAGCTACTTTGGTAGAACCTGTTGGTGAGACTCCCATCCTAGTGGATAAAGTGCGGGAGCCAGGATTGCATCCACGAGAGACATTCGTCGATCTTTCCCATACCACAGAAGGCGCAGCAGACACCTCTGCGCGCTCAGAAACACATCGGTCTCACCCGCTCTCAAAGTGCGACACGGTACCTGGCTGGCTCACTCGCTGGTTGCGGAGATGAATCTTTCCTCTTTCTCGGCTAGATGCGAAAAGCATCTGCCACGAGGCAGACCAGCACTCCGCTGTTTGCTTTGCTCGCCTCCAAAGACGGGATCTTCGTGCAGTTTGCGCGTCGGAGTCAGGCCTTTGACAGCTTTGCATCCCGTTGCGGTGGGCCAAGAAAGCGCTCCCACCTCCGTTCCGCTTTCATCCTTACAAGGCTGTGGGCTGCTGAAGAGGGGAGCGGATCTGCAGCTCGTTCCTGACATTTGGCGAACACCAACTCAGATGTCCCAGTTTGCTAAACCGCATTCAAATGGCGTTTGCTACTGTGAGGCTTCTTTTGCGGAAGCGCAATCGCAGCCAGGCATGAAGGACGCACCCAGCACATCTCGATGCCTGCCAACGAGTTGCAATCATGACATCCGCCACAAAGCTGGCCTCATCGAGTCTGATGATGAATGGGGGCTGTGGTCATGTCAATCGATGACAATAGAGTACACATGATAATGCTGGCCATCAGTTGAAATCCACACCGGCAAGCTCGTCGACCGTCTTCTTGCGGTGACTCTTGGACTTCCTCTTGGACCCTCCTGCTTTCGATGGCGAGGGGGAAGCCTCCACACCTCCCATCGACGCATCGCCGTCCAAGTCGAGCGGCGTGAATCGGTCCGAAGCTGCCTCGCTGACCCGGGCACGTTTCGACGGGCCGCTGCGTCTCTTGGCCTGAGGCTGCGGCGTCGTTTCTGCCGTGTCGGTATCGCCCTTGCTGGGCGGACGCGCGCCGAAAAAGTCGTCCTCGTCGTCCTCCAACGCCCAAGCCGATCCTGCGGGGGCTGGCGATTGCGCAGCAGCCGCAGCACGATCCTTGTTCAGTCGACGCTTGGCGTGCGAAGCGCGAGCCAGATCCGCTTTGTCCTGAGCCGTCTGAGCCTCCTCGGCCTGCTTCTTTCGCAGCATCGACTCGGCTAGCTCGTCGTCGTCCAGCAGCAGCGAGACAATCTCTTGCGGCTTGGCCATGCCTGTCTCGCTGTACGCCTTGGTGCCCACCACAATGTCTTGCACCTCCTTCTTGTTTCGCGCAAGTCGCACAATGCGCTCGTCGATCGTGCCCTTGGTGATCAGTCGATAGACCGTCACCTGCTTGGTCTGACCTAGACGATGCGCTCGGTCCATGGCCTGCGAGTCGTTCGAAGGGTTCCAATCGTGGTCGTAGAAGATGACCGTGTCGGCGGCCGTCAGGTTGATACCCAGACCACCCGCCCTCGTGGAGAGCAAGAAGATGAACAGCTCCGGCTTGGTCTGCCAGTCGGTCACCATGTCTCGTCGATCCGAAATCTTGGACGCACCGTCCAGGCGCAGGTACTTGTACTGTCGGTAGATCAAGTATTCCTCCATCAGATCGATCATCCTCGTCATCTGGAAGTAGATCAGAACACGATGTCCCTCCGCCTTGAGCTGCCTCAGCAGCGAGTCTAGCTTGGCCATCTTGCTCGAATCGACAATGAGCTTGTTCATCTGCGGCACCTGCATGCCGTTGTACGGCAGTTGATCGATCGACGACTCGCGCACGACACCCTGTGGCGGCACGTCTGGCAACTCGCGCTGCATCTCTTCGACGCGCTGGACCGATTCGCGACCTTCCGGCGAAAGACCGAAGAGGGTCGCCGAGATCTGCGGGTCACGAGTGAAGCGTTCCTGTGCTTGCATGAAGGGCCCGTCGTTGCTGTACAGCTTGATAGGAGGCGCGACGGCGGGTGCGACGACTGCCCTCGCTGAGTCCTTGGCCAGGTACGAGTGGCGGCGGTAGTCGGCTGCCACTTCCTCCAACGGCATCAGAAGCGAAGGTGCACGTCCCGAAGTGCTGGGTGTCGGTCGAAGCATCTTGGCGATAGGACGGATCGACGCGGCAGCGAAACTGTCATCGCTGGCAAAGTTCTCGATCGAGCGCCAGCGACGCTCTTCAGCCGCAGCCGCCAGGATGCGCTTGATGCCCGTGCTGTGGAAAGTCTTCTCGGCATCCGACGCGGTGACGCCGATCAAGGGCAAGGACGCGAAGGGCGACTGCTTGTGCTGCAGCGATTCGTGGATGTGAGGCGCGCGCCAGATGTTGAACAAGTGCTGCAGGTAGCCCGTGTCGAATCCTTTGCGGCTGCCGTGACCGGGAATGTCAAAGATGCCGCCCTCTCTCACCAGCAGCTTGGGCACCTGCAACTCAATAAGCGATGTGGTCGAGTCGGGGAGGTTGAGGAAGTCGCCCTCGCGCGCCAGTGAGCCCGATCGAGCAAAGTCGGCCAGAGCGAACGGCGCTCGGACATCGGCTCGCTCGAACAGTTCCGGGTGATTACAGACCTTGCGGAATTGCATGACGAGGTTCATGAGACTCTTGAGACCAGCTTCGTCGTTCGACGTCGCCCTGTCCATGAGCTCGGCGACCGAGATGTTGGCGCGAAGACCGCGGTACAGCATCTTTTGGCGAGCACTGAGATCGCAGAAGACGTCAATCTCAATCTTGTCGCCCAGCTCGTTCTGCACGTTCTTCTTGATGCGGCGAAGCATGAACGGCTTGAGAATCATGTGGAGGCGTCGGAGCTGGTGCTCGTTGAGCGTTCCTTTCTGCTCGGTGGCACTCTCGATGTCCTTGGAGAACCATTCGCTGAACTCGTCGTGCGAATCGAAAAGCGAAGGCATGATAAAGTGGAGCAGCGCCCACAGCTCCTGCATCGAGTTTTGCACGGGCGTACCGGTCAGAAGCAGGCGGTTCCGGCAGTTGAAGCCCAAGAGCGTCTTCCAGCGGATACTGCTCGACGACTTGATGGCCTGAGCCTCGTCGAGAATCATGTACTGCCACTTGACGCGCTGGAAGTACTTTTCGTCCGACACGACGAGCTGATAGCTGGTGACGAGGACGTGGAAGGGCGCATCGCGGTTGTACGAGATCTGCTTGCGGTTCCAGAACTTTCGCAGTACGGCACGATCCTTGACGTTGCCCCAGTACGGAAGCGCCTTGAGCGTGGGCACAAACTTGCTGATCTCTTGCTGCCAGTTGTGCAGCGTCGAAGCAGGCGCAATGACGAGGAAGGGACCCCAGATGTCGTGTACTTCAGCCAGGTAGGCCATGAGCGAGATGGACTGCACCGTCTTGCCGAGACCCATTTCGTCGGCGAGGATACCGTTGATGCCTTGCTCGTACAGGTTGGCGAGCCAGTTGAGACCTTTGAGCTGGTACTCTTTGAGCTGGCAGGTGAGCATCTTGGGCTGCTTGACATCCGTCTGACCCATCGAAGTCGGATTGTTGAAGTTCATGTCATCCGAGTCGAACGCCTTGCCCAGATCCTTCTCTTCGATCTGCTTGCCCGGACCTGCGTCCAGACCGTCGCGCATTCGCGCAGCAGCTTCGTTGCGCTTGCGCTCCTCGGCAGCAGCGACGTCGAAAGCTTGTGCCTTCTCTTTGGCGAGTCGCACCGCCTCCTGCGCGTTGCGAGCGGCGTGGGCACGAAGGTTGCTCTCGTCTTCGTCGTCAAAATCGATGTCGTCGAGTTCGGCAAGCCGGGCTTCGGCATCGGCGACCTCGCTGTGTGGGTTGATGGGAGGAACCGTGGCGTCGGACGGCTGTGCGTTGGGATCGATGATCTTGCTGCTGCCAGCTGTCTCTTCGGACTCTTCGGCTTCGGCCGTCTTGAGCTTGCTGCCGATGAAATGACTGTAGAGCTCGGTCTGCGAGATGAGGAAATTGAGCTTGCGTGCCTGGCGCTTGGCCTCGCGCATCTCCTCCTCCTTCTTGGCCTTCTCGAGGGCCTCCCTCTCCGCCTTCTTGCGCAGCTCGCGCTCTTCCTTCTCGTTCCTCTTCCAGAAGACGAGCACTTCGCGCATCACCTTGCGCGCGCGCAGCTGGACGTCTTTGACGGTCTTGTTGTTTCGCGCGGCACCTCGCTTGGCCTCTCGTTGAACGACGCTGGAGAGCCTGCGCCAGTACATGGTCTTGCTGGAAGCGCTCTGAAGCACAGTGCGGTACACCTTGGGCACGTCGCGCTTGGCAATGGTGGTCCAGATGCGTCGATGGGCATCCTCGAGCTGCTGAGCACGGCGAGCATCGATGGGCACTTTGCCAGCAGCGTCCAAGTCGAGAGCGAAGCTGGCGTCGTCTGGCGTCGGTGAAGCTTGACGAGATGCGAATGCGGAGTCGTCGCCGTCAAAGTGTCCGCCAAATTCGTCCATCTCTGAGCCTGGTGCGGGCGAAGAAGCAGCCCCATCGAGACGGCGCTTCTTGCTGCGAGGGTCTCCAAACCTGCCCTTGCTGCGCTTGAGCTTGATGATGGACTTGGAGCCGTTGGCACGGGCAGCCATGTCCGCTAGCGCAACGTCGTCACTGTCGTCGTCTTCGTCGTCGCTCAGCGTGCCGAGCAGCTCGAGATCGATCTCGTGATCACGCTGCAGACGAACGTGGTCTTGTCGACGCTCCATGTCTCTCTGCGAGGCTTCCTGCTGCTCTCGAAGGCGAACCTGTCGGATCACAGCAAAGTGACGGCCCTCATAGGCAAGTGCGAGACGTCGTTCAACCTCGACGTGCTTCTCATGCAGCGTGGCAGCAAAGGCGTCCTCGATGAGGCGCTGACGCTCGCTCATGTCGAACATGTAGTCGTCCAGCTCCGTCTGCCATACCGGGCGGTTTTCCTCGTTGGAGAGATCACTCTCCCAGCCATCCGGATCGCGATTCTTCTTTGCCGGCGGAGGAGGCGCGACGAAGCTGGCGTTGCTCTTGGATGCTGGCAGCGGATTGTTGCGGAGTTTGAGCTGCGTCTTGGCGGGAGCTGGTTTGGCTGTGGAGGAGCCGAGGTCTACCTTGCCGTTGCGGGCAGCTGGATCGTCCTGACCTGCAACACCCGCCGCTTGCGCCTGGGCCTGTTCAACGTCGTCCGTGAAGTCGCCCTTCGACGCCGATGCAGACGCAGCCATGTGCAGTGGAGCGGATGCAATCTCCTCGCGCTTGACACGAATCGATGACGCAGGAGCGGCAGTGTGATTGTTGCTTTCAGTAGTGCCCTCGTGGGGCTTGTGATGACCTGCGTCGATCCTGCGCTGCGAGAGCAGGCGCGCTTCTTCCTCATCAGCATCCGGCGAGAAATCGATCCTCCGAGCTGGGTCCTCGCGGCTGCGTGCACCGACTTGACCGGCGCGTGCGGCATTGTAAGCTTGCTTTCTGGCGGAGTCGAATGCGGCGCGAGGAGAAGCGTGACTTGTTCCTCCTGCTGCCGAAGAATGCCTCTCGTGCTCTGCGGTCGCGACAGACTTGGCTGGGCTGGAATGAACTGAAATCGCGCCGCCGTTGGCGGTCCTATCGTTGAGCATGTTGAAGATCGACATAGAAGGTCTCGGTGGGCTCTCGGGCTCGTGCATTGGCTCCGCATACCTGGTGGGTCCGCTCTGATAGTCGCGTGCGGGATGGTCTCCCCTGCGCTCGTATGCATTTACGACCGGTTGAGGCGACAGTGCCGGAGACCTTGGAGCGCCTCGACGGTACGAGGGCTGGATCTCACGAGAGTACTGCTCGTACTCGTCACGTCTGTAGACTGGCTCCTGAACGTGACGGGCGTCTGGCATGGGCCGGTGCTCCATTCGGGCACCGTATCGGTCGTATGCTGCGACAGGTGCAGGACGGCGGCTGTCGAGATCGTGGTGAGGCGCGGGGCGGTGAGAGTCCTGATATGCTTGGCGCGATTGGGATGCGTATTGCGCGGACCTGGCCTCCTCATAGGCAGCGCGGTCATCCAACTCTCTATAGGCGTCCCTGTGCACAGGCTGATGGCGGTATTCTGGGGCATATTCGACAGGTGCTTGCGCAGCGGGCGGTCGACGATGCTCATACTCGTCTTCGTATCGGTATGCAGGCTGAGGTGCACGACGGTAGTCCGGTGGTGGTAGAGGCGCAGCAGGTGCGCCGTAAGAGGGCCCCGTGGCATAGGCGGGATGAACACGTTCAGGCATGCGATGATCGTATGCTTCGTTCGGGTAGGCAGCCTCGTATGGACGAGCAGGGACCGAGCTCTTGATTCCCGTCTCGTAGCGGGCGTAGGGATCCGATGGATGTGCCGAGGGTCGGCCGCCGGCGTACCGGTAGGCGGAACCTCGATCTTCGCCGCTCATGGCGTAGGTGCTGGCGGTCTTGTCGGCGGATCTGAACGAAATGCTAGAGTGTGGGAAGAAAGAAGAATGCGATCCTTGGCCGAACCTGCGGAAGTGATAGGTCCGGCTGCTGGTGGCTGCCCGTCTTCCGAGTGAGGGAGCTGGTCGACCCGCGAGTGCTGCTTGCGTGGACGAGCAGGCTTCCGCGCCGTCAGAGCTCTGAGAACGGTCTCAGAGAAGGGTTGACAGATCGCTTGCTGCTTGACGCTGAGGCGGAGTGTCGAACGACCCAAATCGTCACCGTGGGCCTGTGACGAGTGGTGAAAGGCGAGTCACCGGCAATGGTTTTGAGGACCGTGGGATGGGGTGTACGGTCGATGGTGGTGATGGTGGTTGCAAAAGTTGAAGCGCAGCGCAGCGCGCAGCGAGATGAGTGAGCGCGATGCTGCCTCCCAATCAGCTGCGGTGCGGAATAATTGTGTGACGAGCTGGAGGAGCGAGAGCGTTCTTTTGGATGCGCATCGAGCGCCCGAATTGGTTGCTGTTGGTGCTGCGAGCAAAGTTGAACTGACTGAGCTTGGTTCGTGCTTCTAAATTACCAGCGTCGCAGCTGACCAGCCAGCCACTTCCGATATCTGCTTCAAGTCTCGTTGCTGCTGACTATCCGAGATTTGGGCCATCTCTCCTCTCTCACACCTTGACCTTCGGATGGCGAACCTGAAAATAAAAACGCGCGGTCCAATTCCAGCTCGGGCGCCAAAGCGATAGCAAGGGCGGCGTTTCTCGCCATTTCTCAGCACCACTGTGTACTTGCTCCGACTGCCTTCTGCTGTATCGAGACTTGTCCTCGCGTTCTTTGCTGACGTCTGCGTCCGAGAAGGAGCTAAATTGTTTCGCTTGGCCTGGCTTGGCTGTGACTGGCTGGTGAATGCGCGACCATCTCCGCAGCACCATCTCGGCTCAAGACCCTGTTGGCCGGTTACGTGGATTTGGACAATTTCTTCGCGCGACGGCTGCCTCGTTCGAGTCGAACGGCAGCGGCAGGGTCCGTGATCAGGAGTCGAAATGAGCGACTGACTGAAAGGCTGCACGCCTCCAGCCGGAACCCAGTCATCGCCGCTATCTCACGCCAAACCCCACTAGTGAGGTGCGTCCTTGGCTCGACAGCATCAAACCGAGAGAACGACACTTTGATCGTAGCGGACGCTTGTCTTGACAGCCTGTCACATCTCGGGTCGGCGCAATCTAGACGCCGGGGTTGATCGACACAGTCTGACGGGCAAGCTTTTCCATGACTGAAGAAATGCTGCTCCAAAAAGCCGGTCTGAAAAAAGGGGCTCAAAAATGACCGGATCGAATCGGTCCGTTACGAAGTCAGAGAAAGCCGATCGACTTCAAATCAAGATGTTAGGCCTATTTGCAGCGCACACCCGTCTTAGATTTTCTTTCGCCCGGCTCTATGATCACCGCTTTCACCGTCACCTATCCTCTCGCACACCGGCGAGGTGCACAGCATGTTCGCATCACAGAACTCGAAGGCGTGTCGGGACGGCGACCTTCCGATAGATGCACGCCACCGGCCATCGACATGCAAGGGGGCGGCGATCCATCCCAATATTGCCAGCCGTCGTCCTGCTTCACATCGCTCCAGGGTCGGCTGGGCCTTTCACGGCAGCAACGTGGAGCGCCAATCAACGACAGACCAAACTAGTGACGACGACCTCGGCGTGCTGTCGAGGCGACAGAAAGGAGCGCCTCGAAGACGAATCTCAGACGCTGAAGCGGGAGTGAGATTGCCTTGCTGCAGCTGAGCGGCCAACCATGCGAGGTGCATTCGGTCCAGACCATGGTCATTTGTGATGCTCAACCATGCCGACGATCTCGTCATAGCATGCAAGGGATTGACTTCATGTCGAGAGGGGGTGCCTGAGAATCCGCTCAAGGGCTGTGCGTGAATGACTAGCTGAGCGAGAAAGAGAGCAACACCTTCGCTAAATCAAGCAACGCCTTTTGACAGCCGAGGCCGAACATTAGACTCTCTCTACACGGGAACGTCATGTGTCACTTTCGAGGTGGAGAAAAAAGGGGCGAAACAACACTCACGGAACGCACGGTTCAGAATCAGCCCCTTTCAACCTGTTCCCTGCGGTTCGGAGGTTGCTGCTTGCCCTGCCTCCTTGCGCCCTCACAGACCCGAGTTGCCAGAAGAACGTTCTGCGGTCGCCCTTGTGCATTCGGCTCGCGGTGTCTCTGTGTTGGACTCCGGAAGGTGAAAGGTCTGGACTGATGCACGTCAAAGTGTCGGAGCACGCAAGTTGTCATCAGGCTGTGCTGTCATTGCACTTCGCACGGGCCTGGCCACCTTGCCCGCTGCGCCTTCCATGCCAGTTGAGGTGGATTGAAAAGGCGGAGATGCCGACATCTGCCTCAAAGGAGGTGTGTGACAAAGTCGGTCCTCGCTTGTGTTCGGCCACGCAAGCTCGAGCGCCTCGAACGTCACCGTGTTCATGAGTGAGGATGAGATTGAGGCAACCGCGCACGGAGCAGCATCCCTGACCTTCGCCGTTCTTCGAGGCCTTTTGCCCACTCGGACCATGCCTTAGCCTCTGGCCGAGTGCCCACCTTTCGATTGGCAGCGCAAGGGGGCTGCGAGGACTAAAGCCACCACTTTGCGCACGTTCCGACTAACGTAGGGGGCCTCGGCACGAGGTGCTCGAAGGTATATAGGTGAGCTATCCGTGCTCCTTTTCCCTACCCGCAAGATCACACCTCACTACAGCACCACAACACCACACTCACACAGTCACAGCTCATTCACAATGGAGGGATTCATTAACAAGGCCAAGGAGTTCGCCGGCTCGCAGCAGGGCAAGGACATGATCAACCAGTTTACTGGTGGAAACAAGAACCAGAACAACAACTCGTCTGGCTACGGCAACGACAACGACAACAGCTACGGCAACAACAACAACGACAGCTACGGCAGCAACAACCAGTCTTCGGGTGGCTACGGCAACTCGAACGATAACGACAGTTACGGTAGCTCCAATAACCAGTCCTCTGGCTTTGGATCGTCCAACAACGACGACAGCAGCTACGGCAACAACTCGTCGTCCGGCGGCTACGGTGGCGGAAACAACTCGTCCTCTGGCGGCGGTTTCGGCTCGTCCAACGACGACTCGTCGTACGGCAACTCTGGCAGCGGCGGCTACGGTTCGTCCGGCCGCAACAACAACGATGACGACAACTCGTACGGCGGCGGAAACAACAACTCGTCGTCGTTCGGCTCCAGCGGTGGTCGCGGCGGCAACAGCGGCGGCTACGGCAACGATGACAACGACTCTGGCTCGTACGGCTCCTCGGGTCGCCAGGGCCAGAGCGGCGGCTACGGCGGCAACAACGACAACGACGACTCGAGCTTCGGCAACTCCGGTGGCCGAGGCGGTCAGTCTGGCGGCTACGGAAACGACAACTCGGACTCCTACGGTGGCTCGGGCGGTAACAGCGGCGGTTACGGCAACAACAACACCAGTGACGACTACTAGATGTGCTAGCTTCGTTTCGCCCGTTCTATTACCTATTGGCTCCGTGTCGTGATCTGAAACTCAATGGATTCTCATCGAAGTAGCACTTGTATGTGTCGGCCTCGTGCCGAAGCGTGTGAGCGTATATGAGTCAGTCCGAATGGGATATCGGATGTGCCGTTGATGATGGTCTCGAGATGAGTGAAATGTCTCAGGCTACTTGACAGCTCCCCGGATATTCCGCATCTCCTCTTCCTCAACCCACCAATCTCCCGTTTGCATCATCTCTTCCTCCCACCACCACCCTCTCGTGCAGAAACAAGATGCGTCGGTCAGCATCGCCCTCCAAGACCAACCGGTCCGCTCCTCCCGCTCGCGCAGCTCCGTCCGACACATCGATCCTCAAGACGCCCTTCAAGCCGCTGAGCGGGCTCCCTTCCCGCCCACCGTCGCTGCGCCAGCCTACGCCAGCGGGACCGTCCACGGCGGTACTGCCTCGCGACGTGCGCACGCGCTCCATTGACGAGCTCCAACAGGACGTGGCCGAGATGCAACTCGTTCTTGAGTAAGCACCCTTCTTTCATCCTCCGGGTCATCGATCAGCACTACTGACACTTCGATTCGTGCAGCGAGAGACTCAACACGCACAACGCAGCAAGGAAGAAGGCAGGATTGAGGGAACAGACACCGCAACAGGTCGTCGACGAGTACATTGCGCTGCTGACCCAGTACAACCGCGTCAAGGACGCTGCCCAGGTCGTGTTCGACAAGGTGAGTCCCAGCCTCATGGAACGAAGAATCGGAGCTTATACTGACGTGTGAGTGGATGATGGGCGCGAACAGATTGCGGACATCGAACAGCTTCCTGCGAAGGATATACATTCGAGGTACGGCGTCGGCGAAGGGGGTGAGGCGGCCTGATTTGCCCAACGAGAACCACAAGCATGCTCGCCGCCCTCCCACTGCGGCTGTCCCACATTCACACCTCGATCTCGCTTCCTCTCTTGCATCCTTCCTAGCATTCGCATCGTCACGTTCGCAGGCTCATATCGCATTCGCATACTCAGTCAATCTCAACGCAATCATCCTCTCGCGCGCTTCCACAGTCGCAACTCGAACCAGATCTTGTTGCAAAGATATCTTCTTCATTCTGTGCCGTCCTAAACAATAGCCGACCCGACGCGCGCATCGACGCTCGCGCTGGCAGGCAGGGGTGGCGGTCTCGCCCCATACGAAGGGAAGTTCCTCCTACTCAACAACAGACCCTTCAAACTCCGGATCTCTGCCTTGACCTGACCCAGATCCCCCGATTTCGGGCTCTCCGCACCCGCTGCTCCTGCTCCGAACTTCAACCCTCCCGTGCCTGCATATGAGCTGGAAGTAGCCGCAAAGGCGTGCGTCGAAATATCGGCGTTGAGACTGACAAGTGTCTTTTTGAGCTCGCTGAGGCTCTGGGACTTGGTCGAGGAGGGAGGAGTGGATTGGGTGTGCTTGTGCTTCTTCTGATAAGCGCCGTAGGGGTCGAATTCGAGACCATCGTCGTCGGAGGCGGTACCAGCGTCGGATGGGTCGTCCTCCCACTCGTCGGAGCCCGAACCGGCGTCAGCCACGGTGGTCGCTCGGGAGGCGCGAGGAGTGGATGTGGTTGAGGAGGCTGTCGTGCTGGGTCGACCGGAGAGATCGGTTTTGAGAAGTTCGGCAAGACGATTCAGGCTGTCGCGGATCGGAGTCATGAGGTGGATTGGCTCCATCTTCGGCAGGCTCGGTTCGACCTCCTCGGTGCTTCCCGCATCAGAACCCTCGTGGGTCTCGGAGAGCAACGGCGTCTTTGCATCCACCACCACGTCCGTGCCTGGCATGACCACCTTTTCGCTCTTATCGTTCCCATGCTGTGTCGACTTGACCCCTTCCTTTTCGCCCACCTCGTCGTGGAAATGCACCTTCTTGAGCACGCCTTTGAGCGGTCCCGTCGTCGCTGCTGCTCCTGCCGCACCCTCTTCCGCGCCGCCAATCCGTGCGTGCTGGACGGGGACATACGTTGCGAGGCTGGCAACGTTGCTCCTCAGCTTGTCGAACAGCACAATGTGGTGCTTGAGCACGATGCTGCGTGCATCGAACATGGCGGTGATCTTGGGCAGGATGTAGGATCGATATGCGGATACGAGCAGAGCGGTGAGCCCGCCACCGAGCATCATCATGAAGCTGAGTGTTCGGAAGAACTGCAGCAGCACCTGATAACGTGTCAGTGGAGAGGCTGTTTGACCTGATGCGGACTGCTGGCCGAGGGGTGATTGTGCGGGATGCGAGGAAGGCGGGTCGTAGTACAACGCGAGCGGCGAGTTGGGGTACGACTTCGGTGGTGGCACTAAGGCGTCCGCGTTGATGGGATCGTCGAACTGACGTGCGGCGATCTCGAACGCGTCCATGTCGCCGGAGGAGGATGAAGAGCGAGCATGAAGACCTTCCACCGGAGACTTGGCATCTTGGAACGCTCGTGTGATCTCGTCCTCGGTCAGACCTTTGGATCGCAGGAACTCGCGCTTGTCGTCCTCGGAGGCGGATTCCGAGATGTTGGCCGAGGTGAGGAAGCGGGTGGCTTGCGCGAGGATGTTCGACCTGTCGTCGATTTGTTGCGTGGTTGAGGATGAGGATGCGGCTGGGGTGGTGGACGAGGATGCTTCGGCACCGTTGCTCTTGTCGTCCGCCATGATGAATAGCGTTGGTGCCGAGGCGCAAATGAGATTCGAGTGCTACCTGAGCCGACGCTGTCCGTCTCAATCAATCTACGACAAGTCGCGAAAGCCGAGGCAAGAGCGTGAAGGCTGTGATGGTCGGTGTTTGTGAGAGTGGAGTGAGAAAGGGTCGACCCCGCATCCTTGCTCGCTTTCGGGTAACGCAGCGCAAGCGGTTGAAAGACCGGTGAGCCGGCTGAGCCGTCTAAGCGGTAAATTCTCGCGCGAGAAAAAGCGACACTCCCCCCCTCTCACTCATTCGGCCTTGACCCTTCACCGCCGACAGTCAGGCAATGCCCGTGCTTCTCAAACACAAAGACAGACAGACAAAAGCGCCAGAGGCTCGTTAGGATGTATCGAAATATAGATTGCAAAGCCAATTCTGTCCACGATGTCTTCGAAGCCAGGACGAGCAAGCACAACAGACTGTACTGAATAAACGGTATCCGAACGTGAAACGAGTCTTAAGCCTGAACCTGTGCGCCTTCACCGTCGTCGCGCTTCTTGAGCACGAGCTTCTCGCCGTTGGTGATGCGCCTCCACACCTCGTGCACATCCTCGACGACGGTCTCGAAGTGCGAAGTGGCGTCGTACGAGCGTGTGATGAAGATGTTGTCGTCCTTGCCGCTCTCGGTGGGCTCCTCGATCGGGCTGATCGAGACAAACTTGTCCAAGATGGGGCCGAGCAGGTCGAGACCGGGTCGCAGCTCGAGTTCGGGTTTGTCGGTCTCCACAATCGTCGAGACCTGGGCGACGTAGAAGTCACGCGCGGCAATGTTCTGTGCACTCGAAACTTCGGAAATGTAGATGTCGTGCTTTCGTCCCACTTGGTTCTGCGGGATGATGAGCTGAACCGAGTCCGAGTTGTCCGTGTTGGGGATGGGGTGCTTGAGGATGCAGATGGCACGCACCACCTTGCCTGTCTCGCGCACCTTCTTCTTGCCATTGACCTCGGAGCGGAAGTAGCTGGGGTCGCCAATGAGCATGTCGGCCTTGACGGTCTCTTCACCGCTGCGGACGCCAACGAACTTGCCAGTCTCCGAGTCGACGACGATTTCGTCGACGGGCTTGTCGAGCATGTAGGTACCACCGTAAATGGCCGAGAGACGAGCAAAGGCCTGAGGAAGCTCGCCAAGACCGTAGAGCGGGTAGATGTAGGGTGACTTGCCGTAGCGAGCCATGGAAGAGGTGTAGAGGATGATGCGTTCGTATGTCTCACGAGCAGGGCGCTGCAGGTATGAGTCGTCGAGGTGGAGGGCCATCGAGTGGCCGATAAAGTCCTTGGTTCCGGGCTCGAGACCGAAGTAGTTGAAGATCTTGAGCATGCTGTCCGAGTCGAGATCCTGGCCCTGGTGAGTGGCGGGATCCGAATCCTTCCAGTTCTGGATGAACTCGAAGAACTTCTTGGCCCTGCGCTTCTCGAAGAGGCCCATGAGGGAAGATCGAACGGCTTCCATCTCTGTGGCAGGGACCTTGGCGATTCTGCCGTCGCGGTAGACGTAAGAGGCGGCGATCTGCTTGAACTCGAGGTAGCGGGTGACGTCGGTGTGGACGAGCATCTGAGTGAGCTCACCGTTGGCCATGATGAGCTTGGGAATGAGATCGACGGCCCAATCACGGTCACGACCCCAGTCCTTGGGCGGCTCCTCTCCAGGGCGGAACTTTTCATAGAGCTGCGTGAGGTTGAGCGAGGCCATCTCACCACCGTAGACCTGACCTCTGTCGATGTGCAGCACCTTCTTGCCCTCGACGGACAAGAGTGCGGAAAGCACGCATTCGGTCACACCGGTGCCGAGAATGACGGCGTCTGTTGCGTGCGAGTGAAGACCTATGTCAGCGTGCTGTGGGCTCACAGTAATGAGACAAGGGCAAAATGCTTACCGTATTTCTCATCCATCTTGTTGTTGCGGTGTGAGAGGGATGTCGAGGATAAGGATGGAGGGTGGGAAGCAAGTGATAGCGTCGATGAGGAGCCTCTTGTGGACATGCACAAGTTCAAGCAGCGCTGTGCTGCGTGTGTCTGGCTGAGTGTGGGATTTTGTGTTGGTTTGTGCTCCACATCCAACACCGCTCTCAACGCTCAGATCTCGACAGCACGCATCGACTCAGCGCACAACCGCTCACAAAGCCTTTTGGATGGAGTGTGAGATCGCAACATACACCTTGTCACAAAAAAAGCTGTTGGCCGGCGAGAGGGGGCCCTTAGGCGAGTGTTGGTCTCGCTCAGCATCTGGGGACTCACGCACAGACTGCAGTCAGAAGGCATATTCTTAGATGAGGCTTCCCCGCCTTGTGCCTGTCGTACGCAGCTTGACGTGGCTTTCTTTGACCTGCCGAAAGCACAACGTCAGGCCAACACGGCTCAGCCAGAAAAGGGTCCAACTTCCTCCCTCTTTGTGTGCACGCAACCTTCACACAAGCTCAACCTCACCTCGTTCTTGTCGGACACCATCTCCTCGTCGGTATTCTCTCGCTGGCACAGACACGCATCAAGCTGCTTCCAATTGGCGTCGCTGTAATGTCGGCTTTATAGCCAGCTTGCACTAGTCATCACCGCCGCGGACCGGCGCTAGGACCTCGAAGGTGAAGCAAGCAAGCATCCATTTCAGCCCCACTTGCTAGGACAAGGATCGCCAAAAGATGTTGCGAGAAGCCTTCTACTACCTCCTCGGAGGAGTGACGTTCCTGCCCCTCTGCGTCATCGGCATCTTCCTGCACTTCTACTTCAACGTGCCCATCGAACACCAGTCAGCTTCACCCACGATAGATGCCGACGTCGAGCTCACCCACGAAAAGAAGCTCGCTGCTCTCGACCTAGCTGCGCGCAACGCTGCCATCCATGACGAGATCGAGAAAGCCAAAGGCAAGGACCATCCTCAAGGCGATGCCACCGCTCCACCAGCCGCAAAACGCCTCGGAGCGGGACCGGCCGCCTCCTCTGCTCCCAAACCGTTCTCTTCCGGCTGGCTCACTGTGCGTCCGACGTTCGAGGCCGACAAGGACGCAGCGACGGCGACTGGAGCTGCCAGCAGTCCAGCCGTACTACCCGCTTCGCTCGTCGAGGGCGAGTCGGATGCAAGCCAGGCTCACTCGGAAGACGAGAGCACAGCCGCCGAATCTGTCGACGCGGACAAGGCATCTTCGGTCGCGGTGACCAAGCCCAACGGTCCTAACGCTGGCACGGGATACATGTCACAGATGTATAGAGGCATCCTCGACTACCGCAACAACAGAGCAGCATCCAAGAAGCCGTCCAACGATGCTCATGCCCGCTCCAAGGAGTCTGCTTCAGCATCAGGCGCAACACCGACGGGGACCGCTGGTAAGGAGAGCTTCTACTGCATCCTCAAGTCGCCTATCCTCTACCTCTACTCTTCCGACGACACTGCCAATCCCAACACCGAATGCCATGCTGCCATCGACCTTCGCGGCAAGCGTGTCAGCATCTTTGTCGCCGGTCTCGGCGATACGCTGGGCGATCTCGACCCACAACAGCCTGCAACCACTCAGGCCACTAGTGCCGACGCCGAGCAGTCCGGAAATGCGCCAGCCGATCCAGAGGCCTTCGATCCGTCTCAGGCCTGGAAGACAGCCAAGCGTGCAGCGATTCGCGATGGCGAGCTCTTCATGAAAAGGAACGCCATTCGCATCGTTGGATCCGCTCTCGGTCGCAACTCTTCGTCCAAACGTGCTTCCAAGCTGAGCCAAAAGAGGCCGCAATGGTTCATCTTCTGCAAGAACAACTACGTCATGGAGGATTGGTATCATGCGCTGCTGCAGGCTTCTCTCACGCCGGATCCTAGCCTATCGACCAGTCTGTCGGAAAACAGTTCCGCCGACCCGCTCTCCCAGATCTTTGCCAAACTCGACGATCCAATAGGTCCCACTTTCTCTCAGGAAGACATGGCATCCCTACTCGTCTCCCTCGACAGCTTCCCAGATCCTCTTCCGCTACGATGGCTCAACGCCCTAGTAGGACGTATCTTCTTCTCGGTCTATCGCACAGCGTGGCTCGAAGACTATATTGTGTCCAAGATGATGAAGAAGATCAACCGCGTCAAGACGCCAGGTTTTCTCAACGATATCAAGGTCGTCGAAGTCGATGTCGGCCGACGCGCTCCAGGCTTCAGCCGTCCCATGCTCAAAGCCCTCACCAGCGAAGGAGAAGCCAGCATGGAGGTCGCTGTCCACTACGTCGGCGAGGTGCGAATCACCATCTCCTGCACTCTCACGTTGTCGCTTGGCTCGCGCTTCAAGCCGTACACCATTCCCATTGTGTTGGCCGTCGTGCTCCGGTCCCTAGAGGGCAATCTGCTACTTCACGTCAAACGCCCACCCAGCAACCGTCTCTGGTTCGGCTTCACTACCCTGCCCAAGATGGACATCGACGTCGAGCCCGTGGTCAGCGAGAGGAAGGTGCAATGGGGCATGGTCACGCGCCTCATCGAGAGCAGGATAAGGGAGCTCCTGACCGAATCCATTGTCGTTCCCAACATGGACGACATCTCCTTCTTTAACACGCGCTCGCTGCCTCTGCGTGGAGGCATCTTCGCCGATGCTGCCAAGAAGACTGATCTGCACCGTGCCGAAAGCAACGGGACCTCATCCACTGCAGCGACCGCCGCGCCTTCTGCTACCGTCACGCCGCAAAGTAAGGACGGCAAGACCAGTGCGCTGTCGATCAAGACGTCAGAGCTGCTCACAGCCGACAGAGTTGGTACCGCTAGCGCGCCCGTCTCTGGTGCGTCGACACCGTCGACTGCTGATCGAGCCGGAGCATCGGCTACTGGCGGTACCGTCATCGGCGGCACTGGCGAAGCGAGCTCGATCAGCACTGACGCTGCGTCCGAGAATGCCTTGCGAAACCGCAAAGGCGGCCCAGAGGCTTCGAGCATGTTGAAGGACCCGTCGCTACAATCCGGTCGAACTTCGTCTCCTGCCGCCGCAGGTCTCAGCGATCTCTTGAGTCGAGATCTGGCAGCAAGCGCTGGCAGCTCGGGCACCTCACCTCCTCGCCAAGACTCGCAGAGCAGCAAACGAAGGACGTGGTTCGGAGGCGGACCCAAATCTTCCGTCTCCAGCATCAGCTCTTCGTCCGGCCTTTCTTCGCTCGGCTTGTCATCAGCATCGCTTGGGGTCAGGTCGAATCGAGAGCACAGTAGCTTGGCGCTCGGCAACGCCAGCATTGAACGCCCTTCGCAACGGTCCCATTCGACTAGCATCTCCGGGAAAACCGACTCGAATCTGTCAGTGCCTACAGATATTCCTTCCCGCCCTGCATCCGAATCTGCGACCCGCCCCGCATCCTCGTCCACGTTCGCAGCTTCTTCGAATGACGTGGGCGGCGAATCGCGTAGCGCAAAAGACGTTCCGCTTCTGTTGTCTCCTGCTGCTGCCAGTCTGCAGGCAGATAAGACCCGCGATGCAAAGGAAGGAGACGTAGCTGTGCATTCGGAACCTGCATCGAAGACCCCATCCCTGATCGTGTCGAGCGCCTCTGAGGCCGCGCTCGACCTTGAAGGGGCTGGGAAGCCTGTCAAGTCGAATCTCGACACGATAGCTGGCCTGGACGCGCCTTCACAGCACGACGATGAGCACGATTTCGTCGACAGTCCTGCCAGCCTCACCCACAGTGCCAGGTCGTCTATTCGCAGCTTGAAGTCGGATGCCATCCATGCAGACCTCACGGCCGAACCTGCGCCAGCAAGTTCGGCGGCGTCGTTGAAAGAACCCCTTTCCGTCACCTCCTCACGACAGACCTCTAATGACTTCGATGTGCAGCACCATGGATTCGGCACCTCGCTCGCTTCTGCGCAGAAAGGCATGCCGCCTCCGCCTCCACCGCGCAAGCCAGTCAGCTCTGCCAGGGACGATCGTATCAGTTCGAGACAGGACGCTGCTTCAGCGCTTTCGAGCGTCCATCGCAATCGATACGGCCTCAACGATAGCGAGACGAGCCTGAACGACGGTTCAGATGGCCCTCCAGGGTCGACTTCGGCAACGCTCCTGACTTCGTGGAATAAGGCGAAAGCTAGCATGGCGGACAAGGAATCGAGACAGGCAGCTGCGCGTGATGCGAAAGATGCCATCAAGCGAGGCTGGGCCAACTGGAACACCAAGCGCACCGAACCCAAGCGTGGACCGCACGGAGACGACGACGCCGATGCAGCGTCGTACCAATCCGGCATGAACCGGTCGCAGTCCAGCCGAATGTCGTTTGTGCCTGGCCAGTCGGCATGGATGGCCAGCAGCCCGCCCGACCCGACCAGCTTCGGTCTCGGATTCGACAAGTCGAGCCCTGAGAACAAGCGCAGCACGCTGCGTGACAGGCTCAACTCGGCGACTCAACAAGGTGGCGCGCGACCGAATCTGACGGACACCGACGATGACAATGTTAGCGTCCACTCCAACTCGAGCAACAGGCAGGCCTATCGCGATCTCAGAGCTTCGAAGAAAGTGCACGGCTTTGACAGCAATGCGGCTGATCGAGCCTCTTCGGTCACCTCGTCCAGACTTGCTTCGACGAGCTCGGTGTCGTCTGGCACCTCTGCGACATCTGCTGGGGGCGCCACTAGTCCGTCCGGGCTGTGGGACGCGGAGGTGCCTTCGCTGACGCCTCCCAAGCTCGCCTTGCGGAATGATCGCGACGATGACAAGAGCGCCGAGTCCAAGCGCAGCAAGACTTTGGAAAGGACTGTGAGCAAGGACCGGCCGGTTCCTGTCCCTCCTGGCTTGCCACAGCGCAAGCCGGGCAGCAGCATCTTGCCGACAGCCCAAAGCGGTGGCGGTGTGTCCTTCATCCCATCAGCGGCATCTGTCACGACTGGTCTGGCATCCGCATCTGGTCTGCCGCATCTGGACAATGCGACGCAAGAGCCTGAGTCTGCTTTCAAGGGTCAAGACTCCGGTCTGCGCAGGGGCTCTGCGTCTCAGGCGAGCATCACGTCTCTCAAGTCTGACGATGCCGAGCCGTCTCTACCTAATGAGACGGAAAAGACGACGCCGGATACCAAGCCTGACGCATCACGTCCAGGCACCCAGCAGCGTCCGGACGAAGCAGCTGACGGCAGCACGAACATGGCGCTGAGCCCAGAGCACAAGAGCCAGGAGGCAGTCAAGGACACAGCCGATACCACTCCGGCACACGACGAGTCGACCTCTGCCATTGAGCAGCCCGATACCGCTGAGCCGTCCGAAATATCGTCGCCAACTCCCGATGCAGGAATCAAGAAGCAACCCGGTCGAGCGACCATGATGGCGATCCCGGGCATTCCGTCGATGCAAAAAGCCGGTCCGCAGAGCTTCAGCGCTCCCGTGCCGCCTGAGCCGGTGCTTGCTGCGAAGAGCGATGCAGAGACGTCACCGAGCGCGTTCAGGGCGAGCTCGCTGTTCAAAATTCCCTCGTTTGGGAGTCCTGTGATGACTGGTGGCAGCCCGAGCAAGGCGATGCCGGGGATGGGATCGGACGGATCCCCAGCGAAGCCGTCGGCTGCAAAGAGTCCGCCACCTGTCCCACTGAGACCGACTTCAGGGGACGAGCCCGAGAATGTACCTGCCGCAGGGTGCGCGCTCGGACTGATGCAGGCAGACGACCGCAAGCCGACAACGCAGGACACCGCTCCCCCAGCGAGCAAGAGCGGCGCTTCAGAACAGCCCAGCAAACATTCTCCAGTCCACACCGGCAAAAGTGACCGCGCAGCAGCCGCCGACGACGACGACACCACTTTCGCAGAGGTGACTAAAGCCGAGGGACCCGCTGCAGATCCAGGCTTCGAGCAGGCACAGAGCGACACGGGCGACACGGTCAAGGTCGGCACTAAGGAGGTCAAGCTTCCGTCCAAGAGGGAGGACGAGACGGTTGGGACCGAGGACACTGTTTGGCAGCTGCAGCTGTGATTGGCATTTCAGACCGTGTCAGCGCGTCGTCACTCACCAGTTCAGATGTTATGAATGCCATGCTTTTGACGAGGTGACTGTGAACGAGAGCGATTGCGAATGGAGTGTGAAAGAGTGTGATGCTCCGGACCATGAACGGTCTCGCAAAGACTCAGGGGTCCAACGATCCCAGATCGAACTCCTTGGCCAGATCCTCCACCCTCTCCCCTGCCAAGTTGTCCGCCATCCACCTCCAAACGCTAAACGCATGATTCAGCCCCTTCTGCTCCTGAAGTGCCACCACACCTCCATCTCCCCCACCATCGCACTTGCCCACATCGCCCAGCGCCGCACCGCAACACCCGCCGCGTCCCGGACTGGGTAGGAGGAAGAATACCTCGCTCACGCGCGAATGCACCAGCGCCATACAGCAGTAGATGCACGGCTCGTAGAGGGAAAACAGCGAAAGGTGGGTGAGGAGGTAGTCGGAGCCGTTTGCTGCGACCGCTGCCTCGGGCGCCGCGGTGGGATTCGACGCGGGGGAGGGGGACCGGTCGATGGCGCGCAGCACAGATACGCGGGCCACAGCTTCGACCACGGCGTGCTTGAGCGGATTGCGTCGGTCGAGACGACGATCGAGCGCGTCGACTTCGATCACTCCGGCGCCTGTGCTTGCGGTGAAGGGGGACCGAGTAGTCGAGTTGAACGTCGTCCATTCGGCGTCTGTCATGGTCAGCGTGCTGATCAGGCTTTTATGAACCTCTTCCTCTCGTGCGGCAGGAACACGACCAACCACAGGAGCACCGATTCCAGTCAACTTCGACCAATCGCACTGCTCCCTCTCCTCCCACGACTCCCCTTCGAACCGTCGTGCAACGTCAAACGGGTGCGTGACGTGCACCGCCGACCCCAAGCCCCTCCCTTGTCCTTGCGCATGCCGAGCGAGCGCAGTCACCCGTTTGAACCGATTCACCACCCACCTTAACCTCGTTTGATCCTCCCACAGCTGCTCGTCCGCCTTTCGGTCGACTAATAGCACCGGCCCCGCATTGCCCGGCAGCAACTCCTTGGCGTTGGTCCGGACGATGCATGGCCAGACCGCCTGCCATTCCGCCAAGCGTTCGCGTGTAGGCGCCGCAATTGCCGGTACGGGAGCGAGGTAGGGCTGGGGCGTGGGACCGAAGATGCTGGTTCCTTCACGGATGAGCCATTCGACGAGGTCGGTGCGATCTGGATATGCGGGTTCGAGGCACAGCAGGAACTGCGTCCGCGCCCCAGCGGGGGAGGTGGGGGTGGTGCGGAAGGACCGGAGGTGGCGCGTGGAGTGCAGGCCGTCGTCGCGGTTCTGTAGCGTGGCAGCGTGGCGTTGAAGAAATTTGACGGCGAGCGAGGCGGAGGTGGGGGGAATGTCGATGACCCATGCATCGCGGGTGGTGAGTGGGAGGGTGACGGGGTCGAGTGCTGCGGTGAGGCGGTAGATGGGCGGGTAGCGGCTGGGTCCAGGGATTGGGTGGGATTCGATACCGTTCACCACCGGCTTCTCCCGAAGCGCTTCTTCTACGCTTTGTTCAGCGACTTCGGTCTCCTCGGCCTCGTCGTCAAGCCCTATTAGGCCCATCATCATCGCTTCTGCCCCCGCATCCTCTCCTCGCCGCCGCTCCGCCTCGATCTTTCCTTTCTCTTCGAGAGTCATCTCGGGCTCCCACCACATCCTTCCTGTGCCATACGAGATGGTCAACTCCTCCCCAGCCTCTACGCCACGCACGGTGCTGTACCGTATCGAGTGAGTCTCCCTATCCAACATCCACTTGACATTTGGCGTTCCGGAATGATTGAAAAGGCTTCCTAGGCCGAGTGCGAGCGCCATGACGGCACCTGCCTCGGTGCGCTTCCACACAAAGGTGTAGCCGTCCAGCTGCGTTTTGCTCCCATGCTGCGCGTATTCTGCCGGTGGAAAGAGTAGGACGGGGGAGATCTCGATAGTAGTATCTGCAGAGATGGGAGTGGTGGTGTAGACGCCCCGACCGGAGGAGCTGGCGCAGATAGCGAGATTGAAGGGGTTCAGGTGCGGGGTCGTCGGTGGATAGGCGAGGAGAGATTGGATGGACGGAGACTGGTCGGAGGCGAGAGTGGGGATGTGCGTCTCGACCATGATCGCTGCTCCGATCAGCAGGTTTGCTGCGCAAGTGAGCACGGTCGAAGGTCTTGCGAAGAGTCGTGAAGGGAAAGGAACGAGGAAGACCCTGAAACCTTATCAGGCTCAGAAAAATTTGGGCCGCTCTTCGGGAGTCGGAGACAACCAGCTGCGCCCTCGTCACACGACATACAGCGAACAGCCATCCCTTGATACAGCCAATCCACTCGGAATCTGTCACAGACAGAAGGCTGATGATGCTGATGCAAAGCTGATGCGATTGTGTCAAAGGCAACAAGGTATAAAGTGACTCTTTCTCTAAACAGCCTTGGCACTCGCCGGCCTATTCGCAGCAACGATGCTCTCTGGGTCGGGAATGCCCGCCATCTGCTCCAGATCCTCACATTGGCGTGTCAGCTCCTTGCTTTTCCCATCCAGCCACCTGATCAGGTCGACCGCCTGGAAGAGCACTGCGCTCTTGGATCCAGCGCCACCACCGGCGCTACCACCCCTCCCACGTCCCTTGCCGCGCTGTCGCACACCGTCCGGACCAGCCTTCTTGGCTTTCTTCGGAGGCTTCTTGCGGCCCACAGCGAGCACGTCGACGACATCATCGATGTCCGATCGGTCATCCAGCCCTTCGTCCTCGACACCCGTGCCAAAGCCTGAAGAAAGACCCAGCGCTCTCGCGCCGAAATTGCGCCCATCGTCCAGCAGCACAACCAGATCCTTGAAGCCTTCCCGGATGTAGTTCCTGCGTCGCTGTTCGGACAGGATATGATTCTGGCGCTTCTCGGACTCGGTGAGCAGCTCGCGTTTGCTTCCGCCGTCCCCCGTTCCATCGTCGTCCTCGTGCTCCGTCTTGAGCTTTTTGCCCGATGCGCTTTTTGTGATGGTCTGAGCGGGATTCGCTGGCGCTTGAGGTGGAGCGGGAGCCTGCTTGTGATCAGGTTTGTTGAGAGTATCGAGGCCTGCGCTCATGCGGAACAGATCTGCGTGCATTCCGGTGAGTGAACCCAGCGCTAGCGCTGCCTGTGTCTGCTCGTCTGCGTCTCCCATGCCAAAGTGACCCGCGTGACGCTTGCTGCCCGTCGCCGAGTTGTCGTGCACTGCGTGCTGTGCGTATGAGTTCTGCATCTGCTGCTGCTGCTGCTGCTGCTGCTGCTGCTGCTGCTGCTGCTGCTGCTGCTGTTGTTGTTGTTGTTGTGATGCGTTGCCAGACGACCATTCCGACAATCCGCCGCCGAAGGCCGTGTTGACGAGATCTGCATCGTGGTGGAAGGAGCGCGACTTGTTGCTGAGCGATCGACGATGCTGATGCCCGCGTCCAGAGCCGTGTGGCGACGTAGCAGACGAGGAAGTGTCGTGCGGGCTTTGCGACGAAGCGGTCGCGGATCCGGAGCCAGAGCCGGAAGAAGCAGAAGCCAGTCCCGCCGCAGTCTTGGTGCGGTTTTGCAAACGTCGCGCTGCTGTCGACAGGGCAGGGCCCTCGTGCAGCATGGGGTCCTTGCTTGCTGTCGCCGAGCCGAAATCGGCTGGGAAGCCCATTCCCTCTGCAGCTGCTGCCGACCTTTCTGCTGCGGCGGCCGAGAAGCTCGGCATGCCCTCTGGGAGGCTTGGGTCAAAATCCCATTCGAACCCCTCCAGGAAGTTGACGAGCATGTTCTTCTCCTTTGCGTCAAAGAGCTGACCGTTCTGCGCAGTCTTGTCGCTGGCTCCTGGAGTGCCCATACCAAAGGGCGAAAAGGTGCCGCTGGCGAAGGCATCTGTGTCGAACATGCTGGGTCCTGTTGGCTCGAAATCGGGGGGCGGTGGGGGCCGCAAGGCGGATTCAATGAAGCGTGAAGACGAAGCGATCCGGGGAGATGCCGGTCGGCTACCTTTTGAGAGGCTTCCTCTTCGACTGTTGGATCTGCTCGCCATGAGAACGTCGTCTTGCCCAAAGGACATGCCTTGTGGTGTGGATGCGAGGAAGTGCGAAGTGAGACCGGGAGTCATTGGGTTGGAAGGGCCGCCTTTGCGGTCGACCCCGCTGAGGAATTGAAGATCGCTGAGGTCGAGCTCAGCTGGCAAGTCGAGGGAGAATTGAAAGTCTGCAGGTGAAGAAGCATGGTCCAGAGTTGGTGGTGGTGGTCAGTACTCAGAAAGGTAGAACCTAGAAGTTGCAGTTGGTAGCTCTGCTTACCTTCGTACGGAACGGGCATGGGAGGAAGATCCGAGGGCTTGTCCGTGGACTCGGCAGGCTGCGTCATGGCATCTGTGGAAGTAGACGCCGAAGCAGCAGGAGCGAGCTGGAGCGCGGACGAGGAAGGAAGAGCGGCCATGGTGTGGATGTTGGTGACGGGAGGCAGCTGGACTGCTACGCTCATGCTTTGGGTCGCGGGTTGGAGAGAGACGGGAGTGCTGGATCAGATGCGTCGATCGAGTGACGCCGGGTTCAATTGATTGTCTTTGAGCGAGCTTGCTGGATATCTGGGATGAAAGGATCCCAAAGTCGGTCGCCTCAAACAAGCAATGAAGAGGTCGAGTCGGAAATGTCAAGCTTGTGTGACTGGAGAGGTCGCAAGGGCGTTGCGATAAAGTGACGCTTCGGCTTCAGCTGGCAACGAAGTAGACCATACAGTGAAGTTGCTCGCTAAGATGCAGCAGGCAGCCGTGATTGGTATGGCCTCTGAGCCGGTGATGAGAAGGGAGCGGAGTCAGCTGACTCGGTTAGAAGTCGCAGCAAGAGACCGACAAAGGGAGGTAGGTCTGGCTACGGACAGCGCTGACGCGGAGCTAGGCTGTGAGGTAGCAAAGATGAGACGAGTCGAGATGTAGCACGTTGGTCGAGCGGGTGGTATATGTGCGAATGGTATAGCAGGCCTGTTTGGTCACTCGAGGCGATGATCTGGAGCGATGTACAGGACAATGAGGTGACTTGATATGTGTAGAGTGTAGGGTGTGATGGTGATGGTGACGAGGAGAGTGAGGGCAAGGAGGACAGCGAGGTGTGATGGAAACAGAGTGACGGAGGGAGGGACTGAGCACGAGCAAACAAGGCACCAACTCACCCGAAAAAGCGAGCAGCAGCCAGCGACAGCCAGCCAGCCAGCCAGCCAAACCTGGGAACCGGCTAACAGCCAAGCTCAGTCCAGCCCAGCCTGGCGCTAAACGATTTTAGATTTAATTCCCAGAAAGGGCGATAATATATCAAGGCTGCATACGGTGCAAAGTCGACCTGTTCCGGCTGCACACGACCAATTTTACGCTGCAAGAAGAGACCGAAAAAGCGTGGAGAAGGAGCAGAAAGTGCAGAATTTAGCCTTTCGGGTGAGACATCTAACGAGTGCAGGGCCATCACCCAGGAGTACATCACCATCCACAGCTGCCGTTGAACACCGTCATCGCAGGTGTCCAAGTTCAACATTGTCCCATGCCCAGAAGCACTCACTCGTACCGACCGTCCGGAGAGCAAGAAGCTTGCCGTGCACCATGCCATGCATCACCGTCCATTGTCGTCACGGCTCGGATGGATCAAGGTTCCAGGCCCAGACAAACCAGATACTCACCCACTCTCCGCACGCGAGCTTGTCTTATTCTTGGCTGTCAATCCCGGTGAGCCAAAGGTCGATCTTGTCTGCGTCCAGACACGAGAGCCGAGCGCAGAAGCCGGCAGAGGGGGTTTGGCGTTTGTACAGTACGCATCGGCCGCATGGCTAGCCGAACCAGAAAAACCAATTCCGACTGCAATTTCAAAGAGCGATCCTCGCACAAAAGACACAGGGGCCAGAGGGGAAACAGCGCCTTGCATCCATGGTTGGGTCGGAGCTTGTTTGTGCCCTTGTTCCTCTTGGAGCAGACCCAAACAGGATGACGAAGCTGCGCGCTTGCATGCAGCTCAGCCGCCCAGTGTTGAGGTTCCAAGGGGTGATCAAACGATTTGTCAGGCGATAGCAAAGGTCAAGTCATCATCGCCAAAACACACGGAAAGGAGAGGGACTCTGAGGCCATCACCTCGCCAACGCCATTGCGGGGCCCAACTCCAGCTTCAGAAGAAGTCTAGCAACCGGAACAAATAGGACTTACGACAGTATGCGGGGAAGCATGCCAGCACCGCCCATCCAATCAAGGGCCTTCGCTTTGCAGACGGGCTCAGATACAAATTGGCTCGTCGCGATCGGCTGACCGAGGTTACCACCACGCCCAAAATCAGAGACAGCCAAACCATTCAGCCATCATCCGCGCGGCAAACTCTGTACAAGGCCCATCACATCCGGCCTGAAGAATAGCATCCTCCAATCATTAATATGCTATTGTGTCACTAGCAAGCTACCGCTTCTACGCTCTGGATCAAAACTCGCCGGGGATATTTTGGACCCCAGGCAGGACGAAGCGAAGTCCTCGCCAATGCCGTCTGGCATCGTAGAACGTACCACTCAACCGCAACCCAACCACACGAAAAGCGGGCACTATACGTACGGCGTTTCGATGCACTGCCCGGACCCCTCCCGCTGCTCCTTCTCGAAAACTTGCGCGACGATGTCGGTGTGCAGCATCGCAGAGCAGTTGCGGCCTTACTTTATGCGAGGTACGAGGCAGCGGACACGCTTGCCAGCCTTCTCGCGTGAAATGCAGTGGTGCAGCAAACGAGCAGCGTTTCGGCTAGCTTGGAGCGGCTCCCGACCGGAAATTTTACAAAAGGTGGCTTGACAAGGTCGCTTGCGTATCAAGATCTTCCCATGTGGCTTCTTGGATCGGCTGAGTATCCCGATCTGACCGTATCGGTTCAACCAAGCCGGGCAGCATGAGCTCATGATCGCGATGCCTAACTTCGGCTCGACAAGCACCCTTCGGTTGCGGATTCAAGCCACAATCGGAGAAGCACGGGCAGCGGGAACCTCTGCTTCCCAATCGAGTCAAGCCACAGTGCTCTGATCAGCTGGTCCGTCCGAAGTGTATGCCGATCGATGTGCAAGCTGAGCATCCTCAAATCACCTTCCTGAAGCTGGTCCATATCTCGAGGTCACCAGAGCCCGCCAACCCATATCCAGTAGCAGCCCAATGCCACTGTCTTTGTGCGCTCTGATTCGCTTCTTCGTAACGCGGGGCATTCTGTCGCACAATGCCATTGTTCACACCTCACGTGCATTCCAGACCGATCTCTCGCATCAATGACCACAACAGACCCAAGTTTGGCGAGAGCGGTTGCGATTGGTGGAGCCATTCTCGGGAAATGCACTGCCAATGATCCTCGTCGTTTGGGAAACCAAGAGGCCGAAACAATCAGAACCTTCGTCGATGCGGGGCAATCCGACACCACTGACCTACGTCATGCCAATATTCTCAGCGTCTCACTTTAAAATAAACTCTTCGACAGGCACAATCGCAAGACCAGCTGACGATCCCATTGATCATCACCTACTGAGACCTGGAGTGCAGGTAGAGGAAGCATCGATTGCGGCCTTCTCGGCTAGACACATGGCGTACGAGAACCGTCTAGTCGGATCGATTGCAGAGCGTCATTGCAAGCATTCTACACCTTGCTCCCAACCTGGGCTGGATTGGTGCTTATCGATACCCACTTGGCAAGACTGACCGTGTCGCGTGGGCAACAAACAGGCTTCCAAGCGAGTGCGGCATCAAACCATTCGGAGTCGAAACTTCTCCTTGCCGCAGAGCCATGATCGTCATGCAACATGGTCATGGCAAAGAATCCTACGGCAAACGGGACCAAATTCCCCGTTTGACTCACTCAGCTCGTCAACCAGGATCGACTGTATTCGAGCATGGGAAAATCGCATCCCTCTGCGCTCATGCTCTCTATCTATCCCACGAGGCTCTGATTCAGGGCTCACGGGGTCTAACCTCAGATACAGAGCAGAAGCAGCTCATAGAGTGCATGATGCCGCTTGCTCCGCCTCGAGCAAGAGCTAGACCACAAGATCGACTCTCCACTTCGGCTCGCTCTCTCGTATCCTCGCTTAGCATGCACATGACGACCTAGGCCTGCCTTTTTCTTGTTTGCTTGCAATCATCGTTGTCATGCCAGTGGTCCGTAAGCTCGCTCAGGTCATGCGTCGCTTGCGGCGCTCGCATCGTTGGCAATGCGGAGTTCTTCATTCCCAGGCACGATCAAGTGACAAGTTCGGGCCGTCACGGCCGTCCATGAGGGACTCCGGAAGGTTCAAGCGGCCCAACGATCCCGATGCTAGCTCTGGCCGCAGCAGGCTTGCTTACTGCCACAAAGACCACAACATCTGAGCAAGGACTGCGCCTCAGTTGACACACGGGCAGCTTCGGCCAGGCCAAGAACAATTTTTCTTTCCAAGATGTCAGAGCTCGCACATCCCACAATGCAGGTATTTCCGCCACGTGACGCAGAGCAGGTGTGTTACTTTTGAGCGTTGCTTTCTTCTTGCACAGACCCTCGACCGCTCTATCGTACTGCTTGCAATCCGACCTTCATCACCAGAGCGCACGGGAATATGTCTTCCCAAGGCACCCGCGAGACGGTAGTCTCGGCACCAGGAAAGGTTCTCATCGCCGGTGGCTACCTTGTCCTCGACCCGACTCATCCAGGCCTCGTCGTCTCCACCTCATCGCGCTTCTACTGTCATGCGCAATCGCAGACCTCGCAAGCAGCATCGGTCAATGCTTCGGCGTCCAGTCGCACCATCACTGTGCGCTCACCGCAATTTGTAGACGCCGTGTGGGTCTACACAGCCTCGGCCGTACCTGCAGCATCCTCCGGCGATGACGCAACGAATAAGCAACACTGGATCATCGAACAGACCGCCGAATCGCGGCAAAAGGCCGGCCGCAATCCTTTTGTCTCGCTCGCCCTCACATACACGCTGAGACTCGCAGCAGAGCTCAACGACTCGGATGAGATCGAAGCCATTTTCCAGCAGGCAGGTCACAAGGGCATTGAGATCACCGTCGCAGCAGACAACGACTTTTACTCGCAACGAGATACTCTCGATCTGCCAGAAGGGACAGCACCGACAGTGGACCAGCTCACAAATCTGGCACCTTTCTCGGCCCAAAAGTGTCGCATCGGCGACGTGCACAAGACGGGCCTCGGATCGAGTGCAGCCATGACCACCTCGCTGGTGGCGTGCTTCCTCCTACACCTCCAAGCAGTCGTTCCGAATGGGCCTGGTTCGCTAGCGACAGAAGACCTGGCTTTGATACACAACCTCGCACAGCTCGCACACTGTGCCGCCCAAGGCAAGATCGGATCCGGCTTTGACGTCAGTGCTGCCATCTGGGGAAGTCAGCTGTATCGACGCTTCGAGCCTAAGGTGCTCCAGGCTTGCCTCGACGAGGGCGAGAAGGTCCCCACCGAGGGGGAAGAGACGCCGGAACAGCGTCAAGCAAGGCTTTCTGCAAGGATCGAGCTGCTACCGGTTTTGGATCCATACAACCCATTGTGGGTTGCCGCTCCGGTGGCAGAGAGTGGCGACTCGCAATCGACCGCCACGGAAGGTCTTGCCGCTGCAAGCGATCATCACGTTCCGAAACCGGCACCTCTGCAGCTGCCGCCTGGTCTCGACCTGCTTCTGGCCGACGTCGATGCGGGGTCAAATACGCCGAGCCTGGTCTCCAAGGTCCTGGCTTGGCGGAAGGAGAAGGCCGAGTGGGCCAAACAGCTATACAATGTCATTGCCTCTTCCAATCAGGGCCTCGCCGACAACCTCTTGCGGTTGCGACTGTTGCATGCCAGCGACTCAGGTGCGTACGAAGAGCATGTTGACTCAGCAGCGAAGCAGCTCTCCACAGAATGGGACGCAACACTCAAGACGCTGCCCAGGGACGCAGACGACCAGCAGGATGGCGACGAGCACATCCCCGCGGTTGACCTTCGGGTCACACCACGCACGGTGCTGCAAGCCTTGATCGACGTGCGCAACAGCCTTCGCTCCATCCGTGCTGGCATGCGGGAGCTCGGTCAACGCGCCGGCGTGCCGATCGAGCCTCCCGAGATTGGCAGCTTGATCAAGAAGATCAGCGATCAAGTGCCTGGTGTTGTGGGCGGTAGCATCCCTGGCGCCGGCGGGTTCGATGCGTTCTACATCATCTACCTGAAAAGCGCCAAGAGCCCTCGCAACCTCTCGCAGCTCTGGGATGAGATCCACATGGTGAAGGAGGAGGCGGAGTCGAAGCTTACCTTGGGCCCGCTGCTGTCCCGGGCAGGTGGAGCAAAGACGACAACGGAAGAGACCTCGAACGATGCGGTGGACGAATCGGGCCCGGTTTCGGCGTTGCTCAAGAAGCTCAAGGCATCAGAGCATGCCGGACAGGACTTTGGACTTCGACTGGAGAAGACCGATAGCGTAGAGGGTCTCAAGGAAGCTCTTGCGCGGTGTGCTTGATCCAATGTCGCTAGAATACCCTGCAACGAACTTGTGGCCATCAGACTCGCTCGCTAGGTGTAATTCCTGGGCGTGTAAGAAAGTGTGTGGGTTGAAGTGTAGATCGCTGGTGTTCCTTCGCAGTGCGCGCGTCCCGTAAAGTGGCGCAGCAGAACGCGACCTTTTTCGGAAGTGTTGGTCTCTGGGCGCAGTCAGGGTCCACTTCGACCTCCAGTCACACTGCTTCATCTTGCCGCACCAACACCATCACTATCATGACCAGTCAAGATGCCTGTGTCCGAGCCAGGTGACGGAGCGAGATGCTCTGTTCTTGAGCGACACTTCGCCAGGGTCGTGCCGCTCTTGACCTTTGTCCGCGAGCTTTTCGACATCGAGGTAGCCGCGACCAGCTCGAAGCAAACATGCGCTCTCTCCGAGGAACAGTGGCAGCGACTCAGCCATACCCTCGTCGGCATCAACGACTGCAGTCTAGCCTCGCTCGCATCTCCGCCCCCTCATCGACCCGCAGCGAGCCAGAACGGACCGTGTACGACCATCCACGAGGCCGTGCAAGAAGCGCAACTGCAAATCCTCACCAAGGCATCTGCGCACGCCAACTCCGAGACAAGAGCCAAGTACGACGCATCGAACAACGTGCTGCTCAAAGGATACCGGCGCCCTGATGATCGTCTCGAGTCCTTTCGTGTTACCTCGACCGGCCGACCGGGCCTGATCAATCTCTACCCAAACTCGATGGTCACCTGCCTCGTCCTCGAGAAGGAGTGGCACTTCCTCTTCGAACGCATCGGCTCGGCACGATTTGTTTGGCTGCTGGTAAACACAAGCCTCTTTGTACCGCTTTTGCGAGATGGAGCTGATGGCACGTGCTACGTACAGCTGACGGGTACCGCGGTGAGCGAGGCTGCGACGAGCAGAAGCGTTGCGACAGCAAGCGACCCTCCAGCAGGACTGAATGCAGCAGGGCTCAAACGCAAGCACAGCGAGACGCTTCCAGTCGCAAGGCTGACTGAGAGCGCACTCAACACAGACGTGGACTCGCTGGCCCCGGCGCTTGCCCCGCTCGCACTGTCAAAGCGAGCCAGAACGTTCGAGCGCGTCGACTCACGCTTCAGCGTGCGCTCAGCCACGTCGGCACCCGAACTCGACGGTGTACGAGGACGAGCATCAGCGCCTGCCAGCGTCGACAGAAAACCGTCCGAGATCGTCTTTGTGCGCAGTCGCATGTTTTACGCACGCTGCTCGCGCAACAAGTCTGGACGAGTCGAGGTCGGTCTACCCAGCGTACACGTCCTGCCCCGTTCGTCGGTCAAGAAGGAGCTCGACAAGGTCCTCCCCAGCTCAACAGCTTCATCGACTCGCAGCAGGTCGGTCGTCCGCAGCCTCCGTGGAGAGAGCAAAGGCGACATTGCATCGCAACAAGCTCTGTTCCATGAAAGACGCACGCGACACTTGGCCAAGTACGTATTTCCGCGTCAGTTCGGTCTGCACAATGTCTTCACCGGCGTTCGCGACTTTGGCACGACGACGCAGCCCTTTCGAGACTACACGGTGAGAGAGATCGAGATCAAGGCGCTCGGGGCCAAGCGCACTCCCAAAGCGCTCCGACCGGTACTTCCTCTATTGGCGAAGATACTTGCGAGACACGACAATCTCAATTACAGAGCGCTGCTCGATCGCTGCTGTCCCTCGAGAGTGCCAAAGGGCAGGCTGACGGCACAGGAACGACAGCAGATCGTAGAGGATCTGGCCGAAGTGGAGACACTCGAAGCCACCCTCTGCCAGGATCTACCCGTGAACGGCACGCAGAAAGAGCGCAGCCGCAGTGCGCTCGCATCGACAACGCAAGCCAACGTCGTCAACTCACAAGCATCGACGGCGAAAGCCCCGCTAAAGGTTGCTTTCGAGCTTCCGCCGCCAGCGCCTCGCAAACCTCGCTACACAAATTATGCCGTCCCGACTACAGGTCAAGTGGTCCACTTCATCACCCTCGCCATCAAAGCGCTCCTACCACGCGACCTCTTCGGCTCTTTACGAAACCAGAATCTCATCCTCTCCTCCATCGGCGACTTCGTCCGGCTGCGACGCTATGAGACGTTCAACCTGCACCACATTGCGCAGTCTTTCCGCTTCACCGACGTCGATTGGGCGCTCCCACCCGCCGCCGTCTCTCACAATCGCCGTCTCTCACGCTCCGAAGCAGATTCACGCAAGGCGCTCATCCTCGAGCTTCTCTACTGGCTCTTCGACGGCCTGGTCATCCCGCTCCTCCGCACGACGTTCTACATCACGGAGACGGCAGCATATCGGAACAAAGTGCTCTACTTTCGCCAGGACGACTGGCACGTTCTCTCGCGTCCCGTGCTGGGTCAGCTGAAAGAGTCGATCTTCGAACCGCTGACACGAGCAGAAGCGCTGAGCATGATGTCATCGCGCAAGCTCGGATATTCGCACGTGCGACTGCTGCCCAAGGAGACAGGCGTGCGGCCGATTGTGAATCTCAGGAGGAGGAGCAACAAGCAGGTGCATAACGAGCAGCAGCAGCGTGGAGAGGGAAAGGGCAAAGGGAAGGTGAGGGGTGGGACGACGAGTGCAAAGCAGAAGAGGGAGTCGCTGATGCTAGGCCAGTCGATCAACTATATCTTGCAGTCGGTATTTCATGTGCTGACGTACGAGAAGAGTCGGTTGCTGACGAGCTTCGGCGGAAACGACAGAGAGAGATCAACCGGGATGGGAGGAGGGGAGGATGTGGGACACGGCATGCTCTCGAGCTCCGTCTTTGGACCGAACGAAATCTACACTTCGCTCAGGACGTTCAAGCAGCACCTCGCGCAAGACCACTCACGTACCGGCGCCCCGCCCAAGCTGTACTTTATCAAAGTCGACGTGCGCTGTGCCTTCGACTCGATCGACCAAACCAAGCTGCTGTCGATCATCGAGTCGATCCTCCATCGGGGCGCTACACAGAACGAAGAGGAAGGATACCGCATCCATCGGTTTGCCAAGGTCATGCCGTCCACGAGCAGCACCAAGCGCGAGTTCGTCCGCCTTGCTCGACCCGATGCGGAGCACATTGACTTTTTCTCCCTCGCCTCGTCGCTCGCTGTGGCCCTGCACGACGTCGTGTTCGTCGACAGTGTTGCGTATCGCTACGAATCGACGGCGTTGATTCTCAAACTGCTTCGTCAGCACATTACGGAGAACCTGATCAAGATCGGTAAGGAATTCTACCGACAACGGGTGGGGATTCCGCAGGGCTCGAGTCTGTCCACGTTGTTGTGTAGCTTTTTCTACGCGGATATGGAATCTCGCGATCCGTTCCTTGGCAGTCTCCGAACGGACGGGCGGAGTCTCCTCATGCGGTACACGGACGATTTTCTCCTGATCACCACGTCGCGTCGCACCGCTCGACGCTTCTACACCTCGATGCGCACCGGTCACCCGGAATACGGCTGCTTCATCGCCCCCGACAAGACGCTGTGCAACTTTGACCTTCTCGACCCTACCTCTTCCCTTCCACTTGTCCCTCGCATCTCGACCGCCTTTCCATGGTGCGGTCTGACCATCGATCCGCGCACCCTGGCCGTCTCGACCGATCTAGCGCGCTACGCAAACACCGACCTGCGCAACACGCTGACGGTAGAATACACCCGTCGACCGGGCAGCGCGTTGGTCGAAAAGCTCATCCAGTCGGTCAAATCGCGCGCGCACATCTTGTTCACCGACACGGCGCTCAATGGGCGCACGGCGTACGCGAACGTGTACGCAACGTTTCTGGTGTCAGCGCTCAAGTTCGCCGCGTATCTGGGCGAATTGCGGCGATTTCGGGTGGTGTTTGATGCAGAGTTCCTGTGGAAGGCGGTGCAGCGCGTGGTGCGCTTCATGGGTAGGTATGTAGGGAGTCGCGCGACGAGTGCGAGGGCCAAGCTCGAGGGTAAAAAGGGAAGGGGAAGAAAGTGGAAGGTGAGCTGCACGTTGCAGGGGCAGTACGTGCACTGGTTGGGATACGAGGCGTTCAGAACGGTGCTCGAGCGGGAGAAGACAAAGAAGGGGGAGGCAAGGAGCGCGGTTTATCGCTGCATGGACAGAGATACAAGGGTGAGGCTCGTGGGGCTGATAGGGACCGCTGCCGCGGGAGCGGGGTACAAGGCCGCCAGGAGGAAACTTGGTGGGGTGGTGGCGCGGACGCTGAAGGAGGCGCAAAAGTCGCTACTCATCTAGCATCGTCCGGATCCACAGGTCCTTTACTCTGTACTACAGACGGTGTGCTCTCACTTTGAATCGCTTGCGGTCCTGCGTGCACTGAGTGTCCCAATAGGGCCCGGTGCAGCGTCGTCAAGGGCGATGGTGGTCGGCATTTCTTGGCTTGTCAGATCGTCAATGAGCACATCTCGAGGAATTTTCCGAAGCTGCAGCTCCACTTTTTGGACTGCTTCCCCCGCGTCGAGAGCAACACCTTTCGAGCTCCACCGTCCCCACCACAACCTTTCCGGGAGCCAGATCAGCTCGATTGATCGCCTGATCGACGATTCTCGCTCTCGACCAGGATCTTGGAGCAAGGGCAACGGCTCAGATGCGCTTCTCCCATCGATGACAGACATGGCAGCGTCAGGCTCGAGGCGAGCTTCAACGACGGGGATTGGGGAGGAGTCCGAGGCGAAGCGGCCAAAGCTCTCGGCTTCGGCGCACGATGGGTCTCGCACTGGCTCGCTGAATGACGAATCCAATACTTCGCCTTCCGGTGGTCATATTCTCTCCGAGCGTCACGGCACTGACGCACCCGATGGCCCGGCGAAGGCATCCCCACGAGCCGGCTCGGCCGCGCAACCGCCGAACGCGCACCATGGCGCTGCGGACCCGCCTCCCCTCGAAGCAAGCCGGACATCTGCATCCCAGTCATCAGCATCGACGACGCCAGCCGTCGAAGCAGGTCCTTCTACATCCGCAGCAGCCCCAGCACCAATAGCAGCCCCAGCAGCGCCACCTCGCGCACCGGACCCGTTCATCCCCGCCCCAGCCTGGTCCGCCCTCTCCCGCTCGGCCCATCCCACCCTCACCCCCTCCCGCTCGATCTACACCTACGAACGCCTCAACCACATCCAAGAAGGCACCTACGGCGTGGTCTTTCGTGCCCGGCCGCGGGATACCACTCCACCACCTGCCGTCTCGCGTTTGCGCCGGATCGGCTACCCCGGGGTCACCGCTGGGGAAGTTGCGGTGAAAAAACTCAAGCTGGACAACGCAGGCGGGAGTGGGTTTCCCATTACGGCCTTGCGCGAGATTCAAACGCTCACGCTTACGCGAAGCTTACCCTCGGTGGTGCGACTGGAAGAAGTGTGTGTGGGCAAGACGCTGGATCAGATTTTCCTGATTCTGCAGTTTATGGAGCACGATCTCAAGTCTTTGATCTCCCTCATGCATCGGCGCGGGGTGGGATGGAAAGGTAGCGAGGTGAAATGTTTGCTCCATCAGCTGTTGACGGGCGTCAAAGGTTTGCATGCGGCTTGGGTGGTGCATAGGGATTTGAAAAGTTCCAACATCCTCATGGACAATCGCGGGCGGTTGAGTATTGGGGATTTCGGTCTGGCGCGTAGGTTCGGTGACCCCATCGATGGGTGGAGAGACGTCCAACACCCACGAACCCATCTAGCCACACCCACCAACGAGGGGAATGGAGGGATGACCGATCTGGTAGTGACACTGTGGTATCGTGCACCGGAACTGCTTTTGCTCCATCAAACGTTGGAACGCCCACGATCAGCCGACTCCCCACCACGCAGCATGCCGCTGTACGACGAGAAGATCGATATCTGGTCCGTAGGATGCATCTTTGCCGAGTTGCTTTTGACCCATCAGTCGGGAGGAGGACTGTTTCAGGGCAAGAACGAGGCGGATCAGTTGCGAAAGATCGAACGCGTACTCGGCGCACCTAACGCTACAATTTGGCCCGAATTGCCGCTGTGGCGTGGGGCCTCGCAGGTCGCTCCCACGCCCTCCCCTACAGCGGTCGCAGACGAGGAGCGGAGGGTCAAACGTAGGTTAGAGCAAGCATTCCACCCAACGCCACTCACAGAGGGAGCCCTGGATCTGCTCTTCAGACTCCTCCATTGGGATCCGAAACAGAGACCCAGCGCAGAGGCCGCATTGCAGCACGCATATTTCAAAGAGGCACCCAAGATGGCCCACCCAGATTCGTTCGGTAGCTTCCCCAGCGCTGCCAAGGGCGAAAGCGTCGAGGTGGACACGCCTAGCGCACCCAATGTACACGCACAGAGGGCTAGGGACGGGGACAGAGCGGACAAGGGAAATGCGGGAAAGGCCTACCAGATGGAATTCGATTTCACCGCTTAGCGAGCGGCCATTTGCGCAGAGATGATGACACACTGCCAGCCTGAGAGGGAAAAGTGTGCAAAGGGGATCAACAATGCATTGCGAGAATTCTTTCGCTTGTGCGAGGAATGGTGCGAAGATGAAGTTTGGTGTTGCTACAGGAGAGTGATTCTTGAGAATGACGATCATGCATCGGAGGCAAACTGTCAACCATTTCAGGGGTGTGAGAAAGGCGATCAGCATCTGTCATCCTTGCTACGCAGCCTCGGGGATTTTAGCACTCACCGCAGGCACATCGTAATAATTCGGGTGATTGCCGAGCCTCTCCGGACCCCAGTACGCCAGATACGGGATGGGTAGCCATGCGTACGGCAGCATTGGCACGGGATGGCACAGCGCCAGATAGGCGTGGTCGTGGGTGAAGTAGAAATGCGATGGCGGAGCCATTGGATGATGAGGGGGTGGCGGAGGAGGCGGACCAGAGTTGACAGGCGAGAGTCGGGGAAGGGGAGCCATGAACACGCCCTCCCGAGGCGGCATGGGGTAGGTGTACCACGCGCAGATGGTTTCGGGTGGCTGACCGGGTGCGGGGTGGACAGGGTTGGGGACGCTGGCGAAGTGGATGTCTTGGAGGTGGATCGGGTGGGTTGGAGTGGATGGGGTGGCGGTGGAGGTGGTCGTGGGGGTGACGAGCTCGTCAAAAGGCTCGGGGATGGACTGGATGGTGGCGTCCGTGTCTTCGGTGGTGTTGGAGTCGAGTGAGGGGGTTCGGTCGACCTTGACGAGGGACAGCGAGGCTTCACTCTCGCTGGTCTCCGACTCGCGGCGCTGCTCCACAGCATCAACAGCGGCATCAATGCTCGCCTCAATGTTGGTGTGATCCTCGACGGAAGGCAGAACAACGTTGTGAGGAACAGGAGTCTGGGCCGGAGCATCCTCGACATGCTGCTGCGGCATAGTGGCGGCGGTTTCGACTTGGGTGTCCCAGACCGAGTGAGCCTCCGCAGCGGCAGCATCAGCATCGATTGTGGCGACGCGGCTGAACAGACCCTGAGCCGGCTGATCGAGCGAAGGGCGAGCCGGATGATCTCTAGGTCGGGACAAAGACGTACCGCGCGAACGTCCTCCTCCGCGAGGCTTGCGACCAGAAGGCTGCTGACCGAAACAAAAGCCACCTCTAGCACCACCTCGACCCATCTGCTGCTGCTGCGATGCATACAATTGCCGATCATCTTGTCTAGCGTCTTGGGTAGCAGGTTTACCGCCATAGTGCTGACGAGGCTGCGAGTAGCCATAGGAGGAGCCCGTTGAGTGGAGGCCTCCCTGAGTCTGGATACCTGTACCGCGAAAGTTGTTGCGGTAGCCACCTCGACCCCCTCGACCTCGTCCGCTTCCTCGCTGGTTCATCGACCCCATCATTGGGGACAGACTGGACATGGCCGAAAGGTGGGACATCGCAGCGAGGTCGGACACCGAAAGTGGCTCTCCCTCTGGCCGAGAAGGCAGACCGGCATTTCGAGGAGCTGCGACGGACGCGTCCTCTTGAGCTCGACGGTCTTCCTTGCTGCCCATCGTGTATATTGTGAGGGCTGCGGTGAGGTTGGAGGACAATGGAGAAAGGGGAGGAGAGCAGGACAAAGGATTCGAAGATGTGACCTTTTAAGAAGACAGCGTCAAGGACATTGTGGAGAAGCGGAGTGTCCGTGCGGCCCTTTTTGCCTTTGATAGTGAGAATGGCACGGCAGCCGGAACGCAGTCGGGCAGTTCCGAAGGGAGGATGAGTGTGCGTAGGAAAGTGGGAGGGCGACGGACGGGAGGAAAGGGAGAGGGCGCGAGAGGCAAATGGGCCAGAGGATTGGAGGAGTGGCAGGCCATGATCAGCAATGTGACAGCTTGGTTGACGAAAAAAGTGACTCAGAACCATCACACTCTCATCACACTCCGCCTTTCGGCAGATCCGACTCCACGCGGAATGGTGCTAAAAACGACCAAGATTGGCCTGCTTCATCCTATCGCATTCGATGCGCCCACCTCGCAGAGCAGGCGAGAATAAAGTTGTGAAGAGCCATTTGACACGGAGAAGCAGTCAAATGAAGTCGTCGATTCGGTTACGCCTCCTTCGACCAAAGGAGCAGAGTTGCTGCCAAGGGCAAGAAGTGGGCGAATGAATGTCGTGCAGAAGCGTGGTCGACTGAGCCTATCGATTTTGGTACAGTCAGCAATAGGCCAAGAAGCGGCAAAGCTGCTACTGCTGCTCCTCCTGCTGCGCCGTGTGACGGAATGAGGAGGAAGCGTCAGTCTGAACCTTGTCTCTGCTGCCAAGGCGGCTTCTCCGTTTCTTGATGGGGCATGCACTTTCTTTTTGAGCTTGAGACGTCTCCGTCACCCATCTACTTCCGTCTGCGAGCGGCATTCGTTCAAGTTTGATTGGAAGCGGTGTTCAGGGTCATCGGTAAAGGTGTCGAGAGCGTTGAGATCAAGAATAAGCTTTCAGAAGCGTGAGAACATGAATGCAAAGGGAGTGAAATGACGACTGCAAAGCTAAAGGTCGATCCTGCATCTAAATTCAAGTGAGTGGGTATGTATGATTAGAGTGTGACAGGTGCCAGCGCGACGCGAAACGACGCTTGCGAAAAGAAGATCATCTCCTGCCTCCGCCAGTGACTCGCACGAAGATGCGGAACAGCGAAACGGTGAGAACGATGAGATAGGCGAGCAAGCTCACAAACGCCAGTCCGATCAGGGAGCCTTGCAGTCGGCAGATGTACGGCTCGCGACCCGGGTTGTTCAACGGGCTGGGTCGATCCGATGGTTTCTCCCTTGGCCCAACGTACGGACTGCCGAAACTGACGCAGACCAGCGTCGACGTAAAGTAGTTGTCAAACGTCAACGCCAGCTCTGCCGACCAGAGGCAGATGAACACCAGCTCCACCACCGTGTACGACAGCTTGGACTGCACCGTCCACAGTCCGATGGGTCGTCCAAAGTACTCGAGCCAGATCTGGAAGCCCACGTGCACCAGACTGAGAGGAGCAAAGATGATGGCGAGCAGTGGAGATGCGCCCACCGCGTCGTTGGCGCCTTCCGAGCGGAGGATGATCAGCAACTTGATCGCAACAGCCAACGTGGCCGCAGTGAAGGCGACGTTGATCAGTCGGAAGAGAAGAGGCACAAAGGGGTTGTGGATCAAAAAGTTCTTCCAAGCCTCGAACCACGTCTTGGCCCGACCATCTTTCGAGCCAGCCGTGTCGGATCGTGGGAAGTAGCCCGCCGCGTTGATGCCACCGTGGCCACGCTCCTCCGGCTTCCATGGCGATGCCCAGCCCGGCGTAGCTGGTTGATGCACAGTGAACACGTCCGGGTTCTCCACCCTCGCTTTGAATGACATGGTCGGGTATTCTGGCTCGTCGTCGTGCTTGTGCTGCTTCTCCAGATCGCGCTCATCCGTGCGCGTCGTCGAGGTTCCGCCGGGCGAAGGAGACGATTGACGCTGCTGGTCGCGAAAGCTCGTCGAACGGTGACGAGACGAGGCTTTGGCATCGCTATTCTGTCGATTGTTGAGCAGTCCGCTCGCGCCCAAGCCTGCTGCCATTCCGTCCCAAAGTCCTGCGCCCAAGCCGTAGCCGTGGTGCAAGTTGTGTTGCTCCCGACTGGTGCGCTCCTGCATTTCCATGTCGCTCGTGTCGTCATCGCTGCTGGTGGTCTCGTCGGATCGTGCAGAGTCAGAGTTGGAGTTTTGACGCTGCTGTTGCTTCTTCTTGCCGCTCTGATTTTGTTTGGCGGTCTTGTCGTCATCCAGCTTCTCCTGAGCTTCGGATTGCTTGCGCTTGTCGTCTCGCGCCATGCGCAGGTGGTGCTCATGCAGACGTGAGCGGTACTTTTGCGGCAACGTGAAGGTCCACCAGCGGTCAGGTGTTTCGCTTTGCGCTTCCTTGGCCTCTGCTTCATTCACCGCCTCGGGCGAGACCGCACGATCAAAAGCGGCGCCGTCCCTGCCAAGAACCTTTGTATCCTCTGTCGGTTCGTTCGATTTCTTTTCTAAGGAACGCCCGCGTTGACCATTGCCGTCGAATTGCATTTCGGCAGCTGGAAGAGAAAGTGATTCCATGTCACGTAGCGATTTCGAGATGCTGTGTGTTTGCGGACTTGCGATGGGTGAGTGAGGTGGGCTTGGCGACTCGTCACGCGCCCAGACTGGGACAGTGACGATGGTAGGGTTGGCTCGGCTCCTTCTGGTGCCTGTTGCATTACGACTTCCCCCTGCAAGATTGACCGAGCTGCCTGCTGCTGAACCTCGACTTGAAATCCTGCTGCTATCGCGAAGATGGCTATGACCAGCGTTTTTGGACTTTTGTGCGCTCGCCTCCTTTCGGTGGTGGACGGATGACTTTGGCCCGGCCTTCGGCGAGGCGTTCAGAAAGCTGGAGCCGGGAGCTGGTGAAGTCGGCAACGAGCTGTTGTCGCCCCTTCTATGCGCGGACGGTGTGGCCTGTAGACTTTGCTCGTCGAACTGGACTGAAGGTGCCATGATGCTGCCTGGTCTGCTGTGATTGTCGATGTTCCTGCGTGTGGTACCAGCATCGTCTTTGGAAGGTGCGGCCAGAGTGGATGATGAGCCTTGCTTAGTGGAGGTGGTGTGGTTGTCTTCGGTTGATGCAGTACGAGCGTCAGCATTGAGTGCAGGAGCGTGAACAGACGCTCGGTCAGAGGAGGACCCGCCGTCCATCGACGACATTGTTGCAGACTTCGATCTCGATTCGGCCTGCAGGGTTGAGCGGACGGATTATGAGAGCAGGCGAAAGGGTGCAGCTAGAGCCCACTGAGCGGCCTGTGGGGTGAAGCCTCCGAGATGAAACGGGTGCGACCGCGGGTTTCCGTCGAAGGCTTGCGTGCGAAGACGTCCCGAGAGCGGAGAAACCCGTGCAGCTAGCTTGATTTTGATAGGAGTCGCACGAGGTTGTTACTGTATCTCTGGCTGGATGGTCTACAGGGACGAATGGATGAAGTCGTTGGCGCGAATGATGGTGCAGAAGGAAGGTGTGACGAGAAGACGAAAGGAGGAGGGGGGGTCGCCAGGCAGCGAAGTACCCATTTGGATGAAGAAGACTCAAATCGATGACGAGCGAGGCTCACAAAGAGCAACAACGGCACATGCAGCTGCAGGAGCAGTGTAGATGCAAGGCCAAGGTTTTGGTGCCAAGCCGCGCCGAAGCTTCCGTTGTCATGCAGCTCACTCTCCGCTCCGGTCACGCTTCTCTCTTGCCGCGCCCTCGTCTCCATGCCTGTTCTCACACTCGCTCTCTTGACGACACTTTGGCTGTCGAGCCGGTTTCTGAGCCTATTCTCCGCCATTGAGAGATCGACTTGACCGATCGCATAGAATCGACGCTCGTTGGCGTACGGTACCGTACACAGACAAGGCAACCGGCCATATTCCAGACCGATTTCGAAAAAGGGGGGCAACAGAAGCGAGGTGCGAGGCTTGTTTGTTTTTCATGAGATCCGACTTTGTGATGACCTTGCTGCTTGCAACTTGACGTCAGGAGGCGCTGCTTCATTTTTCGCCAATTTGGCACCGCAATCTCGATCTTACATACCAAAAAAGCTCCCTCCTCGAACGAGCTTGCTCGATTGGCTGGACGTCGGCCTGTCCAAGCGCGATCTTAGCCTCTCACTTGGTCCCTCAGACGGATCGCGAGTACTAGCCATCATCGCGAGAGTTGACGCAGTAGAGCACCTTCTGACCAAATGAGATTTGCAGGATCTAAGAGACACCGTACAGGTGTTTACACAAAAGCCGGAACCATGTATCGAATCTGTTATAGTATGTGTGAGAGCACCGAGAGGGAGCGAGACCGAGAAAGCGAACCAGAAAGGGTGAGGGAGAAGACATTGCTATGTCTGTATGCAAGCGAAAGCGAAGCGGGGAGGGAAGGGGAGGGGGCTAGGCGGAGAGATCGGGAGCCAGGATGCAAGGTGAGAATGAAGGAAGATGAGGGAATGGGCGTTCTATGCATGGCGACGAAACCATGGCAATGTCCCTTTTCGTGTGCTGAGCGTCCGATCGTCGAGGCGGAAGGAGGCTGCAATGGACTGCGTGAGATGTCATCGGCCGGTTCCGATAGTGCGCGCCGAGATGAATCAGACGGCGACGGGGTTCGATTGCACTACGGCAGCAAAGTCAAGCATCGGAGCGGCCGTGCCATTGACAGTCGAAGAGGGCTGCTTGGGAGCGGCAGCCGAGCTCGACTTGGACTCAGTCTCGGTCTGCTTGACTTCTTCCGACGAAACGGCGGTGACCTTATCGTCGGCAGCAGCGGCAGCCTCGACCTCCTTGACGGGCTCGGGCTGCTTCTTAGGAGGCGCAGGGGCCGACAAGATGGCCGAGAAGTTGACCTTGGTGGCCGCACCGTTCGCGCTGGACGCTTGAGCAGCAGCAGGCGCCGATGAACCGGGGCCAATCGACAAAGCAGGGAAGTCGTCCGCACTCGGCAGGCGCTGCTGAGGCGCATACTTCTTCTGGGCAGCGCCGTTCTGACCGGTCTGACCGTTCGCGCGGCCATTGCCGTTCTGGTTGGTGCGTGCGCGAGCACCGCCCTGCTGGTTCTGCTGGCCCTTGCCGCCCTGAACGCCGTTCGGCTGGGGCTTGGCGCCATTCTGTCGGTTGGCAGGAGCGGCTCCATTGGCATTGCCGTTGAGCACGGGCTTGGAGGGGACCGACGCAGGGATGCGGTCGCCGTTGATGCTGCTAGGCAGAGCGGAAGCAGGCTTGCCGTCTTCCGACTTGCCAGCTGCAGCGACGCGTTTGCCGTTAGCCGTGTTCTCGCCCTTGGACTCGGACTTGCCCGAAGCAGTCGCTTTTGGCGCGGAGGATGCCGAGGCAGTAGCGGTGACGCCGTTCGCCTTGGGGCCATTGACTTGCTCTTTCTTGGCAGCTCCATTCGAAGCGGGGTGGTTGACGACGGCCTCGGGCTTTTCATCGTGAGCATCCTGGGACACAACCTTGTCGGCGGAAGGAGACTCGGAAGCCTCGTTCTGGTCGGCCGAGGTGATGGTGGTCTGGGCCGAGGCAGGCGAAGTCGACACCGTCACATTCGTGGAGGCAGAAGGAAGGCTGCTCGTGTCGCTGGCAGCGCCAGTCTGTTGAGAAAGAGCAGCACCGGTTCCGTTGGCATGCGAGCCGTTGGTCGAGCCTCTGGTGTTCTTGGCAGCCAATGCGCGGTTGATGGCACGAGCTGCTTCGATCGAGTGACTCGAACGACCAGCGTTGGGCCCACGCATGTCGGTGCCATCGGGCAGGATGTGAGGGAAGCGGCAGTCCTCGCCGTGCTTGCAGGCAGAGCGAGCGAAGAAGTGGCAGGCGGGGCGCTCAGTGGAGCGCTTGCCAAACTCGGTGCGCGAGCCGAAAGCGCCACCCATCGATGCTCCACCGCGACGGGGGCCCTTGGAGCCACGAGAGAAAGGCTGCGAGCCACTCATGACGTTGCCGTCGGCTCCGACCGACAGTCCGTTGGGTGCGCCCGGACCTGGCTGGAAAGGAGCAGCGTGGTGAGCCATGAAAGCGCTGAAAGAGGTGGTGTTGCTGGCACTTGTTGGTGCTGATGCCTTCGCAGCCTCATTGTCCGTGGCGACAGCAGCCGTGTCGGCCTTGGTCTCCTCGGAGACAGCGGCAGGCGACGTCTCGGCCGGAGCATCCTGAGAAGCTTCGTTGTCGGTCGCCTTCTTGGTGTCGTCCTCTTGCGCCTGCTCAGGCTCGAAAGGCTGTTGGTGTTGCGCGTCAAAGTGGTTGCCGTACGACTCGCCCTGTTCAGCAGAGTGCGAAGCAGGCGCCATGTGCGGGGGAGGAGGCATGTGAACGGGCATCGGAACGCCGGCATGGGTGTACTGGATGGGCATGGGAGGAGCCATGGAGTAGAAGTGCTGAGGAGGACCATAGGCGGGGTAGCCATAGCCGTGCGAGGGGTAGAACATCTGGGCGCCTGGCGAGACGGGCCCAGCGTTGGACGCGGACGACGGCATGGCGACAGGATGAGCAAACATGCACTTGTCGCCATAACGGCAGTTGGGGAAGAAGCGGCAAGGGATCATCTTTGCAACGTCAGGTGGTGGCAGGCTGCCGGAAGCGCTGTCCTTGGAGGCATGGCCACGGTGCTCTGGCTGGTGTGTTGGGTCGAAGAAGCTGTTGTGCGGAGGCTGGAAGGGGTACATAGGCTGAGACATGGCGTGGTGGAAAGCGTGCTGCTGGTGGAGAGATGCGTCCATGGACGAGTGAGCCTGGTAGTTGGGGGGCTGAACGTAGCTGACGGTGCCGTCAGGAAGCTGCTTGCCTCCGTGAGAGTCGATGACGGGGGCAGTCTGGAAGGCAGTGGATTGGGTGTGCTGCAACGCGCCGTTGATCATGGCTTCGAGCTCGGGGTTCTGCTTGAGCGTCGAGTCTTGGGCTACGTCGATGGCGTTGGCACCCTTGACGAGAAGTTGCGAGACAACGTCGATGTGGTTACCTCGGACTGCGTAGAGGAGAGCAGTGTTTCCGGTTTCGTCGCGGGCATCAATGTCAAGCGAAGGCTCTTCGAGGAGGGAGCTGACAAGCTCGACGTTGCCGTCCTTGACGGCCTGAAAGAGAGTAGCAGTCATGATGATGCTATGTGTGTTGCTGTGGCAGACGCAGATGGAAGGGCACACCTTAGCCTCACTTCCACTGCTCTTGCTGGTGAATGATCGAGGAGGTGAGCTCGATCCTGGTGTGGTTGATGAACCGACTTGGAGAGACGCCTATGCTGACAAGGGACAGAAGCGATGAAAGCGTGCTTAGCGGGACGATGAGATGCTCGAATGGATGCCGGATGGAGATGGACCGGAACGATGAGAAGCCGGTGTGTCTTGATGAAAGCTCAAGCGGGGATGCTGGTCGTTACAGGATAGGCGCGGGAAGGAACGGTCGCCGTGAGAAGAAAGCGCGGCTGAGCAGGAAGAGTGGGAGATGAGGTGGTGGGGCTGCAGTCGATGCAGACGATGATGAGGTCGATGACAGGTTGGTTGGTTGGTTGATCGAATGATTGGCTCTACGACAGGTCTGGCTGAGAAGATCTTGTTCTTCTCATCATGCTCAAAATTGTCAGAAGACTCAGGCTCAGCTCGAAGAAGAAAAAATTGAGAGAGAAAAAAGCTTTCTTCTTGAAAGATGGCGGGTTGCGGGTCCCACCAAATCCACCCTTCCAACTCTGCCTTTCTGCAGGCTTCCTCGATTTTGGCCGAATTGCGGTCGCTGCCGCTTCTTCCACGACCCTTTTCTTCTTGGCTTTGCAGCAGCAGAAAGATTCGCCCTGAAGATCCGTCTGCACGGCCTCACAGAAGTCAAGCCCGAAAAGAACTCTGACCGGGTGAAGGCAGTCGGGTGAGCAGCTACCAGGTCACGTCTGCAGCTTGAACTGCATGAGTGTAGGATACGACTTGGATTTCTATCAATGCCAGTCTTGCGCATGTGATTCACAGAGCAAGCCGCCAGAGACAGAAAGCTAGGAAAAAAGAGCTCGAAATTCGGTCCAAAAAAGCCGAAGGTGGGACGACGAGTCAAGACTGAGCAGCGAAGCAAGAAGGAGGACCCTTGTCGAGCTTGTCCCACTCGCGTGGTGCGCTCCTTTCTCGCACGGTTGGAAATTTCCGAAGCTGGTCAGGGTCAGTTCTTCTTGCTTTGTGCAAAGCACACTTGCTTCGCTTTGTTCTCACCATATACCTCTCTCGCTTCACCTATCTATTGGCAAAGGCATCGCAGCACATGCTCACATAGCGACTGAACAACAGCGGCTCAGATCGACCTCCGATCAGCATGGTTCTGCGCTGCTACAGTCGGCGGCACATTGTGCCTGCTGCTCGAGCATGGCAGCGACACATCTCGACAACCTCGTCAATAAGTGCAGCACAAGCATCGACATCAACGACGCCAGAAGCGAAACATGCTCGAATCCGCAAGCCTGCTCCGAGCTCAAGTCAGCAACAGCCCGAGAGCTGGTCCTTCTTCTTTCCAGATCATCTGCCATGGAGTCGGAGAGCAACGCCTTCGTCACGCGCAAGGCATCCTCTCGTCAAGAAGCTCATCTCCGAGATCTACAGCACCTCGCGTGCGCCCGATGCTAACCGCGTATGGAAGGCCTACATGGACCTCAAGGAGGCGCAAGACGCCGGCCTTTCGGCCTCTTCCTCTTCGTCCACCGCGACTTCTTTGCTCACACAGCTGGAGCCGGTTCACTTGCAGCTCATCCTTCGCGCTATCGATCCTTCCGTCTCTCGGACCAGAAGCCTCGCTCGTGCTGAGAGCAAGCGTCATCAGAGCTTGCAGCAGCAGCAGTCTGCCTTGGCCAGCGGCAACGCCCCTCCCAGCATCTTGCTCGCTGAGCAACACGCCTCTCGACATGCGGGTAAGATCTTTGACGCACAACATCCCGTACGCGAATACATGCGCCGCGTCCAGATCATCTTTCGCGACATGAGGCTCCACTCGTCCATCGTACCCGCCACGAGTTCTGCCGTCGAGTCTGTCCCCGACCTCGCCGACTACAACCACGTCCTTTCACGTCTAGCCTCGGGCGGCCACATTGGTCCTATGTCGTCCATCTGGAACGAGATCTCTGCCCTCTCAGCTAAGTCAAGCTCTACAGGAGTCCATCCCAACGGACACACATATCGGGAGCTCATGGTCGGGCTGAGCCGACACGCCACCGAACAGATCGAGAGGGTGCAAAAGGACGAGGCCTCCAAGACATTGAACTACTCGGGCAAGAAGAAGCAGCTCGAAAAGTCGGCCAGAGCTGCTGCCTCCGGAGCTGCAAAGTATGGACAGATCTTGGCTCCGTCCGCGAGAGCCGCTGCCATTCTTGCAGCTCTTCGTACCATGGCTCTGCTCAAGGACATGAAGGATCACTCGGTTACGCCAAATCACATCACGCTCGACTTTGCTGCCAGGACTCTGCGGCTGGCAGGACACATTGACGGACTTCACTTGCTCATGCAGCAGGCCTACGGCATCGACCTCACCACGCCCGACTCTGCCAGCGCCGTACAGAAGGAGCAGCAAGGCATCGCACCCACCACACATACCCTCAATACCCTCCTCATGGCGCTCGGCGAGCAGAGCAGCGTGCCAGAAATGGTCGCAGCATTTGAGACCGTAGCCAAGCCTCTTCCGTCCGGCACATCTAGCGCAGATGACTCGGCGTCCGGAGAAGGCGTCTTCTCCACCAACTGGAAGGACATCTTCAGCAGCATGCGTGACCGCGACGGCGAGATTGCACAGCAATCCGGCAACACCGACGAGACGAGCGTTCCAGACGCCTTTGCGTACGCCTCACCACAGAGAATTGCACCCAACACAAAGACATTCGAAGTCTTGCTGCGCCACTGCTGCACCGAGGTGGATCCGCTCCGATCGCCAGTCGCTCTCAAGACGGAAGCAAACGCGGGCTCCATCTCCAGCATCGCAAAGGAATCAACTGAGAAGGCGCTCGCTGATATGCAGGATGGCGGACAGCGCGCCCTCGAGATGGAGCGCAGAACGAGAGGCGCCTATGCTCTGTTTGCAAAAGCGCTGTTGTCCGAAGCCTTGGACAGGTCGGCAGAGCTGCTGTGCGTTACAGCAAGCAATCTCGGTGTCGAGATCTCGAGATCGGAGCAGGCCGCAACCGAGGCAGACGAGGCAGCCAGTGCCGAGGACCGAGCCAGCTCCGCCGCCATCGCCTCGACGCAGCCACGGCCGGAGCATACAAGCTTCGCTGTTGCCCCGGGTCGAGCGATGGATGCCGACTTTGTTCCGATTCTCGAGCCGCCCGCCTTCTCTGTTACCGCCACGATGGTGCAGCCTTTTATCGCACTCGCCTCTTCACGCAAGAGCATTGGAGAGCTGCGATGGGTCCGTTCCATCCTGGCAAAGGCTTTGGAGAACAAGGCGGCAGAAGCACAAGTGATCGATGCAGCATGGCGAACCTACTCGGCTCGCTTCGCAAAGGCGCGTCAGCTTGCTGCAGCACAGAAAAGCGGCAACGAGCCTGCTTTGGAAGGTCTGCAAGACTTGGAGCCATTGCGATTGAACGAAGGAAGGCCCAACGAGGTTCACGCCTTCCTCAAGCTACTGCGACAACAACACCGACTCGCTTCGAAGCAAGCGCAGGAGCTCGAGTGGCTGCTGTACGATCGACTCGATGAGCGTCTGCACGATCTGGCCACGAACAGGACTCGGCGAAAGATCCAGCGCGTGCTCAACCACCGAGAACAGAAAGTGCGCGCCGAGAGGGATAGGTTCGAGGAGCAAGAGCGCGAGATTGCGCGCAAGAAGCAGGCTATCGAAGCTAGGAGGCTGAGAGAGCTGCAGAAGCAACAGCAAGAGGCTCAAGAAGCATCCGTCGACCAGAGCAGTTCACACATGGCCTCGACGGCCTCGGCATAGAAAGCAATGCACTTCAACATACTCATACCATCTTCGGTACCGACTCGAAAGTGTCTCATGAGCAACAGTGAAGGGTCGACTGATAACGACCGTCGACCACACCGCAACAGATTGAACGGTCCCTGCTGCGCCTGACTGGGAGTGAAGAAGTGGTCTCGTCACGGTGTGAGGATGAAGACTGTTGAGGGTGAAGACGGTTGGTGGACGCGCGTAAAGATGCCAGCCGAGCGAAGGGTCTCTCGAAAACCTGCCAGGCCACGTCTCACGAGCGAGGCACGACGGGAAACGCACCGGCCACTTCAACGGCCAAAAAGATGAAGCTGCACAAGGATCTTCTCAAGGGTCTTTGTTCGACTCCGCTTCCTCTCTCCTAGCATCCCTCCGAACAGTTACCTGTCGACCTCCATCCCTTCATCGACCACACCCTCGACTTCAGTCTCTTGCCGACCGCACGGTCGATGTTCCGCGCGTCACGCTCATCGTCCTAGGATCTGTGTCGATTCAGAGAAGTATCACCTAAGAGCGCAAGCACAATGGCGGACGCAGAGGCAGCCGAGCGAGCCGCAAAGGCCGCTCGCGCCAGAGCCAAACTCAAGAAGCATCAAGCGCAGAAGAAAGCAGCCGCAGAAGCTGAGGCAGAAGGGAGTGCCACTCCTCCTGCCGACAAAGAAGCCGTCGAACCAGAGCCAGCCGCCGATACGGCCATCTCGATACCGAAGGCGGCGGCGGCTGCTGCACCTTCGCAAGCTGAAGCGACAGAGTCGTCTGAGAGCAAGCTGAACAATGGTGTGAAGGCCGCCGGGGTCTCTGATCACAGTGCTGAGCTGAACGAGGCTCAGCGCAGGATCGAATCGCTCTCTGCCCAGCTCGAAAGCACACAAGAAGATCTCAAGAAGGCGACAGAGCAGGCTTCAACCCTTGACAGCCAGCTGAAGCAGCACAAAGAAGAGGCCAAGTCTTCGGCAGCGGCCTCGGAGCAAGCGAGGAAGACAGCGACCGACAAGATCGAGCAAGATCTGAAGCAGCAGCAGGCAAAAGCAGCAGAGCTCGAGAAGGAGGTCGAGAAACAGCGGGACCTTCTGCAATCTTCAGAGAAGGAGGCAGCTGCATCGAAAAAGGCGATCGCTGATCTGGAAGCGTCGCAGAAGAAAGCCGCTGATAGCACGAAGGCGCTCCAGGATCGACTCAAAAGCATCGAATCCGACCATCACAAGGCGCAGAATCAGTCGTCAAAGCTCGAGACCAAACTATCAGACCTTCAGAAGACGAGCGACAAGGCTTCTGCAGATGCAAAAGAGACAGCCGCGAAACTCAGGGAGGCCGAAAGCAAGATCAGGGATGCCGAGGCGAAGAGCCTCTCAGAAGCCCAGAACGCGAAGCAGCTCGAGCAAGACAAGGCCGGTCTACAACGCAGCGTACAAGAGCAGACGAAGGAGGCAGATGCGCTGCGCCAAGACCTCCAGAAGCGGCAAGCTGCGATCCAGAATCTCGAAAAGAAGCTCGCCGATCCGTCGAAAGCCAACCAGATTCAGTCGCTGAACAAGCAGGTGGCCGAGGCCAAGGAGAAGATCTCGAGCCTCGAGACCGACCTGCACGGCAAAGATCAGAGTCTCAAAAGCTCGGCCGCTGGCAGCGAGAAGCTGACGGCGCAAGTCAAAAAGCTCGAGGAAGATGCCAAGACGACATCAATGACTCTCGCCACTCTCGAGGGCAAGCTTGCCGAATCCACAGCCCGTGAAGCCAAGATCAAGTCCACTTTGCAACAGAGCGAGGACAAGAACGCGGACCTCGAAACATCGCGAGACGAGCTGGAGAAGAAGCACGCCAAAGCCGAAGCCGACATTCAAAGCTGGACGAAGAAGGCAGAAGCGCATGCCGAATCGCTCGCAAAGAGCGAAAAGCAAGCGACCGCCGTCCGAGGTCGTGCTGACGCGGCCGAGACGGAGGTCTCTGCGTTGCGAAAGGAAAAGGATCAGCTCACTGCTTCGGTCTCTGAGGTCAAGAAGCAATTTGACTCGCTCACGCAGGAGAACAAGAGACTCGAGCAAGCCAAGGAAGATGCGCTGAGCACCTCCCAGCAGTCGGACAAGGAGAAGGCGACCGAGATCATAGATCTCAAGAGCAAAGTGCAGCAGCTCGAGGACCAAGCCAAGAAGGACAGCAAGGCGGCATCGCAGCTCTTAGAGGACGCCAAGTCGCAAGCAAGCAAATCTGCGAAAGAGGTTCAGGATCTCACTGCTTCGCTCAAGGCGTCGCAAGACAAGGTGAAGGATGCCGAGAGTCAGCTCGGAGAGCGCGACAGCACCTTGTCCGCCGCAAAGGAGCAGCAGAAGTCGACGGAGCGAGATCTCGTCACGGCTTCAGCAGAAGCGCAGAAGGTCACCAAAGAGCTCGAGTCCATCAAGCTGCAGCTTTCGACGTCCGAGAAGCAACGCACAGAGTCTGCAGACACGATCACGGATCTGAAGGAACAACTCAGCAAGTCGCAGAGCAACCACAAGGACCTCTCCGCGTCATCGGACAAGGTGCAGAAAGAGCTGGCAGCGTCGAAGAACGAGGTGTCCACCTTGCAAACCAAGGAGAAGGAGCTGCTCGCAAAGCACAAAGAGCTCGAAAGCGTCAACTCGATGATTCTCGAAGACCTGGCTATCTTGCGGTCCGAGATTGCTACGCACAAGACTGGCAATGCCGCCACTTCGAAGGAGCTCGCTTCGATCACCTCGAAACACGATCAGGCTCAGCGCGATTTGCAGCAAGCGCAGAAGGATCTGCAAGGGGCACACACCACCAGGGCTGAGCACGAGAAGTCAATAGCGGACCTGACGTCGCAGCTCAGCACGTCTAAGGGCGAGAGCGGCAAGGTGCAGGACGCAATCAAGAGCTTGCAGGCCAAATTCGAGGCGGAAGCCGAAGCGCGCAAGCAATCTCAAGGAGAGGTGGAGCAGACTCGGGCGGAGCTTGCTGAGGCTGTCAAGCGGGGTGATGAGCTGGACACGCGACTCCGCTCACTCACATCTGAGCTGGACGAGTCCAGAGCCGATCACCAGAAAGCGGCGTTCACTGCGTCGGATCGACAGAAAGATCTCGACTCTGTGAAGAGCCAGGCTGCAAAGACCAGTGCAGAGCTCAAAGACGTCAAGGCCGCCCTCGCTCAATCTGAGAGCGCTCTCAAGACGCTCGAGGCTGAGAAGCAGGAAGCCAACAAAGCTATCTCGACCCTCCGCGAAGAGCAATCAGCGTCCGAGGAGAAGGTGAAGAGCCTGACCGCTGACCTGGATCAAGCGAGAAGCGATCACGGCGACGCCGTGGGCGAGTCGCAGAAGCATCAAGCTGCTTCGGCACAAAAGGACAAGGAGCTTTCACAAAGCAGCGAGAGAATCGCAGCGCATGAGGCGACCATCGCTGCACTCCAAGACAAGCATAGCGGTCTCGAGAGATCCGCAGCTCAGCTCGCTGAGGCCAAAGCTTCGCTCGGACATGACCTCGAGGCGTCTCAGTCGGAAGCGCAGGCTCACAAAGCATCCGCAGAAGCCAAAGCCAAAGACATCGAGGATCTCGAAGCCAGACTGTCGACCTCCGAGACAAGCCTCACCAAGACTTCGGAAGAATTGGCTGCTGCCAAGTCACGCGGCGACGAGCTTGAAGCCAAAGTCCAGGCCACATCCAAGGACCTCAAATCGTCGCGATTGGAGTCGAAGGCCCACAACAAGTCTTCCGAGCAGAAAGCGGAGCAGATCAAGGTGCTTGAAGCGAGGATAGCCGACACGGACGCGAAGCTAGCCGAATCAACGGATCGAGTTGCCGCCGCCGACGCGCAAATCAGGACGCTCGAGGGCAAAGTGGTAGATGGCGACGCCAAGCTCGCCCGTTCCGTTGACGAAGTGACTGCTGCCAAGGAGCAGATCACGACGCTCCAAGCCGCGATCGCTGATAGCGAGGCAAAGCTCGCCAAGTCTGCTGACGATGTCGCCTCTGCGAACGCACGGATTGAGGCGTTGGAAGCCAAGATCGCTGATGGCGACTCGAAGCTCGCTAAATCTGTCGGAGAAGCGTCTGCGACCAAGGAGCAAATCACGCAGCTCCGAGCCGACCTTCTTAGCACCGCAGAGGAGCTCAAGGCGTTCAAAGCTGAAGCCACCGCCAACCAAGCATCTGCCGACGCAAAGGCGAAAGACCTCGATGCGCTTCAGTCCAAGCTTCAGCAGTCGGAAAAGAAGTCAGCAGAACTCAACGACGAGCTGGCCACCACTCAGGCCCGCGCCAAGGATATCGAGAGCGAGCTTCAGTCGACGAGCAAGCAGCTCGAAGACATGAGCTTGGAAGCGGACGAGCACAGGTCCAAAGCAGAACAACTTGCAAGCCATCTCGAGACGGCTCGGGCGCAACACTCTGAGCTCGAGCAAAAGCTGAAGGAGGCCGCTACGGCGCATGCGGATATTTCGAGCTTGTACGAGCAGAAGACCGCCGACCACGAGGCCGCCGAAGCTGAGCTGGAGAAGCAGCGTGCTCTCCTCAGCGAGAAGTCTAAGCACCACGAGGAGGCTCGCGCCGAAGCGATTGACTTGTCACGGAAGCTCAAGGAGCTGCAGAGCAACCATGACGATGCCACGCAGAATCTGCAAGACGTCCAAGATAAGCTCGAGGAAGCCAATGCTGCGCATGCCGACCTGACGAAACTTCACGAGCAGAAGACGGCGGATCACGAGGCTGCGGAGGCCGAGCTCGAGAAGCAGCGTGCCTTGGTCAGCGAGAAGACTTCCGCCCACGAGCAGGCTCGAGCGGAAGCCGTCGATCTCTCGCAGAAGCTTGAGCAGCTGCATGGAGAGCACGACAACGTCATCCAGAACCTGCGCGACGTTGAGATCAAGCTCAAGGACGCCCACGCGGCCCACGTAGACCTGTCAGAACTCCACAAACAAAAGACTGCAGACCACGAAGCCGCAGAGGCTGAGATCGAGAAGCAGCGCTCGCTGGTTGAACAAACCTCGAACGAGCGCCAGCAGGCCCGAGTTGAAGCGACCGACCTGTCTCAGAAGCTGGGAGATTTGCAAGCTTCTCACACAGAGGTCCAACAGAACCTGCAAGACGTCGAAGGGCGGCATCAGGTGCTTATCGCTCAGCACGAGGAGCAGCATGAGGCTGCGGAAGCGCAGTCACAAGAGCTCCAGGCGGAGAAGGCAAAAACTGCGGATCTCGAGTCCAGACTGTCCGAATCTATCGCCGCGCACGACAAGACGACCTCGGAGCTTAGGGTCGAGACCGAGAAGGTACGCGACTTGGAGAGCAGGCTCGGTTCAGCAAATGAAGAGATCGAGAAGCTCAACAAGCAGGTCGCTGCGAGCAACGAGGATATCAGCGCCAAAGTTGACAGCATTCGTGACCTGGAGAAGAAGCTCTCTACGGCACACGAAGAGATCACGGAGCGCAACGAGCAGGTCACTGCCGGCGATACGAGCCTCAAGGCCAAGCAAGAACAGATCGAGTCGCTTGAGCAGCAGGCGCAAGAGCGTGCCTCGAAGATCCAGGCTCTCGAGAAGGACTTGGCTGCAGCGCAGAAGTCGTCCAGAGATGCCAACCTCAAGCACAAGGCTGCGGTGACGGCAGCATCAAAGCAGCTGGAGGCGCTGAAGGCAGAGCACGAGAAGGCCAGGGCTGAGCACGCAGATGCTCTCGCCCAAGCGACCGAGGAGCACGAAGCTGCGGCCAAGACTGCCGCTGAAGAGCTTGATGGCATCAAGACAGAGTTGGAACAGGCTCGGGCTGATCATGCCGCAGCGATTGCGAAAGCAGAGGAGGAGCATCAAGCCGCTGCTGAGGCAGCTGCGAAGGAGCTTGAAGACCTCAAGGCTGACCACGCGGCCGCGCTAGCAGAGGCATCCGAAGAGCATGCAGCTGAAATCGAGGCTGCAGTGGACGAGCTCGAAGAGGCGAAAGCAGACCACGCCAAGGCACTCGCTACAGCGTTGCAAGAGCACCAGGCTGCGATCGACGCTGCGTCCAAAGAGCTCGACGATACGAAGTCTCAGCATGCAGACGAACTCACCAAGGCAATGGAAGAGCACGAAGCTACGAAGGAAGCCGCGTCGAGAGAGCTCGGACGGACGAAAGCCAGTCACGCTGCTGCGCTGACCAAAGCGTCCGAAGAGCACGAGACAGCCACGCAGGCTGCAGCAAAACAGCTGCAGGAGCTGCAGGACGAACACGCTCGCGCACTCTCACAATTGTCCGACGAAAAGGAAAGTGCAGCTGCGGCTGCTGACAAGCAGATCCAGACGCTCCAATCGGAGCTCGAGAAGGCCCAAGCGGAACTTGCACAGGCCTCAGCTGCCGCTACACAGCAGATAGAAGGTTTGCAAGCGGATTTGTCGAACCTCGAAGCGGACCACGAGAAGGCTACGGCAGAGTATGCTGAGTCGAGTGCACTCGCATCGAATAAGCTCGAGGATCTTCAAGCCGAGTTCGCCGCGGCCAAGCAAGAGCACGCAGAAGCCACAGCCCGAGCTGCTGACGAGCATCAGAGGTCTACAGCTGCCGCATCGGAGAAGTTCGAGGCTCTCCAGATACAGCACGAGGAGACCAAGGCGAAGCACGCTGATGCGATGCAGACAGCTTCCAAGCAGCTTCAAGAGCTCCAGGTCCTGCACGACAGTACGAAGGACGAGCACTCCTCAGCGATGCAAGCAGCCAACAAGCGATTCGAGCAGCTAGCAGCGGCACACGAGACGAGCAAGGAGGAGCACCGAGCTGTGTCCGACCAGCTCACCTCCGAACGAATCAAGCTCAACGACGAGCTTGCGACCCTGCGCAGGGAGCACGACGAGGCCCTCACTTCCCATCGCACAGCAATGGACGACGCGAAAAGCAGGTTCACCCAAGCGACTCAAGATCACGCCTCGGCAGACGAAGCACGGCTACAGGAAATCGCTGCGCTCAAAGCCTCACTCGATAAGGCGCAGAAGCAGCGCGACCAGCAGATGGCAGCTCACACGACCGAGATGCTGGACCTGAGCAAAGGGCTGGAGCAAGTGTGGGGCAAGATCCGTGACAAGGAGGCGGAGCTCGCGGAGCGCGACGAGGAGCTCGCTATTGTCCGCAGCAAGCTCGGCAGCACCGAGCAGGATCTCCAGAAGCGGACCGAGGCGGCCGAGGCTGTCAAGAAGCAGCTCGAGCAGGTTAAGGGGGATCTCGCTGCGCGCGAAAAGGACCTCTCTGCAAGAGAAAGCGACATCGCCTCGCGAGATGAACAGATCAAGGCCTTGCAGAGCGAGCATGCTGCCACGCTGAAAAGCAAGGACAAGGAGTTGCAAGCCTCTCGCGATGAGCACGAGCGGACGCAGTCTGAGCTGGAAGCAGCCCGAAGAGCGACCGATGACGCCAAAGGTGAAGTTACCTCTCGCGACCAGCAGATCGAGGCTCTCACCAGCGACCATGCATCCGTGCTCGAGGCCAAGGACAAGGATCTGGACCAAGCAACTGAAGAGATCGAAGACAAGGTACGCGAGCTGGCTGCGCGCGAAGACCACATCAGGTCGCTGACGGACGACCACGCGCTTGCTCTTCAGAGCAAGCAGCAGGAGCTCGACTCAGCGAACACTCAGATCGAAGGCGTCACGCGCGACCTGGCTTCGCGGGACGAGCAGATCCAGACGCTCCACGCGACCCACGCTTCCGCGCTCGAAGCCAAATCTGCCGAGCTGCAGACGCTTCGCGACGAGCACGCCTCTGCTACGTCAAAGCAGACCGCTCAAGCCAAACGCGATCTCGCTTCGCGCGATTCGCAGCTCCAGACTCTGCGCGACGAGCACGCCTCGGCGCTCGAATCGAAAGAAAAGCAGCTGGAGGATCTGCGAGATCAGCACAGGCAAGCGCTTTCCTCGGGCGACCTGTCGCGCAAGCAGATCGAGCGGGTGAAGCGCGACTTAGCTTCGCGCGATGAGGAGCTGGAGGTTCTACATGTCGATCATGCGTCTGCGCTCGATGCGAAGGATAAACAGCTGCAGATGCTGAAAAAGGAGCATGACAAGGCGATTGCAGGTGAACGGGCGAGATTCGAAGCCGCCCTAGCCGAGGCGAAAGCAGAGCTCTCTGCGGTGCGGGACGAACTTGCGGTGGTCAAAGCATCTCTCGACACGGGTGAGGACGAGAAATCCGCCCGACTCGCCAAGCTGACCAGCGAAATCAGTGGGTTGAAGAAGAAGCATCTTACCGCAAAATCGTCTGGCGAAGCGGCGAGGAAGGAAGTCGTCGAGCTGCGCGCCCAGCTGTCGTCCTTGCGCGAGAGCCAGTCTGGCCAGACGGAGTTGGAAGTGGAAGCGCTGCGGTCGGAGCTCGAGCTGAGCCGATCGCGTGCGGTTGAAGCCGAAGCGCAACTGGCCGCAAAGGGGAGATCGCATAGCAGTGTCGAACTGGACGATTTGGTGGCCACGCACGAGCTCGAGCTGAGCGCGTTGAGGACGATGATCCGGAAGTTGGAGGCGAGCGTGTTTGGCGAGACGGAGAAGGCGCATCGCGCTACGCGACGGGTGATTGAGTTGGAGGAGCGGTTGCGTACCACCTCCGCGCCTGCTGTCAACGGGGACGGGGAAGGGAAAGGCAAGGTAAGGAGTCATAAGAGGAGCGCGACGCACGTGCCGGCCTTATCGCCGCTCGCAGAACGGGAAGCCTTCGAGGTACCACCCCAACCCGAGGCGGACGCCCCAAGAAGAGGAATCCGCACCGTCACAGCCGAAGAACTCCCCCTCCCCGCCGCACAGCGACACCGACGTAGAGAAAGCCTCCAGATGCTAGCCGCCCGCATCGAACCCACCCAACCGCAAGCAAGAGGTCACACATCGGCAGGTTCAACGGGCGCAAACGCTCTGGCGCCGACAAAGGAGGGCAAGGTGGCAGGTCGCAAACAGGCCCAGTTCGCAAACGATGAGCTGCTCTACTGCGCTTGTTGCAGGGACGATCTCATCATCGTTTAGGCGGCCCTGGAAGCAAACATAAAGTTCTCAAATGTTGGCCAGTGTGGGCAATTGTGTGTGATGTGTGAGGTGTGTGGGTTGTTTGTTTGAATGATCGTAGTGATTGAGTACATGGGGAAAAGAGGGGTATAGCGCGGACCCGTGTTGGAGGAGACCGCTGTTGGATACAGTTGGATGCTGGTTACAATTGGCTCGATGATGTCTGAGGTTGGCTTGGTGTTTGCTCGCATGTGCGGAGATTGAGTTGGATCAATCGAAGGTCAAGCTGTTGGAGCCTGGCACACATGCAGTTTTGAACAACACCCGTGGTCCCGAGTGAGCTTTTTACTCCTCGCGATCGCGCTTCTGCGTGCTGCCATTGGCGGCGTTCTTTGCTTTGGCTTTAGCGTTATCCTCTGCTGCCGTTCCGACGCCACGCGGATGCAGACCGCTCTGCCTCTCCGTCTCGCCAGCGACGCCGTTTGGCGCGGGCGAGGCGTGCGCCGTCGCGGGGCCTTGACTTCCACTCGGCCCAGCGAGGCTCGAGAACGGATTCGGCACGGCGCTCTGATCCAGCCCTCCAGGCATGGCCTGATCCGGCCTGACCGTGATCAAACTCTTCAACCACCCATTCTCGGTTCTCAACCGCGCATTCTCCGCTTCAAGGTCCGCCAGACGCTGGTGCAGCTCCTTGGCCGCTTGCTCGAGCTGCGCCTCGCGCTGCTTCTTCTTGATCCTGAATCGCGCAGAGGCCGCCGTGTTGCGACGTCGCTTGTCCTCCTCGATCGCCTGTCGGTTGGCTTCCGCGTCTGCCTCGGGGTTGCCCGTATCGATGAGCTTGAGAGGCGGAATCTCGTACCGACGCTCAATGTCTTCGAGACGACCGAGGATCTCGTCCGAGTCATCGGGGTCGTCGAGCTGCGCCTTTTTGCCTTCCGACGTGCTGGTGCGCTTCTTCTTCGAGGGCGCAGTAGAGCCGCTCGCTTCGTCGGATTGACGAGCCGAAGAGTCGTTGCTGGTGTGGTTGGGTCCAGCGCCATTCACGATGCCGTTGGCGCCGGACGAGGCTGGCGCGGGTGCAGTGTTTGCCGCAGCGGGCGAGGCAGCTGGCAAGCCGCTGCTCCCGCCCAGCTGCGCTGCCCAGTTGACGTTTTGAGGCGAGGGGCCGCTGAGACTGCCATTGCGCGAAGCTGCGAGCGATTGAGCGGCCAGCCAAGGCGACAGGCCGGGACCAACGGAAGCGTTGTTTGGGGCCTGCGGGCTTTGTTGCGGCGCGGCGGCTCCTTGCTGAGACTGGTTGAAATTGCCGAAGCCGCCAGCACCTGCATTGACGATACCAGCAAGATGCGATTGCAGCTGAGGGTTGGTGAGACCTGCAAGCTGGCTGAGGCTGGCGAGTGCGAGGGGATTGCTGGCCAGGAGATGCTGCAGAGCGAGGGCAGATGTCATGTCGAGGGAGCCCGCAGAACCAAAGCCAGGCTGAGGCGAGGGTTGCTGTGCACTCTGCTGCTGCTGGACGTTTTGGAAGCCGTTGAAGAGGCCGAAGGGTGCACCGACACCGGGTCCAGAGGGATTGGTCGCCGGCGAAGGTCGGACGTTGGCATTGAAGTTGGGTGCGCTGGGGAAGAAGGACTGTTGAGACTGCTGCTGGTGCTGGTGAGAATGCTGCGATGGATGCGCTGATGGCGTGTGCGGCTGTGAGTTTGGCGCGTATGGCTGAGCGGAACTGGAAGCGTTCGAGTCGAAGTCGCGCGCCTTGCCACGAAGGGCATGACTGCCGCGAGAGCTAGCAGCAGCGTTTCTCGCGAGCCTCTCGCGTTCCTCCTCCTGGTTTCGACGGTTCTCGTCTTCGCGTCGTCGATTGTGTTCTGCCTCCTCCTTTTCCTTCTCTTCGTCGCCTAGCAGGGCGTGTCCCGTGGGACCGTCGAAGCTGAAGTTGGCGTTGGTCCACAGGGCAAGCTGATCGGCAAAATTGGGAGCCTGGCCAGGGGTGGCTTCGTTGTGGTTGGTGCCGGTGGCCACGTCGTCGGCTACGGCGAAAGCGTCGAGGTTGGCGAGCATGTTGTCGGCACGCGAGTTGGAACCGCTCTCGTTTTGAGAGTCGGCACCCGGCGATGTGAATTGGTTGAGTCCAAAGAGGAAGGAGTTTGGACTCTCCTCGAAGGGCATCTCTTCGGCCAAAGGCTTGATGAGGTGTGCAAGCTACGTCGGTCTAGGTAAAGAACGTGATGGAGAAGAGCTGGGAAGCAAGGTCGACCTATGGATGATATCCAGAGTGCGAAAGTGTCGACGTGGACTGCTTGTTGTTGCTGATGATGGAGCGAAGGATGGATGCAATGGAAGGAGCGGTAGGAAGCGACGGAAGAACAGAGCAGGAAGAATCGACGATAGCCGGGGCCGATGCGACAGACTCTTAGGTGGTGAGCCAATGGTAAGATTCGGAGTCGTGTGGGTGCTGCTGGTTGTGCAGAAAGAGGCGTTTCGGGCGGCTGTGGTGAATAGTGTTCAGGTGGTGATTGGTCGGGCAGCTCGGTTGAGGAGGCAGGGAGTGCTCAGAAGTGGTCGAGATGACGAATACGATGGCAGGCTATGCAAGAGCGGATGGTTAGTGCAGTGTTGAAAGGGACTAGAGCGACTTGAGTACCGCCCACACCAAGTCAACGCCCTCATCCCAAAAGCAGCAGCACAACGCAGTACCTCAATTCAATCAAACGCGGATCTTTGGCCAGCTGCGAAAAGAACCAAAAAACAAAAAAAGGGCCTCCCGAGTTCGGCACTTTGTGAAGAGCTTTCTCGCTGCAGTCGCACAGTCACGCTTGCCGAACAGAGACGGAGCTGATTCACAGAGACAGCCCAGCTCAGCCCTTGATCCACGTCTAATTTGGCACGTTCTGATCGCCCTTTTTGACAAGCTGAACAAGCTGCCTTTGTGTCCGTATCAAAGAGGAACAGTCGCTCGATGAAGAGGCGTAAGGTTCAAGACCTCCCTGACTCGACTTGCACATCAGAAGAAGAACACAATGCAAGTCGTGTCGAACGAGCGAGGGTACCGTTGAAGAGGGTGATGCTCGGAATCTTATTAATATTGAAGATCAGCCGCTTTCAGGGTGCAGCTTCTTTCCAGCTGAACCGTAAAAGCCGGACCAGAGAATCCCCACGGAGCTGTATGTGTGTGTGTGTGTGCTCTTTTGTTCTGCCTCTTGCCAATCGACCCTGCTTCGGATCGGATGGCATTTCGAAATTGCCTCTTTTGGCCCTCATCTGACGTGATTGGCTTGATCCATCAGTCGTAAACGCCTCACCGCAGCGCTTGCCTTCCTTCACCGCAGGGCCCTCGTGTGAGACTCCCCCTTCGTCGCCATCTTGAACCCTTATCACAGCATCCATGAGCCTGGACCCGATTGAAGAAGTTGATGTATCGGGTCGAGTCATCTCGATTGCTCTGAGGCCGCTGGCTCAAATGTTAGAACTTTATCACACACCAAAGCAAATAAATTCAAAGTTACATACGCATTGGTCATGTCAGATCGCGCTTCGACCTACCCGATCACAGATTCGCGCCTCGACGAGGGAAGCCGAGAAAGCCAGCGCACCGACCAATTTCCAGGACGCAGGCTGTTGGTCGGTCCCGTTTCAGATCGCGAAAGGTGCTGCGTTGGAAGCTTTCCACTTTGGCAATTTCAAGGCAGCGGAAAGGCAGACCCAAAACCAACACACAGACAGAGACTCGAGACACGTCAAGCTCAATCGACATACACACAGACACCATCGGATCTTCTCTCCACCGCCATCCCTTTTCTCGCTTCTCGCGTTCAACTCTCAACAACGGCATTGCAGGCGTCACTGATAGCAGTCATTCGACCTCTGCTACCAGCGCTGATCCGCCTCCATCACCATGTCGTTCAAAAAGGACGAAGAGGTCGGGGCCACCGGCTTCTACCAGGACAAGACCTCGGTCATTCAGGAGGCTCGTGTCTTCAACGAGACGCCCATCAGTCCTCGAAAATGCCGCATCCTTCTCACAAAAGTCATCTATCTCCTCTACATGGGCGAGTCCTTCAGCCGACAGGAGGCTACCACCCTCTTCTTTGGTGCGACCAAGCTCTTCCAGCACAAGGATCCCGCCCTCCGACAGATGGTCTACCTCGCCATCAAGGAGCTCTCTCCCTTCTCCGACGACATCATCATGGTCACTGCTTCTATCATGAAGGACATGCAGCCCAATGTCGAGGTCATCTACCGTCCCAACGCCATTCGTGGTCTCAGCCGCGTTGTGGACCCTTCCATGGTGCAGGGTCTCGAGCGCTTCTTCAAGTCGGCCATCGTCGACAAGAACACCTCCATCAGCTCGGCCGCCCTCGTCTCCGCCTACCAGCTTCAGATCGCTGCTCGGGATGTCGTTCGCCGATGGGGCAATGAGGCACAGGAAGCCATCAACTCCAAGAGCTCTTCCGGTGGAGGCTACTCCAGCGGCTTTGCTGGCGCTGGCAGCTACCTCGGCTTTGGTTCGTCCCAAACGCAAGCGCAGAGCACCTATCAGGCCGTTGCAAGCAGCAGCTACATAACTCAGTACCACGCTCTCGGCTTGCTTTACCTCATCCGACAGGGCGACCGTATGGCCATCACCAAGCTCGTTCAGCAGCTCGGCGGTGGTCGCGGTGGTGCATCGAGCGGTCAAGGCAGCGTGCTCCGCAGCCCTTACGCCATCTGCATGCTCGTCCGATATGCTGCCAAGGTGGCAGAAGAGGATCCCAACCTTCGTGCTCCCATGATGGAGCTCCTCGAAGGCTGGCTGCGCCACAAGAGCGACATGGTCAACTACGAGGCGGCTCGTGTCATTTGCGAGATGAGGAACGTCTCCACCACCGACCTGTACAGACCCATTGCCGTCCTCCAGCTTTTCCTCTCCTCGCCCAAGGCCACGCTCAAGTTTGCTGCCATCCGAACGCTCGCCAAGCTCGCCCAGACCCAGCCAGCCGCCGTTCAGACCTGCAACGTCGACATGGAGAACCTCATCACCGACACCAACAGGAGCATCGCCACCTACGCCATCACCACGCTGCTCAAGACCGGTAACGAAGCCTCCGTCGACCGTCTGATGAAGCAGATCAGCGGATTCATGTCCGAGATCAGCGACGAGTTCAAGGTTATCGTCGTCGATGCCATTCGCAGCCTCTGCCTCAAATTCCCTTCCAAGCAGACCACCATGCTCACCTTCCTCGCTGGTGTCTTGCGTGACGAGGGTGGCTTCGAGTACAAGCGTGCCGTCGTCGAAGCCATCTTTGACATGATTAAGTTTATCGGCGAATGCAAGGAGACCGCCCTCGCCCACCTCTGCGAGTTCATCGAGGACTGCGAATTCACTAAGCTCAGCGTCCGCATCTTGCACTTGCTCGGTGTCGAGGGTCCCAAGATGCCGCAGCCTCACAAGTACATCCGCTACATCTACAACCGTGTCATTCTCGAGAACGCCATCGTCCGCGCGGCTGCCGTCAGCTCGCTCGCTAAGTTCGGAATCGCCGATAAGTCGCTCAACACGCGCATCAAGGTGCTGCTCGAGCGATGCCTCGATGATGTCGACGACGAGGTGCGCGACCGTGCCGCCATGTACCTGCGCGTGCTGCGCGAGTCGAGGCTGGCCGCCAAGGTGGTCAACGACGAGTCGAGCTACAAGCTCACAGCGCTCGAGTCGGCTCTTCAGTCTTACATCTCGGACCCTTCCTCGTCTACGAGCGGCTTCGACATTGCCAAGGTGCCGCGTGTTACTCGCGAAGAGGCACGACAGGAAGCGCTTCGAGCCAAGACCGAAGCCACTGCTAGCGTCGCCATGGCCGCCGACAGCTCCAAGAGTGTCCACGCCGCCTCCAACAACGGCGCGTCCACATCCAAGGCGGCTACCGCGGCGGATTCCGAGACGCTGTACGCCAAGCAGCTGGCCGAGGTGCCGCAGTTTGCCGACTACGGTCCGGTGCTCAAGAGCTCCTCCAAGCCAGTGGAGCTGACCGAGTCCGAGACCGAGTACGTCGTCAGTGCGGTCAAGCATGTCTTTGCCGAGCACATCGTCATTCAATACAACGTCACCAACACGTTGCCAGATACGGTGCTGGAGAACGTAGCTGTGGTGGTGGGTGGTGCGGCCGAGGCGGGGCTGCAGGAAGACTTTATCGTCACGGTTCCTGCGCTGTCTGCGCAGAGTCCGAGCGGTCAAGTGTACGTCTCGTTCACACGCGAGGGTGGAGCTACGGACTATGCGATGGGTACATTGTCCAACACGCTGCGCTTTGTGTCGAAGGAAGTCGATCCTTCCTCGGGCGAACCCGAGGAGGAAGGGTACGACGACGAGTACCAGACCGAAGAGCTCGAGCTGGGTGTCGCGGACTACATCAAGCCCGTCTACGCCAATTTCGGGAAGGAGTGGGACAAGCTTGCATCCGCACCTACGGCGACGGAGACCTTTGCGCTCACGGCGCTCGACGGGCTCAAGACGGCGTGCGATACGCTGATCGAGCTGCTAGGCATGATGCCTCTGGGCGGCACCGAGGCGCCGTCCAGCACGAGCGTGCATACGTTGAATCTGTCCGGTGCCGTGGCGGGTGTAGGTAAGAACGTCAAGGCGCTGACGAGGTGTAGGATGACCTTTGCGGCAGGGCAGGGCGTGACCATGGAGCTGTCCGTCCGAGCCGAGTCGGACGAGGCTTGCCAGTTGGTCATGAGCGCCATTGCCTAGTCCCTTTGCATGTCTTTATACGAAACGCAACTTGTCTCTCTCGCACGTCGAATGGGTATGATTGAAGTTGCAGGGAACGAGACTAATACAGGACGGTGGAGGTTTGACGACGAGCAATGAGCCTTTCCTCCTCTCGTCTCTTGAAGGCTGCGACCTTTTTGACCAGTGCCTGGTCCTGTTTGAGTGTCCGCGGGCCGACGGCGGCCATGCATGAGGCAGCTGGACAGCGATTGTTGCCCCTCGCGACGTAGTCTTCGATGGCACTGCGCGAATAGGAATGCGTGCAATTCGAGTTGCTCAACGGATCCTCCAGAATGTTCGCCGTCAAAGGGCATCTGAAGTTTATCACCGCTCCACCCGTTTGGATGTCATCGTCGCTGTCGTTGTTGTCCTCATCACCCGGTTCTGCAGGGATCAAATCGCTGACTGGTGGCATGGCCCCTTCCTCCTTGGCCACCCAGACAATGTTTTTAAGATTATGGTAGTCCGTGTTCTTGGCGTACTTTTTTCGGGAGGTCTGCTTGGTGTACGCATCCAAGGCCGATTGGACATCTTCCTTGTATCGCTTTGCTGGGTCGTCGAGCTGTTGGCCCGTATGGAGGTCTTGTGCGATGTCGTCGAGCACTTTGCGTCGAATGGCTTTTTCGGCTTGAGCGTCAATGAGCTCTCGGAGATCGGCGTCGGCTTGGTCGAGCTCGCGACAGTCGTCATGCGCCCGGAAGGCTTCGGCCACTTGCTCGGCCGTCTCGTTGAGCAGCTCGATGCACTTGTTGAGCATGGTGTCGGACGTCTTGAGCTCAGCAGTGAGACCGCGGATGTTGGGCACATGTTCGCGGACCAGAGGTTGCGGACGAAGCTCTTCCGTGTCGACAGCGGCGGCAGCGCGGGAGGTGCTCGGTTCAGCGGTGGAGGAGGAGGAGGCATCGAAATTGGAGCGGCCTTGGGATCTTCGCTGCGAGGGAGGTGCGACGTTTTCGGCCTCCTCGTCGCTATCGTCTACTCGGCGACGTCTTGATGCGCTCGGCATGGTGGCTGTTGTCGCGGCCGTGATGAGAGCGAAGGAAGAAGATGGCGTCGTGCGGAAAGATGACAGAAGGAAGTGTTGCTCTCGCTCCAACACTTTGCTTGCTGCGCTCCACTTTGCTCGCTGGCTCAGGGTCTAGAGAGAGCGAGAACTCAGCCGTGCTTGCAGAAGAGCAGCAGCTGAGCACAGTCCTCGCTCTCTGATTCGCGCGACGCGTTGAGTGGAATTCAAGCTGAGTGAACGGCCCCTCAGCTAAACCGGTGCGAAAACCCTAAAAGTCCAGAAAAAATTTCCTCGGAGACGTGGATATCGAGAATTTGCCGAGCAGCAAGCCCCCAAGGTCGTGGAATCGTCCAAGATCATCTTGTCCTCCTGCTACCTCCTACCTCATCCGTAGATCCTATCGCTCCTTCGTTTCACCCCTTCTCAACGCATCGACGAAGAAGCATCTCCACACTGCACTAACGACGAAACTGCGATTCGAGGTCGTCGCAGCCGCACTAGTCGCATTCAAACGGATCTCAGCTAGCATCTCTCCGTCCAACCTTGCATAATCTTCCCCCCGCGGACCAGCAACACTCGACAAGATGAAGTACATCGTCGTCAGTGGAGGTGTCATCTCCGGTATTGGCAAGGGTGTCATTGCCTCGTCCACCGGTCTTCTGCTCAAGACCCTTGGTCTCCGTGTCACCGCCATCAAGGTCGACCCTTACATGAACATCGATGCGGGAACCATGTCGCCCACCGAGCACGGTGAGGTCTACGTCCTCGACGACGGCGGAGAGGCCGACTTGGATCTCGGCAACTACGAGCGATACCTCGACGTCACCCTCAGCCGCGACAACAACATCACCACCGGCAAGATCTACCGCGAGGTCATCGAGAAGGAGCGAAAGGGCGACTACCTCGGCAAGACGGTCCAGATCGTTCCTCATCTCACCAACGCCATTCAGGACTGGATCGAGCGTGTCGCGCAGCGACCTGTCGATGGCAGCGGCGAATCGCCCGAGGTCTGCATCATCGAGCTCGGTGGTACCGTCGGTGACATCGAGTCGGCCCCCTTCGTCGAGGCCATGCGTCAGTTCCAGTTCCGTGTCGGCCACGACAACTTTGCTCTCATTCACGTCAGTCTCGTCCCTGTCATTGGTGGCGAGCAGAAGACCAAGCCCACCCAGGCTGCCATTCGCGATCTCCGCGGCCTCGGTCTTGTCCCTGACATGATCGCCGCCCGCTGCCCTGTTCCCCTCGAACGAGCCGTCATCAACAAGCTGTCCATGTTCTGTCACGTCGGTCCCGAGCAGGTCATGGCCGTCCACGACGTCTCCTCCACATACCACGTGCCATTGCTGCTCGAGGAGCAAGGCATGGTCCGCTTCTTCCAGAAGCGTCTCGGCCTCGAGGTCAAGGTCCAGGGACCCATGAAGGAGCAGGGGCGCGAGCTTCGAACCCGATGGCGAGAGCTCACTGTCGGCCACGATCGCATGATCGACAAGGTCGAGATTGTTCTTGTCGGCAAGTACACATCGCTGCACGACTCGTACATGTCGATCGTCAAGTCGCTCGAACACGCAGCTTTGCGCTGCCACCGCAAGCTCGAGCTCAAGTGGGTCGAGTCGAGCGATCTGGAGCCGGCTGCGGAGAGCGAGAACCCGGTCAAGTACCACCAAGCATGGCAGGCGCTCTGTTCGGCGAAGGGTATCCTTGTGCCTGGTGGATTCGGAACGCGTGGAACGGAGGGCATGATCAGCGCAGCACGCTGGGCGCGAGAGAAGAGGGTGCCTTACCTGGGTATCTGCCTCGGTTTTCAGATTGCCGTCATCGAGTATGTGCGAAACGTGCTCGGCATCGAGACTGCCGGTTCTGCCGAGCTTGACGCACACTGCAAGGATCCCGTCATCATCTACATGCCCGAGATCAGCAAGACACATCTCGGCGGCACGATGCGTCTCGGCTTGCGACCGTCGATCTTCCAAAAGGGCACCGAGGAGTGGAGCAAGATCCGACAGCTGTACGGTGGACAGCCCGTCGTATGGGAGCGTCACCGTCACCGCTACGAGGTGAACCCGGACTACGTCGAGCGCATCGAATCCGCCGCTTCCAACCCATCCGCCAAAGCTGCACCGCAAAAGATCCCCAACGACATCCCTGCAGCATCACCGCCGTTCACATCGCCGCGGCTCTCCTCTGCCGGCTTTACGCCCGCCGAGATGTTCGTCGGGGTGGACGAGCTCAAGTTTGTCGGACGCGACGAGAAGGGGGAGCGAATGCAGATCGCCGAGTTGCGCCACCACCCGTACTTTGTGGGTATGCAGGCGCACCCCGAGTTTTGCTCTCGACCGCTCAATCCGTCGCCACCGTTCCTCGGCTTCATCGCGGCGTCCGCAGGGTTGCTGGAGGAGCAGCTGGCGATGCAGAAGAACTACCAGCCACCGCACCCCAAGAGCCACATGATCTCGGAGTCGGAGATGATCAAGAGGAGGGAGGCGGGCGAGGTGGACGATAAGCCGGCCACGACCCCACCGGGCGCAGCGACCCCGACCCGCAGTTTGAGTGTCAACAAGGGGCCGAAGGCGGATTTGGCGGTTGCGGCTAGGATCGCTGCTGCCGAGAAGGCAAATGGCGCCGCAGTGGAGCACTGATTCTGCAAACGCGTCCACTTTCGCGACCTTTCGGTCTCACCCTTTCACATCGTAGACATATCCCGTCATCAGTTGCCCGTGTATTCCCTTGCATTACGAACATATAAACCGAGCGACTATCAGACCACGCGTCGATCGATGAGAAGAATGTCCGACAAGGGCGTGCTGATAGTCAATGCCCTTACAGGGTAGAGCGTACGCGAGGGGGCGTGGGAAGATGTTCGTCGGGCCACATTCCTGTCCCACTCGATAGATCGAGGGCAGCTGCGCCATGAAAAGGGCAAGTCCTTGCAGCCTTGCAGCCGAGGGAGAGTTTCGAGGCGTCCAACAGTGCAAGATCGCCAAGGCCTGGAGAGCGCGTAATTTCTGCGGGCTGCTCGAAATGAGCTGTTGCGTTGGATGCGTCGACACGCGCGCCTCTTTCTCACGTTCTGCTCCCAACAGGACTGCGCCGATGCTATAAGCTACGCTCATCGAAGCAGGAGAGGCTGCCGTCGAGGAGTTCGAGGCTGCGTCAGTACGGAGACGAGGAAAGAAAGTTCGCGGAAGATCGGACGATCCTGGTCTCGATGTGGATCAGGGGGGTAGGGCTGCATGCGGTCCGCGTGGCTTCTCGTATGCGTGCCTGTTCGCTCCCGTTTGGGCCGCTGAAAATGCTCACCTTCAGCGCAGACACGGCCTGATCGCCCCTTGCAGCGTTGTAAGCGTCCAGGAAGGATTCGGGCCGTGGTTGGAATGAAAGGCGCTAAGCTACCGGGTCAAGGCTCGCATGCGTCATTTCAAATCCATCGATGGGAGCCCTTATGCCGCCGAGAGCTGCGGTCTTCATTCCACCCCTCTGCCCAGCACAGTCCTCTTCGCGAGCGTGTTTTGACGTCCGTGTTCTGACCCCGCGCGTAACCCCTCTCACGTAGATCGTAGGTAATCTGCATATAAGGTCCACCTGCCTTTTGAGGAGGCGAGCGCATTTCCCTCTCATCGTCTCTCACCTTCATCTTGTCAAAGCGCTTGTCTCAGCATACGCACGACATCAGATTCTTTGATCTGGCGCTCGGGCCGGTTCGACTTTTCAGCTTCCTTCAGGGACACCCCTGACACATTCAGTACGTCAACATCACGTCGTTACCTTTCAAAGCTCTTCGGCAGCATCTCAACGACAATTCACAGGCGCGTTCAGATCCAGCTTCGACTCGATTGCGGTCCCTCATCCATCCCTGGCACTTCACGATCATACGCCAAACGTCATGACAGACGCGCAAGACTTCAGCGGCGCCCTACACGTCGCGGTCAGCCACCACCGCGACCCTGCAGACGCTTCCTCTGACTCGGACCGCACCGAGAAAGGCGCCGACAGCGACACGGATACGGTCAAGGGCGACGACGCTGTCGACACCGAGAGTGATACGACTACTACCCCTGACTCTTCCCCTCCATCCAGTCGCCACGCAAGCCTGTCGTCTGACGATGCCAAGCCCAACATCGCGCTCGGCAGCTTTGACAAGGACGGCAACTGGGTCTGGCTGCCGACGCCTTCGGAGGACACCATCCCACTGACGCCCGCGACTGTGATCCCCTCGGTCGCCGAGATGACTACCGTGGGCGTCACTCAGACTGTCAACATCGTGCAACAGTGCGATACCGTTGACGCTTCCAACTCGCCAATTGTCAAGCACGAAGTGACACCGACGACGCAGTGGGGTCCACCCAAGCGCATCGGTCGTGTGCGCATCGCTAAAGCCATCGTCACAGAGACAGGTGAGGACGACTTCATCTGGATCGACGGCGACGATTGGTACAACGACTACACCCCGCGACCATCTACGTCACCAGGGCCAGCTCCAGTTGAATCGGTCGAGCAGACGCGTACGATTGTCATCCCAGTTCGCATCCGGGTCGAGGACGACACGTCGAGTGACGAGGGTGAGGCTAGTGGTTCGGAGGTCCGCCGTCAAGCGAGTCCGAGCAAGAAGGTGGTTGTGCCGAAGCGTAAGGCTTCTGTCAAACGGGGTGGTCGTCGTCAGACGAAACCGGCGACACTGGAGGACATCTGGGATCGCATTGCGCAGGCTTCTAAAGATGCCACAGAAGATGAATCGCCATCAGGTGCCCTCCGCGCTATGTTCGGGGACATCGAGGTCACCGTCACCCCTCCCGCCCCAGAGCTCTTCGAAGAGAAGCCATCGGGCGTCCGATTCCTTCCATCCCACACGTCCCTCAACCGCTTCTACCAGGACGCGACCGGTCGCCTGCGCCCGCCACCATTCGAGCACATGCCAGGCCTCCGCATGCAGTACGAAGCGGAGCAACGTGCTTTGAGCAGCCTCAAGCGGTCGCAGAGACCCGGCATGCAGCGACGCCATTCGGGCCTCGATGTTGGTCTTGGCACCGTCGCTCCTCCTCTCGCTAATGGGTCCGTGGCCGCAGCGACGATGACCCGTGTCAAGTCGTCGCGTGGTAAGCGCAGGTCGGATGCGATGAACGTGCTGGGGGTGCAGGGTTGTGCACCGCCTATTCCGCCGCGCCGGCGCAGTGTCGAGCTGCGACTCATGGGTGTCGAAAGGGCAGTGCTGGAGGTCATCGAGGAGCACGGCCAGTCAGGTGTAGACGCACCCGTCGTGCCTAACCCAGACGAAGCGTCTCAAATCGTCTCGTCCCCCATCGACATTCCCAAGAGGACGACGAATGGTAATCGGGATAACGCAGATGGCCCGCTTCTACGCATGCTTATCCAGAACCGGCTTCGATCTGTTCAGAGCGTCCAAGCCGAACAGGTCTTGAGCAAGGTTGTGGTTGCTGCACCGGCTTAGCTCGACTGTAGCAACTTGTGGGCTCATGACGATGGACTCGCACTTTTGTACTTCACTGATTGATTGCAATGGACACTATGCATGCTTCTTATGATGTGTGACATGCTACGTCGAGCTGAGCCGATGCGGATGAGGCTCGGCGAAGACACGGATCGGGTTGGCGACGATCGCGATGCGGTTGTATTCAAAGAGAGATGTTAACGCGACAGGTCGCAATTCGTGGAGAAGAAAAATGCGTCGAAGCTGTGGCGATGAGCTCGGCCGAGGTCTGGGCAGTCGGATCCGACGGTTCTGACCCTCAAATTTCGACCCAAGTCAAATGCGAGGCGCCAGCTGATTTTCAGACCTCGAATTTCGAGGCAGCTCACCAGTCTCCCATTCAGCCCTCTGCGCGCCCAGCCAGATTCCTCACAGCCAGTCCGGAAGCCTCAGCGTGTTCGCCATCAATACCACCTTCTCCTCTCACCTCTAAGCACATCATCACCTTCACATATCGTCATTATGGAGTCCACCAAGGTCCCTGTCAAGCTTGCTCGTGTAGGTATCCGCCGACCACATACGTTATTCAGAAGCAGCATTCGAGATAGGGAGCATCCGACAATCTTTGCAGCAGAAGCATCAGCAGTCAGCAACATCAGCAGGCAGAAGTCACCAGCATGACCAGCAACGACATCAGCATCGACATGGTAGTGGCAGATTCGGAAGGTGGCGGACGTCATATGTCAGAGAAGCTTCGAGGTCGGACGAAAGAACAAGTCAAATCAGGATAGGGGTCAGATAGAGTAGGGTCTTGCAGACACGATGGAAGAGGACAGGCTAGGATATTGCGGCCGCTCTCGTCACGGAAGTGACCGATATCTTCGCGATGTGTTGGTCGCTAAGTCACGACCGCTACATTTCGCGACGAGATTCAGCGCACGAAGTCACCTGCATGAAGACTTTGCGCTTCGGCGTATCTCTCAACTGGGCAATGCGCGGACGGTGTCGGTCCAATCAGTGCGACGAACGTCAGGCTTTTGCGAAGGACCGTTTGTTGGACCACGGGGGACCACTTGCGCCATCAGCATCGCGCTGTCAGCACTTGGAAGAGGTCGAGGCACCAACAAGTGTAGATCATCTCAGACGAAACTAGGCTTAATCGTCACGCTCCACCCCATGCCACATCGCTCTTCTCGCCAAGCGATGATCGCGGCTTCAGTATGCATGGCTCAGCGTCCAAGCGCACGAAGATTCATTCTCGACACCTCGTTTTTCACTCTGCCGCTACCACTGCTCCTGCTCCGTGCTTCTGCTCAAAGACTTGCTCTCTACTCGATGCTCGCTTAATCGCCCATGACAACCATGCCATTCGCAACGGTATCACTGACTTTCCTCTCTTCTGTCCATTGCTGCTTCCCGCCAATAGGTTACCAAGGTTCTCGGCCGTACAGGCTCGCGCGGTGGTATCATCCAGGTCCGCGTCGAGTTCATGGACGAGACCCGCCGATCGATCATCCGCAACGTCAAGGGCCCCGTCAAGGCCGACGACATCCTTGCTCTCCTCGAGTCCGAGCGTGAGGCCCGACGACTCCGATAAACAGCTTGCACTCCTCTCGATGTGCACCACTTCACCCTCCCAGCTCGAGTCCGGTGAGCTAGCATCGTAGGTCGGAACTCCACCTCGATCGCTCTGCTTAGGTCGTCGTGTCCCATCGAACGCAAGCTCTTTTGGTTTCGGCAGTCTTTCGTCCCTTCGTCCTGTTTCGAGGACTCGCCTCGTCAGGATCGTGTACAATCAGCATTTCAACGCACCTACACACCCCTACGCACTCTCTCGCACCATCCCACATCATCTGCACTGTGTTCACACGCACCTTAGCTGTGTTGTGCAATCCAAAAGCCTCTCATCACGAGGTCGATTATCTGATCATTCTGGCTCGATGTCGCTGCGAACGATGACGGACGTGTGATTTGCAGATGCAATGCTTCATTTACGATTGAGTGAGGTGTGACTAGATCTGATCCTTCTTCTGGAAATCAGCGAGCGCGTTGACAATGAGATAGTGGTCGTCCTCCTGCTTCAGGCCGGACACGACGATTGCGCCGACTGGCCCTGCGCTGCATCCCTCGACGTTGATTGGAAAACCACCGCCATGAGCAGCATAGTCGGGTCCTAGCCCGTCGAGCTCTTTGCCCTTGAGCAAGCGAGTGCGGCCAACGAGAAAACTGGACAGACCGAACCTTCTGACGGTGTTAGCCTTTCTCCTGACCCAGTCCCAGTTGTCGGGCCCAAGCTTTCGTGGGTTGCCAACGGCGCACGAGAAGAGCGTGTGTCCAGAGAAGAGCGCGATCGAGATCACGATGCCCTCTTTCGCCGCGTCGTACTTGGCAAGGAAGAAAGTGCGGATTAGCGAACCCAGTTCGAAAGCGACGGCGTTGTCGAGGCTGGAAAGACGGTGTGTGGCTTCGTGCTGCTCGATGAGGCCGATCTGCTCCTGCAGTGGCAGGTCGATGAAACCAACGGACGCCATCTTGACGACCGCACGCTGTCGCAGAAGTGCTCTGGGGATGCTCGGTGGTCAAGAGAAGGATGGTCCAATACGGGTTAGGATGATGTGGAGCGGCAAGGCAAGAAGAAAGTGCGACCCGATACGAGCGTGCCGATCCGTCAAGATCTCATAGCGTTTCATAGGACCGCTAAGGTCGACAGTAGTCTGGACTCAATTTGCACGCCTGAAGCCGGCGAATGCTTGTCCGAGGCACCCCGGGAAGCACTGGCACATCTGACAGCACCGCACCTTCGTGGTTGTCGGCCTCAAGCCGTTCTTCTCAGTTCACTAGCTGCCAAACGAGTCGGCACATGGCTCGCGCGATACGAATACAAGCTGTGAGAGCATGTCTCGTGCTGCAAACAGACCCCAAAGCCGACGTATTATGCGCAGAAGAGGACAACGAGAAGAGGTGCTGCTGTCAACCTAAGGGGAATGCAAGCCTGCGTGTTGGCACCCACAAGCACGCGCACCACCCACACCGAAGCGTGCGTGCCAAATTGAGTTTTGGCCTCTCTGTCTCTCGGGTCGTGCGCTGTTGGAAATCAGAACAAAAAGACGCGCTTCAGACAAAAGAGGAGAGAGAGAGAGGGAGCTGCCTCGCCTTTTACCCCTGTTAGCCCAGCCTTGCTTGGCCTCGCGCCGCACCACCGCTCTATGCCCTGCCCACGCTCGAGCTTCGCCTCCGCTCTCTTTGTCGCACGCGCTTGCCCAAACCTCCAAATCTGTCACTTTCCGCCGCACACCCCTGTTTGGCTTCTCGTCACCACCACCTTCTACACTTCGCGTTTTCGTGTGCACATCGGAGCTCTCGTTCGTCGCAGCGAACACTTTCCCTCCTCCTTTCGATTCACGGCGCGCTTCAGCACACATCACGTGTCGTCTTTGATTCCATTTGGCTCCAGGATCCGCATCGCCTTTGTCCAGCTTATCGCTCCCGCCGTCCGATTCCATCAGCATTGCATTCCTCGTCTTCCGATCGTCGCACCAGGTCGCTCCAAAGCTCGGCACGCTTTCACGCAGAGCGGACCACATCCCGAACCATCAAAGGATCTCGCCACAGTTTGCTTGCACATCTTGCAACTGCCACGCGACTTTCTGATCTGTTGGCCATAGCTCGGTAGCCGACTCGTTAAGCACCTCTTCGACACGCACAGCAGCTTCACGCGCATCGCATCACGTCCCAGCTTGTGTTTCGAGAAGCTTCACGTGTCCTCATCGCAAAGTCGCCAAACCCTTCCGCGAGTCGACCTCATATCCGCAATATGCAGACCATCAAGTGTGTGGTCGTCGGTGACGGTGCCGTCGGTAAGACGTGTCTCCTGATCTCGTATACAACCAATGCCTTCCCAGTGCGTTTCGCTCTCGTCTCTCCCTCTTCTCATCGAATCACTCACTAACCCTCCACTCCTCCTCTCTCCACCTTTCTCTCGTTACTAGGGCGAATACATCCCCACAGTGTTCGACAACTACTCCGCGAACGTGATGGTGGATGGCAAGCCCGTGTCTCTCGGACTGTGGGACACGGCGGGTCAAGAAGACTACGATCGTCTTCGACCGCTCTCGTACCCACAAACGGATGTCTTTCTGATCTGCTTCTCGCTCGTCTCGCCACCTTCGTTCGAGAACGTCCGCACCAAGTGGTGGCCCGAGATCTCGCACCATGCACCCAACATCCCCACCATCCTCGTCGGCACCAAGCTCGATCTTCGCGAAGACCCCGAGACGATTGCCAAGTTGCGCGATCGACGCATGCAACCCATCACGTATGCCCAGGGCAACCAGATGGCCAGGGACATTCGTGCGAATAAGTATTTGGAGTGCTCGGCGCTTACGCAGAAGGGTCTGAAGGGCGTTTTTGATGAGGCGATTAGGAGCGTTCTTGCGCCTACCCCGATCAAGTCGAAGAAGAAGAACAACTGTGCTATTCTCTGATCGGCCCAGACGTCGGCGGGGAGTTGGGAGATGAGGAGAGTCACGAGAGCGGGACGAGGCTGAGCGGGAATGTTTGAACGCGCGAGGTGGAGACGAGTGGTGCGAGGCTTATCCCACTCTCTGGCTCTTCCGTTCCGTCCAACACGCACGTCTGCTGCAATCTCAGCCGGGTCGCAACTCCACTCGTTAACCATCTCCACCTCTCAGCGACTTCCGCTCCCTGCACACTTGTGTTCCTCAGCCCACTAGACACGTCCTCATCTTCCCACCGTGTTCATCCTCCGGGTTTCCCCCCGTCATGTTTTTCCTCCGTTGTGCGCCTCGTCAAGATGTCATGAAATGTTATTGTTGCGAAAACTGATGGCGAGTGACGATGTTGGTCAGGATGCATGGACGGGGTTCGTGTGGAGTGACATTGTACGATTGATTGCGAAATGCATGCGGATGAGTTGAACCGAGAGGGATGCTGATGCGACTAGGGTTTGGACTGGCTCGCGTCGAGCATGGTGCGGAGCGCCTTGACCGTCCGACCGAGCATGATGCCACCACCCTTTGTGAGGCCCTGCACAGCCTCCTCTCCCTCCTCTTCCGGCTGCTTCTCTCCCTCCCCCGCACTGACGCGCAACAGCCCCTCGGCCCTCTCCACGACCTTCCGCAACCCACCCCTCGAGTAGTAAAACATCGCCACCTCATCTTCGAACCCCTCGACCTTGCTCTCCAGCACCCTCCTCACAAACCCCCTCGACAAAATGTACGCCTTTTCGTTATACATCCTCGAATTCACCCGACTCTCCTCCTTGCCCTTCAACTTTTCATACGCGGGCTCGGTGAAGTACGGCTCCCTCACCAACACCAGCGCCTGGATGGAAACGAACACTTGGAGCAACGACGACTTGCTCGGCGTCCAATTCTCCTCTGCTACGCCGCTCCACGTGCCCAGCACCGAAAGACAGACCTTGCCGTCCTCGTACAGGTTCGGAGAGACGCGACCGTGACCGTTGGTCCACGAATGGAAGTGCGCCACAGGCGGTTTCGAGGGGAAATCGGACGTGAGCTGGAAATCGAGCAGGAAGGGTGCGTTTTCGTACGGCGTGCCTTCGGAACCGATGATGAGGACGCGAAGGAGGTCCGACCGGTCCTCGTAGGCGCGGACGAGGATCGTCTCCGGAAGAGAGCTGGCGAGGACCTTGAGTTCTTTTTGCAGACGCTTGAAGAATTGCGGACCGGGCTGGGAGGTGAGCGGTTTGGAGTAGAAGTGGTGCGAGACGGGGGCGGACTCGAGGACGGCGAACTGGTTCCACTCGGTGGAGGTGCTAGCGCCGGCCAGCTCGGTGGGTACGGAGGGCTCGGAGGTGGATGCGGCGTCGATCGAGGGGACGACGGCTTCGAGCGCTTTCTCGACGGTGGCAGCGTCGGTCGCGTCCTGCGTGTCAGCGGATGATGGCGAGTCTTCCTCCGACTCGTCAATGTGAATCTCGGCCACTTCGGGCGCTCCATCCGACATGTCCTCCCAGTCGTCCCTGCCGTTGGCCACCATCTCACCGTCCTGATCCACCCACATGGCGTCGAGATCCTCCTCGTCGTCATACATGTCATCATCCTCGTAGTCGGCATCCATGTCCCACGGATCGTGCCCGTCTTCATCCAGCATGGCGTGCTCGTGCATACCAAACTGCGAATCGGACAGGATCTGCAGCTTGTCGAGCTTCTCCACGACGGTTCTGCCGGTGGGCAAGCGGACGCGACATGTGCCATCCAGGAGCAGATCCTCCACAGTGCCGTACCAGTCGATGTCGGTGGCTGCGGCGGCGGATCTTGCCTTGGAGGCGACACGATTTGGTACCTTGACGAGCGACATTTCGGCTTTCATGAGGTCGTCGTGCATCTTGTAGTCGTCATAGTCTGGACGGGGGTCTCCGACGGTGGTGAGGAAGGGTCCGGGCCAGCCGGTGGGGCGTTCTGAGATCAAGACCGAGTCGCCGCGGTGCAGGCTGAAGACGCTGTGGTCGGCTCCTTGGACGTCGATCTCGAGCGAGGGGACGAGCTCGATCTCGGCTGGTTCGGAGAGGGGCACGCGGAGTTCGGCAGTGCGTTCAAGCGGGTCCATGCTCTGGACAACACGAGGAACGCTGCCCTGGTCGTCCGACTTCCAGTAGACCCAGTCGCCCGGCCAGGACTCGTGCTCGTCGAGATTGACATGTGGGATCATGTCGGAAGCCATTTCTTTGGTGCGAGTGCCGTCCTGCCACAGAACGTCGAGCTCGGTTTTGGTGCCAACGATGAGCATCACATCGACGGGAAGTTGTTGACGTCCGTGATAAGTGATCTTTGCGCCGTGCTTGTCCTTGAGCTCCTTGCTTCGGAAGATGACTCGATCTCCGATTTCGTGGTTGCGCTCGCAGAACGCTTGGACCAGGGTCAACCTGTTGTAGTCGGTCCAGAGCGCTTTTGGCTTGGGTCGCTTGGCCTGCTCGTCCGGGCTGAGCTTCTGGTTGATGGCGAGCCAGTTGATGTACAAGGCACTCTGTGTGATCTCGACGATGGAGGCTTCCCTGATGCCGAGTGCTACGAGCTTGAGGCCGACCTCGCTCTCAGCCATATGCTCCGCGGGGATCTTGCCGAGGAGCAGTCGTCCGTCCAGTTCGCAAACCCTGATCAGCCTGTCGTTGTCTGGGTTGCCCACGAGCGCTTCTTCGACGACGCTATCAATCTCTCCTATCCAGTCGTCACTGATCACAAGATCTCCACGGTTGAGGTAGTGGGCCTTGACGATGTCTTCTGCTGGGACGGGGTGAGCGATCTCTTCCCTGCTGAAGAGGTGTTGTAGCTTGAGTGTGTTGGTAGCGCCCGTGACGACGCCGGATTGCGCGTCGCTGAGGGAGCGCTTGCAAGTGGAGCCCGTTGCAAACACTCGGTCGACCAGCACGAGGTCGGTGGACGGAACGATCTGCCTCTTGCCAGAGGGATACCAGAGGACACCGTATTCTCCATGCTTGAGTTGACGATCGAGACCGGTCGGGGCAAAGGTGGTGGGGTCCTGTTCGATTTCGTCGAGGTAGCAGCGTGAGACCATGCCCACTTTGTGCTCTGCATCGATGCCCTGCTTGCGATGGACGACATCCGATCGGTAGAGACGAAGCGGCGCAGGAGCCTCGGTCGTCATTATGGCGGTTCTGATGACAGTAGAGATGGAGTCTTGGCCAAGGATACAAGATCGAGATCAGGACCAGGTCAGTGCCAGGGTGAACGTGTGGAAGTAAGGAGGGAGCGAGTGAAGGATTGGAGAGAAGCGGGCTGCGCCGAACCCACCACGCGGACTCAGCCAAGGGTGAGATGAGCTCGATGAAACGAAAACCGAGAATGCGAGGCTCGAAGCTGGCCCCCGGGTCTTTCGGAAAGGATGATGCAGCAGGTGCGTGTAGGCGCTGACCGGATCAGAGTGAGTCAATGACAAGTGATGTGAGTGAGAGAAGGTGGTCGGCAAAAGCTGCGCTGAGTGAATGCAGGTGCTTGTCCGGAACTGAGCTTTCACCAAGAAGATCACGAAAGGATGTTCACACGCAGCGCCAACACCTCCAAGACCCTCTGCTCGAGCGACACCTTTTCGAGTCTTAAAATATCAGGTTGCGCAGCGCAGCCTGCGAAGACGCCGAGTTCCGACGCCAGCTCGCTCGCACGGTGTCCAGGGTTCCGGCTCATTTGGACGTGACGTGCATGCGACTGTCTCAGCACCTTTCACCTTCGCTCTTGTCACAATCACATCGATTCGTCAGTCACGGTCATCGCCGAAACAGGCACACAGCCAGACGAGCTCAGTCTTCGGTCCACCCGGTTCAAAGCCCCTTGGCGTAGGCACGACTCGATGTCAGCAGCCGTTTTGGTTCAGGCAAAGCTAGCGAGGTGCTAGTCGTCCCAGCTCCCTTGGCTCCAATGGCTTCGATTCAGCCTCGAGCGGAATGCTCACGACCCTCTCAAGTGGTGTTGGGCACGACTGAGCATCTGTTCTCAAAGCCAGAAAGCCCTCGACGCGCTGCAATACGCAGCCGGCCACGTCGCGACAATGTCACCTATCTCGCTGGAAGGGAAGCCAGAGATGGCCTGACCGTCAAAGCAAGCTTCGACCAAGTCTGCGTGCTATCACGAGACCAGCGCTTCGACCAAGCTCTGCCATTCTGGGACGCCTTTTCAGGCTCGCAAAACACCGACCAATGCATCACTTGCACCGCAGTCGGCCTCTCGGCAGAACGTGATCAGATCCTCCTCGCCGCCTCTATGGACCATCGAATAGGCATCTGGTATGCACAAGCCACTTCCTCGAGCCCATCGCGCAAATGGAGGGTACACTCAACGTGCACCATCAACGAAGGTGTCGTCACCACTCTCGACATTGTCAACGGTCAGCTTCTCGTGGGCAGCTCTACCAGCCTTTCACTCTGGAGGCTAGACTCTTTCGACATTCCAATATGGCGACGTTTCTGGACCAAATCCGTCCCTGCTGCTATCAGCATCGCCAAGTTCTCCCCTGACGCCACCAGCATCGCAGCCGTTGCGCACGAGGGTCAATACGTTCTCCTGTTCCAATACCAGCCCAGAGCCTCAAGACCGCCCATCTTGCAGCAGCGTCTCTACCATGCGCGGCCTGTCACAGATCTGGTCTGGAGGCAACCACCCGAACAGACTAGTCAGGCCGACGTGCTGGTCACCTATGCTTCCGACGGTGTAGCCAGGCTCTGGGCTCCTGTCATCGATGAACCCACTCAGCTTCGACTCTGGTGCAGCGTCCAAGCTCCTATCTCCATCGCTTCTGCCGACATTCCAACGACCTTCTACCTGGACCCACATACTGTATGTGCTGCATTGCGCGCAAACATGAGAGCTTTGCAAAGGGAGATTCAGATGGCCGAGCTAGGTGTTGGGTCCTCCACCGGCCTAGATGCGCACACGCTCGAGCTCGACATGGACCTCAAGCGAACCAGGCTACGCAGATTGGAGCAGTTGGTCACTGAAACACCAGACATGTTCATCTCTTTCGAGCAAGATGGCTTCCTCAGCGTGACTGCTGTTGCCAATGTCGATCGTCGGCCGCCCACGCTTTTGCAAGCATTGACTGTGCTGCGCATTCCTTTTGCGCTGCCATACAACATCGACACCATCAGCAGCGTCAAAGCCCTCCCGCTCCACGCTGCACCAGATGCATTAAGTACTGTGCCAACGCTGACCCTGCACGTTCAGCACAATGACGGCGTCTCCATGGCTTGTGCTATCAACCCGGCAACCTTCTTCGACGGCAGGGGCTTGGGCATTGAGCAGGATGTTTGCCATCCGTGCGGACCGTCGCCTACTTCCGACACCTCGGCCGCGAGCGTGCGCAGGCATACCGGTCGGATCGAGTGCTTGCAAAGATCAGGGAATGGCAGACTTCTGGTAAGCTCGTCGGCCAAAGAGTCCATCACGTGGACGTCAGATGCATCTAGAAGTCGACCGGAAGGCCGTCTTCACTGCCAAACCTCAATGCGGTCCTCGGCAATCACGGCGATCTCCTGCGATGGCTCACTCATAGCTCATCTCAGCAGTGATGAAGCTGGAGAGGTCTGCAGGACATCGGACGGAGCCAGTGCGTCCTTCAAATGTGAAGGAAACACGAAGCACCTTGCAATCGGTCCGCTCGGCGGCCTTGATGTCCTCATTGCTGTCACCGAATCCGGCGCTGTGCATGCATGGACGCTTGAGGAGAAGGAGGACCTGTGCCTTAGCGCGAGGCAGACGTCACATTTGTGGCCTGATAGCCAGCCGCATCGTCACCTTATCTCTGCAGATTCATCAACTGCCTCATCTGGCCAGCTCGGGAACAATTTCAGCCTCGTCACCGCCGACACTTCTGGCTGCGTCACTGTATGGAAAACCACGCTTGATGCATCTGGTCAGCTTCGTTGGTCGGCAGCCGCGACTTACCGGGAAACCTCCGACGGCACGCCACGGCTGGTGCGCTGCAACAAGGACGGTCTCGTCGCGATCGTGTATAGTCACAGCCAGCAGAAGCAAACCTTGGTCGTGTTTGATTCCCGAACGACTTCCTTCAGTTCAGGCGTGGAGCACAGGCAAGATTTCGAAGCGGAGGATCCGATTGTTGCATTGGATTGGTCGCCGTCTCCTCTGTCGTCCTATACACTGGCCATCGTCTTTCGCCATTTCGTCGACATCATCGCTCCCGGCAGGTCTTCTCAGGAAGCACAAGCGACCCCTCAGTGGCAGCTTTTGGTTCGACTCGACCTCCGCACCTGCACCCCGAGCAGGATCGGCGCCGCCTGCTGGCTCAGCTCAGAGCAATTTGTCATCGCTTCCGGTGCTGTGCTCTTCGTGTACGGACCGTGGGTCCAGACCGCCTGGAAAGATGAGACCGAGGCAAAGAAGACGCACCTCGCTGAACTCATCGCCGAGGTCGGAGGGCCTGTGGTCCAGTACCATCCGACTTTCTTGCTCCAATGTGCGGTCTGGGGCAAGGTGGCGTTGGCGAGAGCCATCATCGGCAACTTGGAGAAGGCCGTCCTTGCTTGCAGCGCACAAGAAGTCACAAACACGTGGGTGTTTGAGGACGTACCTCTCGACATTGTTCTTCAAGATCATTCGACAGCAGGCAACGAGGCCGTTGGAACCGCGCCACCCTCAAAGCAGAGCTTGCAGGGAAGTATCTTTGACGAGCCTGGTCAATCGGACACTGCAGACGATGCAGACCTCTTCGCGAACGACAGAATCGACAACCTGGCTCGGCGGCTCCAGGCCATCCATCCTCCTCACCTTTCACAGCCAGATCTTGTGGTACTCGTCAGCCTTATCAAAACCATCGGCGAGGCTAGTCAGGAACATCGAAGCTTGGATGCATCGGGTCTGCGGTATACGCTGGCTCTGCGCCAGATGCTCAACGGCGCCACGCAATCGACGCAAGCAGACGCAGCTTCGAGTACTGCACTCGGCTTTCGCGACTATTTGTGGGCCTTCCATAGCCAGAACCAGGAAACGCTGGTCGCTGCTGTCGAGTCGGCCCACAGGAACAAGCTCGACTGGCCTGCAGCAAAGGCGACAGGCGTTTTCATCTGGCTCCAGAACCGGACTGCGCTACGCACGCAAGCGGAAGCAGTGGCACGAGCCCAATTCATGTCTGGCGAAGATCGTGATCCTGTCAAGTGCTCCTTGATCTACTTCGCGCTCGGCAAGCGCAAGGTAGTGCAGGGTCTTTGGCGCCAAGCAGTCTGGCATCCTGAGCAGAAGAAGATGCTGCAGTTTCTGTCGAAAGACTTCGACCAGGAGCGCTGGAGAACAGCAGCCCAGAAGAACGCCTTTGCACTCCTGAGCCAACGACGCTACGAATTCGCTGCGTCCTTCTTCATGTTGGGCGACAGCTTGCGCGACGCCGTCAATGTTTGCGTTCGAAATTTGGACGATCTTCCGCTCGCCATTGCCCTAGCAAGGATTCAGGAGGGCTCCGACGATGGACCCGTCTTCACAGACTTGCTCAAGACTCGGGTGCTCCCGCTTGCTTTTGAGACAGGCGATCGTTGGATGGGCAGCTGGGCCTTCTGGATGCTCAAGCGCCGAGATCTTGCCTTGCGCATCATCGTCACTCCGCTGCGAGACATGCTTGCCGACGAAAGCATTGCCAGCTTGGTCGGCACCAGCGTCACGTGTGGCAACGACAGCAACAACGACCCTGGACTGGCCCTGTTGTTCCAGCAGCTTCGGACCAAGTCGCTCCAGACCATCAAGGGCCTCTACGATATCCCGGAGAAGAAGGTCTTTGACTTTATTCTCAACACCAACCGGGCTCTGTGCCGCATGGGTTGCCATTCGATCGGGCTCAGCTTGCTGCGCAACTGGCAATTCGAGCCACCATCGGTGTCGAGCGCTTCAACTCTCTTCCATCGCGTGTCCAAACACGACCTGGAAACGCTCTCGCGTGTAGAAGAGGCAGGCATCGCAGAGAGTACTGACCCGTTCGGCGAGATGCGTCTCACAGATCAGGGCGCACCACGTGCCAAAGAGGATGCGGCGCCAACCAGCCCTACTCGCCATCGCCGTCGCATGTCTCAAAGCGCCATGTCGCCTCCCAGCAGCCCAACAAGGATCCTACGACGTAGCAGCTTGCTCCGACGCAGGTCGAGCATCATCAATGACCTCGACATTGGCGCGGCAGTGACTTCGGCTGCGAAGGATAAGACGGAGAACGCGCGCGCCCGAGAGTCTCAATCGAAGGACTCAGGAAAGCAGTCAGAAGCAGAAGCGAATTCAACGAACCTTACCGCAGAGCCTGACAGCCTTGCAGGGGCGAACGGACGCGAGACCGGGAGCACCACGAAGGAGGAGGAAGCGCCTGCGCCAAAGAAGCAGGGCATCAGCGTGTTCAAGACTGCCGCCGCCAGCAACAGCCAACAGGGAGCCCAAGAATTCGACTTCGGCAGTTTCGGCTTTTGATCGCCCTGACATCTTCACATTAGAAATCGCATATGCAAAGTATTGCCTTCATGTCTGTCGAGTGCCGATGGGAGCTCTTGGTAATGAGAGCCGCTAGTGATGCCGCCGGCGGAGATGCAGGAGGCTATGATGTATTTGATTTGCAAATAGCGACCGGACAGCGCAGTCTCTCGCTAGAGCTGCATCATCGAAGTCGAGCTATGCGAACAGGAAGTGATGTTCTGGGTGTTTTACACGGCCTCGGGGGTCTTGCCGATGTAGTCGATGGCTTGTTGAACGGTGGTGATGTTGTCAGCCTCCTCATCGGGGATCTCCTGTTGCGTTGCAGATTGCAAAAGTGAGACGAAAGTTAGCAAAGGTTCCTCTGACAGGAATGAAAAGGCCGGCAGAGAATGCTTACAATGGTGAACTCCTCCTCAATAGCCATGACGACCTCAACAGCATCGAGGGAATCCAAGCCGAGGTCCGAGGTGAAGGACGACGAGGCGGAGACCTGTAGCAACGAAACGCAGTGAAAAGAAGCGAATAGGGCGTCAGCACTCATCTTACATCTTCACAGCAGATGTGTGGCAGCAACGTCGGGAGCAGCCATCCGGAAGCTATGCGTTGCCTCCGAGGCCGGCCGCGCATAGCCGCAATCACTCCACATGGGGCCTGCTACGACGGGCCGAGATGAAAACCGCACCTTGCTGGGGTCAACCTTCTCGAAGGTCTTGAGCACGTCGAGGATCCTGCTCTCGATGTCGCTCTTGGAAAGACCTGCCGAAGCGGCGTAGAAGCGGACGGGTGTGAAGCGAGGAGCAACAACGGCAGCACGAGCCATGGGGGCGGCCTGGCGGGCGATGGCCAGAGGTGCACGAGCTCGGACGAGCGATGCAGCGGCGGTTCGGAGTGCGGCAACCATTGTGATATGTGTGTGGGAGGTGGGTGTGTCGACGAGGGGTGACGGTGATGGTGTTGATGTTGAGCCAAGTTGCGATGGTGATCAAATCATCAAAATTGGAAGCGACGCTCAGGACGACTTGTTGCAGCTTGGTCGATTCTGAGCTTCTGACGGTCCTTTTCCCCAATCGGCGAGCCGATCCACATACGTGCAAGTGTTGGATTTCAAATCAAAGCTGTGGTCAAGGGTCAGATCGGGCTGGCTCTGTGCCAACGATGAATTTGCTCAGCCCGCCGTCACAGCGCAGAAAAAGCTTCCGTTGAAGCCCGCGCTCGGCCAGCCGTCACTCGACCGAGAAGAATTTGAGCAAGAAGAACCTCAAGTCAAGCTTCGCACATCAACCCAACAATATCAAGAAGCGATCTTCGCCTCGGTCGAACACACCAATCAGGCCGGAGCTCATCACCACCCTCACTCGACTCCGACGGCAAGATGAAGGGTCTCGCATTCCGAAAGCTGTCTAGGACATCATCGCACCGTAATCACCTGCTTCGCAACCTCGTCTCTTCCCTCATCCAACATGAACGCATCTCGACCACAGTAGCAAAGGCCAAAGAAGCGGCTCGCGAGGCGGAGAAGATCATCACGCTCGGCAAGCGCGGCACAACACAAGCAGGCTATGGCGCAAGAGGCTACCTCTTCTCGCAAACAGAGACGCTGCCAAAGCTGCAAGAGCTCGCACAACGATACGCCAACCGACCGGGCGGATACACCCGCATTCACCTGCACGGCAACCGCAAAGGTGACCATGCTCCACGGGCCATCCTGGAGTTGGTGGACAACCCGTTCGACTTGCGCATGCAGATGACTGCGCGTACGCTGGCCAAGGAGGTGTACGACCACATCACGAGGCGAGGCGGAGACGATATTCTCACAGGACGACAGTTCGACCTGTCGACAATGGAACAGGACACCCGCTTCAACGGCATCACACGACAGAACATCACCAAGGTGGTGCAGTACGGTGGCATGGAGGCGAGGGAGAAGCTGGTCAGCATGGCACAGGATCATCTGTTGCGGCTCAAAGCGACGGTGGCTGTCGACGGCCCGAGACGGGTCGATCAGGAGAGGATGGAGAGCTTTGGTGACAACAAGCCCCGAGGAAGACTCTTGACAAAGCCCGTGGCAGGAAGGAGACCATTTGCGGGACAAGAGCGAGAGCTTCAGCCAGCACCACTGCCAGGGAAGAGGCGAAACTCAGTCATTCGCCTCGGAAAGGGCGCCTTTGCAAAGCGTCTCAACTATCGCAAGGTCACCATGCCTGTCTCTGCATCACCAGTAGCATGAAGCAGATACATCGACCTCGCCTTGCATCCTTTCGCATCATCTCTACGTATCACAGTCTAAGGCTTCCTCGATTGTCCGTCGAGACCATCATTAGCATTCTCAGCTTCCATCACCATTGTAAACTAGACAGGTCATCTATCGCACCAAAATTCGATGATCGATCAACAAAGAGCCCCTCGGATGGGATGGACTGGGAACCAAAGGACTCGCTAGCTTTACTGCGATGGCTCTGTCATGACAACCGGGTCACCATGTGAGAGATGATGTTGTAGCACGCAAAAAGGGAGTTGAGGATGCTCTTCCGAGACCCGTGATGATTTTGTGAGGTTCAAGAAGAAGTGTGTGCTCCTGAAGCGAAAAGCCAAAAAAGTCGGTGCACGCGACCAACAGCGTCCTTCCGAACCCTGTCAAGTTTAGACTTACATCATCCTCATCATCCCTCTTTGCAGTTTCAAGGACTCTATTCTGCGCCCACTCTTTAACTCAAGCGGACCTCACCAGCCTCGTGTGCCCGTCACACATACTCCGCTCGACATTCACATAAACGCTCTGCCCCAAACCGCTTAAGCCGCTACTTCGAGACCCGCATGGTGTTGGCGAACAGCAGACGGTAGCCGAGACCGTAATGCTCGGCGGGCCGCGGTTGGCCGCAACAGCAGGAAGGCGGACGCTTCGAGATGGTCTCAATCGCTCTGCCGGTCTCCGAGGCGATCTGCTGGAGGCCGTGCTACCACCCTTCCTGTGCCCAGCTGTCGAGAGACCACCAATAGCAAGGAGAAGCTACCGGGCTACTGCGGCATCTTCCTCCTCCTCGTCAGCTTCCCGGCCACATACTTCTGCCAGGGTACCAAGCTCATACGCCACTTCATGGTTCGCCCAAAAGAAGCCGAGCCCTTCTCGCCTTCCTCCCACTCGCGGCTCTCCTTCTCAGCCAGCGACAGCACCGACTCTGAACTACCGTCACGCCAATAATGATACCCAACTGGCAAACTCTCAGGTAGACATCTGGAACCTCAACAAGCGTGATCGACTATCAGAACCATCAATACGAAGATCAGCTGATTCCTTGAGCTCATCCGCTGCCGGACCGTCCGACTGGCGAAGAAAGTTCCCGAGCACGCAATGGAGAAGGGAGATGGACTTCAACCGATATAGCCCTCCTTTAAGACGGCAATTTCTTCCCGAGGACGCACCAGCACTATACGAAGACGAAATCAAGGCATCTGCTGCATGGCTGCCGGAATCGTCATGGAACCTCGATGTGCCAGACGACTATCCGCTCCGACACGAGCTCTTCCTCATCCTCGACAGCCTGGACGACATCTCACAATGCGGATCTGATCCTGACTACGCCGAACACCTAGCCGAGACCTTGCGTCAGGCCAGAGAGCTCATCTGGGCCAATCCTCAACGTCCTCTCCGCAAACATCAAGATACGGAGGTGGCGCTGTATCTAGCCGGCAAAGCAGCAGAAACTTATGTCAAGCTGGACGTCGAAGATTCGTTGGCTCGACTCTTGACCTTCCTCGACTATGTTCAGACCAACATCGGCGTGCTACCGCTACAATGTTTCCATGCGCTCGCGGCACACGCAGGCATCGCCCGTCGCTACGATGCGGTGCTCAAGATCTGCCAGGTGGCCCGGTCGTATCACAATGGCCAAACGGATGCCGAGCTGCTCCATCTCACCTTGCGCGCTCTCATTGCTCAGTCCAAGGATGCCGACGTGACACGCTACTGGGACTCATTCGATGCAGCCAGCCTTCCCGTTCCGCGCAAGACGTTTGATCTGCTCCTCCGCACTCACGTGCGTCGTCAGGACGTGGAGCAGGTCAACGACGTGCTGCGCACAATGCCGCAGCACGGCCACAAAGTCGACGCCAAGGCCTGGCTCACCATCCTACGCGGCTTCCAAAGCTTTCGGCCGACACTCGCAGCGATGCTGAAAAGGGATGCCAAGATCGTACAGAGCCCGACGCTGAACGTGGTGAATCATCTTCTGCTGTTGCTCTCACGGGAGCTGGACGTGGACGGTGTCTTGATGGTTCTGCGCATCTTTCGCATCCCTACTCGCCTCACATCAGACGATGCTGGCGATGCGGCCAAGCAGGATGACGATCCGTCCATCATCGACGGACCCAGCCCTCGGCCAAATGTGCAGACCTACGTCGCTCTTACGCAGATGTTTGGTCGGCTCGGTCGTCCTGCGGAAGCACTGCCTTTCTTTCGATTGGCAGTGTCGCTCGCCAGTAACAACGGCGACGATCACCCAGCGTCTATCCGGCTTCTTCAGCAGGCCTCTGCGCACGTCATGTCAGCCTACCTCAATGCGGGTCATCCCGTCCTCGCCATGTCGTTTGCAACCGAAGCGCTCGGGCTACCTCACTTTGGCAGTGCCGAGACCAAACAGTCGCCCTCGTCCGACTTCCACATTCCCTCTTCGCCGCGCATCCCGATCGCTCCATATACCTCACACTACCGGATTTTGCTCGAGTGCGCTTCTGCCATCGGCTCGCCTGAGTCGGCCCGACGGATCGTCGTCCATCTTTTGCGGCACGGTCATCCGACCGATGCGCACGTACTGCGCGGACTTGCCCGGTTGATCTTTACGACCATCGACCAGGATGCGCTCGAGTCGATCCATGTGCTCCGGCGGTTGCTGCCGGGGGAGAGGGACTGGAAGGCACGCCACACGGCACGCGATCGCCGGCTCGGCTCGCTGTCGGATCTGCTGCACCAGCTCGGTGTACCGGAGCGCGTCGTGTTGGCTTCGCAGCAGTCGACGGATCTGCATCGCGACGCACCGGGTGTCGGCAGCAAGCTGATGGCCAAATCTAGCCCCGGAGAATCTTCCAAAGACGAGCTGCGAGACTGGCTGATCAGAGATGCATCGCCATTCGGGCCTGCGGATGCTGGCACCGACACGCCCGCTCTTGCCCAGGATCTGCGTCAACCACTGACGCCGGAAGCATACGCAATGCGAATCCGCGTCTACGCCGTCGTGCGGCGCGACTACCTTTCCGCCCAACGGGTCTACCACGCCATGCTGACGCACGGCGTCAAGCCGACCATGATGCACATCGCCCCGCTCATCGAAGGGCTCACGGCGGTGGGCAAGCTCGACGAGGCACAGCGGCTCAAAGCCAACGCGGTCGAGGTGACGGGTCTCCAGCCGACACTGCGCATCCACACCGCGTTGATCCGGGCGTATGTTCGAGCGGGAAACACAAAGGCCGCACGCAACGAGGTCAAGGAGCTCACCGAAAACGGTTTCAGAGTGGACGACACGGTGGCGAACATCATCGAAGCCGCCCAGTCCGGTCGACGCAACTTTTCGTTGGTGGATCGACCCGTGGATGACAAAGACGCACATGGTGTTGCTACACGCTTTCACTCGTTGATGGCCATGAGGAGGTATCTGGCCGCCCAAGAAACCGTGCAGACCGCCCTCGATGCCGGACTTAAACCGGATAAGGTGTTGCAGGACCTGGTAAGAAGGTCGACCGGGTACGTGCAGAAACAGCTCATCAAGGCACAAGCAGGTGGAGAGGGATCACACATGTTCGAACTGGCTCAGGCGGCACGCTTGGCAGGAGCAAATAGGGACAGGGTGACGAGGAGCGTGCAGAGGATGGCCGACGCAAGGAGGAGCGTTATGAAGGAGAGGAGGAAGAAGGTGGTCAGTCTGGTGATGGATTTTGCCGAGGGGCGGTTGCATGAGCTGGCGGGGGTGGCGAGTGAGGTGAAGGGTAAGGAGAAGGGAGGCAAGACGGAAAAGGTTGCTGTTACAGGATGATAGTGCAAAGCTTGGAATGAAGAGCACGTTGTTTGCGGAACATGCGGAGTGCTCCTGTCGTGGGAGGTTGCCTGGTCCAAGACGGAGATGAGGTCTTGGAAAAGAAATGGGGTGAGAGCCCTCATGTCGGTCGTGCCCTCTGAGAAGACACTGTTCAGGGTGATCTGACGGTGCCAATATTGGTTGTCCTGCGGCACCGATGCGCGTTGGGGTCTAGAACTGCTCCGTGCTGGGGCTCGGCGAAGCAATTGTGTGTCTGCGATACCGGGTGGTCTCGGTGCATAGCAACGCATCTACGAGACCAGCTCCCCATGGCGGCAATCGGGTCTTCTCCCTACTTATAGCGGCCCCCGCATGAAGTCACTCCGATCTTCCCCTACCTCGTTCTGACGAAACCATGAAGCTCATCCTGCTCCTCTTCGTCGTCTGCCGCGTTGTGGCGCTTCCCAGGACCACTCCCGACACGGCGCTTGCCGAATCCCCTCGTCCGTTCGACCCCTTCGCTCAGCTGGATGCAGAGATCGCTTCGGCCGCGAAAAGCGCCTCGGGATGGGGGGTAGCCGAAAAATGGACGGCGGGCGTTGTGGCAGGCCTAACAACGCTGGTCAATGGCGCGTATGAGGTGGGTTACGCGCTCAACCTCGCGGATCGCCACCGGCACGCTTCTGAGCTGCAGGCGCTGCGATCGGCGGTGGGTCGCGCCAACGCAGCCGCGCAACATCGAAGCGACCGGCCCGGGGGAGGGAAAGCAAAGAGGGCTGACGAGTCGCTTGTCGAGCTCGCTCGGGAGAGGGAAGGGTTTGAAGACGCCCTCAGTCGGTTTCCCAGCGGGCGACTCGCCGATGACGCCCGAGAGACTTCCTCTATCGGGGTGAACGACCGGCTGACAGCGTTGGAAGCAGCTGTGCTCCGCCAGAAACAGAACCAGCTCCAACAGGCAGGACACATTCCAACGTACGTAAAAGTGCTCACAGGCATGGGCGTCGGCAACGCTCTCATCGCTGCTGCGGCCGCAGAGATGAGCCTGCAGGATACACTCGAGATGCACAGCAGGACGAAAGAGTTGCCAGACGTGAGGAATTCGGATCGGAAGACGTGCGAAAGGTTCAAGGGCGAGGTTGAGGGGTTGGATTGCGAGAAGGCGAAAGGTACAGCGTTGTCGTGATGTGCTCTTTGGGAACACCAGCCGTGAACGTGCATGTCGTCAGATAGGGGCAATCGGCTCGAAGGTCGAACTGGAGAATCACTGCATGGTCATTCTTGATGGTGAAACAAAGGTGGTATGAATGACTGATTGTTAATGGAGAATGGGATGGCTCTTATCGGCGAGGTCACCTGGTCCAATGGCAAGAGACGCCGAGATGAGGGTAAGCGGAAGAATAATGGTCCCCCCCACCGAAGCTTTGATAGGCGTCTGCGGTCATTGTCACTCCCGTCTTTCAAATGAAAGCGCTGGATAAGACGAGGTCAGTGGGGGTCATAGAAGCCTCGCGGCTGGGCTTGGCGAAGCTGTGGTATCTGCGATAAGAGGCTCGTCTCCATGCGTCCGATGCATGATGCGCGTGACGTCTACACGGGTGCAATGCAGGATAGGTCCGGCGCGATCTCCCAGAGCCACCCACACTTTCCGAAGCCACTTATAAAGACTCTCGGAAACGTACGTTGCCTGCTACCAAGACACAGACCTTTCAGGCATCAAGTTCTTAGCCATGAAGTTCGTTCCGAGTCTACTTCTCAGCTTCCTCGCCTTTCTCGGCCACGTTGTGGCTCTTCCAGTGCCAGCCTTCGAGCCTGCGCTTGGCGACTCCATCCATTCGTTCGAGCAAGAACTTGCCACACTCGACACCAAGATTCACTCCTCCGAGCAGAAGGTTGCGGCTTGGGGGAGGAAGGAAAAGTGGGCTGCGGGCGCCGTTGCTGTGCTGACGACGTTGGGTAACGCTGCCTACATTGCCAGCGACGTCGTGCATCTGGCGGACCACCATCGGCATTCGACCAAGTTGGATGCGCTGCGGGCTGCTGTAGCTCGCGCAGATGCTGCGGCAAGGTACGACCGTGGGAAGCTCAGCACTGAAAAAGTGGGCAAGAGGGGCGAGGAGGAGATCGCCGAGCTGATGTCAAACGGCGAAGAGACCTTTCAAAGCGCGCTGAGCCGCACTTCGAGCGAGCGACTGGACGACTTCACTGACAAGCATACGCGGGACAATTGGGCACACCTGTTTTCGACCTCCTCCTTCTCATCGCGGGAAAGTGACCGACTCGCCGCCATCGAAGCAGCACTCCTGCGCCAGAAAGAGCAGCAACTGGATCAAGCCACCATCTCGCCGTACACGAAGGCCCTCATCGCCGCAGGCGCCGGCAACGCCATCCTAGGAGCAACAGCGGCAGCGCTCAGCACGCAAGATGCCTTCGAAACCCGCAGAAAGCAGGGGAAAGTGCCGGACGTGAGGAATCTGGATAAGAAGACCTGCGAGAGATTTGTGGGCGTGATCGAGGGCTTGGACTGTAGCAAGGCGAGGGGTAAGACGTTGCCATGAAGGGAGGGCTGAGGACACTAGCAGGGAGCGTCTACGAGTAGCTCTGCACGTGGACGATGCTGTGTGCGGCCCTGACATGCTCAATGGAACGAAAGGAGCCTGCGATAGAGTGCGACGTCGGTAGCCTTCTGGCGGTCTATGTAAGCTCAAGATTTGCTATCACACGCTTCCGGACGAATTGGCATGCTATCTGGTCTGATCTCCTCGATCAACGAAGTGTCAGACAAATGCGCACGCTTAAGTGAGAAGTTGACAAGATGCATTCGACAGGAGGTCGAGACCATGACCCCTTGCAGCACGCGCCCTGTTCGAGGCGCGTCGATTTCGGGTTTGTTTGTTGGACTCACATGTGACAGCCAGCCAGGGTCCGCGTGCCGCCCAAGACGAAAACAACGCTTTTCACCCAAGACGGCTTCTTCTCGGAGACTAAAATTGGGAAGCGAGGCAGCGGATCGCCAATCTTCAGTCGAGAACAAAGACGGCCTCGAGCATCCGACAGCAACGCAACTCAGCTCAGGCTTTGACCCAAAGGATTCATGCGGCTTGTCAGCTCCGACGGATCCTAGCCGAGACCATCACTTTCTGCAATGTCTCCATCAACGTGCGTGTGTGTGCAGGTGTGGGCTACAGGACCGTGGCGTAGTGTGTGCAGCACACTTCAATTGCATTCATGTGATCACACGGAAGGAGGGAACCATCGCTCGGTCAGAATGGCACAAAGCGCTCTTTGTGATTGAGCCTGCTGACCTTGAATGGTTTCATCTTGCCTTTCATTGTCTTCGGCTTGTTCATACCTTGCTTCTCATACACCACTGCTTTGTCTCGACAGCCGTCCTTCCTTGGATCACAAACGCTCTCAGCATGCGATAGCCCCTCACACGGTCTGGCGACCACTGAGTCGGGCGGCTCTCAGATCGTCTTGCAACCTGCATCACATCCAACTACTTAGCCCGTCTTTACAGCCATACAACTCGCCATCATGTCAACCATACCAAGCCCAGATATGCGACTGCCTAGCTACGAAGGTCACCTCATTCTCAATCAAGCCACGCTCTCGGACATTCCGCAGACCAGCTCTTGCACCGCTTGGTCTGAACAGTGGTGCAGTCTCGAAGATGGCAGGTTGCTCGTCTATCCGGACCACACCGCTGCCATAGTCAATCCAGACGAAACAAGTGCCGTCATCGACATCCGCGATTTTGCCTCTGTGCATGTCTCTGCGGTATCGTCGGAACAGGCATTCGAGCTGACACTCTCGACGGCTCCTCCGCCAAGCAGCTCGTCCGGTCGGATGTTCCTCACAAAGTCGGTCGCAAGCCTCCATCGGCTCCTGCCCGATCAAGCTCTGCATCGGAATGCTTCCGAGCACAAGCATCATCCACCCACAGCCTATCACGCCCGGGTCAGCATGCCACCACTCGCTCTCAGTCCGCCTCCGAAGCTCTCGGCTCGTGCCGACAAAGATCACAGTCGTGGTCTGGCACGCAAGCCATGGTCAAAATCCACTTCTGGCTCCGAAAGGCTGTACGGCCCAGCCTCGACCAGCTCGAACGGCAGTCTACGCACCATGGCTACCATGCACATCCGAGAAGGCTCGACCTCATCCAGCGCATATTCCTCTAGCAACTCAAGGACATCGACCGACTTCGCATCCAGCGGCGCTCCATCGCCTCGCACTCCGATATCCCCGACCTTTAGCGACTCGACCGAATGCATTTCGATGCGAGTTGCATCGACAGATGCTCTGGCTCAATGGGTTGAGGCCATCAGCCTGACGATCAAGATGCACAGAGAGACTACCGCGACCTCGATAGTGGTCAAAAAACAGAGGAAAGCATTGACGCGGCCGTCACTGAGCAGCCTCTCAGGCTTCCGCACGCCCACCAATTTTCAATCCCGCCCTGCTTCTCCAAGTCAGGGCGCATTCGTCGAAGGTCACGATGACGAGGCTACTCCGAAGGCCTCGCGTGACCGCCGAGAATCAGCCACAAGCTTCGCCTTCACCCCTGCGGCTTCAAGGATTCTGCAAGACAAGTCGGAAATCCGGGCGGCCAACTCAACCAGCGGCTCAAAGCAGCAAGGCCTGCACGCAGTCGCGGTCAGTGCTTTGGACGGCGAGAACGCCTCCAGCGGAGCATCTCAACGGGGACCTGCTACTGGTCCACACACGCCAACATCTCTTACCTTTGTCGTCGATCGGAAGGCTTCCAAACGAGAACGTACGCACAAGCGATCCCTCTCTCTAGCTTCGTCGTCTTTTTCACTGTCGAGCGGCCGTCGAATGTCAGGTGATCGCCGCAGCAGTCTGACGGGCAGGCAGCCGCTTCCCTCCGGCAGCAACGCGAATCCTCTCGGCCAGGGAGATGCAGCGAGCTGCGCCGTTGCCCCTTCGCAGTGTGCTGTGGCGCAGCGAACAGAGACTACTCTGGCTACGCAGAAGGTATGCATGGCGATAGATGACGAAGTTGCTGCCCAGTCGACAAGGTATGCTTCGGTGGCGACCAGGCACCGCCGATCTGGCTCCCTATTGCACTTCGGCTCCAGCCGAGTCATGGCTTGGCGGGATACCTTCACAGCAAGCAATGCTCGTGCACCGGCCGAAGCCCCTCTAGGCCTTGGTCTGCTGTTCGACAAAAGCGACACGAGTGAAAGCAGGCAGACCAGTCTCAGTTCAAGCGTGCATTCTTTGAGCAAGGGCACGAGTAAACTGCCGAAGATCAGGTCATTCCGCTTCTTACCAACGATCAAGATGATCAACAGCGATGGCGACGCCAGTGCTCTGAATGACGACGACATGAGGCTTAGATCGCCTCGGACACTCCGATGCGCCAGTGGTGCTCGGTCACCGTCCATCACGCCGCCACAGGGCCAAGGCATGTCAAGAACTACATCGCTGCTCAGTCTCACCAAGAATGCCCTGAGCTCTCTACGCGGAAAGTCTTCTCGGCCCCACGCCAGCAGCTTTCCCGGGCAAGGTGAAACGCCGCAGACGCCAAAGCGCTCGAGCGAGAGCACGGCGCGTATAGGTTCTCCTGGCTTCGAGTTCAGCTACGAGCTCGTACAGCCGACGCGGCAAACAGATTCAAACGGCGCAAGTATGCGTGATTCGGTACCAGACATGGTTCGCACAAGCTCAACACATACGCCTAGAATGGTTCCGATAGCAGGCGAGGAACGCCTCGCGGACGCCGACCGCTCAATTTCACGATCAGGCACGGACGACATGAACGACGCCTCCTCACCCTCTCTCCCCGTCGAGCGCATCTTACCGCCCGAACAGATCATCAGCACCTTCGACCAGCTCCGTGCTGCCGATCCGACCGGACGCAGCTGCGACTGGCTTGATCGGATCGAGACTGCCACGCGGCGCGGAAGCGTAGACTGGGCAGCAGCCGAAACGAGGCCGAATAGACCGTCGCTGCGATTGGCTGCTTCTCAGTCGTTCGTCTCGCACGATGGTAGTTCGGGTCAAGCTATCGGTCCGCGTTTGCGCAGCTCCATGTCAGCATGGAACTTGCCAGCTGCGTCACCGACCGAGCGCCCGACGAGACGATTCGATGCTGACGAACGGCAAGCCCCGTCCGCTGTGGGTACGAATGTCTTCCCGAAGCAGCTGAACGCATCGAACGCCTGCGAAACACGACACTCGCTTCTAGCTCCACGCTCACTTCCCGCCCCTCCGCGAGCATACAAGCGTCGCGCACGAATCAGCACCTTCACTCCCCCTCCATCGGCACTGCTGCCACCCGCCGAGGTCGGTGCATCACCCACAAGACGAGCGTCCCCTTTTGCCGACATGACCAACTCGCCTTCCAGTCGACGCGATGACAGCCTGCCGAAGACGATGCACAAGCTGGGGCTAAGCTCGCCCTCGCGTTCGCCCAAGAGGCTCGGTGGCGTGACGAGGCGTCGGTCCGGTATTGCAAGACGACCAACATAGACAAGTCACACGATCGCACGGATAGACAGAACAAGATGCACTCTTTAATGACGACGTAAATGCGATACAATGCCGGTCCTAACCTAAACGTGACCATTATGCTGCTACCGTAGCGCTGTTGGCAGCGACGTACGCAGCGCCCACCCTGAGCAGAGTATGCGCCATGACGGCTGCAGAGCCTACCACCACCAGCCCGCGCACCACCCGCTCGCCCTTCCACCGTTTGGCCGTCACCACGCTGACCTTCTCCGTCACCTCCTCTTCGGCAACCATCCGCAGTTCGGCAGGCAACAGACTTTCGAACAAGCCCGTGTTGAGGTCGAACGCCGTATTCGCCTCTCTCACCAGCTCCTGTACCACCTGCTGACTCTTTTCGCCCTCCGGCACGGCTTGTTCCATGGCCACCCTGAACCTTGCTTTGAGATCGGTTCCGGCAAAGTGGTAGAACGCGAACCCGTCGTTAGGTGTGGTGGTGGGGAAGCGCTTGCTGACTTTGCGCACGATGTGCTGGCCACCACTCAAATCGCCGAGATAGCGCGTGTAGGCATGGGCGACCAGCAGCGTGGGGTGGGCGTTGAGGAGGACACGAACGTAGGCGAGGGTGGAGTGCACCTGGGCTGGGGTGAGGAGTGCGATGTGGTCCTCTGTCACCTTTTGCGTAGTTGATGCGGTGGGGCGGATGGCGTCCGGGAGAGCTGCCTGGGAGAGGGCGAGCAGCTCTGTTCTCGCGCTTGGGTCTTCAATGTCCTCCTTCACCGCCGCGGACGCGGACAGCGAGTGTGAATCGCGCGCTTGGTCGGCGAGATCGGCGAGACTTGCCCCCATGTGTGCCTCCACCGTATCAAGGTGCGCCCGAACATCATCCAACAACGCCCGGGTCCGCACCAACTCCTCGATCAACCCTTCATCCCCCCACAGCCCGCGCAGTCCCTCACTCCCCCGACCGCGCACCAGACCCGCCTCCATCGCAGCGTAGACGCACAGAAGCATGATGTTGAACCTCACATAGTCCACTCGGTCGAACGTCAGCTCTGAAGTCGAAGGCGAGGAGGAGAGCGACGAGAGGAGCAGTGAGACCCCGCGCGACTTTTCTACTGCACGATGCGCGGATGAGGTGCCGATGCGCAGGGCGTCCGAGAGCGAAGAGGGGGAAGAGTGCGGGGGCAGAGAGTGGTAGGAAGAGGCGTGTTTGGCCGATGCGGGGAGCGCAAGGATCGTGGCGAACTTTGCGAATGGACACGTCATGCTTGTTGAGTCCAGGAGATGGAGAAGATGGTTGGCGGATTGGACGTTGATGTTGATGGTATGAGCAACGGTCGACGGAAGAGCCGGGACTAGTCGATGGTGCGATGGACGGCTGAAGATCGAGCAGGTAAAGACGGTGGCAGGACGAAAGTGCGGGAAAGAAGTGGATCCAGGAGGGCCCTTTATACGTTGTTTGTGCTGAGTCGAGCGCGTTGACTTCTCTACTGCACTGCGTGTTCGCGCGTGTGCGTCGTACCAGAAGGCCTAAGCGATGAAGACAAGAGAGTGTGATGGAGGTCAAACGTCAAACCGTACGCAAAGCCTTATCGAATGCTAAACACCGAGGCTGAGCCAGAGTTTGAGCAGGGTCCAGATGCAGTTCGAGGCCTCGTTTGCGGGATTTGGCGAATTTTCAGGGCGGATCTGCAAGCTCAAAAGCAAAAAGGGGGAATCGAAAATTCTCAGGCTCGTTACGGTAAGGGGGCAGCGCTGCGATGACACGATTTGCTGGCCGACGTGAGGGCACTCTACGCCACGCCCACTGTCCCTATCGTCGGCTTGCCAGCGGTGCGAGCAGAGCAAGCCACGTCTCGAGTGAGGAATGCGGACGCAAGGGCGCGTCGTACATGCCTTCAAGACTCACTGACGTGCTACCTTGGGATGGCAAGCCACATCGCGCCAAGCCGAATCCACACGGACCTTTTCATCTCGGCTGGGCGTCAGGACAGCGAGCGAGTGGGCCAAAATGCATCCACGATCGGAGTCGCACCCAAGCGAGGGGCTCAAGTGCGGACGCGCTCATCTATCTAATCTGATTAAACCGCGCCTCGCATCTGCATGCACTCCGACCGCTGTTCCGCCTGAACATCGTTGCCAAGCCCACGTCCGAGTCACGTCTCCTCTCATTCGAGCCTATCCTGACGCAGAACAATGGGCTCGGTGTGCCTGTCGAATCTGATAAGATCGCATCTTGCATCGTGCCCGGCTGTCGGCTGCTCGGCTTTCTTGCCCGGTCGACCTGCGCGGTCATCAGATCGCACGTAGCTCACTGACTGAGAGCACACGAGCAATCACGCCATTGCACAGTCGAGGAAGCTCGGATTACGCTGTACTCGTATTCGCGCTTCACCCTCCCGCAGACCGGGAAGAACGCGATCTCGCAACCCAGGCAACCGGCTCCAACCCTTCATTCAACACCCTTTCCACCAATTCCGCCTCCTTCGATCCCTCCGTCTTCCGAAACACCTGCAGCGGTCGCTCAAACCCAACTCCCGTCCCGTGCCCGATCACATCCACCAACTCCACCCCCATCGTCTCGAGCCACCAATCGAAATCGCCATCCGGCCGCAACTGCAGCTGTCGGATCTTGCCCTTCATGGTCGAGTCCATGTTCCGCGCCGAGTGGTAGCTGGGCCACTGTTGGCGTTCGAGAAACAGCAGCCCGCCGGGACGAAGGGAGGAAGAGATGCGCGCGAAGAAGCGGATCAGTCCTAGATCGGATTGCTGGATGTGGATCCATTTGGTGATGGAGAGTGCGAGGATGATGGTGTAGCCGCGGTCGGGGGAGGTATCGTGGATGGGGTGAGAGCTGGGAACGGGCTGGGGAGAGGAAGATGAGACCCATTCGAGCGCGTGGAAGTCAAGATAGGGCGGGCAGAGGTGGGCATCATGGGAATGATGTTCGGCGCATAGACTTCCTTCCTTGTTGGCGGTAGAGGGTATGCTCCCGTAGAGCGTCGGGAAGACGCTCGGAAAATGACACGCTTTGGGAGGTAGCGCATTGCGGTCCGACGTGTCATCGAGGTTCCTATCGCCTGCATTGCGGATATGCTCTGGTCGATAGCGTGATCGGGCGGCGGCGGCGGCCATCTTAGCCTGCCTGATCAATGACGCATCGATGTCGACGCCGACTATCCTAACGTCCCCCTTGCTCATCACCCTATCCTCATACCTCGAGTCCGGATTTTGACCGCCAGCTCTGCACTCGCGCAAAAGCCCAGGCAGCGTCTGAGCAAGCTCAATCGTAAGCTTTCCGCTGTTGCATCCTATATCGAGCACCTCTACTTGCTCTGAGGGATATATCCGCTTCGAGGCCTCATCTGTAACAGCGAAGTAGCTGCAAAGGTATGTGAGGATGCTTGTGACTCGGCCGTCGACAGCAAGGGCGGGATGAGCCGAGCTGCCGGGTATCCAAGCGTCCTGGTCCGCCGTGTTGGGGTTGCGGATGTGGTAGTAACGTTGGAAATTGCCGTAGATGGGCTTGATGAAGTCTTCTGCCGGGCGCTTTCGTGGAGTGACCGATGAGCCGCTTTCGGCAGCGTCGCCGCGCGACATCTTGGCGACGGGTCACAATGGAAGCATGGTGCGCAGGCTGAAGAGGAAGCGATCGAAGAGAACGAAGCAAGAAGAAGATCGACTTGGACCCTGCATCGAAGCCTACCAGCGCAAAATCCATGTTTGTTAGGTCGAGTATAGCGGTGTTGCTCTCGCTTAAAAATACGCGACCCGCGTCGCGACAAGCACGGCGATCCGCCGTCACCTTACCTTTGAGCTTACGATGCAGTGCTGCTTTCAGGAGTTAGGCAGCTAGCTAATTCGAGGGATCCATGGAGTCAAGCTTGAGCAAGCCTGCAGAGCTCGTATCTGCGATGACCTGGCCACTACCGAGCATTTCATCGGCCCACTCCAAGGAAAAGTGTCAAGACTGGCAAAGCTGCAGGACACGGCTCAGCCACAAGGTTGACTTTTTGTTTGCTGTCCAAAATGGAAGAGAAAAGAGTCATGCACGGCCCTCTCTCCGTGCAGAAGGCGCGCGGCTGCTGCTGCCAGCTGCTTGGATGCCACAGCCACGTCAGAACCGTCTTTTTGGCTTTGCCGACAAATAAATGAATTTTTTGCGGGTCGTTCTGTCTCAGTGTCTGACAGCGGGAGAGCCATGCTGCCAAAAGGAAAATGCAAAAGGCGAGCCAAAAGGCTCTCTTTCGTCAGCTCACAGCAGGACGCGTGCTCACTCTCTTCTCCGCTTTTTCTGCGGACGGCGACAGCGGCTCAGGTCAGGCGAAAGGATGCCATGATGATCCTCTTGCCTTCTCTCCATCATCTCACTCTTTTCGCTCCCTCAATCCTTGCCCCTGCTTTCCCCTTCTCCCACCCTCTCACACCCACCCTTTCCATCTCTCGGCCTCTACCTCGTTCCGTCTTCTTTGCTTCCACCTCGACAACATTTTATTTGCCAATCTAACGCATTTGACAGAGCTGTTTCAATTGCTCATCTGCACGTCTGCATATCCCCCACTTTCGGCTCTCGCTTTCTCCTTCTCCGCAATCTTTCCATACTCAACCTCGATTCTGTCTTCTCGACTCTCCAGCCAACGCTGTCACGATCTCAGCATCTCCTCAACGACCCTTTGACCAAACCATCTACACTCCCCTACCTTCATCATGTCCGTCGCTTCCGCACTGCCACTCTTGTCGCCTCTCGTGACGAGAATCCTCCAGCTCTCCGGGTTCCCTCCGCAGCTCAAGACCCGCGACCTGCAGCAAGTCTTCTCCGCCTACGAGGAAGAAAAGGGCGGCTACAAGATCAAGTGGGTGGACGACACCACTGCGCTCATCATCTTTGCCGACCCCGCCGTAGCCAAAAAGGCCTATCTGCGCACCATCATGGCTCCTGCGCACCAGCTCATCAACGACAACGGCATCCCAGCCAAGATCAAGCCCTATGACGGCGACGATGCGAGTGCCATCATCTCCTCCGTTCTCAACCGCCAACGCTCCCGTTCCAACGGCGGTATCCTCAGCAGTCCCACGAAGCAGCATGCCGAACTGGCAGCGCCCGCCACACCCGAAGCTAGTCCTGCAAAGCCTTTGCGGGGACACGCGCACACCCCTTCCTTCGGCCGCACCCCAGGCGGCGGTCACCGTCGCCAACAGAGCGGCTCCATCTCCAGCCTGCCACCCAAACCCGTCGCCGCTGCGCTGTTCGATGCGGCCAACGGCGGTCCCTCCCCCGCCAACCGCGTGCTCGCTGGCGTCGACACGCTCAGCGGCATTGCCGGTCTCCCCGCCAACCCCGTCATCGCAGCTCGAATGGCCGAGTCCCCCAGCAAGTCGCCCAGCAAGATGTCGCGCGACTCCAGCCGCACTTCGGACACGGGTCTCGAGTCGGATCTGACGAGTTTGACGCTGGGTAACATTACCAACAGCAAGAACGGCAACCTGTTCAAGAGTGCCACGGGCGAAGGGCTGCTCTCGGCACCGACGATCTCAGGTGGTGTAGGAAAGCGTTTTAGTCCCAGCAGCACGCCGTCCAGGCAATCGCCGCTGCCACGACCGCCGTCCGGAGCCACATCGCCCTCAGGGGTCAGTCCGGCGGCTGCGACCGTTGGGTGACGAGCAAGGAGGTTGCGATGACACGTTTGATCTGGCCGCTCGTTCCGGCCCGTGTTTGTCGCAGTCGCCTTACTCTTTATCTCACATGTGCATTAGTTTTAGTTTCAACAACAGTCTTCTCGTTTTTCTCCATTTCCCCCGCGTGAGAGTGTCTATGGTCTGAATATACGACGGTTCGACGGACGCGATCAATTGCCGAAGAGCTCGCCATCCCAATCGCCCCGACTCTTCTTCCTCGACGACCTCCTCACTTTCCCTCCACCTGGCTGTTTGGACTGCAAACTGCTTTGGAACCCATCTCCCTCGTCTTCGCCAAACCTCGGTGATTGGCGTGTGACGACATTCGTTCTGGTCTTGGTCAACTTGGCGCTGGTCTTGTTGCCACCGTGGTCCCACTTGTTGGCGTAATTGATGTTGAGTCGTTTGACCTGTTTTTTGGTGGGTGTGACGAGGTTGGGTGAGATGAGGCGGTAGGAAGCTTCGCCTCGATCCACCTTTTTGTCACCGGTCGGGGGAAGGTCGTCAAACAGCTCGGCTAGGATGGAATCTGCATCCTCGTCCTCGTCCAGACCAGTGATCTCGAATCCCTTCTTGCCCTTTTGTTGAGCTCCGCTGTTGAGCTTGCTCGGCGCACGCAGCACCAGCCTCTCCATCAGATCTCCTTCACCCTCCACGCCGGAGTACTCCAGAGCCGTTATGGGGTTGAGAGCTTTCACGACGGAGCGCGAGCGCGAGGGGTGCGGGAACAGATCCCCCCACTTAGCCTTGCGCGCATCCTGATACGCCTGCTTGCCCGACGCCTTGGAGATGGTGAACCGCTCAATGTTGCCCGTGGCGCAGCAGGCATCGAGCGTCACATGACCCCCCTTTTTCAGCGGAGACTTGATGAGACGCGGCCAGGAGTAGGATTCGAGTCGCATGGCCAGCTCCGATTCGGCGGAGGGGGCGGGAAGGGTGATGGTGCCGTCCTCGTTCGGTGCTAGGGCGGGTGGGGAAGAGAAGGAGGAGGAGGTGGTGGTGGTGGTGGTGGGCATGGTGGTGCGGATGGACGCCATGATGGCGTCGAGCTGCTCGGGCGCCAGTTGGGGAGGGGAGGAGGGGTCGTTGGAGTTGGCGGCGAACTCGGCCTTGAGTGCGTCCGGAAGGAGCTTGAGAAGCTCCTCCATTGCTTGGTCGTCCGAGCCCTCCTCTACGGTGCCTGCCGCTGCATCAGCACCCGCGGTGAGCGCTGCATTCGCGTCAACCTCCTGCAGTGTCCTCCGTTCCGCACTTGCCTGCTTGGCAGCACGAAGGAGGTCCAAGATCCCCGTCTTGGTCTTTCCCGCCTCCGCCTTCAACTGCTTCACCATCCCCTCTACCTCCTTCGCATCCTCACCCCCATCCAGCCGTCGCTGCGCCTCACCAACCAGACTCGGCCTCTCCCCACGCTTGACGACCACATAGCTGTACCCAGCATTCTCCTCACCCCGATCGCTGTGCTTGGTTCTTCTCAAGAAGGTCGGCGTGTGGAAACGCGCTGTGAACCCGCAAATGTCACTCGACTTGGCCGGGTTGCCCGTGTCCGCCCTGGCGCCCACCGCTTCTGCTACCGACGAGGAGATGGCAAACGGATGCAGCAGCGGACACGGCTTGTCGTGCGAGCAGGGTGCGACCACGTGCGCGCCCTCGGAGTCCTGCTTGCCGAGCTGGAGCAGCTGCGCTCGGGCAGAGGCGATGCTTGCAAACCCACGAGGAGAGGCGGCGTCGATGATGACGATGACCGAGGCGCCAGAGGCCCACATGGCCGAGACAGCCTCGAAACGGTTCGCATCGCTGGTCATCAGGCTGAGGGCGAAGGCGGAGAGCGCGAGGGAGCGACTGGAGGAGCCGATGGAGACGAGGTCTTTGGACAGGGGCACGGATTGGAACGTCTTGGAGACAGAGGCCATGGCAGACTTGGGGCCGGTAAAGTAGTCTAGTGTCGGCTGGTCTTCGGTGGCTTCTTCCGAGTCAGCATCTTCAGTCTCGGCGGGCTTGACCGCTTCTGCAGACTCCTGCTCGTAGTAGGTGCGTCCATCAACTTCGATTTCCTCGCCTTCGTCCTTGAGCTTGACCTCTCTCTCGGCCTTTGGAGGGTCCGCGGGGGAGGCGTTGGATGCAGAGCTCTGCGCCACCTTCTTGCCGCTCTTGAGCAGGTTAGGTCGGCGATCGAAGCCGTGATACTGTTGTACGGATGTGGAGCTGCCCGAGGTAGGCTCCTCCTCCCTGAACACTTGCGCTGCGGCCCACAACCCTTCGCCAGCAGCACAGTCAAAGTCAAGCACGGTTTTGGGCGTCCATCGAGGCAGAGCCTGCTCCATTTCTTCGGCGGATCCCTCAACGGGACTTCGAGTCGACAGACGCTGACGAACCTCGGAGAGCACAGCAAGAATCGCGGCGTAACGCTGCGGCGAGACGGTCGCCAGATGGAGCAGAGACGATCGTTTGGGTGGGATGTGTGCTGCTTCTGCCATGTGTTCTTGCGGATCGGTGAGGTGCGCCAACTTGAGATGGTCGGCACGTAAAAGCTTGGGGTCGTTGGCAGCAGCGATAAGCTGCGAGATGGCCCAGGCGACGTATTCGGGCAGGTAGATCGAGGAAGTGGACGTACCAGTGGGCGATGCGTACGACAGAGCGAGCTGATCGTCCTCTTCTTCCTCTTCTGCTGTTCGTTGTGGCTGCTCTGACGAGGCTACTTCGGAGAGGCTAGGTGACGCGTACGTGGCGTGGCGACTGGTACCGAATCGAGCTGCTCGGGAACGTCGAGCTTGCGACGAGCTAAGGCTGAAGTGCCCGCTCATCTCGTCGTGTGTGTCCAAACTGTTTGCGCTCTGTCTTGTGCTGTAGGACGAGCCCATCATTGGCGGTCCTCCCGCTGCTAGCCTCTCGGAGGCTGTTGTCGACGCTTCGGCGGCTTTGGCCAGAGCGGCGGCTCTCGACGAGCTCGCAGAAGAGCTGGACGACACATTGCGGCCCGTGCCACTATGAGGCCGCAGCTTCGGCAGAAGGCTTCTAGACGAAAGAGCGGCCTTCATTGCCAAGAGTTGAATGGAGGAGGTAGCAAGTGGCCGTGATGAGGGTCGAGTTGGAGCAAGAAGAAAAGGAAGAAAGCTGAGTCGGTCAAAAATCTTGAAGTTGGACCCTGAACTGCCAAAAGGCGAGTGCAGATCCACGCAGCTGAGCTTTGATTTCAAATGCACAACACTTCTCTCTCAGACCCAATCACTCAACAACCACCATCGCATCCAGGCAGGCCGCGAGACAACCACATGTCACTGCGCTCGTAGAGCGGCGGGCTATCAGCTCTCATGTGGAAGCTGCTGCCGTGGTCCGGCAGAGGAGCATCCGGCTACCCACAGCGCGAGTGCTTCTTCTGCTGCACCACCAGCACCATCCTTCCCCCTTACAAGCCAGACAGACTATCGAGAGACGCGAGCCAAGCACATACTGCCCAATCGCCATCCAGTACAGCATCCTCAAGTACTTCAGCCATATCGACCGGCACTATCACCAACTGGTTCTGCTCGAGCTGTCACTGCCAGAATGTCGCCAACGAAGACGGCACCCCCGTCGAGCAGTACACTCGGCCGATGTGGGATGAAGCATGGAACCGCGACCGAAGCCAACTGATGCGACACACACGGCCGCAAGCATCGATTCCGGCGAAAGGATCACTTGTGTCTTCTTCTGTTCGTTCCGCCTTTTCCTCCCAAGTCATCGCCAAGAATGGCACCTTCACTTTCTGCCACACATGTCAGACAAATCAGGTTCTCACCCTCAACATGCTCGCAGACTACCTACCAAGCGAAGACGATCCAGAATACCAGCAAAAGCTTAGCCTCCTGTCCGAATACGAAGCTTCACTAGCTTCACGATACCCGCCGGTCTGCTCGGACTGTGCACCCAAAGTGCAGGAGAGGATCGCAGAGCGCGACCAGTTTGCGCGCAGTTGGAGCCTTGGGAGATGGTTAGACCTCAAGAAGAAGGCGTCCAAACTCGATCTCGCGGATGACGGCCATCCCGCATTGTCAGCCTTGAAGACGTCACCTGCGCACATGGCTGCAGGCTCGCATGCTCAGTCGCACGCGCAGCAGAATTTTTCGCCCAGGGGACGTCTCAGGCTAGACAAAGGGTCCCCGTCTGCCATGGCTCTGTTCGCGATTGTCAACCTCTGTATTTGGGCTAGCTACACGACCGCAGCGTTGTGGCCTGATCACGCTGTAGCCAAAATGCAGGACGTGATTGCCCGACTTCGGACAGAATCAGCCTGGTCGCTCGCATCCATAGCAACCTTCTTTCTTCTGTCGAGGCTGTTCATCGAGACCAGCCAGATGGAGCCACTCAAGCGCTCAATCGACCATGCCAGAGCACGTCAGATCCGCGTAGAGGCAAAAGGCTCGGGGCTCTGGAGGGCGACACAAGGCGTCGTACTTGTGCTGCGCCTCGCGATGCTTCTGTCGATGGTCTTGACGACCTTTTTTCGAGGCCGGCTCACGGAGCTGTTGGCGTGGATCGAAGTTACCTCGGGACAAAGTCGAGACGAGCTAATGCAGCTCGTCACGCTGACGTTGCTTATCAGCGAAGTTGGTCTGACAATGCTAGCCGCTGCGAAGCTTGGTGTGCGAGACCCGACTCCTCTTCAGCTCGTCTCGCGACCCATCTTGGCCGACGAGCATCCCGCAAAGCTGGCGAGACCGGACGGACATCCTCTGCTGACCAGTCTCAGCTTGGATGATCGCGCTACTCTATCGTCCTCGACGTTCAGCCGCTTGGACGGTCAAGGAATATCTATCGGCTCCGCTCAAGACGATGATGTCAACGCCAGGATATCCCCGCCTCAACGCGACGCAGACGGTGACGCCATCATGGAAGACGCTGCGACGTATTCAGCTCGACGAGCGTCCACGTCTTCGGAGGACGACTGGAACCGAGGTTCGCCGCAAATTCCTCCAGCATCCCTTCCAGCATGGGGCAGTCAGTGGCCACTCACAATGAAACCGAAGTCAAACAATGCAGCATCCTCTGCATCTACAGACAACAAGCCTCGACAAGCTTCGACCTACACCGATTTCCAGCTGGGCCCGCAGCGATTCTGGGAGCCACAAAAGCCGACTGGGCTCGAGGACGTCTTTGGTCGCGCAGTATCCCTTGACGATCGACCGCAACAAGATGCAGCAGAGCTCAAAGATGATGCCAAGTGGTCCAAGTGGCTCGGCTTCTCTTGACGATGTGGTGTTCGTCACCACCGACGACGCCCAAATATGTCGTTCAGTCTTGCATCTAATGAAGATCTTACACACCAGCAAAACCCGCTAATCGATGAGCCGGCTCGGCACGAGTGGAGGTTTGATCCTGCAATTTTTCCAGCGGGATTAGCGAGGTCCTCGGAAGGTCACGGATCGGATGAGTTTTTTGAGCGAGCCAGAACGATTTGCGCCGAGACTTCCGATATGACGGCGACGGTCAGAGTCGGTCTTGGATGCTATGGATGCGCACGAAGGAATCTCGTCGAGTGCGATGCTGTGCGTGTCACGAACCAGTTCCAAGCCAGATGCGCAGAGTCTACCGGACATGAGAATTCAGCGTCTGGACTCTCATGTTACTCGAGGCCTCGAGAAAAGAAGGTACTGCTCAGAGGCACCGTCGTGCACAGACAGGGAGCGGAAAGGTTACTGGAGGAGGCAGTCGTGAGGGTGGGATGTATGAGATGCATGACGTTTCACGGGAGAGGTGTGTGTGTTGAAGAGCGGATGTGAGTGCAACAAGAGGCCGGTCACCAAAAAAAGTTGCGGTGAGCGCTGCTCTTTTCTTCCGATTGGCCGTGGATCTCGCATCTTTCCATCCTTCCATCCTCATCCCTCTCTCACCCCATTACAACGATCCGCCATCTCATCCTCATCACAATGGTTGCTCGATCTGTCGCTCTTCGCTCTCTCAGGGTATGTCCCACGCTCGCAACGATTCTTGGACCCAGTAGCAGCAGCAGTCTATCAGTATCAGCGACAACAGAAGAGACGGTCTAGAGGGCGGAATGCGATTCAGGAAGGAAATTTGGCTTCTGGAACGGGTGACACGGCCCAAAAATTTCAAGCGAGGTCGAGATCGCACGCTGCTGCCCGATTTCAACAGTCACAGGTGGAGCCTGGTCAAGGCGCAGCACGTTCGGCTTCGGTCCCACCAGGCAACGCAGCAATCGCCTTGGTTTCGAGTGCTGCCGCCCATTCGATGCATCTGTCTCAATGCGGGCACACCAAGCTTGACACTGTGTTGACCGGGACAGCCTCCACTCGGAAAGATGCGGGGTTGCATAAAGACCGCCGGGAGAAACTGGAAAAGTGATGCTTCTGGTCAGCCAGCAGTAGACAACGTTGGCCCGTTCGCTCCATTGTGCTTATAAGCTCGGCTGAATCTGCTGTCCGTCCTTCAACTGTCGATACTGCTTGCTTTCTTCCTCATCGCCGCCATCATCATCGCTTCTTCCTTCTGGTTGCGCTGACACTTTGACCTTTCCTCCATTCATTCCATCAGGCCTCTGCTCGAGTCGTCCCACGTCTCGCTGTCCCCTCGGCTGCCCCCACCGTCACCCGAGCATTCGCCTCTTCCGCCTACATCATGGAGCAGGGCAAGTTCCGATCCGAGAAGGACACCTTCGGTCCTCTTCAGGTCCCCGCCGACCGATACTGGGGTGCCCAGACCCAGCGATCCCTCCAGAACTTTGACATTGGTGGACCTCAAGAGCGCATGCCCGAGCCCCTCATCGAGGCTTTCGGAGTCCTCAAGAAGGCTGCTGCCACCGTCAACAAGTCGTTCGGTCTCGACCCCAAGGTCTCCGACGCCATCTGCCAGGCTGCCGACGAGGTCATCGCCGGCAAGCTCCACAGCCATTTCCCTCTCGTCGTCTTCCAGACCGGTTCGGGCACCCAGACCAACATGAACGTCAATGAGGTCATCAGCAACCGTGCCATCGAGATCCTCGGCGGTGAGCTGGGCAGCAAGAAGCCCGTTCACCCCAACGACCACGTCAACATGAGCCAGTCGTCCAACGACACCTTCCCCACCGCCATGCACGTCGCTTCCGTCACCCAGATTACCAAGTCGCTCATCCCGGCGCTCGAGGAGCTTCGCGCTGCTCTCGACAAGAAGCGTGCCGAGTTTGACGACATTATCAAGATCGGCCGCACCCACTTGCAGGACGCTACGCCGCTGACGCTCGGTCAGGAGTTCTCGGGCTACGTCAAGCAGGTCGAGAACGGCATCGAGCGCGTGAAGGCTGTCATCCCGCGTCTGTCGCAGCTCGCCCAGGGCGGTACAGCCGTCGGCACCGGTCTCAACACCTACATCGGTTTCGACAAGAAGGTTGCTGCCGAAATCTCCAACATCACGGGCCTGGCTTTCGAGACGGCGGAGAACAAGTTCGAAGCGCTCGCGGCGCACGATGCGATTGTCGAGGCGAGCGGCGCGCTCAACACGATCGCCGTGTCGTTCATGAAGATCGCTAACGACATCCGCTACCTCGGTTCGGGACCTCGTTGTGGTCTCGGCGAGCTGAGCCTGCCGGAGAACGAGCCGGGATCGAGCATCATGCCCGGCAAGGTGAACCCGACGCAGTGCGAGGCGCTCACCATGGTCGCCGCTCAGGTCATGGGCAACAACACCACCATCAGCGTCGCAGGCTCCTACGGCCAGTTTGAACTCAACGTCTTCAAACCCGTTCTCGTCAAGAATCTCCTCCAGAGCATCCGGCTGCTCGCTGACGGCGCAAGGAGCTTCACCAAGAACTGCGTCGTCGGCATCGAGGCTAACAGAGACACGATTAACAAGATCCTCAATGAGAGTCTGATGCTGGCTACGATCCTCAACAGCCATTTGGGTTACGATAATGTTGCGGCGGCCGCCAAGAAGGCGCACAAGGAGGGAACCAAGTTGGTGGATGCGACTGTGGCGCTCGGGTTGATGACCGAGGAGGAGTTCAAGAAGATTGTTAGGCCCGAGTTTATGTTGGGTCCCACCGAGTACAAGGGCAAGAACTGAGCGGCGAGTCAGAGAACTCGCATCTGTTGCTCGTCGCTGTTAGTATTGCTTTCAAAATGACACACCATCACATAGCGTTGCGGTCTGTGGGAGAGGAGATGGCTGTGATTGATGTGCGTGTTATGCTGGGTTTTACTTTGCCTTCTTCCCGGGGTTTCTGGGAGGGGGTCGTTTGGAAACAATCCTCTTCTTACCCACCGCCACACCTTTGTCCATCAGTTTCCTCTTGCGTGCCAGGACATCCTCTTTCTTCTGCATCTTCCTCACCTGTGTCCTACTCTCGCCACCTCCCTCCTCGTCTCTCACCCGCATCGCCCCGCTCAGCAAGCCCGCATCGACCCTCTCGCCGCGAAGGAAGCTCATCACCTTCTGTCGAATCTCCCCCGCGTCGGTGGTGTTGAGATCCAGCTCGGTGTTGGAGTCCAGCTTGCCGAGCCGCCAGTGTTGCAGCATGAACGTCGCTGCTGCGTCGAGGTCGCGGATGTTACCCTTGCGGAGCGAGCCGGGCGCTTTACCGGCTAGGTGCCAGAGGAGTTCGACGATCGAATTCGTCCGCCCGAGTGGGTCGGTGCATGTGGCCAGAAAGTCGGCGGGTGGGATGGGGAGGTTGTGGATGTAACTCGGCAGTTCCTCTCCTGTCGAAGAAGAGGGACGAAGGTTGAGACGATACAGCAGGTAGTCGGCAAGCATCTGAACGTCGAACAGCGACTCCTTGATGCCTGCTGTGATGGCCAATTTCAGTCCGCGTTCCGCACCGTCGCTGCCGTGACCCAGAAAAGGGACCATGACACCGGGCGTATCGTACACGTAGATGGGTGGGTCTTTCGGTCCCTCCTCCTCGCTAGGGGTGATGGTGAAGCTTCCCTCCTCTTCTTCCTCTTTGAACCTCGACCGTCTTCCCAATGTCCGCGGTTCAGGCTCGACCTTGGTCGGTCCAGCCTTACTAATCCTCACCGTCCCCGTCAACTTCCTTGTCCATCCCGGCGTAGGAGCTGTACTCGCCGCTTTCCCCTTCCCCACCCCGACCCTGCGCAAACCATTCAACAAACTGCTCTTACCCACATTCGGCATGCCGAGGATCAACAACCTCACTCCCTCTTCCGGCGTGGGTGTGTGCCTGAAAGCGCCGCTGAGGCCCTTTTTCGCGCGCTTCTCCTGTCGCTCGCTCCGTTCGCGTGGTGCGAAGCCAGGAGTGTCCGCTATAGCCTTCGCCCTGCTATTGACCCAGGAGAGCACACGACGAATGTCCGAATCCACCCGAGTGTCGATGAACAGCACGTGGGTGTGCGGGTCGGCCTCTCGCATGGCCGCCAGCACCGCCTCCTGCACAGAGGGGGAGATGAGATCCCGCTTGAGGTAGAGGACCAGTCGACGGGTGCGCCAGGATGCGTCGGCACCGGAATCGGATGAAGACGGGTCGAGGCTGTCATTCGCCGTCGGTGCACGGCGGAGGAGGGACTCGAACACCGGGTTGATGGAGGTAAGGGGAAGACGAGCGTCGCGGGCCTCGATGACGAGAGGTGGCGGATAGCGCGCGAGGAGGGAGGGCATCGAGCGGACTGCGCGGGCCATGTGGCCGGCGTACCATGAGGGGGTGGTGGTGGGCAGGGGGAAGGTGGGGCGTGGGGTGAAGGTGGATGAGTGTGCATCCCTCGAGATCGGTGTTGGGTCTGGTTGAGATGACGGTCCGGCTACGACTGATGATGCGGTATCGAGAGGGCTGTGAGGTGGTGTTGTTGATGTGTATGGGCGGCTGGCTGTCGATCGTATTGGTGGTATTGACGTTGGTGTTACCGCAGCATGACGACACAGCTCCACGCCGAGGGACACAACACTCCGCCTGGTGCAGCTAGAGGCCGCTCGTGCACCGCATCGCAGCATCTTCGTTCGATACTACGGCTGCTCAGCAGGTTGTCGATGAGGACGCAGGCTGGACGTCTTGCAAGCGCCACATGGGTCGTGTGAGGACGTCAACCATGGTCATCAAGAAGAACTCAGCTTAGACCCTGAACGCGTCGGCAAATTTTTGGGCGCATCTTCTCCACTTCAGCAAAAGGGCCGCCTGAAAAGGGGTGCACAAAAAGCGTTCACAACCTTTCCAACAACGCTCGGCACAGCACAGCTCTCTTCCTCTCAAGGCTTTGATGTCTCGAAACCGTCTATTGTAGTGACACAAGCTGTTTGAATGTACATATATCCGTCTTAGGCCTTGGCCTTGGGGGCATCGTTCTGCAACCTGAGGTGCAGATCGCGCAGCTCGACCGCGGCCTCGTTGATGTAGTGTCGCAGGTCGGAGCTTCCCAGCTTGAGACTAGTGAGCGTAAAGGTGAGGCTGTTCTCCTTGATGGCGTACGCGCAACCGAATCCCTCGGGGACGACCTCGCCGAAGCCCCAGCAGCTGAAGACCTCACTGGAGATCTGCGAAGTGGAAAGCTTCCACGTGGAGCTAGCAGCGAATGCCTGGTCCTCGTAGATCGCCGGCACCTTCTCTCCTTCCTTGAGGAGCTTCTTGAGACCGAACAGGTGACGGTCGACACCGCGACCGTCGGCAGCAGCGGTGGCGTAGGTCAAATGCTGCTTGACAGCTGCTTGGAACTTCTCGTACCTCTCCGCGTCCGACGCAGAGTGCGAGTCCATCGCCTCGCAGAAGGCCTTCGACTCGGCGCTCGACGAACGGATAACCTCGGTCCGGCCCCACTTGAACTTGCGCGTCTGCGCCGACTCGTAGGTGGCACACGGCTTGCCAAACATGCGGAAGTACGCCAGCTGGATCACCATCTGCACCCACGCATCCGGAGAGCACTTGAACTTCTTGATCGCCCCCTTACCGTAACCCTGGAAGTCGAGCACGCTGAGATCGTGGCGACCCATCAGGCTGTCAAAGTCCGAAATGGCCTCCGAGATCTTACCCTCGACGGTTGCATCCGTCTTGAACTGGATCTGCCTGGGAGCGGGCAGGTCGGTGCGGTTGGAGCTGCCGAGGTCGATCTTACCCGCCGAGAGCGCCTGAAGGGCAAAGTCGTTGAGACGCAACGTAGGGGTTCCGTCCATCATCGAGTGCTCGCCCATGTAGCCCGACTTGCCGTTGGCGAAGGCGATGATCTGCTGCTTGTCGTAGAAACGGTTCTTGCCGTCACCGCACCAGAGACCCCATGCGGTGGACTCGATGCTGTGCGGCGCGGTCTCGTCGAGGCAGACGACGATGACGGAGCTGTCGATGCGTTCAAGGGCCTCCTGGTTGCCGGGGAGGGAAGCGAGGGCCTTGCGCGAATCGGTCCACTTGTCGCGGTTGTTCGAGGAGAGCGCTCCGATGGGTTGCGGGGCGGGCTTGCTCGAAGCAGAGTCCGAGAGGATCTCCTGGAGCTGTGACTCGATCTCAGCCTCGCTCAGCTCTTGGCCGTTGTGGACGAGGTCGAACTCGTAAAAGTGACCGTTGCGGAGCACGACGAGGTGGTTGTTGGCCTGCCAGTCGTACTTGACCGCCGTGTCCGAGGGCTTTTCGGGGATGCGGTTGGCGTTGAACATCCACTTGTAGGAGCGCATGCAGAGGGGCCCAGCCTTGCCCTTCTCCGGTGCCAGCTGCTCGGTCTCGAGCAACTTGCGGAAGGCGAGGAACGCCTTGAGCAGACCCGCAGCGCGCTTGGGACCGGTGCGACGCGTGCGGTCGTCCTTGTGAGCGTAAAAGTAGCTCACGTAGGGCACCACGGGATCGCGGTAGGCCATGTAGGCCGCATCGTTCCACCACTCGCTCAGCCAGCTCTCGCGGCCTTCCTTGTTGGCTCGGTCCTCGAGACGCTGCTGCAGCGTCTGGACGAGCTTGGAGTCTTCGCCAGAGAGAGCGGACTGGACGGCAGCCTCGGTCTTGGCGAGCGATTCCTTGGTCTGGTGCGGCAGGGTCGACTTGAGGTACTTCTTGAGCGTCTCTTCGAGCGCGGGGACGGGGAGATGAGGCATGGCACTCTGACCCTCGTACATGGGCCCATTGCCGACACCACCGCTCTTTGTGGAGTCGGAGGAGTAGCGGGACGTCATGGTGAAGGTGCGAGCAAGAGGTTTAGTGGACGAGGCGATTCGTGAGACGGACGATCGGGCTTGCAAACGACCCAAGCCGATGAGTGTCATATGGAGAAAGCAGCCGCTATCGTTGGAAACGGAGAGCAGCAAACGGCGAGCCTGGGTCGAAGCTTGACGTTGACTTGAGAGTGCGATGCGAGGGTGCAAAGCTTGCGTTGATGCGGAGGACGAATGGGGACGAGTGTGGAGTGGATGGAAGATATGAGAAAGGGAGGAGAAGAAGAAGAAGAAGCGTGTAGCTCAAAAGAGGCGAACAATAGCCCCGTCTCCGGTCAATTGGGGCCGGTGGTTGCGAAGGCCGTGTGAGTGAGTGATTTGGCCCAGACAACTTCCATATCGGTGACGCACAAATTTGATTTGCCTGTCCCACAGTCACACGTCTCCACAAAAAGATCGAGGCGAGTTGCGTCTGAAAATCGCTCCCTCTCTTTCCCCAGCCAGCCAGGCACACGCGAGCAAGCCGGCATCTGTTCAAACCGAACACACCCGACAAGTCCGTCTCAACAGCCAGCCTTCACAAGCAGCTTCGCTCTTTGACATTTTGGCGCTCCGCACTTGCTGTTTGGGGCAGCATCGCTCTCCGCTTCAGCTTCTTGCTTGTGTGTCATGGCCTCGAAGCAACATAGGTGTCGAGCTGAGATCGATCAAACGGGATAGCCAGCAAGCTCAACATTGTGGGACTCAAAGTCTATTCGTGAACCGGGAGCGATGGCCCACGCTCTGTACGACACCGGTCAACTTGAATCTTGCTGAACCGGCCAAGGCGGGGAATCGACCGGTGCATTGGGCCGAGTGACTTGGCGGCGAGCAGTTGTGAGTTTCTCTGAAGAAGGAAGCCGACTTCTCTCTGTCTGATTCTCGGGAAGAACAGCGCACACGGCCGATCTCACGCGAGAAGGCTTACTGCAATCGTGCGGAAGGGAGTAAGGTCGAATTCTCGGGAGGAGTATGTTAGACTTGTGCATGTGTGATCTTGAACGCGATCGCGAACTTGTGCCTTCCGATCGGAGACAACCTGAGCGGCGCGCTCCATGCATCCGAGACCATGCTGCACCGTCTTGCCAATCAGAAGACGCTTCGGCTAATCCTCGTTTCTCGACAGGTCACTCTTTGGATGTGACTGACACAGTTCACGGCGAACATCGGACATGCGGGCGTGGTGCAGCGACCGACTGAACCAAGCCGGTCGGCAGGATCGTTCAGGTCGCCAGTTCGGCGCCATGTCCGCTACTAGCTCGCTTAACGTATGGTGAAGCGCGTGGGTCGAGCCCTCCCACGGAAACGAGCAGCCGCTGGTTGTCACACGCTCTCAGACTGCAGTTGACTGTGATCGATCGACAAGAGGGGCTCTCATCGCTCTGTCCTTGCAGGCGACAAGTCGGTTTCAAGCCGATCTAGCCTTGCTTCAGTGTCGCGTGTGTGCGTGTATCAGGCCCTCCAATAGCCTTTGAACATGCTCAACATCTGCCTCTGACGCAACGAAGCGAATGTCGTGGTACTCTAAGGCGATCTCAGCACAGAGTCCGACGGAAGGCGCCACGAAGATCCAGTCCCCATGTGATCCATTGTGCAGTGTACGGGAGCCTGCCTGCTTTACTGCCTTCAAGATGAAGCTCGGCAATCATGCCCACCAGGGACCACAGTAGGGACCAGCTCCATGATCTCTCTCTACCCCTGACGTTCGGACCGCGCCTGATGATGCAAAGCCAGCATTTGGCTCCGCTGTGTCTGCTAAGGCGTAGCCGACTCGTCTGACCACAGTCAAAAAGGAATGCCGGGACGGGAGGGAGAAAAAAGGGACCGCGCGACAGCCCACGCACGCTGCACAGCGGCTCGGGGATGTCGAACCGACTTTGACACGTCGAGTCCATCCCTTTGGCTCATGCGCTCTCGAACCTCGTCAAAGGCAAATGCAAACACTGCGCTCGCCCATAAGCAGGCTTCGAGGGCACTCAGGACGATTCAAGTTCGTTCCGACCCCCTTCAATGGCTCGTGCCTTTTCTCACGTCGCGTCGGAGAGTTTGCGATCCACCCGGAATGCACGGCATCTTGATCCTCTTGTCCGCCTTTGATCAGACAATAGAGCAAGCAGCAGCGGCACTTTGCGGCTTTGATGCGTGAACCTTGCAGCTTCTCGTTTGCTCACCTCTGCTCTATTGCAACAGCTAGCTTTGATCACGCTGAGTGCGAGACGAAGCACAAGGGCGAGCGAAACAATGGACCAGCTCAACGGGAGATTGGCTCGCCAAAAGCCACGCCGAAGATCATTTTGAGGGAAACAGGGACCGAGCACCTGGGCAGTGTGTTGTTCGCAGATGTGCAACGCGATGGATGCTTCAGGGGCAGTCAGCCAGCCGTCAAAACGCCGCTAGCATGCCGCCCCTCAGGACAACAGCGGCAGAGTAGCTCGGCGTTGGCAAGGCGAATGTCAAAAAAGATTTAAGAAAAATTGTAGTTTCAGGAATTTTTGACACACGCACAGCACACCGCAAAATTACGAGGTCCAGCGCAGCCAAGCAGCAGTACGCGACCGAGCCCCGGCTTGGCTGACTTATTGCTGTGCAGCACACTTCGGCGGCGCGGCCAGCAAAGCCTCGTCGAAAGTCACACTGCGACAGTCTGCCGAAGCTCACTCACTCCGTTGGCGCATCCTCGCTCCTTCATCTTTCTCGAGCTCCCATTGTCACGACCCTCTTGGTCCTTCTCATCCTTCATCCTCCGTACAGCATAGACTCTGACTGTCTACAGCTACAGTCTCGATCCGCAATTGCTGGCTCAGTTGCATTGCTATTCGATTCGGATTCGGAGACGCCATCGGAACGCGCGCTTCACACGCTTCCACCGACTCACCATCACCACCATCACCTGACTCGTCGGCTGATCCGACCTCGACACTCACGGTCGCAATCCACTTCGGAGCTGACATTACGATCCGATTACTCGGATGACCATCTGAGCCATCTAAACCGCAGCTTCGGGCCGTTTCCGTCTACCATCGACTCATCGTCGCAACTCTTTGGGCCCTGTCGACCGAGCGTCCTCGCCAACAGTGTGTCAGCACCCGCCTAACCTCGAACGTCTCTGTCTTTCCGATCACACGCTCACTCGAGCTAGGGCTGGCCCAGCATGAGTGCAGATTTCCCTCTTGGCTTCTTGTATAGCCTCCCACCCAGGCCCAAGACCAAATCGCTGGGTGATCACATCGCAGAACACGTCACCGACAATGGCAGAATATCCACCCTCATCGACTGTCTTCCTTCCACATCCAATCCTGCCCTCTGGTCGCCCGATCTCTCCCGTCCACCACTAGAGCACCGCCACATCAAGTCGTTCGTCACCAACTTCATCCTACCATGCTCTCCCAGCCGCGCACCCTTGGGTCCCAACGACCGCGTCATGATGGCGCTCCCAACGGGTCCCGAGAACGCGTTGGCGCTTCTCTCCGTTGCCGCATATCACACCTGTGCTCCCGTGAACGCGAGCTGTACCGCCGGCGAGCTGCGCGACGATGCTGTCCGTCTGCGGGCCCGTGCCGTTGTCACCACCAGAGACGCGGTAGAGCGCTTGGGTCTGCACGCCTTGCGCGATCAAGACGACATGGAGATCATCTTTGTCGACCCGCGCTCTTCGGGACCCGCTGGTCTTTTCGATATGGCTCTCCTCGGCGAAAACACGATCGCGTCTACTGCTGGCCGTCGACCTTCTGCACCGCATGGACTCGAACACCAGAGTCTCGTGCTCCACACCTCCGGTACCTCGGGCAAGAAGAAGGTCGTCCCCTACTCGCTGCGTCATCTCATTATCGGTACATGCTGTGTCGTCTACTCGTGGGATCTGCGCCCAGAGAGCGTCAACATGAACATGATGCCCCTCTTCCACGTCGGTGGTATCGTTCGAAATCTGTGGTCGCCCGTCTTTTCAGCAGGAAGCGCCATCATGTGCGCTGGTTTCGACGCCAACGCTTGGTGGCCCCTCGCAAAGCAGCTCGGTGCCACTTGGTACTACGCAGCGCCCACCATGCACCACGCCATTCTCGCGTCCAAGCCTGAAGGCATCGATGCATCAAGGGAGACCAACATCAAGATGATCGCCAACGCCGCAGGTGGTCTCTTGCCCTCGCTCGCCATCCAGCTCAAGGAGACTTTCATCGGTTGCGCTGTGCTGCCTTCGTACGGAATGACTGAGTGCATGCCCATCGCCTCGCCCCCCACCAATTACCAGCTCGACCGCCCAGGCTGTTCTGGTGTCGCCTGCGGTCCCGATCTTTCCATTCGAGACCCCTTCGACAAGGAGCGCGAACTTCCTGTGGGCCAGACCGGTGCCGTTTCGGTGCGAGGTCTGCCCACCTTCTCGGGCTACGAAGTATCAGCAGATCCATTCGAGCCGCTCGATACCTCGGCCTTCTCGAGCGAAGGCTGGTTCGACTCCGGTGACATGGGCCACATGGACGCCGACGGATACCTCTACATCACGGGTCGATCCAAGGAGATCATCAACAAGGGTGGTGAAGTTGTGTCCCCCTTCGAGGTCGAGGAGGCCATCACACAGGCCTGCTCGGATCGCGTAAAGCAGTGCCTGGCATTCTCGATCGAACACAACGTGCTGCAAGAAACCATCGGTGTCGTCGTTGTCCCTGTTCCCAACCAACCCCGTGTCGGTCTTGCCGAACTCCACAACATGCTGCGATCCCACTTGCATCCTTCCAAATGGCCATTCGCAGCCGTTTACATGGACGACGTTCCCAAGAACCAAGCAGGAAAGCCACTCCGCATCAAGCTCGGCACCCGTCTCGGCATCGGACCGCTGTCGGACGATGTCCCACCGCTACAGCGTCACTTTGAAGCCAAAGCACCAGGCAAAGAGGTGCCGCTTTCGGAGCCCATCCCTTGCAACCTTGTCAGCGTCGATGTACGAGCCGTCGAGAGGGCCTGCTACCGCATTCCAGGCATCATCGAAGCCGCCGTTCGTCAGCGCCGCGATGGCTCGCCAGAAGCTTTCATCCAGGTCGAGGAGGACGCTGACTACGATGCAGCTGACATTGACCGAGCTCTTGCACAAGTGCTCCACGGCTACGTGGTGCCCAACCCTCTTCACGTCTTCCGACAACCCTTGGCCAAGAACCACGGTCAGATCGACTTTGATACCATGGAAGCCGAAGTGCGAAGGCAGAACGCTTCGAGCATGACTCGAACCGCCTTGATTGTCCGTGACATCATCGCTCGTCTGCTCGACACCGAGGCTGGCTCCATCACAGCCGAGTCCGACTTCTTCCTTCTCGGAGGTAACAGTCTCTTGCTCGGTCGACTCGTCCACCTCATCCGCAAAGAGACCGGTGTCTCGCTCGAAGTATCGACGCTGTTCATCAACTCGACCATAGCAGGCATCGCCGACCTTGTGGATGATGAGCAAGGCGATATCGAGGAAGAGGAGGACGACTTCTACGATGGCTACGACGACAAGGGCGCCCTCGGAGCATCCTATGCAGCACACCGCTACGACGAGGACGAGGATGTGGCCTTCCAGAGCCACGGCTACAAGCCACGCAGCCAGACACATCCCTGGGTCATCTTCATCCAGGCGATTCCCTTCCTCTTCTTCTATCCTTTCAAGGCTGCCTGGACGTGGACCGTCATCTTGCACGGTCTCGCGTTCTCTGCCTTCTACATCCGCGACATCTTCTGGGAGCGTGTCGGCGCTCTGCTGGCCTCGATCGTCGTTGCGCGATTGACGAGTCGTATCATCTGTCCTATCACTGCCATCGCCTTCAAGTGGCTTGTCATTGGCCGGTACCGTCCTGGCAAATATCCGATGTGGTGCAACTACCATCTTCGATGGTGGATCGTCAACCAGTCGCTGAAGACTGCCGGTAAAGGTCTTTTCGCCATGACGCCTGGTCTGCAAAAGACCTACTACCGCCTGCTCGGAATGTCGATCGGATCGGATGTCAAGATCGACCAGTTCGCCAAGATTGCTGAACACGACCTGATCACCATCCACGACGGTGCCCGGATCGACAAGTGCCTCGTCCGAGGATTCTGTGTCGAGCGCGACGGCTACTTCCGACTCGAGCCCATCATTGTCGGTCGCGACTGTGTGGTCAACACCTTTACCCAGATCTCGCCCGGTGCTAGGCTGGCCGACGGTACGGTGTGGGGTCCCCAGTCCTCTTCGCACGAGGAGCCGTCGTCGGATGCCTACGCTGCCTATAACCGCAACAATGCTCCTCAGCCCCACTGGGCGCTGATGGTGCTGATCGGCTGGCCCATCATCTTCCTCGTTCGTTTCGCCTGCTACGTGCCGTGGTTTGCATCGCTGTTCATGCTCCTTTCGCAGCCATTCGCCTTCGACCACCACGACAGTGTCAAAGGTGTCATTGCTTGGTTCGCCTACCCGCGTCGGATCGGCTGGCATTACGTCGCTCGAGTTGTGCGAAATGGTATGCCGCCGCTCATCAACTTGGCCCTCGGTATCCTTGTCAAACGCATGCTCGGCCTCAACAAGGAGGGCTCGATGCGCAACGCCACGCAGTACGCGCTCTTCCGTCGATGGATGAACCAGCAGCTGCTCTCGCAGCCGCGAGTGCGTCGCGCCCTCGCCATTCTGGGTACTCACTACGAGATGACCTCGGTCATCTTCCGTGCGATGGGCGCACGTGTCGGCAAGCGCGTCTACTGGCCAGGCTCGAGCATCTACTGCCCTGACCCTGAGCTTCTCGAGATCGGTGACGATGTGGTGTTCGGCTCGCGTTCGGAAGTGTTCACCTCGGACAGCATCGGCTGGGCGCGCGTTCGTGTGGGACGAGGTGCCATGATTGCGGATCGAGTCGTGCTGCTCCCAGGAACCATCATCGGCAAGCAGTGTGTCATGGGCTCTGGTGCCTTGGCCCGACGAAACGGTCACTACGAGGAAGGCAGTGTGTGGATGGGTTCAAAGCACGGAGAAGCCGTCAGCTTCGGCAAGGCCGTCCCCGAGAAGAGCGAGACTGGCCTTTCGTCCGACGCCAGCGAAGAGACCATTACTCCCTTCGGACGCGCTTTCTACAAGCGACAGGCCAACTTCTTTGTCTTCCCGTACCTCATGTTGGTGGTCATCAACGTGGGCATGACCATCTTCTCCTCGGCGTACTGGGCGACCGCTGCTGTCGGCACGGTGCTCGTGCTCAACCTGCTACGAAAGCACTTCGAGTATTCGTCGATTGGCTTCCTGTTTGACGACCACTGGTACCGGCCCGGCCTGATCTACGCCGTGATTGCCATCCTGTTCGTCGTCATCCTGACGATCCAGGCCATCCTGGCTTTCGCTTGGACGATTGCCACGAAATGGGCCGTGATTGGCCGACGTCGCGAAGGCCGCTACGACTGGGACAAGTCGTCGTACTGTCAACGCTGGCAGCTTCATCTCACGTTGCAAAAGCTCCTCGGACGCGGATTCGGCGGTCACATCTACGGCAACATCTCTGGTACGGCGTTTGCAGTGTGGTACTTGCGAGCGCTGGGTGCCAAGATCGGCAAGGATTGCGCCATCTGGGCTGGTGGCAAGCCATCGCTGCAGCTGACCGAGCCGGAGCTCGTGTCGATGGGCGATCGCGTCAGCATTGACGACTGCTCGGTGGTGGCGCACATCAACTCGCGAGGTCGATTCAGCCTGAACAAGCTGCGCATTGGGGACGGATGCGCGATGCGAACAGGCAGTCGACTGCTTTCAGGTGCTAGCATGGAACCTCGCTCGATGCTGCTCGAGCACACGCTTGTAGCATCAGGAGAGATTGCCGAAGCAGGCGCCGTGTACGCCGGCTGGCCCGCTCGTCAGCTGCGAGTGCGCAAGGCGCATCGTAACGGGGGCATTCACGGCGAGATGTCGGCTGGCAGCAGCACAACCAACCTCCATCAACAAGCACCGCCTCCCGGCTACTTTGGACAATGAGCTATCGTAGACCTTCCGTTGCCACTTTTCATTCACTGCATTGCATCTTGATATCTCGCGCATCTCAACCACTCGACACGATCATTTCACATATAGGCGTTGCATTCGTTGCGCCGATCGAACTCCTCTTTTCTCGGTCCAGTTCTTCCAAGATCCAATTGCATCGCTTTGTTCTCACACACTAGCATGTCGTGCTTTGGCGTGCTAGCGTGCTTCCCCATATCAATGAACAATCTCTCGTTATCCTCATCACCAAGACTGAATGTGGACTGTGAAACGGTGAGGGTGCTGCGGTCTCCGCCTCAGCCAGAACGGAGATGACATTCAGCTGAATCTCGAGCTGTCTGCCTGCATAGCCGCTGACAGTCGCTTTCGCGCTGTGTTCTTCGTGGTCGCCACGCCTGATCGGCAGCGCGGCTTTGCATTGCGGAGCAGATCCTGCCGTTCGAAGCGTTAGACCGGCGAAGGCGCAGATGCAGGAACCGCTTCGACGGCATCTATGGTGCACGCTGAGGATTGGATCGGGCGACCTCGCCCCGAGGCGGTCAAGAAGGTCTGCCTGCCCGCGGAGGAAGAAAAATTGACTTTGAACAACACTTGCTGCTCAACTGCCTGAGTCGCGTGAGGAGGGTCCAAAACAACTTCGCCTTCTGCTGCCGCCTTTTTTGACTGAGCTTTTTGCAAGCCAGCTTGCCGGTTTGGGCAGCTTCCACCGCCGGAAGGATGTCTTCCGCCTGTCCCTCACAGCCTGAGCCTCAAGCGGAGCGACAAAAGCGTCGTCAGCGTCGTCAAAAAGTGTTGCGCATTCGTGAACATCTGTCCTTCTTGCCATCATCATCTCTGCCTTCCACGCCAAGCATTCACTTCGAAAGCGTCGTTGATCGTCGTCTTGCATCCCAGAAGAAGCTAGGAGAGCGCGCACGGTTCGTCAGCTTTTCTTCTTGTCGAGCGATCGCGTCGATTTTCTGGTAACGCTTAATTTCGGTTGTGTGCGTAAGTTGGCTGCTCCAGCCTCGCTTTGCTTGATGGACCCGCCGCTGACATGAAGATCTGCGCTGCTTTTGACTTTGTATGCTGCATCCCTCCCACCATCAACGGTTGACAGATGAAACCGTCCTCGCTCCTTTCACTTTCCGCCGTCCGAGCCTATCCAGCTTCGCACTTCACTCGCCCAGCTCTCCGGTCCATTCCCGCCAAGACCGCCACCGTTTCTTCCCTCAGGAGCAGCAACGCGCTTCAACGTCCCCTCGTCTCGAGCGATCCCACAAAGGTATGCATCTTTCCCAAATCATCTGGATGAGGTAGACGTTGTCGACAAACCTTGTTTGCCAACCCGCCATCTCCTTCTCAGCCTTGGTGTGATGCCGCCGCCGCCGCCCGTTTCGCTCTCCTTCAAAAAAGCTCATCTTCTTCTCGTCTCTTGCTTTCTTGCTGCCATCCTTGCGATCCTCTGGCCTTTCCGAACCCATTCGGTATCTACCACCTGGCAGTCGCTTCAATCAGCAGCTTGCTCAACTTTCTTCATCCGAACTCACGCAACTTGTTCGCTAGCCGAGCCCGCTTTCGCCCCGGTCTCTTCCGCCATGACCGACGCTTCCGACGCATCCAAATGGTTCCGCCTGCCTCGCAGTGTGGTCCCCACCCACTACGATATCACCCTCAAGTCTGATCTTGAAGCCCTTCAGTTCTCGGGAACTGCTACCATCGACCTTGATGTTCTCGAGGACACGGACTCGATCGTCTTTAACGCTGCTGCCAAGCTTCACCTCAGCAAGTCGCTCGTGCTCAGCCAGGCGCTCAAGACCGACAACAAGAGCATCGTCGCCCTTGATGTGGACACTAAGCACGAACGCGCTACCGCCAAGCTTCCCAACGCTCTGCCCAAGGGCTCCAAGGCACAGCTTGTCGTCGCTTTCGCCAGCGACATTGACAGCAGCATGATGGGCTACTACCGTTCCACCTGGGAGCACGAGGGCAAGAAGGGCTACTACGCTCTCACCCAGTTCGAGCCTACTGCTGCTCGACGTGCTATCCCCACGTGGGACGAGCCCAACCTCAAAGCCACCTACACCTTCCGAATGATCCACCGAAAGGACACCACCGCGCTCGCCAACATGAACGTCGTCAGCTCCAAGGACATCTCGCAGGTTGAGCAGGACAAGCTTCTCCGCGCTTCCGAGCTCGGTCTGGACCAGGCTTCGCTCAGCGCCGGAAAGACCGAGGGCAAGACGGAAGGCAAGACCGAAGTCTCCAGCACCGCTTCCAACGACTGGACGCTCACCGAATTTGCCACCACTCCCAAGGTCTCGACCTACCTGGTGGCATGGGCCAACGGTCCCTTTGTTCACCTCGAGAGCAGCTACACCAGTCCTCTCACCGGCAAGGTCATTCCCATGAAGGTCTACACCACCCCCGAATACATTCACCAGGCTCAGTACGCTCTCGACGTCAAAATAAAGGTCTTGCCCGAGTACGAGCGCGTTTTCGATGTTGCCTATCCCTTGCCCAAGCTCGACACGCTCGTTGCTTCCGATTTCGATGCCGGCGCCATGGAGAACTGGGGTCTGATCACGGGTCGTACCTCGGTCTACCTTTACGACCCCGAGAAGTCCGGCCTCCAGGGCCAGAAGCGAACCGCCGGTGTTCAGTCGCACGAGGTCGCTCATCAGTGGTTCGGTAACATTGCCACGCTCGACTGGTGGGACAACCTCTGGCTCAACGAGGCTTTCGCCACGCTTATGGGCGAGGTCGTTATTCTGGACCGATGCTTCCCCGAGTGGGAGTCCGCTTCCGAGTTCATCAATGTCCACCTGGACCGAGCTCTCGACCTCGACGGCAAGCGATCCAGTCACCCCATCGAGGTGCCTCTGCAGGGTGAGAATGTCGAGGACGCCATCAACCAGGTGTTCGACGCCATCTCGTACTCCAAGGGCGCCAGTGTGCTCCGCATGCTTTCCAACATGATTGGCGAAGATGTGTTCCTCAAGGGTGTGTCGATCTACCTCAAGAAGCACCTCTACTCGAACGCTGTCACCAAGGATCTCTGGAACGGCATCAGCGAGTCGTCGGGTCGCGACATTGCTTCCATCATGGCCAACTGGATCTTGAAGCAGGGTTTCCCTGTCCTCACTGTCACCGAGGAGGCGGACGGTCTGCGCATCAAGCAGAACCGTTTCCTCTCGACGGGTGACCCGACCCCTCAGGAGGACGAGACGCTCTGGTACGTGCCTCTCATGCTCAAGACGGTCGGTGCCGACGGCAAGGTGTCGGTCGATCGCGAGGCATTCCTCAACAGCGAGCGTGAGGTCAAGCTTCCGCTTGCCAACGCCAAGGACACCACCTACAAGCTCAACGCCGAGACCATCGGTGTCTACCGCGTGGCCTACTCGCCCGAGCGTCTCGCCAAGCTCGGTGAGGAGGCTGCCAAGACCAACTCGGGCTTCTCGCTTGAGGACCGTGTCGGTTTGGTCTCGGACGCCTTCACTCTCGCTTCCGCTGGCTACGGCAAGACCTCGGGCGGTCTCTCGCTGCTCAAGGCGCTGCGAAACGACCCCACCTACCTGGTCAACTCGGCGTCGTCGCTCAACATTGGCACGCTCAGCAGTGCCTGGTGGGAGCAGGACGCCAAGGTGCAGACGGCCATCAAGAAGCTGCGTGCCGACATCTTTGGTCCTACGGCCAAGAAGCTCGGCTTCGAATTCGGCGCCAACGATTCGCCCGACCTCAAGCAGCTTCGTGCCGTCGCCATCGCCGCCGCTGCCAACGGTGAGGACGAATGGACGCTCTCCGAGATCAAGAAGCGTTTCGACGCGTACATTGCTACGGGCGACGAGAGCCAGATCCACCCGGATCTGCTGCGCACCGTCTTCACGCGTGCCGTCAAGTACGGTGGCGAGAAGGAGTACGAAGCCGTCCTCGCGATCTACAGGAAGCCGCAGACGCCGACGCACAAGATCGCCTCGATGCTCGCCCTGGGCGAGGCGTCGGACGAGAAGCTGCTCGAGCGCACCGTCGACTTCCTCTACGGCGGCGAGGTCAAGGAGCAGGACTTTATGTACTTCTTCGCCGCTCTCTCCGGCAACCCCAAGGGCAGGAGGATCATCTGGGAGGCCACCAAGACCAGGTGGGACGTGCTCTCCAAGCGCTTCGCCGGCAACTTTTCGCTCAGCCGCTTGATCGAGTACTCGTTCAGCGCGTTTAGCAGTGAGAAGGACGCCCAGGACGTGGAGAACTTCTTCAAGGACAAGGACACGGCCAAGTTCAGCATGGGCCTCAGCCAAGGGCTGGATGCGGTTAGGGCGAAGGCCAGGTGGGTCGAGCGCGACGCAAAGGACGTCGAGGAGTGGTTGCGCGCCAACGGTTACCTTGCTTAGACCAGGGATGTAGAATTGGTTGAAGTGAAACATAATGAAGAGATCGTGTTACACATGTTGTGGATGATGGTGTGGGTTGATGAGGCTAAGGGTCTCACATGAGGACCTGCATAGCGATAAAACGACGAGATGATCGGATGAAGAGGGGGTCGACGGTGTGGGAGGTGTTGCCACGCAGGGGTGTGGCGACAACAGGACCCACCCAGCCGTGTGATGGCGACTGTGCAGACGGGCTTCGTTCGGAGACGACGTCCGGAAGCCACCTACGCTTCATCACACGGAGAGACTGATGAGGCAGGGCAGGCAATTGTGGTGGGTTGTAGCTCGAGATGAATGGCAGAGGTGGCATGGCGACTGCCGTGCTGTTGTGCTGCAAGAACTCGCGCTGGTGTGATACAGAGGCGCTGTGCTGGCGCGGACGGCCGTCTCAACAACGAAGGGCACGAGTCAGGGTAGGTCACAGAGGTACGACACACGCATATAAACGGTCGCCTCTCGTCGACATCCCCCGTCTCCTCTCCACAGCATTTCTACCCTCTTTCGCCCCCCAATCCACCTCTGACATTCCATCAAGATGTTCAAACCTACTCTTCTTCTCCTCACGCTCCTTCTGGCCCTCGTCTCCACCTCCTTTGTTTCAGCGGGCCACCTCGTGCCGGACATCGGCACCTCTCGCTCGCACCCTGCCTATCCGTTTCCTCGCGAACCGCTCTTCGCCTGCGTCATCCGATCTGCATCCTGCCGAAGCACCTCGAACTACCTCTCGCTGCACTACGACCCTGCACTTTACCTCAAGACGTGTCACCACGAGGGAGGCGTCAAAGGCTTCTTCCACCGCCTCCTGCCGTTTGGTCGCAACGGCGGTGTCTTTACCAACACCTTCTGGGTCGAGGGCTCCGGGATTAGGGTCAATTGGACCCCTCGCGGCGTTCAGGAGGTAAGCACAAGCGTCACATAAATAAAGGGGGCAAGATTGACTGACAGATGTTTCGTGTGAGATCGTGCAGACGCTCGAGGATGGCATCAACCTCAAGACCAGATGCAACGCCCATGTGACGTGCGCTAGAGCTGAAGACGTCGATCGAAAGTGCTTCCCCAAGAACTAGACGTCAAACCCACGATAGCCTAGCCACGAGCCACTGCCCAATCATGCCTCTCTTTGTCGCTAGAACTCGTCCGCACATACCTTGAATCATCTCTGTCCTTACTCGAGACTGATGTGTGCAGCTGTGTGATCGAGAGTGGCTGCAGACCGAGCTGTGGAAGATTGATGTGCCCTGTGCTGCTGTGCTTCGACGACATAGAAAAACTTCGTGGACGATCTGCATCACGCCAGGTTCACGAGGAGGGTTGCAGCATGTCTCTTTGCTTAGAGCGTGCCGGCGCTCAGATGGCTATCACCGACAGTCTGCTTTGCACTCGACCGTGCCTGCGTGGGAGGACTCATGGGTGGAGAGCGATCGCATTACCAGGAAGCATGCTGTCGCCAGGCAAAAGGTGCATATCGAGAAAGCAGGATTCCCGGACTATCCTCCTTCATTCGACCTCACACTTCCGTGCACGATCTTCTCTTCCTCACCGCCAGGGGGCTTCTGCAGTCCAGGTCCCATCCCAAACGTCGTACACTTCTCCTCATCCCAACAGCGCACCCTTCCCTCGCCTACATGAGGCTTGATGTATCGCTCCAGCCAATAGGCGTCCAGCGTCCTAGCGTCGATATCAAACAGCTGCTGCTTCAGAGGGCTATCCGCGCTAATGGAGACGAGGGCCAACTGGGTGGGAAGCGAGGTAGGCGGGCAGGGGGAGAAGTGGATGCCCTTTTCGGGTGAGGTCAGGTCTCCCAGTGGGAAGGTTGATGGAAGGGCTGTGATGGCAAAGACGAAGGAGGGGGTGAGTGATGAGCAGGATCGGAGGAGTGAGAGGCGAAAGCAGGGAACTTACAGCAGACTGCGATGGTGTCGGGCTGAGGCGCGACTGCAGCGCCCGAGACCACGGTGTGGAGGCTGAAGAGAACGGCGAAAAAGACCGGGGTCTGCATGGTGGTCGGTGATGGTTGACGCTTTCGAGGAGAGGCTGGTGAAGGGATTGATGGACTGTGTTACGGGCGCTGCTTTTATCGTCCTTGCTGCATCGAGCGGGTGTGCACCAAGATCACAAGGCAGCAGAGACGAGATGAAGTTTTGTTGTCGGCCTTATCGTCAACATTGTGGCGGGCTGATTTGGGCGATGCTGGGCGTGATGCTGAGAGCATTCGGCGACAATGACCATTGATATCCGTGGGAACAGCCCCACCTAGCCCTCGGTGAAACTTTCGTTCCAGCACAATTGTTCTCACGCCGTCACTCGAAGGGTTCCGACGGGTGCATTTCCAGCGACACCGACATGTGACGACGCTGTTGTATCTCATCTCCCCACGCTTTCGCGTGACAACCCGCAGGGAAAGGCTTGGAGAACGTCGGCACGCCCACCGTGGCACAAATTGAGGCTGTTGATGGTTTTCAGTGAGGCTCAATGAAGGGCCACAGGGGACTGAGTGTCCCGCGTGTGTTCTCAGAACAGGAGGCCATATATATCCTTGGTATTTGACGATCACAGCATGCGATCCACAGCGAAGTCTGGTAGCGAGTGTTCAACGACGGCCTCTCTCCTCATCGTCCTTTGCTTCCACCTCATCGTCCACCTTCGGCAGACCGGGACTCGCCGCACGAGAGCCGTCTCTAGACCCAGCCCTGGCCCTCGACCTAGACCTCGACGCGGACGCCGACCTCTGCGCCGGAATGATGCCGTTCGGGTAGGCGCTCTTGTTGTGCACCGCCTCGTTGTAGTCCCGCCTCCTCTCGGATTCGAGCTGCTGCGAGAACTCCTTTTGCTTCTTGCTGGTCTGGCCGGCTTGGAGGAAGAGGCTGTCCCACGTGGACGGGCGAACTTTCGCCTGGAGCTCGTCGAGCTTTTCGTCGGTGGTGAAGGTGAGGTAGTGCTCGCGGTGCGTGTCGATGGCTGCGAAGAGGGCTGCTACGAGGTACGGCACGGAAAGGTGGGAGGGGAGGCTGGCGAGGGAGGCATCAAAGTGGGCGAGCGTCGCATGGACACCTTTGACGAGCTCAACAAGGGTGGACTTTGCACCGGAGGAGTTGCGGCGGAGCGAGACGTCGAGCGACTTGAGCGAGCCCTTGATGTAGATCTCGTCCGAGGAGGATGAGGATTCGCCAGTGGAAGCAGGGGGCATCTCGAGATGATACTTGCTCTTGAAGAGACCCTTGGTGGAGATCTTGGTGCATTTGCCAAAGCTTCCGTCCTGCTCGAGTTCGATCACCTCGTAGGTGGAGGATGCGACGTGCTTGCGAACGGCGAAGGGCGTCGAGCGCTCCGCACAGACGACCACCTTGATGGGTGAGGCGAAGATCTCAGCTGCATTGCCGACGAGGTTCTGGTAGAGCGAATCGTCGAAGGTGGACTCGCGGGAATGCTCGAGCTGCACAAGCTCGAAAACGACTCGGTCATCTGCGTTGGCGTCGACAAAGAGGATAGGGTCGCGCTTGCGGTCGAGGTTCTTGACGTTCAGCGAGCAGGGCAGGTTGGCGGGGAAGGGGGCCGTGCTGCTGGCAATGTTGTACGAGGGGACCGTCTCGACGGTGGTGGTACTGTGGGCGTAGCCCGGCGGCGTAGACTCGACTTGAGCGGCGGCCATCGTGATTGAGCTGATGCTGGGTCAGACGAGAATGGTGGTGATGGTAGGGAGGACAGGTGGACGAGGTAAGGAAGAAGAATTTTTGAGCTGATAGCACAGGAAGATCCGACGATTGACATGTCTTGGCAGGAGTCAGCTGCTCCACGGCTTTTCCGATTTGAGACCACGCGGTGACGGCGGCTGAGGTTGATCCGAGAACAATCGCCTCGCACACAGGCACGCGAGCTGTGCCTCTGCTCATTTCGTATCATGGCTGCCAGCTTCGGCTATCGACTCTGCCAAACAAGTCTTTCGCTTTCCGTCATCACTGATTCATCAGGCCCTTGGACCTTCGTCTCCATGCTGTGTATGCGGCGGGACGTGAGCTCAAAGTTCGATCGACGTTCATCTCAACCAGGACACGAAACTTCAGGGTCTGCGTCGTCGGAGAAGACCGAAGTAGGCGCGGAAGGTCGGATGGGTCTGATCGCTTGTATCGGGCTTGTAGTCATCTCGATAAGCAAACTAGATCCTTTCCATCGGAAGGAAGCGAGAGCGCAAGGAATGAAGGCACAGCAGCCGAGCAGAGCCCAAAATTGAGAGATCTCGCAGCGAACTGCAGGTTCAAACGCATCTACAAAATGAGTTTGTATTGATCGAGGGGCGATTGCAAGGCAGGCTGGGAGCCGAGCCTTGAAAATCCATTTGAACCTGCGGCTAGGCATGTGGCTTCCCGCGGCTGCGTTTCTGCCTGTGGTTCAACACGGTCGCGTAACAAGGAACGCGCGCGCGGCCGGTCTGGGGAAACTGACCTGCATCCTGGCACAGACACAGCTGCAGATTGATCTGCACTTGCGAGCCAATCTCGAGGCGCAACCTTCATCACATCCCACTTTTAGATCACACCTTGAGCTACGTGGCTGTCGAGGGAAGCTTCGGAGGGCGTAGCGACGATAGCCAGAAGATAAAGGTTTGAGCTACGACTTGTATTGTTGCCCTTCCATCACTTGCAAGCTCCGTTGCATTCCCACAGCGCACAGGAGGTAGGGAGGCAAGCAAGGGTCGTACACGGAGACTCTGCCGGCGACGCCTCTTTCGAACCATCGGCTTTGCCTCGTCGCTCCGGCTTTGAATTCGACTGAGTAAATTTGTATTGGCTCGCGTCGCATCTAGTGGCGCCATTCTCCCTCTCCCTCTCCCTCCTGACTGGGTTCGAGTCTCCTGAGATCCGCCGACCTCCTCGGTCAGCTTGTGTGGCCAAAAGATCGAAATGACCTCTTGTTCAACCGGCGCACGCAGAGAGTGAGGGTCCTCCTGTCAAATTGAGCTGCTCCCTGCAGCCTGTCAACAGCTCTCGCCTTCTCTCTTGCTGCGCCGATAATCTGGTCAGCTTTTATCGGCCAGCTTCGCGCTCGCCAGCCTCTGGCCTCGTTCTCCGACTTCGCCTTACCTCTCACTGCGGGCGAGTGTCTCTTGTGTCCAAGCTGTGCCGAAGCCTCCATCACGGCCTTCCGCCCTTGAGTCTGGATCGTCTGTTCCCTTTGACCACCATCCCCACCTCTCCCTCCGCCATCCTTACTTGCTCAGTCTCCATCACCCCGCCCGTTTCACCCTTCCGTTTCCCACCTGACCCTCTCTTCAGACCGCTGATCGTGCGGCTCGTCTATCACACACCCGCGAGCACCATCTATCCACGTCGGCATCGAAGCAGCTCTACCTCGATTTTGTCCGCTCATCGAAGCAGATAACAACTCGACTAAGCGGTGATAGTCCCACACAATGAGCCGACAGAGCGGCCCCTATCGCAGCGTCCCAGGATCACAGCCGCAGCCACGAGGCGCCATGCCTTCCTACAAGCAAGTCTCATACACACCGCCAGCCGCTGGTCGTCCTGGTCCGCGTGGTGCGGCCCCAAGCCAGAACACGTCCGGCTCCTTCTCAAGCGCCGACGCCTCCTCCAACACCCATCAGCAGCGTCTCTTGCCAACCACTGGCTACCGCGCACGCAACAATCAGCAGAGCGGCCGTCCTTCCATGGCCAGCTCGCGCGCCAACACTTTCGCATCATCCGGCTCAGCCTCCGCCTCAGACTACAAGTACGCTACAGGCGGCGGTGCTGGCCAGCCCCTCTTCAACGGTCCCGAAGACGACGATGACATGCATGACTGGAAGAAGGAGTCGCATTCGCATGCCATGTCCTGGCGCGGTATTGCCAATGTCGCCACCCTCTTCTTTCTCGTCACTGGCCTCGTCGCTCTCTTCGCTGGTTACCCTATCATCTCGCACTTCGAGAAGGCCCGTAACAAGGCTGCTCAAAACGGCTTCAACATCGGCGGCACCAACGGCTCTGGTCAGGTCCCCGATCTCCCCCTCTTCAGTCTTGTCGACTCGGACACGCCGCAGTCTGCTTACACCCGCACTTCGGCGGCTGACGGCAAGTCGTACCACCTTGTCTTCTCCGACGAGTTCGAGAAGGAAGGTCGCACCTTCTGGCCCGGTGATGACCCGTTCTGGGAGGCCATCGATCTCTATTACGGCGTCACGGGTGACTACGAATGGTATTCGCCCGATGCGGTCAACACCACTGGTGGCGCTCTCACTATCACCATGACCCAGAAGACCACGCACAATCTCAACTTCCAGTCGGGCATGCTCCAGTCTTGGAACAAGTTCTGCTTCCAGGGTGGCTACATTGAGTTCTCGATGCGCATGCCCGGTTCGCCATCGACCTCTGGCTACTGGCCTGGTCTCTGGTTGATGGGCAACTTGGGCCGTCCCGGATACCCTGGTTCCACTGACGGCATGTGGCCCTACTCGTACGCCAGCTGTGACGCGGGCATCTTACAGAACCAGACCTGGGTCAACGGCACGGGTCCCGACGGCGCCATCAACTCGAAAGGTACCTATTCGGTCGGCGGACAAGTCTCGCTTTTGTCGGGCATGCGATCTCCTGCCTGCACCTGCCCAGGCGAGGATCACCCCGGTCCCAACGTCAATGTCGCCCGTTCGTCGCCAGAGCTCGATATCCTCGAAGCCCAGATTCAGAACCACCAGGGCGTGTCGCACGGCTATGCTTCGCAGTCCTACCAAGTCGCACCGTTCGACTTGAGCTACGAGTGGGTCAACACGTCGGCTGCTGTCAAGATCTACGATGACGACGTGACCGTCATCAACTCATACAAGGGCAACGTCTACCAGGAAGCTGTCTCTTCGCTTACGCAGATTCCCGACACTGGCTACGTTGACAGTTCCAATGCGTACGTCACCTATGGCGTGGAGTACCAGCCAGACTGGAATGAGAACGGAGGTGGTTCCATCACCTGGTATGTCGGCGGCAAGCCCTCGTGGTCGGTCAACGGCAAGGCCATGCCCGCAAACCCTCCCATGGACATTGGCATCCGCACCATCTCGGTCGAGCCCATGTCCATCATCATGAACCTTGGCATGTCTCCCACCTTCCAGCGTGTCAACTTCGGCGCGGGCGGCGTTCAGTTCCCCGCCATCATGTCGGTCGACTACGTCCGCGTGTATCAGCTGGACGGCCAGACAGATCGCATCTCCTGCGATCCTGCTGACCATCCAACCGCCCAGTACATCGCAAACCATCCAGATCTCTATCACAACGAAAACTATACTCGCTATACAGACTCCAAGCGCAAGTGGCCAAAGAACAGGCTCACTGGATGCTGATCGAAGGTGTAGCCAACGGACAATGCTAGCTCGTATGATTTCTTGGGTGGTGGTGGTGTTGTAATTTTTTAGGTCCCGAACTATTTTCCCCAACCCGAGAATGCGTCTGCGTGTGGCCCGGCCCGTCAGAGAGTGCGCTTTGTGCGGACAGGCTTCAATGTGCTCTGAGAGTTTGCATGCGAGTGTGTGTGCGAGTGGCACAAAGACGCTTGGCAGAGCGTTCCCGCGGACTGCAAGACGGACAGCGTGTTGAGAACAAAGACAGGGTTTCCGCTTCCCCGCGAACCCTGTGTGCGCTCTCGATTGCGATCGCTCCCGTGGGCAGCTCACCCTTGTTAGCGAGAATCACCCACACACGCATAGGTGAGCCAGCGCGGACTGCGTCACAGCGGGCCTACTGAGCACAGACTGTCCCGTCGAGCATTGTGCGCCATGCGGAAAGGCCTCATTGTTTTGTGAGAGTCGCACAAAGCTTTTGTGTGTGCCCGCCAGCGCGTCTCTGCGGGCTGCAAGACAGGCAGCATTACGTGCACACCGCCGGTGCCGCCTGTTCTATGCACTCGCTGCGTCCGTCTGCGGCGGCCAATCCCTGCCTGCGAACGTCGCCTGCGTGACAGTGAGACTCATCCAAACAGGGTTGTGTGAGCCGGCTAACGCGTGTTTGCGGACTTCAGCACGGCCTGGCACAGACTGCAGGTGAAGATCGCGCGCTGTGCGGGAACGGTCTCGTTGGTTTCCGAGGGCCACTGTCAGAGCCACACAGAGACGGTCAGGTGAGCCCGCCAACGCGAGTTGGCGTAGCGAGCTAAGTTAGTCGGCCTGCTGAGCGCAAGCCGGCCGCCCGCCGATCCGCTTGCTTGCTGTGTCTGAGTGCACGCGCGTCTGTGTGAGTGTGGATGTGAGTGGCTAGACCCGTCTCTCTGGCTCACAATGGTGCTCCGCTCACCGACAGAAGTCGCATTGATGCGGAAGCTGGCCGTTCTGCTTTTGAGCTACAGTGTGTCTGCTAAATCATGGACAGTTCGGCTGCGCACGGCCTGCGTGTGCATGCGTGGTCCCTCTCAGCAGCTCACTGTATTCGATTTGTGTGGACCGCCCGTTTCTTCCAGGGCGTCTCTCGCCCGGCCTGAACTTGTTCCTCGCAGAGACCGCAGAGACGTCTGTCGGAATCTTCGCTTCTCTCTGACACACTGGCTGCATGTGTATGAGTATTGTATTACAGACGCCTGGATGGAATGGGAGGGGTATGTTGAGCACCCGAGAATGCGATTTTGAGACCAAGACAATGTTCGCTGTGTTGAGACTATACGAGAGACGAGCTGTTCGATCCATTTAGAGGACGTTCTCCTTGGGGAACTTGAGGATGGGGCCGACCTGACCGATGCACATGCCGCCGAGCTTGTGGCCGACGTCGATGGCCTCGTCGACGCTCTTGCCGAGCACGAGCGCACCGACGACACCACCAGCAAAAGCGTCACCGGCACCGTTGGTGTCGACAATGTCCGCAGGGTTGATCTTGGGCGTCTCGTGGACGAACTGCTCCTTCTCCCCCTTCTTGGCGAGGATGGTGGGCTGAGCACCCTGGGTGATGATCACCACGCGCTTCTCGGCCTTGGAGGTCTTGGACTCAAAGTCGGCGATGGCCTGGGCGATGGTCTTGAGGTCCTTGGACTCGAGCTTGTGTGCGGCGGCCCACGCCTCGGCCTCGGTCTCGTTGCCGAAGATGACGTCAGCGTAAGGAACGACACTGTCGACCTGCGAGGTGAAGAATTGGGGGATGAAGGGAGCGGAAAGGTTCATGGTGAACGAGACATCGCGGCTCTTGGCCTCCTCGGCGAGGACGAGGGCCGACTCAACACCGTGTGTGAGGAAGAAACCGCCGAGGTAGAAGATCTTGGCGTTCTTGATAGCCTTCTGCGCCTCCTCGGTCTCGAGGTGTGACTTGCTGAACTTCTCAGCCGCGCCGAGGTTGGTGCAGAGCGATCGGTTGTGGCCGGTGATGACGACGGCACACGAGCCAGTGGGCTGGTCCTCGCTGAACTGGTAGATGCTCTTGAGACCCTCCTTGTCGTTGGCCGCCTGCAGCTGCTTGGCCAGGTCATCCTTGCCGACACAGCCGAGGTAGGCAGTCGAGTTGGCCGGAAGCACGTACTGCGCGCAGCGAGCAGCGTTCTGGGCCGCACCACCAGCAACGTAGGTGACATCGTAGTTGTCGACAATGTCCTGGTAGATGGCGAGCTGCTTCTCGTCCGCGAGCACGGCATCGTTGGGCTTGAGGTTGTACTTCTCGAGCATCTTCTCGCCGTTGCGGATCTGCATGTCGAGCAGAGGGTTGCCGAGCGCAACCAGTTCGAAGTTTCCGCCTGCCATTGTGAAGATCTATTCTCTGTGGGTTGGTGGAGATGGTGTTGAGGTTGATGGTGGGCGACGTCACTTTGTGCGTTGCACGGTGAGCGGCAAAACGTGCTTGGGCGTGCAGTTGACCAAATTTCTTCCTGCGTTTCACAGCGCTGCGCACCGACCACGAATTTTTCTTCTTCTTGGGCTGGCAGATCGGCTGATCCAGAAGGATGAATCGACCGATCTGGTTGCTGCTAATCAGCCGCGTGCCTCTCAATTTACGCGGGTCGCGTGTTGGAACAGTCAGCCTGAGAAGAACACTTTTCGGCTGAGTTTCAGAGTGGCAAGGAACACCCTGCACCTTCGACCGCATACACCCTAACCAAGCTGTCTTTCCACGATACATCAGCCATCGCGGGAAGCGTCGAACGAATGGCCATTCTCTGATCTCAGATCAGGTTCGGTACGACGGCCATGACAACGCAGTCGAGTGCGGATCCGCAGTCTCAGCCGTCTCGCGACTTCTTTGCTTCTTCACCGTCGGCTACGTCATCTTCGCCAATCAAAGCAGGGTCACAGTTGAAGCGAGGTGATGATCAAGCAACCCCTCCCGAGACAAGACCACTGGACGGGAAACGAGAACCGGAGCAGGACGGCGAGCAAAATGGGTCAGGCGTGAATCATGACGAAGGCAGCCCGGACGATTTCACCATTGTAGCGTCAACGAGCGCTGCCGCTGCTGCGGAAGAATCACCCGTAAGAAGGCAACAGCCTCGGCGAGCAGCCGTAGAGAAAGCTAAGCCGCTCTTCCTGGCTGATGAGGACGACGACGTTGCGGAATGGGCCGGAGACGTTGACGAGGGAGACGACTTCTTCTCCACCCAAGCGCCCCAGGAGGTGAAGCCAGCAGCCCGCGCGAAGGTGGCAAGCGAGGACGAAGAGTTCTTGCCAAGCTCTCAAGCACCTGATCGATCTTCGTCTCCCGTACCGCCAGCGCGGAAGCGTTCACCGCAATCCGACAGCACACAAGCCGTGAACGGGCACGCTAAGAAGCTCAAGCGATCGTCTCCATCTCCTGCCATCAGCGTGCAGAGCAAGAGTCCGCCTCGTCGACGCTCTCCCACACCAGACCCGCGTCTCCGTCACGATGCGTTCGACCGACGCTTCCTCGGCACATTCGTCCTTTCCGCCTGGTCGTTGTCGAAGGGTTCGTCTTATGTCAAGCCGGGCGATGCAGTTCGAATCTTCCGTCCCCGCAAGAAGCAGCCGGCTCCTGAAACCAGTAAACCAGCGTCCAAGCTGACAAATGGCGGCATCAAAAAGGGCAAGCAGTCGACGCTCAATTTTGGCGGATCTGCCTCTGCGGGATCTGGCAGCTTCTTCGGCTCCAAGCAAAAGTCGAAGGAGAAGGAAGACTTCATTGTGCGCTTCAGCAACATGCGCGGATTCGAAGTCGGTCGCCTGCCTCTCGAGGTAGCTACGTGGATGTCTAAGCTTATCGACACGGGTATCGCTGACTTCGAGGGCGTGGTTGTCGACTGCCCATCGTCGCTCACTGTTGGGTGCGATATCATCCTGCAGGTAAAGGCGTACATCAAATTCGATGCCTTCTTCCTGACTTTGCTTGGAAATCGCGAGCTCGACGAACAGAACGACGGTCTGCGGCCCGAGACAGCCGAGTCGGACCTGGAAAAGACACTGCGGGAGCGAAAGATCAGTCTGCTTCGCATCTTTCGTGTCTGCGACCTCAAGCCGAGCCTCAGCAACTCGATATTAAAATCGCACAAGGCGACGGACGACTTCTCGAGCGAGGCGATGCTCGATCAGTTTGGAGGAGATATCGAAGCGTCAATCAAACAAGTTGGAGGTGATGCCGCGATGACAACGGGTTCAAAGACGGAGGCCCCGCCCGCAGCTGGTGGTGCCGCATCGGCCGCCATCGATATCGACGGTGATACAAATGGCGTGGAAGAAGACGGAATCGCCGACCAGCTGCAAAAAGCACAGCAGCAGACGGATGGAGATGCCGAGACAGAAGAGAACGACGGCACGGAGCTCAACCTGAACCAGCTTGACGAGGTCTACCGCAAAGCTCAGGCCAACGATGCTCACTTGCCAGAAGTCGAACCGCCCGAATCGTTCCTCCTCACCTTGCGGCCGTACCAGAAGCAGGCGTTGGGCTGGATGAAGAACATGGAAAAAGCTCCAGGGCAATCGCCGTCCAGCCAAGAGAACGGCTCGACGCAGCAGAACGGCAGCTCTGGCGAACGCAGCCTCTCGCTTCATCCTCTGTGGGAAGAGTACGAGTTTCCGCTCGACTACGACAATCCTGAAGCAAACGAGCGTTTGGTGCTCAGCGCGACGCGCATGTTCTACTTCAACCCGTATACGGGCGACCTCAGCCTTGACTTCCAGCGCGCGAGCAAAGGCTCGCGTGGCGGCATCTTAGCCGACGAAATGGGTCTGGGCAAGACGATCATGGTAGCTAGTCTGCTCCACGCTAACCGCACCTCAGATCCGGGTGAGGAGAGTGAGGTCGACGACGATGCCATGGACCTGGGCGAGGACGGCACGAAACGGAAAGGCTCAGCGAAGCAGACATCGCTCGCGTCCGCTTTTGCAGCCTCAACCTCCAGCGTCGACCAGCGCAAAGCCCTGCTCAAAGCTTCGGTCTCGAAAGGCAAAGCCTCTCTCGTTGTCGCGCCCATGTCTCTGATCGGTCAATGGCGGGACGAGCTCATCCGCGCGTCCGCGCCTGGCTCCATCACGCCCGTTCTCTACTACGCCGACACGAAGGGCGATCTGCTGGCTCAACTCGAATCTGGCAAGGTTGACGTGGTTATCACATCGTACGGCACGCTGGTCACTGAGTACCGTCGTTTCCTCGACACAGGTGGCGCCTCTAACCGGCACCTCTCCACCACGGCCCCGCTCTACTGTATCGACTGGCTACGCATCATCCTCGACGAGGCACACAACATCAAGAACCGCTCCACCATGAACGCTCGTGCGTGCTGCGACCTCGTCTCGCGACGTCGATGGGCCTTGACGGGCACACCCATCATCAATCGCCTCACGGACCTGTTCAGCCTGTTGAAGTTCCTGCGGGTGAAGCCGTGGGGCGACTTCAGCTTCTTCAACAGCTTCGTGTGCAAGCCGTTTCAAGCCCGATCGACCAAAGCGCTCGACGTGGTGCAGGTCATCCTCGAGTCCGTGCTCTTACGCAGGGAGAAGAGGATGAAGGACAAGGATGGCAAACCCATCGTCCAGCTGCCCGCTAAGAAGATCGAGGTGCGGGAACTCGAGTTCACAGAGCTGGAGAGAAAGATCTACGACAACGTGTACAAGAGGGCGTACCTCCAGTTCGCGCACATGAAGGCGAACGGGACGGTGACGAGGAACTTTTCGGTTATCTTCAGTGTGCTGATGCGACTCAGGCAGGCGGTGTGCCATCCTGCGCTGGTGCTGAAGGCGAACAAGTCGAAGGGCAAGAAGGGCGATGCTCCGAGTGCTGCCAGCAAAGGAGGTGACGCCGACGCTGCGCCTCAAGACGTGGACGATCCTGACGCGGCCGAGTTTGCCATCGACGACGATGCTGCGGACGACAGCACGCCCGGCACCGATGACCTGCGCGACCTCGTGGCGCAGTTCCAATCGTCTACCAGCGGCGGCGATGGCGATGACTCGACCGCGAACTATTCGAAGCAGACCGTCGACCGTCTAATCCGCGAGATGCACGGCTCGTCCCCCTCGACCTCGACGGAGACGGAGTGCCCGATCTGCTTCGAAGACCCGCAAATTTCGCCCTGCTATCTTCCGCGGTGCATGCACAGCGCATGCAAGACGTGTCTGGTGGACTACCTGCGCCAGTGTAAGGAGCGGGGTGAGGAGGGTGCGTGTCCTACCTGCCGAGTGGGCCCTGTAGACGAGGGCGATCTGATCGAGGCCATTCGCACGCGACCCGCCACTCCGCCGGGTACACCCACCTCCCCTGCCATCAACGTGGGCGGTGGAGTCCCCTCAACCATCTATGTGCGGAACAACCTGCGCTCCTCGACCAAAGTCACTGCGCTTCTCAACCACCTCAACGCCATCCGTGCTACAGAAGGTCCGTTCAAGGGGGTGATATTCTCGCAGTTCACCTCGTTCCTCGACCTTCTCGAGCCGGTTCTTTCACGATACCGCTTCCGCTTTCTCCGACTCGACGGGTCGACACCCCAAAAGGTGCGCGAGAAGCTGCTGGTGGAATTCCAATCGTCGTCGACGCCGGCGGATGAGACACTGCTGTTTTTGATCTCGCTCAAAGCCGGTGGGGTAGGGCTCAACTTGACGGCAGCGAACAAGATCTGGCTCCTCGACTTCTGGTGGAACTCGTCCATCGAGAACCAAGCCATTGATCGAGTGCATCGCTTGGGCCAGACGCGCGAGGTTAGCGTGTTCAGGTATCTGGTGAAAGATTCGATCGAGAATCGAATTCTGTTGATTCAGAAACGCAAGGATATGCTCATCAAGCATGCGCTCAAGCAGGGAAGGGACGAAGGGAAAGGGGAGAGCGAGACGATGCAGAATTTGGAGCTGCTTTTCGGAGATTGAGGCGCAGTCAGCTGGAAAAGAAGGAGATGGATGCGGGCTGGTCGACTCGTGGAAGTGGCATCATCAGCGATGGTCAAGGAACTGCAATGCATGGTGGCTCACACGTTCCAACTTTGCACAAGCGTGTGTGTGTGAGTAGCGAGACCGTTGTGAATTGTGAACCATGCAAAAGAAAGGATGAGAAGGATACAGCTTGGTGACCAAACCAAATGATGAGGGGTGAAGGTGCTACGAAGGCCAATGCAAAGGATGAAGGTCGGGGTGGATCACCAGGGGACGTCGTCCAGCTCGAGCTCGGACGAGAGCTGGTTCGAGAAGGAGAAGCCTGCCGAAGCTGTGGCTTCTGGGTCAGATGCGGACTCGGTGGGCAGAGCTGCGGTCTCGTCCTGCTTGAGCTTCTCCCACCACGTCGGGCCCGTATTGGTCTTCCTGACTTTGGGCGCGGGTCTCAGCAGCGCGCAGGTAGCACGTCGGGTAGCCTCCAGCTCCTCGACCTGCTTGAGACTCGTCTCCAGGAGCTCCTTGTCGAATCGACCCAAACGATCGCAGAAGAGCTCAAAGACGTTGAAGCCTGCGCCGTCGCACTCCTCCTCGTCCTCTTCGGCGGGCTTGAGCGCTGCAGTGGATGCGATCGAAGCGGCCTGTCTGCCCGGTGCCAGTGTCGATCCGCCCTCGACCTGCTGGCTGCGCTTGAAGCCGGACAGCTGATCCGGCTTGTTCTTCATAAAGTCCAACACGATCCCGAGCTCTGCAGGTGAGACAAAGTTCTGCGTCAGCGCCACCGACTCCTCGAGATTGATGACGAGGTGCCACCAGCCACTGGGCACATACAGCACCTCGCCCTCCTCGCAGACGCCCTCGACGAGCAGCCTGTCCTCCGGGCGAGCCGCCTCGGGGCCGTACAATCTTCGCGTCTCTTGGGCAAACTCAAGCAGCCATTCGGCGATACTCAGCGGAGCTGTGACTTCGGCTTCGTCGTCACTGACGTAGACGCCAGGTGGACAGACGTGCGGCGGAAGCATCATCCATGCTTTGCGTCCGTTGAGCACGGCGTTCCACGCAGAGGTGCCGTTGGGGTCCTTGTGCCACCCACTACCGCTGCGCGCGGGTCCAGCGATGATCCACCGGTGATCCGGTCGCAACAGGCCGAGGAGGGAGAAGAGATCGGAGCGCACCGCAGACATGTCGTACTGCGACGCGGCGTCTGCGGAGGTGGTGGAGATCTGCTGGAAGAATTTGGGCACTCGCCATTCGAGGGAGGCGTGTGGATCGTCGGCGAACGAGGCGTCGAACAGGTAGAAGGGCGACTCGTCGGGGACGGCGTACGGGTCAAAGGTGGAGTCGCCGTCGTCGGCACTGGCCGAGAAGAGGTGTGGACCGACACGCGAGATGGTGTAGGGCGTGTCGTAGAGAGGCATGACGGACTTGTCGCGCGGACCGCTTTCGTCGGACGGTGTGCCCACGTCAGACGCGGTGAGCGAGGCTGAGCGGCGTTGCGCGGCGCCTCGAGAATCGCCTTCTTCCTCGATCATGCGCGGCCAAGTCTGCTCCTGCAGGTGCTGCATGCCTCGCGAGTAGCTGAAGTAAGATGGCAGGCGCGATCGCACCGCCTCGCACTGGAAGAAGCGATTGGGCCATCGTTGCGAGAGCTTGTCAAGGGACCATTCGCGACAAGGCCAGTCCTTGGATGGCATGGCATTCTGAACGATGGCGGGCTTGTTGGCGTATGCATACTGCTCCTTGAACATGGCTATCGATCCAGGCTCGGCGAGATCGATCTTGGTGATGGCGGTGTACACACGGCATGCCGGTGCAACAAGATGCTCAAGCGGAGCCATGGCCAGACGGAAAGGATGGTAGAGCGTATCCGAAAAGAGGTAAGGTGATTGGATACGAGGCGCTGGTGGGTCAAGAAGTGCAAAATGACCCCCGTCCATGGAATCCTTAGTCTTGTCATCGAGGACGACACGTTGCATCTTGTGGTGCCATATGAAGGTGCGCTTCCAGCTTCCGCACCAGCGCTTCATTTTGCCATTGAAGCTGAGAAGGAAAGCTTCACGCCAGATGGAGTTGGTAGCGTTGATGTAGGTGTACATGCCGTGGCTGACGGCTTCGAGCTTGGCCAAGGTGGCCGGATCGTCGGCAAAGCTGGAGAGGAAGCTTAAGAGAGAGTCGTCCTCGAAGCCAGCGAACAGACCGAGAGAAGAGGAACGATCGTTGCGATCCGAGAAGTAGGCATTCCCAAGGGGCTTGATGCCGAGCGGGTGACGAGCCTGAGCATGAGCCGAACGGGGCAGAGAGAAAGCATCAGGGCGCGAGGAAAGTCCAAAAGAGCCAGTGCGGGCGCGCTTGCTCTGTTTTCGGCCGTCTCGCCCGGAGCCAGAGCCACCGCTGCTGCTTCCGGCTTCATCGGGAGTGGTGGAAGGCTCGGTGGAAGGAAGCGAAGTGGTGCCATCGGTGTTGGAGCCCGATTCGTCGGAATCAGCAGCAAGGCGCTTGAGTGCTGCTGAACATGGCGAGGCCGATGCATATTTGCGGTTGGTCTCTTCAATGTCGATGGTCATGAGGCCGGTGTGCTGTTGATCGTCGAGGGGATGCGAGGGCGCGGCTGGAACTGCAAGGTCGACAGAGGGCTTGTGGGCAATTGCTGACGGCGATTGAGCTGGTAGCTGCTGGTGCGCCTGAGTGATCACTTGGACGGCGTCATCGGCGACATCTTGCGGGATGTTGGAGAACAGTTTGATCTGCATGATGCTGGGTTGCGATTGGAGAAGAGCAGATGCAGGATGGTGGGGAGGTGAGAGACGAACGAACTTGTCGTGTCTCGTATCGATCGGTCAGCTAAAACACCGAGATACCAAAGGCGCGAGGCTGGAAGCTAGGAAGAGCAAGACAGCATTCAACGCAGTAGATGCTAGAGCTGCAGGAGCTAAAGCGCCGAGCAAGCAATGCTCGTGTTGTTGAAGAAGAAGAAGGTGAAAGTTCTGGCGTTGAAAGCCGAGCTCACGCGGAAAGCACGAATCTCGGAGAGAATGCTCGTTTGAAGGTGAGAAAGACGAAAGCAAGAGGAAGCGCGGCTTCCGTCGAAGGAGAGGAAAGCTGCGATGCTGGTGGATGAGATGGACCGGTGTGCGTCGATGAATGAATGCTGAGCGAGCTGGGGATGATTTGACGAGATGCAGGGATGAGGGTAGGTGCTTGTAATGCTGACTAGATGAGATGAGGGTGGTAGGAGGGCGTAGATGGTGGTGCGAGAAAGATGCTGGAAGCGATGGTGTTGATGTCGCGATGATCAGCAACCAGAAAGAGAGTTGGCGAGATGAGCGTTGGGCTTGCTACGCCACACACCCACACGAGACTGCACCCTTGACACTCGACACACGGTGGCAAGCCTGCTTCTCTCTCTCTCTCTTTTGACTGTGGCAGCTGCTGCTCCTCCTGAATCTAGCAAAGATCTAGACCACGCGCCGATATAGAGGCATGCCATTTTTTAAGGTTTTTTCACTTCAACCTCTTTCAAACGATTGTAATTGAAGCATACAAATCAAATTGGCAATTTCAAAGTCCAGCATTCGCCGCCTTCATCCGTTGAAGCGGCAAAAGAAGGCGCGCTAGGAAATCAAATCATGCTGTTCTCAAGGTCTAACAGCTTTGATCTTTACATCTATTATTTCACCAGAAGCGTGTCATGACCTCGGTCTAACAAAATTGAATACTCGATCGAATTTCAAGTTGGATGGCATTGAAGATCGCTTTGGGAAGGATTGAGCTGCAAGATTTTAGCTCGAGAGGGTGTGGCGCTGAGATGTGTCTCTGTCTCTGCTAGCTCCGATCAGACGCGCGCAACACCATCTGCCGCTGCCCAGGCTCGCTCGCTTACCTTTGGCCCGTCTCACAGTCACTGAGACCCTCCCTTTCTTCCGCATTGTGTTGTGTGCGGTTGATAACACAGTCCAACTCATGCAATCTGCGATCTTCAACATGGTTTTATGCCGCGCTCACCACATGCCGTGCTCGGCTCGTACCTCGGCAAAGCCTCCTTGACAGCTGAAAGCGTGGCAATCAAGCGGGTAAAAGATCGAGCGAGGCGGCAAAGCCACTCCCTCGCTTATGCTTCGTCCACCACCCGAGCCTGCCCGAGAATGACTGTTCAAGATCAGGGCAAGTCCCCACAGATGCATGGCTTGCATCCACATCCCCCCCTTTTGTTCGTGCCTCGAATGTTCCTGGCAGCCATCGTCATCGTCCATCACGAACACCACCAATCAAGTCGTGACACCTTATTTACCCAACAACAGGGTCAAGAGAAACCAATTGGATTTGGATCGGAGAACGAAATGAGCCTGGGAATCGCTTGGCTCTTGGGGATGAGACCAGTGACATAGCTAAAAAAGAGTGGCATTCGCGGCATTTGCAGTGGATCCGCACTTTACGCTGTCATTGAGGCGACAAATGCGTCATACGCCGGCTGGTGAGCTACAAGTTCCAAGCAGGCTGTCGTAGGCTGTATCAGTCAAGGGAGCTTCGATGGGTGGTCCCGGCCCCTTGCCTTCAGACACGGGAAGCTAGAAATGTCTATCCAGTGCGAAGATGCCGCTTATGACTTAAGACCGAGTTTTCGGGCTTCAGTCTGGCTAGGCGAGCCGCAGGCATGAGCATCGAAAGTGACTAGCGAAGGCATGACTCCATCCACGTTCTCGCGCTACGACTTGGTGACGTCTCGGATCTCAATCTCAAGGTCCATTGCCATTAAGCGAAAGTCTGGACGTTGTTGCTTGACTATCAATCTAACCGAGTGACTTAGACCGTAGAAGCATTGGCCGTTAGCCTCAATCTTGCTCTCCTTGCCACCGTCCACCGTCAGGCGAACGGGAACGGTGGCTTGTACCTCAACTCGTGACTTGGTGACATCAGGAGGCTCCATCAGTCGCCGCGGCTGCTCAGCTTACTTTCCGATCGACCACCTCATGCTCCTTCTCCCATCAACCGAGGACCCTGCTCGGCTCCCCTTTGGCTCATCCTTGCCCTAGCACCCTCGCATCGTTGCGTATCGCACCTTGGACTTTAAATCGCGAGCCTTTGTGCGTCTGCGCTGCGGCTGCATTTCTGCATGGCACACATGAACTGCCGCCATCTGTCACCATCCGTCTTACTGAGCCCATCTGTACACCGCTTTCGTTCCATGATATCCGTGAGCTGCACGACGAACGAATCGTGGCTGACACGGAGCTTCTTTGCACCCATTCGAAACATGTACAGTGCAGGAGGAACGTTTGCATGGGAAAAGGTACCGATCCATTCGCTCCAGTCGAACCTTTCCCATGGACAGGTTTCGCCCAGTCTCAAACTCCGCAAGCACTTTTGCGTGCCAAAGCGAAGAATGACGAGAGCAAAGGGTCCAAGAGACAGGGCAAATCGAGATTGCACCTGTCACGTTTGGCACCCAAGCGAAGGCGGACGGGGCGCGAAAGAGGGCGGATGCATTGCATTAGCCCTCTGAATGCATTGAGGGATCAGCACTGCAGACAGACAGGCAGACAGGCAGACAGCATCCACGGCTGCTTGCTGCTTGCGGTTGTGGGCCCGTCTGGAGACAAACGGCTCGAAATGTCTAGAAATTTGTCTGACCATATTTTGATACTCCGCTCTCCAAAATAAAGGGTGGCAGAAACCCACTCTTGGCTCCTTGTCGCCATCAGAGATAGCTGCACCTTAAGCGCTGCGGAGTCCAAGGCGGGCATTACTTTCCCATGCCTTGGCCGTGGCTTTTGATCGCGATGCAACGGCCGCCACGGCTAGTAGCAGCAGTAGCAGCAACAGCGATAACCAACTGAGACAGTGTTATGAGCGGCACGGCTCATCTAACGTCACCGGAACCGTCTTTCTTCTTCTTCTCCCTATGAAATGTTCCGAGAACGCGTCCCGACCAAGACCTGCAGCTCGTCCAGCTTTACCCGCCTCTGCTCTTCGACGGCGACGACGACAACGGCAACGGCAACAATCTATCCCGTACCCAAGCAGCGTCAGACCCAGTACCACCGACGCGATAGATCCTCAAGCTCCGCTCGTGGCGGTTGAGCCGCTGACGGAGCCACATTTCCCCTTAGATCTCTGCTGCGATGTGATAGTGAGAAGGTTCGCTGTTGCTTGCCTGCCTGCTGTTGGACAGCATGCCCAACAACACTCTCCTCTCGCCCATCTCCGCTAGCCGCGATATGGCAACGTCGGCAGAACAGCGCATACGTTCGGCTCACGCCTGACGTGTCCGACAGCGCCATCGGTCCACAACTTGAGTTACATATAAGCAGCCTTCAATCGCACCTCGTCCCCATCGTTGCTCACCACCCTCCTCCTCCTCTCATTCTGCTTCCCTATCCCCTCCTGACCCCCACCCCAGCACCTCGTCTATATCCCCCCTAAGGCTTTGCTTTGTGCTTGCCTCTCCACTCCTGTCCCTCTTCGTCTGTCTGCCTTCCCCCTTTCCACACACAATATCACGATGACACGCACATTGTTGGTCCTGGTCTTTGCCTGGGCTCTGTTGGCTATTGCAGCCTTGCCTATGACCACACAAGCAGCCCCAGTGCCGCAGCTGAACATTCTTCCCTGGCTCGGGCTTGGAGGTGGTAATGGCAAGGCCACAAAGTCAGCCGTCTCGACGACACGCCCTGTCACCACAACTTCGAAACCCACTAGCACGTTGAAGCTCGCCACCGTCGCTGCTGCAGCCACCTCACCCATTACCACAGCCTCCAAGGCGGCTACCACAAGCATCAAGGCCTCCACTACCTCCTCGTCCACCGCAAGTCTCCTCTCTCCAACAGCGCCAGTGACTAAGCTCGCCGCCTCCACAGGCAAGATCCGAGGTGTCAACCTGGGCGGTTGGTTCATCTTGGAAAACTTCCTGTCGCCGAGCGTGTTTTCGGCTGCGCAACAGGCCGGTGGCTCGGGCGCCTCTCTGCCCCAGGACCAGTGGGGCTTCATGACGACCATCAACAACAACGCAAAGGCTTTGCAGATCCTGCAGCAGCACTGGTCTTCGTTCATTGTCGAGTCGGACTTTGCTCAAATCAAGAGCCTCGGTCTCAACACTGTTCGTATCCCTGTGCCCCACTGGGCCTTCACCAACTCGAGCTCTGAACCTTACCTGTCTGGAGCCGAACTGCCTTACATCGATCAGGCGGTCTCGCTTGCAGCGCAGTACGGTCTCGATGTGATGCTCGACATGCACACCGCACCTGGTAGCCAGAACGGCTTCGACAACAGCGGTCACATTGGTGCTATCAACTTTGGCAGCAGCTCCGACAACGCGAACCGCCTCTACGACGCGCTCACGGCCATGGTAAATCGATACGTCAACGACGGCAAGTACGGTGGTGCGGTCAAGTACGTCGAAATTCTCAATGAGCCCTTGTGCAACGTCTTGGGTGGCGATTACGTGGCCAGCGTGTACCAGACGGCTGCGGCCCGTGTCAATGCTGCCATCAGCGGCTCATCCAGGCCACAGATTGTCTTGCATGACTGTTTCGCGACGCCCTTGACCAACTTGGGTCCCTTCGTGTCCGGCAGCGGTCCTCTCGCCGGCACGTCCTTCATGATCGACACGCACCGCTACCACGTCTTTTCGCCACGCCAGAACCTCTCCTTCCAGCAGCACGTTTCTTTGATCAAGCAGGACGGGGACGACATTGCCAGCGCCACCAGCAGCCTCGGCCGCCAGGTTGTCACGGGCGAATTCAGTCTGGCCATCAGCTGTTCTGACTGCCCCACTGGATACTCGTCCACTGTCACCGCTGCGGACGTGGCCAAGCTCAACCGCCAGTTCTTCGAGACCCAGACCGTGGCCTACGACCGAGGCGCTGGCTGGATCTTCTTCAACTGGGCTGCCGAAAACAACTGGCCGTGGTCGTTCAAGACTTCGTACAACCTCAACTGGATCCCCCAGAACATCCTTGCGCAGGACGAGGCTTTGTAAATCAAGGCGGCGTCGAGGTCGATACTATCTCTCCCTCCGCTAGCTTGCATTCTCGCACAGGCATTTTCACCGCACACCCCCCAGCATATTCCTTGTACAGTATCTGTAACGACTTAGCATGATCTTTTCACACATGTTCGAAACGCAACGAACTCTCCATTGTCATGATCATCGCCTGCAGCATTGTGTGCGACCTCTTCTGTCAGCAGCAAAGAACATCATTCGAATCAAGAGCAAAGACGATCGACGGTGCTGAACAAAGAGATCAAGCGATCTGACAAGCTCAAATCGAGCCAGGCCAGCACCACGCGCCTTTGACCTTTTTCATATTTTTTGCCCTTTGTGAAATGAAAAAGAGACAGGCTGCTGGAAAGAGTCACGCTCGGACCCGTTTCTCATCGTCTCTCTGCTGCGCTGCTTTAGTCAACTGTACCGCCAGGAATAATCTAATCTCGCTCGAGAGGGACCCTTCCTCCTTCTCCTTTAGCTTCTGACCCACAACAACGATTTCGCAGCATCTTTGACGACAGGGCCAAGGGTCGTAATCGGATGTCTGCATCGTGACAAGAACCACCAGCTTCTTGCAGCCCGGCTCTCTGCTTTTCCAGCGCAACAGCTACGAGGTCGCCCCACACTCTCTCGTGACGACATTCCGCACCTACAGCGACGCCTTCTCGTCCACAGCACAGTCTGATACCTACTACTACGAGCTTCTGCTGCTGCTCGGATGGGCACACATAGGCCTCTCGACAGTTGTCAGCATGGCTCACCTTGCTGCTCACTTTGAGCCGCCCGAGGCGCGCCGGCCATCTTCGTCCTCCTCGCCCGCGCCGCACCCTTACATGGTCGAGGCCACGAATCGTGCCTCTTCATCTCGCTCCGCTCAGCAAAAGCAAAAGCAGACCATCTCGCAGATGTCGGACTCGGGGACCCTCACACGCAGCACCCATTGTGCCAATCATCTTCTCGATGATTTTGGTTCATTGAACAATCCTCGCGCCGCGTCGGGAATGGATGCGGACACTCAAGCGGAGGAGGAGGACGATGCCTCGACAGCGAGCGGGAAGCGCCACGGTGCGCTTCTTGTGGAAGAGGTCAACGAGTGGATGCTCCAGCACTCTTTCTTCCACTGGGGTCTCAAACGACACATCACCCACGGCAACCCCAAACCTAGAGACGAGAGGGACCTTCCGGACTGGCGAATGCGCGAGCGACTACGAACCGTCACAGCTGCGCTCGTCATGTGTCTCAACATCGGCGTCGACCCTCCTGATGTCTCCAAGACCAATCCATGCTCCAAGCTCATCTGCTGGATGGACCCAAGCTCGCTCGAAGTATCAAAAGCACTGCCAGCCATCGGTCGCAACCTGCAAGCGCAGTTCGAGACGCTCAGCACCAAGACACGTTACAAGCAGTACCTCGATCCCATCGTCGAAGAGACACGGCGCTTCTGCACCACTTTGCGAAGGGCAGCCAAGGACGAACGCGTGCTGTTCTACTACAACGGCTACGGTGTGCCCAAGCCGACTCCAGGAGGCGAAATCTGGGTCTTCAACAAGGCGTACACGCAGTACATTCCCGTCACACTATACGACCTCCTCACATGGCTCGGAAGCCCATGCATCTTCGTCTGGGATGCCAGTGCTGCTGGCAATGTCGTCGTCAACTTTAAACGTCTTCAAGAGAGAAAGGCAGAAGAGGAGGCCACACGCTCGCAACGGGACAGAGATGGCCACACGCGTTCCAACGACCGCGACCGTTCCAAGACAAATGCCGAGGCATCATCATCTGCCAAGAAGGCCGGCACGGATCCCGCATTTACGGAAGAACCGCACTTCCCACTACGCGAATCCATCCACCTTGCCGCTTGCGGTCCTGACGAGGTGCTACCGATGAACCCAGATCTGCCAGCTGATCTGTTCACCTGCTGTCTCACCTCTCCGATCGAGATCTCCCTCCGCTGGTTCGTGCTTCAGAATCCCCTGCCTTCCAAACTCAACGTCGACATGGTCATGAACATCCCCGGTCGATTGCAGGATAGACGGACACCGCTCGGTGAACTCAACTGGATCTTCACCGCCATCACCGACACCATCGCATGGACTGTTCTGCCGCGCACCATCTTCCGTCGTCTCTTCCGTGACGATCTCATGGTAGCCGCGCTGCTCCGAAACTTCCTCCTCGCGGAACGAATCATGCGCTTCTACCACTGCACACCGATGAGCCATCCCAAGCTCCCGCCGACACACAATCATCCGCTCTGGGACAGCTGGGACTTGGCCGTCGACCAGTGCCTTGCTCAGCTTCCGGCGTTGCTTGCCAAAGAGCGAGCGCAGGCCGAAGCGGCCGAGGGTGGGCCACCCGTGCCGCCTCATCTGGCGTCATTTGAGTATCGTCACAGCACGTTCTTCAGCGAACAGCTCAAGGCATTCGAGGTGTGGCTCCAGCAGGGAGGTGTCAGCCGGAAGGGCAGGAGACGCCGCGTCAACGCCGCCATCACGCCACATGGCAACCCATCAGCGGGTTTATCGTCCGCAGCAACAGGTGCGGACCCAGAAGCCTTCGATGACGACGGAGACGTGAGCCCAGTACGCGAGCCCCCTGACCAATTGCCCATCGTTCTGCAGGTGCTGCTATCGCAGGCGCATCGTCTGCGCGCTCTCATCTTGCTCAGCCAATTCCTCGACCTCGGCCCGTGGGCAGTCAACATGGCGCTCAGCATCGGCATCTTCCCCTACGTGCTCAAGCTTCTGCAGAGCCCTGCCGCCGATCTCAAGCCCGTGCTTATCTACATCTGGGCGCGCATCTTGGCAGTCGATCGCAGCTGTCAGAACGACCTGCTGCGGGACAATGGCTTCATCTACTTTGCCGGTGTGCTCAGTCCTTTCCAGAACAACAATGTCGGCCAGAACGCCGGCGGTGGCGGTCCGTCCATCCCCATTCCCAACGTCTCGGAGCATCAAGCCATGTGCGCTTTCATTCTGGCCGTCTTCTGCCAGGACTTCCCAGCAGGGCAAGCAGCATGCTTGGAGACGGACGTGATGCACTCGTGTCTGGAGCATCTCGAGGACGACGATTTCCTTCTGCGGCAGTGGAGCGCACTCTGTCTGGCGCAGCTGTGGGACGATAACGAGGCCGGCAAGGCGCGAGCCATCTCGCTCGATGCGCACGGCAAGCTGTGTTGCATGCTCGGGGACGTCTCGCCCGAGGTCCGAGCTGCGGTTTTGCACGCGCTCGGCACACTGCTCGGTGCGAGCGGTTCTAGCCAGGACCAGGTCGACATTGTCTCGTACACGAGGGGCGAGCCAGTCCCTGTCCCCAACAGCAACCGACCCGCCTCGCCAAGACGCTTCTGCCCCGGCACTGGCGCTGCCACCGGTCTTCCACCAGCCAAGCAACGGGGGCTCGAGATTGGCATCGCCACTGCTTTGCTGACGACCAAGGGGGATTGCAGTCCGCTAGTTCGCAAGGAGCTCGTCATTGCACTCAGCCCAGTCGTGGCGGAGTACAAGGGCTTCTTCGTTCTCGCTGCTTATCTCTACTATCTGAGGGAATCCAGCTTGCAGAATCCTCCATCGCAACAGGATGCAAAAGCGTCGAACTCACGCACAAAAGCAGGGCTGGCATCGGGCAGCGACACTCGACGCGGCTCGCTGGCCTCCCTGGGCCGAGGCTCGTCAAGCAAGAGCGTTTCCGGACGATCTGCAGGCGCACTCGCAAACGAGGAGGCGCTTCTTGCTCGTCTCGCATCCAAGCTCCTGATCGAGCAAGAGATCGAAGAAGAGGATATCGCCAGCATCCCCGCGTTTATGACCATCTTTGTGGCGCTCCTGGATCTCAGCGTCGACTCAAATCCCGAGGTGGCCAACCTAGCATGCACGGTGGTCGACTTCGTCATTGCTCTGCTGCTCGAAAGCAACGTCTCCAGCGCTGGTGAGAGCGTCTTGAGAGGCTTTGGAGGGGCTGAGGTCATTTCTCGATTCACGACACCGACCAGCACCGATGCCGCGCTTGAGGGGTATTTCCCACTGACACCCCGATCTACTGGGACTACACCCGGCTCCATCGATGAGATGTCGACGTCGCAGATTGCTGCACTCAATGGTGCTCATGTCCCGCCTTCTGGCTTTGGCACGGGTGGTTCAGGACCGGCTCGACCAGGACAGATGGTGCGGGCGCAGTCGCAAGCAGCTCCCAAGCGCTCATCGACGCTCGCCCAGGCAGTTAAGACGTTTGCTACGCTCGGCTATTCGCGACCCGCATCGCCTGTTGGATCGGACCACGACAGCATGGGTCGGCCTTTGTACGGAGAAGCAGGACCATCGGGCATCCCACCACCAGGACCAGCAGTTCTAGCACCACGTCGAAGCCCAGGCACAAAAGCAGCCGCGGCTCAGTACAATTCCCCCTACCTCATCAAGGGTGGAGCAGGTGGGGCTACGACTCCTTCATTGGAGGCGCCTTCCGCGGCATCGATGCCCTCTTCGCCGCTCAACTCGACATCGAAGCTCGGCAACCGCTCGCAGAGCGCCGAAAGCCTGTCGTACATCAACGGAAGAGCCGATCGCAAAAAGACCGCGAGTTCCTCCAGTGGCATCTCACAATTGCAGCAGTCTGCGAACGGCAACGGCAATGCGCACGACAGCAGCGCCGAGCACCACAACGGGAGTTCCCTTGATCAGCAGCGCTTCTACGGGGATGAGCTGGACACCGACCCGCATGTCGCGGTCGAGGACCATGTCAAGGTCGGAGATGCACTGGCCGGTCTCATCGCTATGGACATGTACCGCTTCCGGTCGCGCTTCACCGGGAGCGCGGATGGCTCTACGCAGAACACGCCCGCATCGTCACCCGCAGTGACTCGAGCCAGTCGATGGGGCTTTGTCCCCACTCCCGGCAGCAGTGGTCTCAGCACGCCATCTGGCTCCGTTGGCTCGAATGGCGCTGGCAACGAGCTTCGCGAGACACTCCCGCTCAAGAGCCGCCTCTTTGCGTGGTGCAGCGAGTACTACATCGAGCCGCAGATGAAGCAGGCGGAGAGCGAGGAGCCGGGCAGCATCAAGTACAATGTGCAACACTGGAAGAAGCAGCGCAACAGCCGGCTCACCGAGCACTCGCTCGAGATCGCCGACGCCGCTGCGCAATCCGCCTGGACCGAGCACGGCGGCTACATTCGCAACGGCGCAGTGCCGCACCTGATGCTGTTCCACCAGTACGAGAACCATCTTGTGACGGCGAGCGATCAGGACACGGTAGCTGTATGGGACTGGGAAGAGAAGCGGCTGCTCAGTCGGTTCGCCAATGGCAATCCGGCGAGGACCAACATCACTTCCGCGCTGTTCATCAACGAGGACAGCGACGCGATGCTGCTGGTCGGTTCGGCAGAGGGCAACGTGCGCATCTACCGCCACTACGACTCGCCTGCGCATACAGCCGGCTTCCGCGGTCCCGAGCTCGCATCGAGTTTCCAGGCGCTTCCGGACTTGGTGCGGAGCAAGCGACCGAGTGGACTTGTGGTCGACTGGCTGCAAGGATCGGGCCACCTGCTCGCGGGAGGTGACAGCCGCGTGATTCGAGTCTGGGACGCACACCGCGAGCTGTGCGTCGTCGACATCCCTACGCGCGCCTCGAGCTGCGTCACCTCGATCTCGTCCGAGTCGGATTTCGGGCACCTCTTCGTCGCGGGCTTTGGCGACGGTACCGTCGGTGTGTACGACCGCCGCAATCCACCGGAGGCCAGCCTCGTCCGGCTGTGGGAAGAGCACCAGACATGGGTGCAGAACGTGCACCTCCAAAAGCGCGGGTCGCGCGAACTCGTCACCGCGTCCGTCGATGGCGAGGTGCGACTGTGGGACATGCGCGTTCGCTCGTCCATCGCCCGCTTGAGTCTAGGTTCCAAGTTGGGCGGCAAGATGTCGTGCATGGCGGTTCACGAGCGCATTCCCTTGTTTGCTGTCAGTTCGGCACCGAAGCCGCTTCGTCCTAGTGCGTCACCTCAGACAGTGCTGCTGACGCACCTCGAGACGCTTTCGACGCTGGGCAAGCCCATTGTGCGCAACTTTGCACCCATGGGTTCCACCCAGCATCTGGGACATAGCACGCTGCTGTATCCGCCGGAAGCGGTCAACGCCGGCGCGGCGCATCATCATCATTTGCATCATCTGCACCATCCGGGTGAGACGCACCACGGCGTTGGCAGCGGCTTCCAGGCGATGCCGGGGAGCAATGGCGGTGCGGGGGGGAGTGGGATGTTGAACCCGACGAATCCGTTGCATACGTTGTTGCCACCCGCGACGGAGATTCAGCCAAGTAGTTTTAGCCCCGCAGTGGGGAGCATGGCGTTCCACCCGCACCTGCCCATTTTGGCGTTTGGAGGACCGGATAGCATGATCGAGCTGCGCGAATGGCCAGAGACGAGCTGAAATGCCATCAGATCTTTCCGCTTCCCGACTCGAGTGCTGTGTGAGGCCTATGGCGAGTTCTCAAGATCGATGGTCACACGAACACACACATAATGAGGAGGTGGGTACAAATACACAGGCCTTGAAGCCGATACGATTATAGCAAATGCAAAGATTCAAACAGAGATGGTCTTGAAGATGTTGAAGCCGTCCAAACTGGTAGTAGCGAGCATGCCGGGAACCTGCGGGTGCCAGTGGAGTTCCTTGCAATCCGTCAAACCGTGGTGGCAGAACAACAATTGGGGTGGGACATCCTTGAGACCTGCCTGGGCGGTCTCCTCGTCATCCTGTTCGACCGAGAGGTCCCAGAGCGTCACTTGATCGTCGCGACCGCTGGCGGCGAAGATGCTGTCCTCGGTTGGATGCCATTCGACCGAGCTAATGGGAGCTTTGTGCCAGTCGAAGTGCGCGACGGGCACCGGGGCGGACGAGTTGGGTTTGAAGTGTCGAAGGTCCCACACCTTGAGTCCTCCTTCATCACCACCCGAGACGAGAAGGTAGTCGGTGCCCCGATTCCACGAGATGACGTTGACATCCTGACTATGCGCCCCGTCAACAGAGATGACACTCCGACGGTTCTTCACCCTCACATCCCACACCCGAATCGAACGATCCGCGGAACACGACGCGAACACGGTCGGTTCCTTGGGCGACCACTGCAGGTCTTCGACGCTCGACGTGTGCGATGTGAACGGCGTAGGGTTGGTCGTGAACCCAGCATTGCCCGCGGTGGTGAGGAAGATCTTGCTGTGGATGTCACCCGTCAGCAAGCGGAGCGAGGAGGCACGATTGGAGGACGAGCCGCCGTTGACGACGCCCGCCCAGTCCATCGCGTAGCCCTCGACACCCGCGTGGGCTTTGATGGTGTGCAGCGGCGTGTTGACGCGACGCGAGTCGTAGGATGTGCCAGGTCGGTCGAGCGCGTTGAGAAGAGGTCGCACGTCGAAGATCTTGACATCGCCGAGTTCCGACCACGCAGCAACGGGGTATGGGTCCAAGCAGGGTTCGAGGTCGGATAGTGGGGTGGAGGTGGGTGCCGCGCGGATGCGGTTGATCCCGCCGGTGACGGGGATGGATTTGTATTCCAGGATTGCGTCGTCGTCCAGGTCGTTCTCGTCATCATCCTCATCGTCAGAGAGGCCTGCAAACGCGAAGTATGCGGGTCAGCGGATGTTCCATCGACAAGATGTGAGGCGGAACGGGGTGCGCGGGGTGTGTAGGCTCAGAAAGTAAAAAATTAGGTAGCTGAGATGTTGTCGGCATCGAGCTACGTCCAAGCCCCACAGGGGCAGGATACAGCTCATACAGCCAAATGCCTCAAGGCATCATTGCCGTACCACCCTTTGCATGTCCCTCAAGATGAAACTTACCATCGTCGTTCTGGGTCTTGTGCAGCTGGCTAGCCTTCATGACGTAGATCTCGTTGCGCGAGGCGGTGTCCGCCTGAGTGCCAGCAACCATGTAAGATGTGTGCGGGTAGCTCTGTCGATCGTTTCCGAGGTGATCCTTGAGATGGTCAAACGAGAGACACGGCCATGTGACGTTGAGACGGTGGAGCATCTCGTACGCGCTCTGGTCGGCTTCGAGCGTTTGGCCTTCTTCGAGCTTGTTGACACCAGGGATGTAGACCTGCTCTTCTGGCTCGGCAGCTTCGGCGTCGTCTTCGTCGGGGCGCTGGATCTTGCCGTCCACTTTGACGCCGTCGACCTCCATGGTCTCGGCGTCGTCATCGGAATCATCGGAGTCGCGAGCGGCGATGACAGCGTTGACATCTTCCTCGTCGTACTCGTCTTCGAACTGGTCTTCGAACTCGCCCATGTCGTCATCGCCGTCGGCATCCTTGACGCGGTTGAGTTGGGAAGGGGCCGAGGTGGTGGCCGCCTTGCCCTCCAACGAGGGGGAAGAAGGGCGTTTCGACATGCTGTGTGAGATGGGGGAGGGATGCGATGGAACAAGGTATAATGAAGATGCAGAGGGAGCAGGGGGTATATTTGGTGAGCCAGGGTGGGTAGCTGGATAGAAGAGGGGTAGGAAGAAGACTGAAGAGCAACTACGACTTTATGAGGATCAGCGACGCCTTCAAAAATTTCTTCTCAGAGCGAAGCTTCTTTCTGCGGCTTCGAGAGCCAAATTTTTGGTAAAAAAGAAAGGCCACGGATGAGCAGGTGTCACGCTCACGTAATTGTATACTTCGTGTTAGGCCCACCTGCCACGATAACCGCGAGGGTCGCTTCGAGGTCTTGGCTGACAGTTCAGCAAACTCAGAAGCCCGCGCCATGGCCGAGAAGACTTCGAACGTGCAGGCACTGACATTCTCAGCTCAGCCATGATTTACACGTTCGTATCACCATCCATTGCAATCCGCCACAAGTCACCAGTCCACCCTACCAACCACCATCACCACGCTCTTTTGGGCTCGACTGCCTCTTGACAACTGCGTGTCTTCGTCAAGCTCTTGTTTCCTTCGCGCACGAACAAAGACAGGAGCAACGACGCGATCACAACTCGATGCAGTCTCCGTGATTATCAACGATTCCACCAGCGTCAGCAGCTAGCTGTGGCCACCATCTCTTAGCGGACGCCAGCCATGTCGGGCTTCATCGCATTTGTGCTGATGGTGAGCGGCATGGGCGTCGGCACGCTCGTTTGCGGCCTCGCACCCCTTTCGCTGCCCTTATCGCACCGAATGATGCGCGTTCTCGAGGTCTTTGGAGCCGGTCTCCTCGTCGGCGCTGCGGTCACTGTCGTTATCCCGGAAGGTGCGAGCTCTCTATTCTCGAACATAGCACCGGAATCGCACGCAAGCGTCAACGCGTACGCAAACATGTTGCATCCTGCCGGTGCCGTCAAGCCATTCGCTCCACTCCAAGTTCAGACAATACCAACGCAGTCAGCACAAGAGCCATGGGCCTGGTCGTTCGTCACGAAGCGATCAGAAGAGCCTGCACATGATGGCGAACACGAACACCAGCACGAGCACGAGCACGATCATGCCAACGATGACCACGACCACAAGGGATTCTCCCAGTCAGACGCCGAGCATCGTCTCGGAAGCAGCATCCTCTTCGGCATCGTACTCATGTACATCATCGATCAGCTCACCTCATCATCGGGGAGCTCGTTGCCAGCACACAACGACAAGACTCAGCAAAACGGGTCTTCAAGTCACAATCACGACTATCCAACACGGCCGCGGCTGGAAACACATCGACTCTCCAAGTCATTCCACCACAAGAACGACCCAACAGCAACGCCCACGGGGATCCACAAGACAAGCAGCAGAGCCTCGTTCACCATCTTTGATCGATCACAGCACGGCATCGCCGACATCGACGAAGAGGCACAGCTCAGTTCAGCCAGCGCGCAGAATGCGTCCAGCCGCAACGAGCCACATAGGCGCATCGAGAGCGCAGCAACGGCTTCCAGCAGCAACAGCGATCAGGATCTGCCAGACGATTACGACACTCACGATCCAGAGCACTATCACCACGCCGACCTCAAACGCGTCTCGTCCGCGCATGGTGGCAACAACGAGTGGACCAGCTCGCCGCGCAGCAGCACCACGCTCAACCGCGAAACGCCCGGTCACGAGTCGTCCTCCCCTGGCGCACCCCTGCTGCACCGTCGCGACTCGACGAACAGCACCGGCAATGGTCGACCTGGTTCGAAGCGTAGCAGATCCATGTCGTCATCACAATCAGGACCGTCCAGTTTCGGGCAGGCCATGACGACGATCCTTGGTCTGCTGATCCACGCTGCCGCCGATGGAATCGCCATGGGTGCCTCCGCGCAATCAGGTGATCAGACCCTCACCATGGTCGTCTTTGTCGCCATCATGGTGCACAAAGCTCCCGCCGCCTTTGGGCTGTGTGCCATGCTCATGTCGCAGCGTCTCTCGCGCACCTCGATCCGCAAAGCCGTCGGCGTCTTTGCGCTCGCTTCGCCCCTCGGTGCTGTTCTCACATACTTGCTGCTCGCGCTGTTCTTTGACGCGGACGTCGCATCAGTTGGACCGGCCGCAGCGGAACCAGCGGGAATTGATGGGAAGAGCATCGGCACCGCCCTCGCCTTTTCGGGTGGGACTTTCTTGTTTGTTGCGTTCCACGCGGTGCTCGAGCTGGCGGGCGCCGAGGCGGATACCGTACCGCGGATGGGCGGCGACGAGGCGGGAGAGGTGCAGATTTTGGGTAAGTGGTTGAGGATCGTCTTGTTGATCGCTGGGTCGTGCACGCCGAGGTTGTTGCAGAGCTTGTTGGCCGCGTTGGGGGCTGGTGAGGGGCATCATCATTGAGGTGAAGGCGGTGATCAATTGTATTTGTACCTGTTGATGATCAGACACACCCTCATCATGATTGCGTCGAATGTGCAGTGGGCGCTGCTGTTGCTTTTGATTGCGTGAAGGTAAACTACAGATCCTGTTTCTCTGCCGCGGCTGCGTTGGTGCGTCTCCTGGCCTGGCCAGCCTCTGCTGTCCTCGACCCTGCCTGTGCTGCCGCTGCAGCCTTCTTCTCCTCCAACTCCTGTTCCACCTTCTCGACCTTTGCCTTGCTCAGCACCTCCTCCTCGCTCTTTCCGGGCCACAGATTCCCCACCGCCCCCACCACCGCAATCAACGTCCTGGAACAAACCATCTGCCAAACCGTACTACTAACTGCGCCCTTTGGAGCTCTCGGCAGGGCCAAGAACCACCCCAGCGGTCCAAACCAGCTATGCTCCCCTGGGGGCAACCAAAAGATCGGCGTCTTGCTATACCAGCTCGTCACTACAAAAGGCAACACCGTCGTCAGCACAAACATTACGCCTTTGAAAAGCATGTTGAACGTGCTGCGTGCGGTGCTCAGCGAGGCATTGGTGCGTTCGAGGTCCGCAAGGGACTTGTCGACCTTGCGCCGAAGTTTGGCCCACTTGGCAAACTGATCTTGCGAAGAGGTGGCGGCGAGCTCGCGTTTGGTAGAGAGGATGTCCCGACGGAGGGAGCGTTGGGAGGAAAGGGTGGAGCGATGGAACACGGAGGTGTAGAGGAACCAGAGGATGTCTTGCAGTCGCGACTTGCCTAGGAGGGTGATGGATTGGACCAGGAGGACCGAGAGGAGGATCACGAGCGCTGGATGCATCGTGCTAATGAGCTGCCAGACGATGCTGGGACGAGAGCCAGCGAAAGGGCGATTGGAGGATGAGTGGATGGTGTGGTTGAGGGATTCGATGGTGGACAAAGCACTCCTCGAAATTGACCCTTCTTCGCGTTCGGTGAGAGAGAGGAAATGCTGCCGGCCGGATGAGGTGGGCACCTCCACCCCCACGCCCAACACTTCTTCTCGTCCTCAAAGCTTCACTTCTTGGTACTCCTCGAAGTCCCATCATCACAGACCTTGCTTCGACCTCGCTCTAGATTGTTGCAGCCGCGATGCCTTCAATATGACAGACTCGGCTCCCGCCGCGAAAACGAAGGTCTTCCTTTGCGGCACGAACAGCTTCCAACACCTCCTCCCGGACCGCCAAGGACAACACGGCGGAGAGCTGTTCGGGCCGCACGACCATGCTTCGTCCATTCGTGCCACGTGTACATTCCAGACACTCTACGTCGACGGACATGACACAACTCGCGCTGTAGGAGAATCGAGCGACCTGCTCGAGAATGCGATCGGCCTGCTCGATGGAGCGAACGAGCTGGTATTTGTGGGTCAGGACATGGTGTGCGCTGTGATCGATGCCGAGGAGGACAGGTGCGTGTCTGTGAGGTATCAGGAGGAGAACGTGATTCTGGTGGAGGGATGCGGCTGGAAGATGGCGGCGGCAGACGGACGGGGGAGGACCATGGCGGTGGACCATGAGGGAAGGGTGCACCTGTTTGACTCGGCGGCGATGTTCGAGGCTGCGAGTGGGGAAGGAGTAAATCAAGAGGAGATGAGAACGAGAAGACGTTTCACGGCGCGATGGCATGGATCACAAGCGCAGGCAGACAAGGAGCTGGCCAAGCTGCCGAACTTCGAGAAGGTCTCTGCGGGCAATGCACACTTTGTGCTGCTCGCTCAGCCATCCGAAGGATCGCAACAGCAAGGGTCAAGAGTATGGACGTTTGGCGATGCCCGCTTTGGAGCAGTCCCACTGCAGCCCTTCGAGTACACCACCGTCGTCGGCAAGCTGCCAGACTCGGATGCATCGCCAGCAAGGCGCACCGATCCCACCGACGTCCCCTACCTCATGCCCGTCCCGCACTTCGACGCGGACCAGGGCTTCCCTTCGCGCATCGCGGACGTCTCTGCGGGCAGCCGACACACGCTCGTCCTCACTGTCGATGGCGACCTCTACGGATGGGGATGGAACGAGTCAGCTGCGCTTCTACCTTCCTCCTCCGGTAAATCATCGTGGGAGAACAACATCGTGGCCGAACCGACGCTCATACCCATCGTCGATCCTGCAGACCCCACTGCCGAGGTGGAGATCGTCAAGGTCGTTGGCGGTCACGAACGGTCCTTCGCAATCACTTCGACCGGTCGGCTGGCCATTGCGGGATCAAACGAGTTCAACACCCTCGCTCTCTCACAGAGGGATTTTGGGACAGTGGAGAAGAAGCCCCGCTTCGAGCGCGAGTTTAGCCAGATCAAGACCGAGTATGACTGCGTGAACGGCTTCCAATTGCATCCGTGGCTCGGGTTGCCAGAGACGGAGAAATCACTTCAATCTGCCCTATGGCATGGCTGTCGAGCTGGCGAGAAGGTGCTCGACATCCACACTTCCGCCTTTGGCACATGCATCACGCTCGAAAAGTCATAAAATGTATTATACAGCATTGTAGCAAAACCTAAGCATCCTTCATCTCGACGTCTGCAGCACCGGCACCAGCGCCGGGGGTTTCGTCCTCGAACGTCGTCGCTGGCACCGAAGCGGCGAGGTCGGCGGTGAGAAGCGTATCGTCCTGGTCGGCGGGCTGTTCGGCCTCTGCACCCTCTGCGAGGGCTTCGAGCTGCGCATCGGTCGGAACGTCTGCTGGGAGGGGCTGGTCGTGCAGCTGCGACTCGACCTGAGGTTGGACTTCCGGTTGCGGTGACGGCTCTTCCGGCGATGCGACAGGTTCCGTTGCTGCGGTAGCTGCGGGAGTGTTGGCGATGGAGTCCGTTGGCGTGTTGTCCGCAGTATGGATGCTAGATGTGGGTTCGGAGATGGTGTTCATGTGCGGAGGGATGGCTGATGCTGGCGCAACCGGTGCGGGTGTAGGCGGCTCTTTGGGAGCAATGGTCCCGAGACCACCTCCAACACTGGAAAGGGAGCCACCAACGGGAGCCGCGACCACGGGCGCATTGTGGATGCTCTGCACGGGCACCTCGACGATCGCTGCATCATCCGCAATGCGGTCTTCCGCCAACACGTCCTGCTCTTCGGGGAACACGATCGGGTCTCCGGGAACGCGGACCCATTTGAGGATCTTGACATCTACACTGGCTGAGGTTGAGGCAGTACCGTCGGCCGAAGTACCTGTGGGAAGCACCCATTCCTGACGCCATTTGCTGCGAATCAGGGGAAGGTGAACGTCAATATGATGTTGGATGGCAGATCATGAGAGGAGCAAGCAGACTTACGCGATGGGCTCCACAGCCTGACGACGCACCTCGTGCTCGATGTTGGGTACGAATCGTCCGCCGAATCGAGACATTGCTGGTTCGAGTATGTGGTGCAGCGGTGAGAAGTGTTGGATGGAGGTGCGCAACACCAACGCGTTGGTGAACAGCTGCAGCTCGAGCAAAGCGGCGGGGCCAAAATTAGCCGCGTTCCGAGTTTCGGGCGCGCTCTTTTGTTCTTCTCATCTTTCAACAGACTCTGCTTAAGAAAGAAGAATACTTCTCAGACATCCATCGCGGCATGATCAGACTGAAGCTGAAGCATCTGTGTCAAAGACGGTGTGGTTGCATTAATGATACATATGCTCACGGCCAAAAAGAAGCGCATTTAGAAGTACACGTATCCGCGCCGTGCCAATGCGGATCGATCGTGTGGCATTCTTTGCAAGAGCCAATGGAAGGCGAGTCCACGGATTATGCCCTTGCAAAGGTGATTTTGAGCTTGTCACCAGCACCAAAGTTGTAGCCGTTGAGTGCACCTCGCGCCGTAGCGCTGGATGGGATGTCGGAGAACTCGACGAAAGCGATATCCGCCTTGCCAGGAATCGTCTGTACATCGACATAGCCCGAGTAGGCGGAAAAGAGGCTCTCCAGCTCGCCCTTGCCAACACCATCCGGAATCTTTTGCAAGAAGAGCATCTTGTTGGGAGGCAAGTACTCGTCGGGCATCTCCTGTTGCGCCCTCTTGCTCGCTGCTGCCTTTTCTGGTTCGGCGATCTCGCCCGCAGCAGTCCTCTTTGCTCTGATCTTCTTCTCGAGCTCCCTCCTCCTCAACACGTTGCCTCTCCTTGCCATCTTCTTGTGCTCCAGTCTCTCCTCTTTGTGCTGCTTGAAGACGGCGGATTCCTCGCCGCCCTCGTCCTTTAGTGGCTGCAACACCACCGCATCCGACTTGGTCTTTGCAAAGCTGATCTTCATCGCCTTGCCGTAGAGCGGAAAGAGATGTGCCTCGCGCCGCGCCTTGTCTGCTGCTTGGACGTTATCGAGTGAGACGAATGCTTGTCCGCGCATGCGGAGGTTGGTGTGGGAGACGACCGAGAGCACGGTGCCGTAGTTAGAAAAGAGGTTGGTGAGCGTCGCCTTCATTGTCTCGAGCTTGACCTTCTCGTTGAGGTTCTGGATGTAAAGCGTCTGGCTAGCGTCCGATGGGAGAGGTGGTGGCTCGTCCGGCTCGCTCTGATCCATTGGTGCGCCAAACGGAGGTGGTGGCCCAGCATGCATTCCAGGCGGTGGTATTGAGGGAGGAGGCATCATCGGAGGCAGTACCCCCGCGCCGAAGGGAAGCGCGCCCGGATGTGACATTGGGGCCTTGGCGAATTCAGGCTGAGCTGAAGTTACCTTGCCTTCTTGACGATGACTTCGGCAAGTGATGGTGCTATGACAGGAGAAAGTAGGGTGCGAAGATGTGACCAAGGTTGGCAAGCTGCTCTCGGGACTCGGTCTGCTGCGCTGCGACGCGAGCGAGGCTGCTGAGCCAAAAAGTGTAAAATGCAGGCTGAAATGCAGCCCAAAACCCTGAATGTGGGTTAATCGTTCTCGAAACGCGTTGATCCCCATCTTCTGCTCAGCCATCCATCTTCCATCCACCCCTACCTGTTCTCACCATCAGCATTCGGACGCCCTTTCGACAAATAGCGCTAGCAGCCGCATTCACAGGACTGACCTCGAAGGACCCGGTAGCTCGTTTCTAGGAGCGCTTTCTTGCAAGGCGCATCTCACCATGTCGTCGCGTATCGAAAAGGGTGGTGCTCGTTTCAAGCCCTCCATCGTCCCAAGGCGGTCGGCTGGAGGCGCCACAGCCGCGACCGCAGCATCGCAACCCAGCTCTCAGCAGCAGCAGGGTGCATCCACGTCGGCCGTGCCTCCGCCCTCTCCATCACTCACAGCTCGACACCCCAAACCTCCCTCCGTTCGCTCCAAGGGATCTGCCGCTGCAGCACTAGCGTCACCCGCCTCGCAGCAGTCCATCACGCCGAGCAAATCGCAGAGCTATGCATTCAACGTTTCGCCTTCCGTCATCTCAAAGCCCGGCGCCGCGGCGACTCCACGTGCCGGCATCGCGGCTGGCCAGGCTTCGACCAGCACCTCAGCTGCAAAGCCCGCCTTCCGCAAACCCTCCGTATCCAAACCTCGTCCAGGCTCCAGAGCTTCGCTTACCCCGGCACCTCAATTCACACAGCCAGCCGCACCAGCCTCGGCCATCACGCCCGCTCGGACTTTGCCTTCGGTGGTTGAAGGCAGCTCTGCTCCAGCCGATGCAGAGATTGCCAATGTGTCGACGCGTGCGAACCTTGCACCAAGTATCGGAGCGTCGCGGAGCACTGCCGCTGGACCCATGGATGATGCTGCTGCTCAGACCGCAACAATCATCGACAAAGCCTCGCAGCCAGATCCTGTCCAGGCTCCGCAGCGATCCTCTCGGTCCAGAGGCGCAAGCTCAGTTCAAGCCCAGGCGGCTGCTACAGTCAAGGAAAGCGCATCCCAGCAAGAATCTGCTTTACGTCCGTCTCAGGCAACCAACCAGCCATCCACGACGGTAAATGAAAGCAGCGCACCCGCTCCGAGCAGAAAGGGCAAAGCTCGAGAGATCGACAGTGCAAGCGCCGTCTCGAAAGCGCCCGCTCCTTCTCAAAGCGTCAAGGCCGGCTCGCAAGTTGTGACCGCCGAGAGCACGCAAACCGCAGAACACAAAGCAGCAGAAGCCTCAAAGCGCAGGATTCACGCTGCTGCGCGTCTGCAGAAACGGCGTCTCAAGCGCAAGGAGCTGTCCACCGGCAAGCCCAAACGTCCTCTCTCCGCCTACCTTCTCTTCGTCAACTCGGTGCGTCCAGCACGACAAGCGCAGAACCCAGACATGCCTGTCACCGAACTCACCGGCGAGATCGCCGCGGAGTGGCGCGGTCTTTCTCAAAGTCAAAGAACCAAATGGGAGGCAGAGGCGTCTTTGCTACGACAGCAATACGATTCGGCACTCGAATCATGGAAGCTCGCTCATCCTGACGGCGTCACGCTCAACTCGGACGACGAGAGTGGCATGGAAACCACGTCGGAGATCGGCGAAGACGGCGAGCCAATCCGTCGCAAGAAGCGCCGCATCACAGCCTCACGCAAGCCGCACACGGTCTCGGATGATGAAGATGAGTATCGCAAGCAAGTGTATCAGGAAGGAGAGTCACTCGACAGCAGCCGCCTCGACCCAGCCAACGTCACCATGGCAGATCTCAGCACGGTCGAATACAAGAAAGGTCGCGCCGGTCCCCGAACCTTCGAAGCCGACCGCGTCTACAAGAGGCTCGTCAACGATCGACGCGCCGCTGGCAAAGCGGCTCTTCTGGGCGAGCACGTTCTGGGCGAAAAAGTCAACAATGCTTCGCCTTCACCTGCCCCTGCGGCCAACATCATTCGCACCACCAACGGAGTGCCAGTCGCTACCGGCGCAGAAGAGAGGCTCGACGGCGAAGAAGAGATCGTCGGCGATCAGACAGGTGACGAGACATCTGGGGTCGAAGAGTCGGCACCCGAGACCGATGCGGACGATGTCACGGATGGAGAAGGCGCTTCGAGCAGCCGACGTCGCCGCAAGAATCGAGAAGCTTCCGTCGCTGCTACCGACGTCTCGTTCCGCGAGAACCGCTTCGCCGTACAAACGCGTATCGTCGATGGCAAGATCGTGCTCGACGAGACCTCGCTCTTTGCCAACTACGGCAACGGCGAGGAGGATCGCGATAACATGGAAGTGGTCGACGAGCGCGAGGGCGATCGCTTCGTCAACGCCTCTACGTACTCGCGCAAACTTGGGCGGAACCGAAAGTGGTCCTTGGACGAGACGGAGAAATTCTACAAGTCGCTGCAGCAGTGGGGCACCGACTTTGAGATGATCGCTCGCCTCTTCCCAGGTCGCGACAGGGTGACGATCAAGAAGAAATTCAACGTGGAAGAGCGAAGCAATGGCAAGTTGGTCGATGCAGCGCTTAAGAATTCGCTACCGGTCAATCTCGAGGCGTACGCGGAGGCCATCGGGGTCGATCTTTCGGGTCCGCCTCCCGAGATCAAGGCCGATATTCAGGACATCGAGGCGCTCGCTGCTGCTTCTGCCACGAGCGACGCCGCGATCAAGAAGCGAGAGGCCACCGCTCCGCTCTCGGGCCGCAAAGGCGACCGAAGCGATGTTGAGCAGGATGACGGCGACGATGGCTATGAGTACGAGGAGGTGGTTGAGATCGACGACGATGGCAACGAGCAGGTGATTCGACGCAGGCTTGGCAAGAAGCCAGGTAGCAAGGCTGGAAAGAGGCGACGCAACTCTACGAGGAAGGCCTCGGTCTCAACGCCCGCTCCCGCTGCAGCATCGGCGGCAGCGTCTGCCGCACCCTCTTCGTCCGCGTCGACGACAATCGCCGGGAACTCCGCGGCGATGGACGCTGCAGCACCAGCCGAGCCGAGCGCAAGCGCGGATACGGGGAAAGCTGCCAAAGGGAAGAGCAGCGCACGGTCACGCGAACCACCGTCGATCGGCAGCCGCAAGAGCACCAGAGCCACTCGCAAACGTGCCACTTCGATCAACAGCAGCAAGGAGGCGCCGGGCGACGGTAGGGAGGTCGAGGAGATTGTTGGCGAGCTTTGAAGCGCGGTCCCAGCGAGACTGGACGGACAGCCTCGACTCGCTTGTTCTTGAATTGCAAGCAGCCTCGCAGCAGGATCTTCAGCGGAGAGCCTGGACGACTGGACCCCAGACATCGGCTTTGTACGGCCCACTCAGCGTCACGGCACCCTGTAGTCACTGGAAGCATTCGTCAAGCGAACACGAAGCATCTCCCTTGAATTAGCGTACGATCTGCCGACTGTCGATCCCGTGACGAGAGAGATTCGCGGCGAATGAGCAGCCCTAAGCGAACCTTGAGCGATGGGCGGGTTAGCGCGATTCCTGACTAAAGGGTGCGGATCTGGATCCGCGAGCGGGACTCAGAAGTGGATCGCCATCGTTTGTCGGTTTTACCCCGCAAAGCGTCAGTGTTCTCTCGCCAAGTGGAGGGAATCTTGAAAAAACGTCACACAAAAGCCGGCGATCTGCGCACGTACGAATGCACGTCAAAGAGTCCCCACTTAGCCGATTCGCCGCACAGAAGCATGCGAGACACCTTCTACGCACAAGCGCAGCGGCGATGCGGTCAAGCGGAGCAGCGAACGAGTTGCCGTTCGCCCGCCTACCAGCGCTACTCATGGGAAATCTGCATGGTTCGTGCGTAGCAAGTGCTGCTGCAGCACTACGTGACACAAGATGGCGTGCCCAAAAGGTGACGGATGAGGACCCTTCTTGGCTGATCTCATGCCCCGTCAAAGGTTGCTGAGGCAGCAAAGCCGAGGTGGAGAAAGGGATCTGCAGGGCTTTCTTCTCGTTGATGCACAGACAGATGCCGTGCTGGTGTGCAGGTCAACGGCCTCTGGCCTGGGTGGCTCTGCAGACCCGGGCAATGGTAGGGCCATGCTGCACGATCGTATATAACCGCGCACTGTGCCACGTACTGTTCTCGGTGCAACTCACCTTACCATCCACCCTCCTCACAACGTAATCATGTTGGTCCTGCAAAATCTGCTCGCCCTCCTACCGCTCGCCGGCCTGGCCTCGGCCGCGTCGATCCGCCTCGACGCGCGCAACAACGGCGGCTCCTCTGGTGTTGGCAGCATCTCGTACGCCCAAGGCCCCTATGGCCTTCACAACGCCCGTTGCGAGCAAGTGACCCTTCAAGTGCCCGTCAACATCGAACTTTCCAACTTCACCTCTGTGCGCAACCAGTACGACACGCAGTCGTACATCACGCGTCAGATCATCGACTTCTCCCTGGCCCCCGCCAACTGGACCGCGCGTCATGGGCCTAGCACCACAGAGAAGTTTACGCTCAATCGATCGTTCCAGATCAACGGCTACTACTGTACGCCGATTCAGGGGGCTCGGGAGGGCAGTGCGCTGTGGAACCTCGTCCACGGCATCGGCTTCGACTCCAGCTACTGGGATTACACGCTCTCCCCCGAATACTCGGTCGTTCGTCACGCCGCCAGTTACGGATATAGCACCTTCCGCTACGACCGTCTCGGCACGGGCGCCTCGGAAACCCCCTCCACGGGCGGATTTGATGTGCTTCGCGCCCAAACCGAGGTAGCCATCTACCAAGGTGTACTGCAACAGCTGCGAAACACCAACAACGTTGGTGGCAAGCAGCATTCCAAGATTGTCGGTATCGGTCACTCGTACGGCTCGGTGCAGACGCAGGCGGTTTCGATGATGAGCCCGGAGTTGTTGGATGGTGTGGTTCTGACGGGTTACACGACCAATGCTACCAACCTCCCCGGGTATCTGCACGCCGCTGCGTATCAGATTGCCAAGAACACCCTCAGCCAGCTCTCCAACAAACCCCCCGTTTGGCTGGCGAGTGGTAGCGAGGCGGGCAACCAGATCGCATTCTTCTACCCACCTTACTTTAGCGATGCCTCGTTCCGTCTGGCGCGCGCCACCGAACAGCCCGTCACCCTAGGCAGTCTGTTTTCAATCGGCGCCGTCGGTGGACCGTCCAACTTCACCGGTCCAGTGCAGGTGGTCAACGGTGCGAAAGACTTCATCTTTTGCAGCAGCAACTGCTGGGGTGGCCCCAATGGTACCGCCATCCCCGATGGCGTCAAGGAGTTGTATCCTCAAGCGAAGAACTTTACCAGTTACATCGCTGAGAATACCGGACACGGGATCACGGCGCACTATGCCCAGCCGATGATCGCTGAGGAGATTGCTAGGTGGATTGCTGACCAAGGACTGTAAGCGGGGCTCTCGTCAGTCTCCCGATTAGGCCGTCGTCATCAAAAGGTGATAATGTTTTCGAAATGTACGATTCTGCCTTCTAATGTTTCTGTGTGATGCTCGCCGTGTGATGTCTGTGTGAGTCCGAGTGGGGCTACAACTTGGACTCCTTCGGCAGTTCGACGAGCAGCTTTGCCAACGGCTCCCGCACCGCTTTTGGCATCTTGACCGGCCTCCTCGTATGCCTGTCGACGAATACGTGTGTCGATGTGATCACCGCTGCCGTTTGTCCCCCTTGCTCGCCGATACTCGCCTGGTAGGTTACGGACGAGGTGCCGAGCTTGATCACTCGCATCCCCACGTCCAGCGGGGCGGGAAAGGAGGCCGAGGCAAAGTAGCGACAGGAGTTGCTGATGACCAGACCGACGATCGAGGCTGCGTCTACGTCGTTCGATTGCGGGGCTGGGGTGTTTGAGGGGGTTGAGGGTGCGGCGACCGATTCCTCACCCGGGCTGGTGGGCGTAGGTGGTTTGGCCGGGATCGTTGGCGCGCTGGTCGCCCCAGTGGAGGAGGCAGATGGTGGCACAGAGGGTGAGGAAGTGGCAGAGGGATAAATGAATGGCTGAATCCCGCACGCGTTGACCAGATACGCATTGATGATGCTATCCGCAATGAGGTAGTACGACGAGTTGTTGAGGTGGCCGTACCTGCAGCGCACATCGCACACCGCACAGGACGAGAAAGTCAGGAGAAGGTGTGGCAGACGATATAAGCGAGAGAGCGGGTAGGCGAAAGGTAGGGGGCAACATGTAACTCACTGGTCGTTGTCCAGCCATCGCGTCTGGTAGGTCACCTTGTGCGGCCAGACGCCTTGTGCTTCTGCCATCGTGGTCGTCTTTGGTGCTGTCTATGCCTTCCTGTGCAGAGCGCTGTCGGGATTTCAATATGGTTGACTTCGTTACACGTGGTCGATGAGCGATGTTCGATAACGATGATGGTGATTGGTGAAGATTGGCAGGACGAAAGATGGGCAAGTGGGTGTGATGTCGAAGAACCGGAACCGGCAGGCTCATTCGATAGCCGGCGTGTAACCCCGCAATAACGCTCGCTCAGACGAAAACTGCGCTAAAAAAAGCGGTCAAAAAATCTGGCTAAAAAAAGCAGCCGGAAATTCGTTCGAGCCTTGCTCACTCTTCGTCATGCTTTAGCTCATGCTTGCCTTGCCGTCTTGACCCTCTCGAGGCCTCACTGCGACCATCTCAATTTCTTCTGTCTCTCTCTGTCGTGTTCGCGAGCGTGGCTGGAATGTCTGGTTGATTGTAAAGTGTCTAGCGTTGGGGTATACAAAGTCTCGCATGAGCATGGGTATCAATCCAGAAAGGACACGAGATCAGCAGCCGATCGGACGGCCTTCGTCTCGCTCTCCGCGGGCTGGAGCGGGGTGACCATCATCGTGGCCCGTCCCTTCCTCGCGCCTATCGTCGCTGCCGGGAGAACCGACTTCCTCGCTCTCGGATGCATCGGCTTCCTCCCCGCGACAGGGCCCCTTTTGGGTGGAGCAGCGTTGAGCAGGGTCTGCGCCGCTTCGTCCAGTCTCGCTGCCGCCTTTTGCAGCACGTCGAAGGATCGCAGCTCGCGCTGTGCATCAGCATCGCTACCCTTGGGTACCTTGAGATTTCGGCACTTGACCTCGATGAGCTTGTGCACGAGGTAGCGCAGCCAGAGTACGTTGGTCGCTGGACAGTGAGCTGCCCACGAGTCCTTGGTGACCGTTCGCATCTCGCGGTAGACATCGAACTGCGGACCGCCAGAGCCTTCGAAGAGCGACTCGTCGTCAAAAGGGTAGTGAAGCACCTCGACGGACTTGCTCCGTTTGGCAGTGACGGGCGACGTGCGAGCGCGGGAGAGGGTAAAGTCGATGATCGTTGCTTTGACTCCAGATGCGCTGGGGTCGAGCAGCCAGCTTAGTCCGCCGCCGTCGTCATGGGCTTGAGAAGTAGTTGCAACGGCCTGCACGAGGATGTTGCCCCAGTGCAGATCACGATGTTCAAACTCGTACTTGGTCTCCATCTTGCCCAACCCGATTGCGACTTGCCGGAAAATGGAGGCAGCCTGGGACCAGGACCGGAGCTTCAAGCTTTCGAGATCCATTCCACCGTCGGTCATGACGAGCAGAGCGTAGACTTGCTGGCGGCCCAACACGTGGGGCCGGATGTTCTCCGCGCCTTCACCGGTCCTGACACGGCGTTTGGCGTCCCATCGGTCCCAAGCTTGGAGCAGCGGTGCTGGATAGGCTCCTCGGACGACATGAACTGCACGTAGCGAGACGAAAGAGTCTGCTACGCTGGCCTCGCGTCCGATCAGCTGCATCAGACGGATCTCGCGTTCAACATCGGCGGCCGGCGAGGTGTAGGGGAGGTCTTCGTTGTCGTTGTTGCTGATGCTTGACGATGAGATTGGGATGATTTTGAGCACGAGCGCTTCTTGTCGGTCGCTGTCAGCGCTCGTGTTGGATCGGGACGAAGAAATCTTGAAGACCTCGCTGTAGCTCGCTTCTCCAATCTTTTCCAGTCGTCGCTGCGAAGTGGAAGCCTTGCTCGCCCGCAGTTGCTGGATGACAGTTGAGAATGCCTTGGGCTTGGCTTGCGAGACCGCGGCAAGCAAGCCATCCAAATGATCGTCGATTGCCGTCGCATCATCTTCGTCTGCGACCGCGAGATCAGCCACTGCAGCAGCAAGCTGTAGAGCTGGATCTTGTTCGCTTTCGTCCTCGGATCCTCCTTGAACTTCATCCTCGTCGTCGCTGGTAGCAGCGATGCGTCGAGTGACTCGCTTGTTCTGCTTGGCCTTGGCTTTCGCCGCTGCTATAGAGCTCTTTGCCGCCAGGTCCCTGGATTCGTCACTGCTCTGCCCGAGAAAGCTGATAGATGACTGACTCGTGCCGGCAGCGTCGAAGGACGAATCCGACACCCCGGTTGCTGAGGACATGGACGAGTCCGAGATGGCGATCGCGGAGTTCAATGAGTATCCCAGAGCCGACGTCTGTCGGGGTTTTGCGGCCATGGACTTCCGTGAGTTACCGCGTCCAGCTGTGGCGATCGTCTTTCTTGGGCGTGCACGGACAGCCTTGATTCCTTTTGATCGCTCCGACAGCTGAGCCTCCTTGTCTTCCTCCGATGCGAGCTCTGCCAGCTGTCGAGCTTTCTCCGCAAAGTACGACTTGGTCGGGACAGGGCGGCGCGGGGTCATGTCTCTGTCGGTAAAGTCGTAGTCCTCGATGGCCGACCGTGCAGCCTGTGCAGCTCGTCGTGGTGCTCTACCGGTCGACTGAGTTGGAGGCGGTGTGGACTCGTTGGGCAGAGTCAAAGGAGCCACTGTCACTGGCAACACCTTTTGGGCCGTCTTTGGAGTGTTGGCCCTTGGCTTCTTGGAGGGTGATCGGCGTGCCTTCGGTGTAGCGTCGATGGGATTGCTGTCCAGCACTGCGCTTGCTGAGCCTTTCTTTGGTTTCGAAGGAGCACCGGCTCTGGTCGCAGTCGGCAAGCCCTCGTTTACACTCTTGCTTCCAAGCGCTTTCCTCTGTCCCGGCGCTTTGTCGGTTTTGGCTGGCGCATCCTTTGTCGAGCTTGAAGCGAAAGCTGAGCTACATGCTGAATGAAAAGACAAGCTGGAGTTGGCGGTGTCGTATGCTGCGCTCTGGTCTGCAGGCTGTGTGTCATCGTCGGAGTCCGCATTGCTCGACTGTAGAGCGGCTGGCATCATGGAAGCTCTCGACTTGCTATAAGTGGCTTTTGCTTTTGGCTGAGGCTTGAAGAAACCGAACGGGTCGTTCTCGTCATTCTCGAGCGAAGTGAATGCGCTTTGACGGTTGACGATCCTGACTTCGGCTTTGCGGCCGTACACTGACACCTTTTTGGTGTGGCTCGAAAGGTACGACATGGCGGTTCAGCGAGGCGCGCAGTCTTGAAAGAGGCAAGATGCGGGATGATGGAGGTGGAAGGGAAGAATGGACGACGACGAAAGAAGGCGTTACCAGCCAAACCGTCAGAAAGCGCAGCGGCTAAGGATGCAGCTTATCATGCATAATCCAACACCAACACAAAGCGCAGCAGCAAACAGGCGAAACAGGATTTTAGCCAGAAATCCACGCGAAAGTCACACGTGACTGCAGCATCAACGGAAAGTGTATTATGTAAGCACAATGACCTGCTCTGCGAAAAGTCGCCTTTTCTGCTTTCTTCCGATTCGAGGACACACAGCATACGGCTCTCATCATCTGATCATTCGACGGCATCAGCTAAGCACATCTCCTTCATACACCATATCCGACAACACCGTTCAGCGGCGCCGAAGATGTCGTCGCTTCTTCCCAGTGCAGCCCTCCGCGGGCTCGCTTCAGCATCCTCTTCCAGCTCTCGATCCTTCAGCACCTCGATCGTCACATACAAGAAGTCCAACCGTGCTCGCGGTGCTGCACGAAAGTCGCCTCGCAATCAGGTGCTCTTCACCGAGCTATCTCCACGACTTAGACCCAAACAGGGCGGCATTCCAGCAGCTGCCAGCGGCAAGTCGGGCAAAAAGGCTTCCAACAACCTCGAGCCAGCCGAAGGAGAGACGCTGCTGACGCTCGAGCAGGCGTGCGAGCAGCTGCAGTCGCACGGCGCAGCCAAACGTCCACTCAACGCCTTCGAGGTCCACATCGTCACCTCGGTCTCGTCGCATCAGACTAATGCGCTGCGTGGGCGAATCGCGTATCCGCGAGACCCGAGGACCAAGCAGGAGCGACTGTTGATTTTCGCCGAGGAAGGAAGCGAGGCTGCCGAGGCCGTCAAGGAGGTCGTCCAGAACGAGGCTGCTTCGTCGTCGTCGTCGTCGGGAGAACCGGGAATTATTGTTGGTGGATCCGAACTCATCTCGCAGGTCCTCAACAATCGGGTGACGGGCTTCACAAAGGTGCTCTGCACCAACACGCTATTGGGTGAGGTCTCCAAGGGTCTGGCAAGGTCGTTAGGACCAAAGGGTCTGATGCCCAATGCTCGTCGTGGAACCGTTGTGCCTTCGGACGACAGCAAGTCGATCCTGAACGCGATCCGCGAATCCAAGGGCGCCATGGACTGGAGGTCCGACAAGGTGGGTGTCATTCGCGGCGCCGTCGGCCGTCTCAACTTTGACAAGCAGGACGTCAAGAAGAATGTCACTACGTTGTTGGATGCAATCGTGCAGAAGGTGCCGACATTGGGCTCGCAGCAGTCGTCACAAGGCGCAGTGCAGGCAAAGGAGTATGCGGTCAGGGACAAGAGGTCGCCAGGAGAGCTCAAGAAGGCCGCCAACATCATCAAGCAGGTCCATCTCAGCTCGACACAAGGGCCAGGGTTCAAGCTCGACCTTCGTGATGTCCTGGCATGAGCATTCTTTGTATCGTCGCCATCAGATCATTAGACAGGAACATTGTTGCATGATCATGTGTCGTGGCTTGAACATGAAAGCTCGGAGACCTCATCGGATTGGCCGAATGAGTGTCGTTCCTCGTGAGTCAGTCTGCTCAGCACAGATGGGATCGGATGGTATATGACTTCTGTTTCTAAGCTATGAACAATCAAGAACGACCTTTTGCGACGACAGCCGACGCTCATACCGTCCAGCTGTCCATGTTCTTGTAGTGGACTCCCTCGCCGTCGATCACCTGGCCCATGACAACCGGCTTCTCGCCAGCCTTGGTGAGCAGCTCCACGATCCTCTCCTGCTGCTGCGCCTCGACGATGAGCACCATGCCGATGCCGTTGTTCAGCGTCCTGGCCATCTCCTCGGGCGCAACACCACCGATCTTCTGCAGCCAGTCGAACAGCGCCGGTCGCTTCCACGAGGCCAGGTCGATCTCGACACCCTTGCCCTTGGACAGAATGCGTGGGATGTTTTCTGTGAATCCACCGCCAGTGATGTGCGAGAGAGCGAGCAGACCCTGCGCCTCGGCAAAGAGCGGTGTGAGAGCCTCGACGTAGATGCGAGTGGGCTCGATCAGAGCGTCGCCGAGCGTGGCAGCGGGCGATGAGCCGTCCTTCTCCGCCGACCAAGGGCATGCCGACGAATACTTGAGTCCCGATCGAGCAATGATCTTGCGCACCAACGAGAAGCCGTTCGAGTGCAACCCGGAACTGCGCAGACCCACAAGCACGTCGCCGGCCTTCAACTGGTCGAGCAACGGCAGCAGCGCCTCCCTCTCCACGGCACCCACCGCGAAACCGGCCAGATCGTAGTCATCGCCCTCGTACATGCCCGGCATCTCCGCAGTCTCACCGCCAATCAGACCGCACCTGGACTGCCTGCACCCCTCGGCAATACCAGCAATGACGGAGGCGGCAACGGGGACGCTCAGCTTGGAGCACGCAAAGTAGTCGAGGAAGTAGAGCGGCGCAGCACCCTGGACGAGCAGGTCGTTGACCGACATGGCCACCAGATCGATGCCGACCGTGTCGTGCTTGTTCATGTCGAGAGCGACACGGAGCTTGGTGCCGACGCCGTCGGTGCCCGAGACCAGGACGGGGTCGCGCATGTTGATGGCTTTGAGATCGAATGTGCCGCCGAAGCCACCGAGCGAAGCATCGCAACCAGGGCGACGGGTCGACTTGGCAAGAGGCTTGATGGCTTCGACGAGCGAGTTGCCGGCCTCGATGTCGACACCGGCAGCGGCGTAGGTGAGACCATTGGAGGAAGAACCGGCAGCAGGCTTGAGTGCTCGGTGCGCAATGTCGCGTCGGAACGTCTTGCCCTCGAATTGGACCGCGTCAACACCCTTGTAGGCGAGTTCGACGGCCTCTTGCAGCGTGTCACCGAATGCCGAAACGGCAATGACACGGCCACCAGCAGTAACGAGCTGTCCGCTGCCATCGAGCTTGGTACCGGCGTGGTAGACGGTGACGTTCTGAGGAACGGCACCGATCGTGATGGGGACACCAGTGGGATATTTGCCGGGGTAGCCTTGGCTGGCGAGGACGATGCTGACGGCGTGTTGGTTGCGAACGACGGGCTTGACCTGGTCGAGTCGGCGCTCGACACAGGCGAGGATGATGTCGGCGAGGCTGGTCTGGGACTCGTCGAGGAGCTCGAGAACAGCCTCGGTCTCGGGGTCACCGAAGCGGACATTGTATTCGAGCACCTTGGGACCGTCAGCGGTGAGCATGAGACCGACAAAGAGCATACCGACGAAAGGGAAACCTTCGCTGCGCATGCCATCGATCGTGGGGACAAGGACCTCCTTGCGGATGCGAGCGGGAAGGTCATCGACAAGGCCCTCAGGCGCGGGCGAGTAGGCACCCATACCACCCGTGTTGGGGCCAGTGTCGCCCTCGCCGATACGCTTGTGGTCTTGGCAGCCGGGCAGAGCAGTGATGGTGTATCCGTCCGAGAAGGCAAGCACCGAAAGCTCGGGGCCAAGGAGCCTCTGCTCGATCAAGAGCGATGAGCCAGCATCGCCGAAGACCTTCTTGACGAGGATATCCTCTACGCCCTGACGAGCCTCCTCATCCGACTCAGGGAGCAGGACACCCTTACCGGCAGCAAGACCAGACGCCTTGAGGACAATTTGTTGGGCACCGCCAAGCTTCTGGATGTACTCGAGACACTCTTGCACCTGCGAAGCATCGAAGGACTGGGCGGCGGCGGTGGGGATGTTGTACTTGTCCATGAAAGCCTTGGCGAAGGTCTTGGAGCCCTCCATCTGCGCGGCAACGGGCGAGGGACCGAAGACGGGGATGCCGACCTTGCGGAAGGCAAGCTCGACGCCATCGACGAGAGGCTGTTCAGGACCGGGGAAGCAGAGGTTGATGCCGTTCTGCACGGCCCATGTGGTGATTTCGGTGAAGTCGCCAGACGCCTTGGGCGAATCGAGGTTGGTGCATCGAGAGTCGAGCGTGGCGGTACCACCGTTGCCGGGAGCGCAGAAGACATGCTCTACGCGAGGCGAGCGGAGAAAGTGGTTGGCGATGGCATGCTCACGTCCACCCGAGCCGAGGATGAGGACGCGAAGCGGGGCGGGCGATGGAATCATCGACTCGAGAGTCGTGTTGAGCGAGGAAGAGGCCATCTTGGGACGCTTGCGAGAGGGTTCTGGGTGCGCCTGCATTCTACTTCGCCTCGGATATGAGACGCTGATCAAAAGGCTGAATGCTGAGAAGGCCGCTGGCCAACAAAGGAGGGGTCAAGAAGGAGGAGGTCGATAGATGGCGGGCACGCTCCTGGTTGGTTGATTGGCTGTCTCGCAGCTGTCAAGAGCTCGAGTCAAGAGGGACCACCTTTGTGCAGCTTTGCTGTCCGACACCAAATTTTCTTCCTCGCACTGACATCTCGACAACAAGCTCAAAAAGAAACGGCAGCGCAGCGCAGCAAACAAAAATTTCAACGCGGCTCAGGCGCAGACGCTAAAAAATCTAAGCTCTAAAAAAGCAGCTCAGGTCCGACAGCCGAGCCAACCTGGATCGCTATCGGAGCAAAAACCACGATCGGGTCAAGCTGATCGGGTAAAATACCACTGCGACGATGATCGTCTTCACATCCGCCTCTGGAGCACTCGCTAGCCCTGTGGGTTGCTCTTAAAAGCAAAAGAGATACACATAGCCGTCAGACGTGTCCGTCTAGAGCTCAATGTAGGTCTTCACTGGTCGCTGGATCGAGCGTTCCGCCGCCTGGTGCGCACAGATCGCAAGCCAAGAAGTGTTCAACGCGGGGAGCGACGTTTTCCGAAGACGAGTTCGAGGACCAACCAAAGACCAGGACTCGAGCCCGACCGAGGCTAGCTGCGCTTATTCAGAGAGGAGTCGAAGACAGCTCAAGTGCAAAGTATATCTGATCAAATGGGCAGCTCGGCATGCCGTCAAAGATCCGTGTTGCTCCGCTTATCAGATCTCTTTGCGCGCGGAAAATCTGAATTTTAGCGGCGCCACCCGCGAGAGCCTATCAGATTGCGTTGCTCGGCTTTGTCTCTCGAAACGATCGCATCCTAAAGTCTTGGCCCTGCAGGCTGGAATCATAACTGCGGCATCGACGGTCCAGCTTGACTTGTCTGCGTCCAAGCACAACGATCTCTACACCGATCGACTCTTGCCGTCTCGACGGTGGCTACAAGAGGGAAGGTCGCTAGCCATACATGAAAGGGCTTCGGCTGCTGTGATGAGAGCGGCAACGGACGGACGGGCTGCTCCGCTGGAAAAGACTCGCGAGCAGAGAAGTGGCTGCTAATCAGATTACGGAAATGTACGGAGGAAGCAAGAGCGAATCGAGACTGACAGCGAGCTCAATCGAGTGCGAGGGCAGCCAATGCAGGACGGGAAGGCTGTTTCTTGGCTCATTGGCTGACTGGCCCTGCAGGCCAAGTTGATTGAGGTCAGGCACCAGAGCTCGGACCGAGCCAAGCTCGAGAATAGCAGCAGCAGCAGCGGTGACGATGATTTTGAGTGGAGAAAATCTGTGGCTGAATTTGAAAAAGAGACTGACAGGCTGCCTCGAAATTTCCAAGATGATTCAATTCACTCTTCGCTGTCTGCCATTTGACTCTCACGGACTTGGCTTCTACCCCTCCAGCTCGTCCTACCTTCCCTTCCCTTCTGTCCTACAACACCATCTCTGTCACCACTCATAGCCCGACACCGCTCGTATCAAGTACGCGCTACCGGCCATTCAAGCTTCAGTTGATCATCGCTTTGCTACAGTTACAGCGTCATCCATTGCGAACCCCGTGCGTTCCAGTTTTCATCGTGTTTGCGATTGCATCTGCAGCGACTAGAGCATCGCGCTCGCTCCCCATCGGCTCCTTCGTTCCACGCCCCAACGCTCTTCGCTCAGCCCCTTCGTTTTCGTCAACTCTGATCGCACGAGCGTCCTCCTTTACAGCTATGGCACAGCCCATCCGAATCAAGAAGTCAGCTGCTGCAGCTGCAGTTTCGTCCTCGTCACTCGCCGGCCCCTCTGCAAGCATTCAGACCGGCCCCAAGGCTACAGGTGATGCATCTGAAGCTCACACACAGAATGTTGTCGTTCTTGGCGGCTCATACGGTGGCATGCACGCGGCCACCGTCCTCGCACAGAAACTTCCACCAAGTCATCGTGTGATCCTCATCGAGCGCAACTCGCACTTCAATCATCTCTACGTCTTCCCACGCTTCTCGGTCCTTCCTGGTCACGAGCACAAAGCTTTCATTCCCTATGCCAGCATCTTCAAAGATGCACCAGCCAGACCCACGTCAAATATCAAGCGCGGTCGTTCTACCGCCTCGCAGACAAAGCAGTCGAGTCGACAAGCAGCAGCGCCTGCAGCTGCTAGCACGACCCGCAATGCGCTTGAGATGGGCTCCACCTCTTCCTCATCCGACGCAAAGCCTGGTTCATCACGCAGAGCTGCCGGCTCAGCTTCTACGCCCAGTTCCATGCCCGACGTGCCCGAGGGCTCGCAGCTGAACGGCACATCTTCCTACACCTGTGCCGATGAAGACGGCACCGCATCTCGGTCCAACTCATCGGCTTCCTCGCGCGGTCACTCTCAGGATAGCCGGCATTCGTCTCAGCTTTCGGCGTCCACTGAATCCAGTGGCGCGGACTCGGACTCCAACAGCTCTACCTACGATGCTGCCAGCACTGCGGCATCCTCATACATCGAGACCGATATCAAGGTGGCTGGCCCTAAAGGCTTTGAATCAGAGCTTGCACACAATGCTGACACGGCGCGTCAGGAGGAAAAGCTCGGCCGTCCGGAGATTCAGGTCACCGAGCTTAGCGATGCTGTAGAAGACGGTCTGGATCTGGATGGCAACCACGAGGCAGACAGCGACGAAGAGGTCGCCCACGGGTTCGAGAGCTCGTCCCCTCACATTGTGTTGCAGGCGACCGTCACCGACATTTCGCCCACCCACGTCACGGTCACACCTACTTCGTCGTCATCCTCGCACCACCTGTCGCAGTTCTCCAAGAAGAAGTCGCTGTGGGCGATCGACAGCGTTCAAATCCCCTACTCGCATCTGGTGTACGCGCTGGGCAGTCATCTTCCCGATCCGCTGCGCACCGAGGCGCGCTTTAAGGCCGATGGCACCAATTGGATGCGTGAGATTCAAGAGCGAATCAAGGGCTCGCAGGAGATCGTCCTCGTTGGCGGCGGTGCGCTGGGTGTTCAATTCGCCACCGACATTGCAGCTGTTCACCCAGGCAAGAAGGTGACGCTGATCCACTCAAGGAAGCAGCTGCTGCCCAACTTTGACGAGCGCGTGCACGATATTGCGTATCATCGCCTCAAGCAGCTCGGTGTCAATGTCGTTCTTGGTGAGCGACTGGCACTGACCGAGGGTTGTCCGCGAGGGTCGACAGTGCAGAGCTCGGCAGCAAACGCTGTCGGCGCCAATGGCACCGCCGTCGCAGCCAAGGCTGCCAAGCCCATCAAGGCAGAGGTCTGCGTGACAGGCGACGCGAAGGGCGAAGGCATTCAAGCGCATCAAGAAGGCATGTGCATTGGCAGCGGGCGCAAGCTCGTGCGAACCACTGGTGGCAAGTCCTTCGAATGCGACTTGCTGCTCCTCTGCACAGGTCAGCAGCCCAACTCATCGCTGATGGCCAAGCTCAGTCCAAGCTCGGTCGACCCGGGCAGCCGACTCGTGCGCGTCCACCGCAGCCTGCAAGTGGCTGTTCCCGATCCGCGCGATGCAGCTCAACAGCCGTTCGACGCTAAGCCACCGTGTGGCGACTGTGACTGCTTCCTGGACAAGAAGGCCAACGGAGCCGAGCTAAATAGCGGCGAAGAGGGCCATCTCGCCGCGCATCTTGGACACGAGTCTGGCAAGCTGAGCAACGTTTATGCCATCGGTGATGTCGCCGACGCATTCGGAGCGCTCAATGCGGGTTACCAGGCGTGGAACATGGCCGACGTTGCGACGGAGAACATTCTGCGCGATATCCAGGCCAAAACACCAACCTTGGCCCCCACTGACAAGGCGCAGGAGGCCAAGACCGAGATGCTCGAGTTCCAGCCTGCGGTGAACATGCTCAAGCTCAGTCTCGGGTTGGGCAAGATGGTCTTCCAGGGTCCTCCCATGGCAGAGGACACGCCAAAGGACAAGATCAACCCCGAAGAGACGGGCTCCCTGGATGGCGAGGGTGGCAAAGATCTCATTGTTGATGGCCGGATCCCCGGTAAGCCCGAGATCACGATCAAGGACGATCCGGCTGATCTGGGCGTAGAAGGTGTTTGGAGCTTCATGGCGAATCACGACACTAGCGACATGTTCAAGTGAGCCAAAACCCTCGCATAACAATCTACATAACCACACTTCGGGGTGATTGCGCCTGATGTCAAGATGTATGGTGAGTATGTGAAGTGAGCACCGGCAATCAAGGAGGGGCGTCCAGTCGCGCGGTGGTGCGGAGATTTAAGGGTGTAACCGATTTGATTGTCCGCTGTGAAATCGATTAGGCTTCTCTTTCTCTACCAGCGGCCTGGAACCGCAAAACTTTTTAGCTTTGGCTTTGGGTTGCAGGTCCTGCTCGCGTGCTCCAACACAAACGGCAAATTTAGGGTTTGAAACAGGCACCGTCGAGCATCAGACAAAAGAATGATGCTCGCTCGATGACCATCATCAAACACAGACCCTTGCATCGACCCTGCACGGCACAGACCCTGCGCTGACGCTCGATTCGGCACGCTTCGTCGACCCAGATGGCCTTAGAGGCCGTGTGGGCGGCATGGTCGAGCCCCCAGCGTCGCCTCTTTTGCCGTGCTCCCTGCACGCCAACGCGTCGACGGTGCCGCTCGACAATGGATGGCGGCTCTGTAAGCAAGACTTGCTCGTGAGAAACGATCACAACGCTACATGACTTCGAGTGGTGACGGCTGCCGACTGCAGTGAAGAGTTGAGCTTGAGCGAACTCTGCGGTGTTCCAGCGGCCACAAAAGCACCGAGCTGTTCACTCGTCGACTGCCCCTCTCGTGCTGTCAAAATGAGACAGCTGTGGCCTGGGACGAGAGAGCCAAATGGGAAAAAGCGCTTTGAAATCGACTTGACCGAGATGCAAGCGAGCTGCTCGCACGGTCAAAAGCGAGGTGTGAAGCGCAGCAGCCACGCCTCATTTTAGGCTCAGGACTGCAAAAAAGCCACACAAATCTGAAAACCCTGTTTTTGGTGGCTCACCGACAACCCTGCTGCTGCCTGCTGCTGCTGCTTGCTGCTCGCTGCTGCAGTCCGTCACTGTGGCAATACAACTGCAGCGAGCAGCTGCAACACCATAACCCACCATTTCAAACACTCACACTCTCATTCGACAGTGTCACACGCACACCTCATCACCCACTTTCTCTCATCACACGCCATTGTCATTGTCACACGCTCCGCTCCTCGTCTCACTATCACGCAGCACTGGCGCAATCTACACCACGACGCGCTACTCCACCACGCCTACTGCCATCCTCACCACCTGCAAGCATACACAACTCTAATTCCACTCCTGCACAACATCAAAGTTCACCACTTGCATCGAGGCCGCCCATTCAGAACCGCATCAACGCTACCAATCGACCACCTGCAGATACTCGGATCGACATCAGCTTCACCCAGCGCACTCCGGATACCACCCTCGCTGTGAGCTGTGATCCGACGCAGCTCATCGACTAGTGCATGGTTCCCATTTTCTTCGTCTTGACCCAGTGAGGCGTCAAGAGCCCATCCATAAGCCATGGCGTCTGACTACTTCGGTCAACGCTCGGAAGACTCGTCCTCCTCTTCCAGCATCACCATCACATCACGCACAGCGTGCCAGACCCCATCACAGGATACGACTGCCAGTTCGACTGGTCCACCGTCTCGCTCTTCGTCCGCTTCGTCCGCTTCTACGGAGCCCGACAGCTATGCCGGCGCCTCATATGATGTCAAAGGAAAGCGCAGAGCCAGCCAAGACGACGAGCACGATCTCTCGGGCGCAATACACCGTCTCTCCGTTGAGCCTGAATCGTCTCTGACGCCGACCCAGAACGTATCTTCAACACAAGAATCTCCTACGTCGATAGTTGACTTCATGGCATCTCGGCTACCACCAGCAGCTCGCAAAGGTTTGGCAGCCCCAGTGGACAGAGAACGACGCATCAGGAAAGGTCGAGACATGTCTTCCAGATCTGTCGCCCCCAGCCCGCTGCGGTCTGCTTTGAACACTTCGCCAACCACAGCCAGCGCATCTCAATTCGCCTCCCTGCTCGGCCAGCCAACAGCCGTCTCAGCCTCGCTCTCTGCGCCTGACAAGAGCTCTGCCGCAGCAACCTCCGCCGCACTTCCCTCGTTGTACAAGGCAAGCAGGGGGCGCAGCATGAATGTCAGTCCCAGTCGCAGATGGGATCGACGCGGTGCTAGCGCTACCGTGCTCAGCGGAGCAAGTGCGAGCGGCAGTGGGGGTGAAGGCGACGACCCAAGTGACGACGACATCGACAACAGTCGAATGCGTTCGTCCAGTCGTCGTCTCTCGGTCGCCAAAGAAGAGGCTCTTTTCCCTCCAGACGATGACTCGCCGCCGTTCTCTCCATCAGAAGAGGTCGGTAATCCAGTCGATGCGCCTCCACAGGGACGTCGGCGCTCTAGGCGCTGGTCCAGCATCGAGCGTGAACGCAGACGAGGAATGCGCATCCTTTTGCAGGAGCATTCGACTCAGCTCGGCGACTCTGTGTCCACTCTCAAACCTTCTCGCCGCGAATCCTCCAGTCGTGGTCGAACGCGCTCGACGCTTCAGAGCTCCAGCACTGCGGAAGACGATGACTCCGACGTGGATCTGTCAAGCTCGCTATCGAGTTGTTCCAGCAGTTGCGATCGCGCGTACGTCCCAAGAAGGGGCGATACCGCTGCCATTCCCATCACAGGTACTCGAAGTCGCTCAAAGCTTGCAAGCGAAATCGCGTCGACCGCTTCGGTAAGCGCTGCCTCCAGCCAGGGTAACGTTCCATCTTCCATGGATGACAGTGATGACCCTTCGCCGGCAGCATCCACTCCTTCCACCTCGCTTGTCCAGCGAAGCCCTCCCGGCTTGGCTGCTCTCAAGCCCATCATCGCTATCCCGGTGACTTCCGAGGCCGACCCTCTTCTGGGCCTAGCCACCCCGAGCGTCGAGGACATGATCCAAGTAGACAAGGTCGAATTCTTCCCAGAGGAAGCCATCACTGCACAGCTTGCCTCGGACAAGACCAAGCGCAAGACGTCTCCAAAGCGAGCCAAGAAGTCATCTTGGATCATTGGCGATTTCGAAAGCGAGCCAGAAAGTGATGACGAGCCAAGATCTGCACAAAACAAGCTCGATACAGCTCGTAAAAGTAGCAACGCCACTGCTCTCAACGCATCGCCTCCTTCGCCCACAGCCAGCAGCTACCAGGCCCGCCTTGCCAGTCTGCAAAGTCAACTGCGCATCTGGTCTCGTACTCCGGAAGCGCCCGCGGCTCCTCGAGTCCGCGAGACGTCTTCTGGCTCAGAAGGACAGACCGACACGGAGGCTGACACCAAGGACGCCGACTCGGCCAGCTCCAGTCTCTTGTCTGCCAGCTGGCGGAATCTGACACGACTTCCGAACCTGATTCTGCTGCCTGGTCTGGCCGCAAGGCAAGCACGCGAGTCTCTTGCTGCATCGGCTAAGGCTCAGGACGGAACTACAGGAAGCGACGGCAAGGAAGCATCCGCCCCCACATCCGAGAATGACTTTGCGCAGATCTACCGCCTCGCAAGCTCATCTCAGGGTTCTTCTGACGAGTCGGTGTTGCAGGCACAGCGCAACGCTGCCATCAAGACGGGTCGACCGCCGTCCCCGTCACCTCCTACCTCGCTTCTAGGCTCTCGACAGAGCAGCGACGACAGCATTAGCACCACTGATCAAGCCTACTCGGCCCGCAACCCATCGAATGCCTCGCGCAGTGGAAGAGGTGTTGCGTCGCCTTTGGAAGCCGATCGGGACCCGTCAGCCTACGTCTCTGGCCTCGGCCAGCCCATTGACCCAGACACCGAGCTGTCTTCCGTGGTGCAGCTGCAGACCTTCCGCAGTCGAAGCCGGAGCAGGCCTGCCGACCCAGCACACAGAGGACGTGGGGCCGCACAGTCGCGCTCGTACCGCCATCAAGATAGGCACGACGATGCGCGCGGCCCACGGTCACCCAAGCAGCTCGGCCAAGCGATCGAGTTGGAGCCCACAGAGGAGGAGAAGGAGAATGCACCGGCTGCCACCGCAGATAGGCCAGGCGCAGGTGGAGCGACAGGTGCGCTCGCCATCCAGATTCCAAGCCCGACCCGTCAGAGTCGGCGAGACTTGTTTGCTGATGGACCCGCCCCAACAGATACCGCCTCTGCGCCCACCTCGCCGACCTTCCGCAAAGGCGCGTTGTCATCTGCGTCGAGTGCAGACGAGGCGGACGCACCATCTCCACCTCGCGCAGGCGAGGGCTCGGAGAGTAGTTCCGTCGACGCCGATGGCTTCCGCATTGTCCGACGGCGACCGCACCGAAGGTTTTCTGGTTCCAAATCGCTCAGGCCCAAGGTGGACGCGCTGGTGCCTCAGGGTTTCTCTGCATTCGCGGGAGAAGACGGAGATGAGAAAGTGGGGGACTCAGACTCTGACGGAGATGCGACTCCTTCGCCTGCCCAATCACGCAGAAACCGAGGTCGTCGGGGTCGCAACTCTTCGCCTCGCCGCTCCAACCGTCAATGCGCAGTGGGTCTCTTCGGCGGAGGCGGCGCGACTTCGAACGAACCGCCGTCGACTCCTCGTTCTCGCTTCGGTGGTCGCCGAGAAGGTTCGAATCTGGGAATGTCTACTCCTATTCGCACCGTTCGATCCTCGCCTGATCTCACGTACGCTGCCGCGGCTGCCGCTGCCGCGTCTGCTCGTGATGGCGATGCGGACAACCAAGACGCGATTCAGGATGACCCTTCACCACCTCGTGGCTCCAGGGGACGCCGAGGAGCCGTCAAAGTGGTCGCGTCATCTGTCGGTCAACGGGCCTCGATGGCGCAGCCTCTGCTCCTTGCGGGCGTCGAGGGGGTCGGTCGTGGACCCTCTTACCCGCCTCGCGCTGTCGAGATCCTTGAAGATGGATCGAACAGCCCAGATGCTATAGAGCAAGACGCGACCACCTCATCCGCAGCACAGGGCAGTCGCGGACGAAGCACCTCAACCACTTCCTGCGGCAGTGCCTCTCCGCAACCCTTCCGTTTCCGCCTACTCAGCAACTCATCGCATCTGCTCATGCTCTCGCTCGAGCTGGATATGATCAAGAAGCAGAAAATCTCGGCGCCACTCAAGCCGCGGTGGGGCAAACACCGGGCGAACGACTTCAACCCTCTACCCTCGACCATCTCGTACTCGTCGACGTCGGCGTTATTCGCCCCGTCGAGCTATCTTCGCTCGCCATTCTCGGGTGATGCCAGTGCGGGCGAGTGCGACGATGGTGACTGTCAGCCGTGCACCGAACCCAAGGGCGTCAGCCGAGGCAGGGCAAACAAGCCTGGCGCGTCGGTCAGCACCATCGGCGGCGGCCTCAGGGATCCGAGCAGCAGACTTCGATTCTCGTGGAAGCTCACCGATATCGCTTCCGCCCTCGACGGCGCCCCTACCCCCACCAGAGGCTGAGAGCTCTGTTCAGTGCACATTTGTATTTTTTTCCCCGTTTTGTTCTTCGCATGCATGTTCAATAGATTGTTTCTTCCGTTCATCACGAGCGTCACTGTGCGATGCGAGCCGGAGCGATGGCACTTCGTGGCACGATGACCGTGAGTGCGTTGGACAAGATCAAGCACAATGCGATTGGTATAGACGGAGCGAATATAAAGTGAACAAAGTGGATCTAGGCGGTTCTTGCGGGCACTTCGGCGCTGCTATCGTCTCCCGAGATCGAGTTGGCGCGCGAGACGTTCCTGCTGGCCGCTCTGCTGGCGTTCCTGCTAGCATTGCGAGAAGCAGCATGCTGCGAGGTGTGGAACGAGTTCTGTCGGCTGCCCAGCCCGGTGACGGGTCTCTTGTGCGCACCGGTGAGTCTCTCCTTGTGCCCATCTCTCGTGGTTGCACCCTGTCGCTCGGCGTTGAGCTGCTGTGCAAACGGCGAGCGCTTGCGCAACACAGGTCCCTTCCAATAGATCACATACACGGCGGCAACCAGCACCGTAGCGATGCAGAAGAGGATCGTCGAGGCGTACTCGAGGTTTCGCCCTTTGGACGCGCCGATGTTGGTATAGAATGGGGTGGCAGGGATGGTGAGGACGCCGGCTAGGAAGTCGCGACTCCACCCGTTGCCACCTGTCGCCGAGGCGGAGTATGGTCCGTAGGCGGCGATCATGTAGTCGATGGTGCTGCCGTAGATGGAGAAGTTGGCGATGCCGATGCAGGCAGCGAAGACCATAGTGCCGATCCAGTGCACGGGAGGTCCCACGGACGTCCATGCAAACCCAATGAGTCCGATCGGCAAGAGAGGCGCAACGAAGAGCAACCAGTACAGACGCGACTCAAATTGCGCATGCTCGCTGTCCGGTTTCGCCGCCTTGACCTTTTTCATGTGCCCGATGGCAACGATGTAGATGCCGTAGCCGATGAAGTAGCCGACCAGCAGGGGAAGGAAAGCAAGCCCGATAGCGACGGTGCTGAAGTTCCACTGCTTGTAGACGAGCGAGTAGGATTGGAGGAAGATGAAGATCAGCGCGTCGCTGAAACCGGACAGCAGAGAGAGGACGAGGACGATGGGCTCGGTGAGGAACATGTGGAATGGTCGAATCCAGGTGACGAGGATCTCTTTTGCTGAAAAGCGCTCTTTGAAGGGACGCAGCTCGTTGGGGCCGTATACGTTGGGGCTTTGGCCCGACTTGCGGCGTTTCTTGGCGATGCGGTCCATCATGATGGTCGAACGGGTCTCGGGGACGAGGAAGAGATGGGCGAGCTGAACAGCGCCTCCGAAGATTAGCTGGATCCAGATGGTCCATCGCCAACTGAGGTTGGCCTCGACGAATCCACCGACGACGGGACCCAGCACAGAGCCACCAACGGAGGAGAAAACGACATATGCGACAGCGTACTGCTGCGTATCCGCATCCCACATGTCGGCGATCATACCCAGCGTCACCGATCCGCCCGCCGACGAGAGGCCTCCGAGGAAGCGGCCCACCATGATGGATGCAAAGTTGGGCGCCAGTGCCACGGGCAGCTGCCAGATGTTGACCAAGAACAGGCTCAGCTGCAAGATGGGCTTCCTCCCCACCTCTTCCGACCAGGGCGCCCACAGCTCGCATCCAAACGCATACGCCACCAAGAAAATCATGGCACCACATCTCGCAGCTTGGAGACTGACGCCGAACTCGTCCGAGATTCCCTGCAGGCCGTTGGAGTAGAGCGAGGTGTTGAAGTTCATCGACACCTGGATCCAAAAGATGATGGTGAGGATCATCCACTTCTTCCATGTGGGGAAAGAATAGCCAAGCTCATCGTAGCATTCGTCCTCGGTGATCTCGACCTTGCCATCGGAGCGCATGCGGGTGAGGGTGGTGTCGAGCTTCTCTGCGTCGAAGTGGGCGCGAGCGTGGCCGGCCTCGGAGGGTGCGGTCGTGGTGTTGGCTTGGGTGCCGCCTGGCGTGGAGGAAGCAGGCGGCGAGCCGCTGGGTGGTCGTTTCTCGTCCATGATGTCGAGCTAGGGGGACAAGGACCTGGCAGAGATTTGTAAAGGGGGGAGAACAAGGACCAAGATTCAAGGATCAACCATTATAAGATGGGCGGTCCGAGGGGGCGGGGGGCTGCTAACTATAGCCTTTTCATTCGTGGGAACTTCCCCAGACCGGACCCTCCGGTTGGTGTGTCAACCTGTGCGTGGGAACAAGAGGCGTCATTGATTGGCAAGGGGGATGACGCCCGCATCGAAAACCTTGAAGGGGCGAGGATCGGTTCACCGGTCATAACCCCTAGAGTGACAGCGCCGTGCTGCCGCCGAAACCGCCGCCTGTTTGGCTGCTTCCAACGGGATGCCGCCGCTTAGAACCTTTTCTCTCTGGCCGATGGCCCGCGTTTCCTTTCGGATTAGCCGAACAGCCTCCCCTCGCGCAATGTCGGATGCCTTTCCGATCGCTCCTGTCAGCGCATCCGATTCATCAGCGCATTCGCATCTTCACTTCGTCATACCTCTGACTGTGATGTCCGCTGCTAGACCAGCCACCTTCAAATGTTGTCCAAAAATCGGACCGACGTGACAGGCTTGTCCAATTTCGAGCGGCTGTTGACCGGTGCTGTCGCGGCTTCTCGGACAATTTTTGGCGGTGCAGAAATTTAGAGCGCGCCAGGGCAGAACCGCATGCACAGATGACGTCAAGCAGCGCGCGGTCACTTTCGCCTGCTCATCCTCAACTTCATGCAACGGCAAGATGATGCGGTGTCGTGACGATGGTGGGGAGAGACAACCGATCAGAGCGTCGCTTTCCTGCGTGTTGGAATCGCCTCGGAGCGCTCGCCGTGACCCCACCTCGGCCCTGAGAACAGGTGATTCTAGATCAGGAACATCGCCCAACTCGCCGGCCGCAACGTTTTAGAGCTTTTGCTCAGGGCCGGCCCGGTCCTCGTCGATGACGAGCAAGCATGAATCGTCCCCGCACTCGATTGCCTGGACAGCAGTGGCGCTTGCTAGGCTTGACATCATGCGTGGGGTGCGCTCTCTTCCGCTCTTCCGTGAGAGGCTTCGCCGACCAAGATTCAAGTGAGCACTGTTTCGCGCAACGGTCGTGTGACTCCAAGTTGGAGACCTGCTGTGAGACTTTGTCGTGCGATTCGGCGCCTTCTCTTCGACGCGAGATGAGCCCCACCTCAGCTCATTTGGCGACTATAGTCCACTACGTTGAAGGGGTTCGTGGGAAGTATTTCTGAGCTTGATGAGATAGCCTCTCGGAAACATCCGACAGCACGTCGTGACCAGCCGACACGCTACAGCACCCGTCGCCCCTTGAGAGTAGAAAAGAGAACGCGCGTCAATCTCACAGCTCGGAAACAATTCGAGTCATCCATGCGAAACTGTTCTGCAGTGCACCGCTATTCGCATTCGCTGCAACCGTGATTCAGCATGCTCGAGATCAGTTGTGGATCTCTCTGTACACGAATGCTTGGCACGCCGTCGTGTCTGCAAGCTCTGTGGATGGAATCTTCTCACGCAATCCCAAGGCCGGTATCGATTTTGGATAGAAATGTCGGCCTGACTCGGCGCTGAACACCGACTGTCATTGTGTGGTGGCAAGCAAATTAGGCTATTGTGATGTGAGGGGCGAGCCATTTGGATCACACTCGGATCAGAGCTTGATCTACATCTTGAGTCTCGGAAAGCATTGTCTCGGGTTTGCTCGAGCGAGTCCTGAGCCATTGTTGAGCTTGTCGGTGGGGCTGTTTGTTGGGCGTGCATGCGAGTTGATTTGGGGAGCGGCTGGAGCAGGCTTTCCTGAGTGGCAAAGTCTTGCATCGGCTTCGGCTCGCATAGACCAGCACACAAAGGTGCTTGGGCCCGTGCGATCCTCTGCAATGCTCCTCAGAGCTTCTCTGCTCTCTGTATATAACGCAGTCATTCGCTGCTTGCAACGTTTCAGCACTTCATCAAAGCTACTCACAGCGCCTACAACCATGTCGAGCGACAAGATCACCTTCCTTACCAACTGGCAGGCTGTGCCCTACCACCTGCCTGTCTACCGCGCCCAATCTCAGGTAAGCGGATCGGTTCGTAATATCACGGCAAAGACGCGTGTCGACTGACACTTGCGACAATCCTTACTCGCGCCAGGGCTATTTTGCCAACGAGGGGATCAAAGTGGCCATCCTCGAGCCCAATGATCCCAGCGATGTAGTAAGTACAGCTGTTCACCTGCTCTGCTGCTGGCATCTCGCTGAATTGCCCGCTGCTCCCCCCGGATATCTTTGCAGACTGAAATCATCGGCACCGGCAAGGCCGACATGGGTCTCAAGGCCATGATTCATACGCTCGCCGCCAAAGGCATGCGCGGCTATCCTGTCACCTCGGTCGGCACGCTTATGGACGAGCCCGCCACCGGTATCATCTACCTCGAGGGTAGTGGCATCACCGCCGACTTCCAGAGCCTGAGGGGCAAGCGCATCGGCTATGTAGGCGAATTTGGCAAGATTCAGATCGATGAGTAGGTATGACCACGTCATAGCGACCGCAGCAGTCATCGGAAGAGACGAGCTAATATCCTGTGCGATGTTGACAGACTTACGAGCCACTTTGGCATGAAGCCGTCCGACTACACGGCCGTTCGCGTCGGCATGAACGCCACCGAGGCCATCATCGACGGTCTTGTCGACGCCGCTATTGGTCTCGAGAATGTTCAAATGGTGAGTCAAGTGCTTCATCAATGTTCAACAAAAGTAGCCACTGACCAGAGAGGCTCTTGTCGTTCACAGGTCGAGCTCGAGGATTGGTGTGAGCAGCGAAACCGACCCAAGACAGACGTCAAGATGCTCCGCATCGACGAACTTGCTGAGCTCGGCTGCTGCTGCTTCTGCTCGATCCTCTATATCGCCAACGACGACTTCGTTCACCAGCACCCCGGGAAAGTTCGGGCTTTCATGCGAGCCGTCAAGCGCGCTGCCGACGACCTCTTCGCTCACCCTCAGCAGGCATGGGATGACTTCAAGCGCTTCAAGAAGAGCGTGCAAGGTTCCGTCTACGGTCGCATCTTCGAGCGCTCCTTCGCCTACATGTCGCGCGACTGCGCCAATGGTAAGTAGACATCGATCACCGCAGCCAACTTTCTCGAGAGGACGCTGACCTTTCTGCACTTTGCCCGGTCCAGTCCCGCGCGACTGGTCCAAGGTGACCAACTACTGCAAGCGTCTCGGCATCATCGATGCCAACTTCGAGCCCAACATGACCAACGATTTCCTCAGCTGGGACATCGACGCCGCGCAGAACGATGTGGACCCGGACGCCAAGCAGAGGGAGATTGCGGTCTACCAGGCCAACGAGGCGCACAAGCTGCTTGCTTCGGAAGAGGGCTGCAGTCTGCCCAAGTTCGGGTGCAAGTCTGCAAGCGTCCCTGCCGCCGCCGTCAAGGCCTCGGCCTAGGCTAGTGTCTCCCACTTTGTGAGGGATCCAGTCCACTCATCTCGCAATGTCCTGACATCAATTGAAGTTCTTCGGCCATCTCGCAGTATTGGATCTGCATTGTGTGCGATTACGTGAAAGTCGATGATTGATAGAAGTACAAGAATGCAAAGAGAACGGGCAGAAAGAACAGCAAGACACACTCAGCGCATGGCGGGACCCAGCCCGGCTGGCAGACCACCAAGTCCCATACCCATGCGCAAGTACGAACCACCCACGCCCGCGCCAGATCCGCTGGCCGCACCCGACGCATGCTTTCCACAAACCGAGGCATCGGTGCGCTCCATCTCGGTGTTCCATTTGCCCAGCGCCTGGTAGCGTGGCTTGCCCGAACTGTTGGCACTGCGATCCAGCTCGACATATTGCCCCACCTGATCGATGCGTGCCTTGATGCTCTCGTCCAGGATCAGCGCCATGAGCAGGTCCTCCACCTGGTCGACACCGATATTGAGCTGCTGCGCTAGAAAGCCGAGCTGCATGCGCGAGTAGGGCTTCAGCGTGTCGATGAGGTACTGCGTTCTCAAGCCGCGAAGCACGTCATCGATATAGGCCTTGATGAAGGTGTCCTCGAGGATAGTGCGCTTGTTCTCGCGGAGAATCTTTTCCGCTTCGTGCACCTCTCTCCTCTGGTACGCCGCGACGAGATTGGTCATGGCGACGATCTCCGGATCGTTCTTGTACGGCTTGGTCTCTTGCGAGTCGAACGGGTTGATGTCGCTTCCCATGAGCATGTGCGCTAGGACGAGATACTTGAGCACTTGGATACGCTGCGTGCTGCCCGCCTCATCATAGTTGAGAAAGGCTTGGAAGAAGTCGACCTGTGCAGCCGCCCAGTTCTTTTCCGACATGTGCATCTTGCCACCACACTCGCGGATGACGCCCATGATGCGAGGATGCGGAATGGCGCTCTTGACTTGAAGAGTGGAGTTGTATACCTCTTTGAGCTTCTTGAAGTTGCCCACCTCGCCATACATCTGGATCTCGAGGGCAAAGATCTCGAGCAAGATGGTGCCTTTAGACTGATCGTCGGTGCCATCTGAACTCGTGCAGTAGGCCCGGAGCTCCTTGAGCGACTTTGCTAGACGGCTCCACTCTTTGCGTGCAAGCCAGATGCGCGCCAGCTTGAGATCCGTCTTGACCGAGAGTCGCTCGTTCTTGGCGTCCTCGAGCGCCGACTTGGTGACGTCGTAAAAGGACTGCATTGTCGAAAGACCGACGTCGGTGGCATTGGACACATAGTCGAGGATGTTGTTGATCGACTTTTCCGAGTAGTTGCGCGTCACTGCGCTCTTTGTGTAAGACAGAAGCTGCGTATATGACTCCAACGCTTCGACATGACGCCCACGGTGGAAGTTGATTTTGGTCTGCTGCTTGAGCGCTTTGAAGCCCCAGTCGCCCTTTTCCTTCTCGTCGGCGATGACCGCCTTGAGCTCTCGTATCGCGCCGTCTGGATCCGAGTCTTTCATGGTCTTGGCATTGTAGTAGCGATTCTCAATGTCGGCATCGGCATCATCCAGGTCGTCGTCCTCTTCGTACTCGAAGTCGTAGTCCTCGTCCGCCGCATCGTCCATGATGAACTCCTCGTCCGACATGATGGCTATTCTTGCTATGATACGATCTTTGCAAATAGATGGTCCGCTCCCTGTCCGCTGCGAGCTGGTGACGAAGAGCTTGACGAACCGTGTAGCTTGGCCGCTGGTGGTGGTGCGGTGCGAAGAATGCGCAGCAACGCATGAAGTGGAGCTGTGGGCCGTGCGGCTTCGGTTTTTGTTCGTCTGTGACCGCTGACACCCTAACAAAGTGGAAAAAATGCCCTCGCTCGTCCAGTTCATTTTCCCCGCGTTGGACTCATGCAGCCGAGCAAACCCAAATTGACGGAAAACTGCGTGAAAATCTCGAGAGTGCGGAGAGAGAAAGCGTCATCGTCGGCAACTTCTGTCTGACCTCCTTCTCGAGCTTCGGTTTCAGCCACGACGTGCCATCACTCTTTGCATGATACCCTGATACAGCCAAGCGTCAAGAGCAAGAAGCATAGAAGCGGGTTCGAGGACGAACGGCTCACAACACGCTGTAGATTGACGCTAGGAACGATTCTACATTCGGTGCATAGACCCTCCAGAACGACCAGAGCAGACATGGGCTCGCAATCAAGGCGCGGTGCTGACCAGCAGTCCGCATCCACGTCCGCAGCCGGCAGCTCGAGCAGCGCTCCCACGGACGATAGATCTGACTCTACAGGCTCACGATCAGGGCCACCATCAGAAGGACGTCTGCCTTCGGTTCAGCACGAGTCCAATGTCCTATCAAAGCAGCTCGGCGACTTAGGTTCCTCCCGCCGTCAAGACCGCAATCTCGCGGACCAGAAAGGCATTCTCACGTCGGAAGAGCACAAGCTTGGTGATCTCAATGTAGTCGCCGCGTACAAGGCACACTTTCGCGAGTCGCCTTTCGAGTTCCTCCAGCAATTCGTTGCCTATGGTCAAGGCACAGGCTGGCGTGGCTATTCCAACTACATTGGCGCGCCCATCCTATACAAGGGCTGCGCTGAGGAGAGCATTCGAGCCGTGCTCAACAGCGATCAAGTGCAGGAACGCATCCGAGCGCTGGCCTCCAGTCGCGTAGACCATCTCCTGCCAGAGCAACCGCCGCTCTCCCCAACGGGCCCCAACAAGACGCAAAAGAACCTAGCCGTCTTCAAAGAACGCAAGAAGCGTCAGATAGAACAGCAGCTCAGAGACGAAGCGCTCGCTATCCTGCAGGTCAGCGTGGCACGCGTCGACTCGCTCCCTTTCGTCAAGTTCTTTGCCGCCACGGTCAACAACATTCTCGCGAGAATGTACCACCAAGGCATTCACATCAGCGTGCCGCAGGTGCTCGAGCTCCGACGAGTCGCTGCCTATGCAGCTGAGCGCAAGCAAAGTATTCTCTTCCTACCATGCCACAAGTCACATATCGACTACTTGACAGTCTCGTGGCTCATGTTCCGACTCGGCATTGGACTGCCCCACATCATTGCTGGAGAGAACCTCGACCTGCCGGTGCTGGGTGATGTGCTCCGCAAGGGCGGCGCGTTCTTCATTCGCCGAACCTTTTCCGGAGATCAGTTATATCCTGCGGTCATTAAGGAGTATGTAGAGACGCTCCTTGCCAGCGGCAAGAACCTCGAATGCTTCATCGAAGGCACACGATCACGCACTGGCAAGCTGCTTCCACCCAAACTCGGAATTCTCAAGTATGTCGTCGAGGGTCTTCTCAACGGACGCACCGACGATGTCTGGATCTGCCCCGTTAGCCTGCAATACGACTCGGTCATCGAATCAGGCACATACGTCTCCGAGCTGCTGGGCAAGCCAAAGGAGGCCGAATCGCTTCTCGGCCTGCTCTCCGACAGCTCGTCTCTGTTGCAACTCAAGATGGGACGCATCGACATCCGCTTCGACACGCCTTGGTCGCTTCAAGGCTTCATCAAGGAGCAAAAGGACCGAAGAGCTGCACCGGGTCTCAAGGGCGAAAAGGTAGAGCTCGACCCAGTCAACAACGAGGTCCACAAGGTCCTGTTGCTCAAGGCGCTCGGATACCGCGTTCTTGCCGACATCAACAAAGTCTCGGTCGTCATGCCAGCTGCACTGATTGGCACGGTGGTGCTCACCTTGCGAGGTCGGGGTGTTTCGCGAAGCGAATTGATCCGCAGAGTCGACTGGTTGCGCTCTGCCATCATCAAGAAGGGCTTCACTGTCGCCGACTTTGGCACGATGAAGACTGGTGAGGTGGTCGATCGTGCCCTCAACACTGTCATGAAGGGCCTCATCACTGAACAGAAGGACGTCATGGAGCCGACATTTGTGCCCGACAAGCACTTCGAGCTCAGCTTCTACCGCAATCAGGTGATTCATATCTTTGTCTCGGAATCGCTAGCAGCAGCCGCGCTTTATACCAAGGTCAAGCAGGGCGGTACGGCGCCGATGCAAAGGATGACGCGGAAGGAGCTGTTGAACGAGTGTATGTTCATCTCGTCGGTGCTGCGCAACGAGTTTGTCTTTGGCGTCGACACGCTCGAGACCAATGTGGATCGCACCATCGACGGCATGGTGGCAGATGGTGTGCTGGACAAGCATGCCGACATCAAGCCGGAGGACGGCGGCTCGATCGAGCTCAGCGCCAAGGAGCGCGAGAACGGACGAGAGAACTACGACTCGTTCCTCTTCCTCATCTGGCCCTTCATCGAGGGCTACTGGCTTGCGGCCGTCTCGCTTTTCTCGCTCATTCCCAAGGGTGCCGAGGCACACGGCTATCCGACCGACAAGCTGCCCTGGTTCGCAGCCAAGGACTTTGAAAAGCACACGCAGCTGCTGGGCAAGACCCTCTACGCTCAAGGAGAGCTCTCGTACCTCGAGTCAATCAACGCTGCTACCCTGTCGCAGGCTTTCACGCGCATGGAAGAGATGAGCATGATCCTGCGCAAAAAGTCGTCGCACCAGAAGCCCATCCCCATCATGGCGCTCAATCCCAACTTTTGGCCCTCGCAGACGTCCAATCTGGCGGCGTACATCGACCGGCTCTCTCAATTCCGTCGCGAGGGCAAAGATCGTCGAGAGAAGAGCGTAGGCGCCAAAGTGCGCCAGTACACGACGATGTATACCCCCTCGGTCGTGGAGGAGTCCACCATTAAGCAGCGAGAAGCACAGCTCTAAGATATCAGTCATGGCTTCATCTGTCATCGCTTCATCTGTCTTCCCTTCGCTATTCCTGTATACCAACATGACGCTTCACAAACAATATCTATCAAAGACACATGGGGTTATCAGACTGAGTGTGGTCAAGCCTCGATTCAGCGGCGAGTAAGAAGCGCTTCGGCAACGAACGCCCATCTCATTCGATGCGGATTTTTGGGCTCCCATTTCGCGGCCGCATTTTTGTGCTTTCTCGGCATGCACGGCGCGCTCGGACGATGTTGGTCCGACGTTGAGAAAAGAAGCTTTTCCTCGCTCAGCATGGGCCATCTCCGCACGACATCCTTCAACAGCCGGCGGTCGTTCTTCTGGCTTTCACTCTTCACCACCAACTTACACACTCTCTCAGGCGCATAGCATCGAGGCATACTTTGGCTCTCGATCCTTCGCTACACTCGAACAAGCTGTCGGCTCAAGCCTTTTTCAAGCTCGTCTCTGCCGCTTCTGTTCGGCTCAGTCAGAACAGCGTCGCTTCCCGTTCATCCGCTGCCGCCGCTGCCATGAGTACTTCTTCCACCGCCGCAGCTGTCGCTGCCGGAACCAGCGGCAAGGCAGACGACATTGCTGCTGCCCGTCGCTTCCTCGAGTACGTTGATGCCAGCCCCACCCCTTTCCACGCCGTAGCCACCACATCGGCCATGCTTGATGCAGCCGGCTTCGAGCGGATCCGCGAGAATGACCTCTGGGACAGCAAGGTCCAGCGCGGCGGCAAGTACTACTTCACACGCAACCAGTCTGCCATCGTCGCTTTCGCCGTCGGTGCCAAGTACGAGCCTGGCAATGGTGTCCACGTCGTTGGCGCACACACCGACTCGCCCAACTTCCAGATCAAGCCCGTCTCCCGCAAGGCAAAGGAAGGCTATCTTCAATGCGGCGTTGAGACCTACGGCGGCGGCATCTGGGCTTCGTGGTTCGATCGTGACCTTGGTGTCGCAGGTCGCGTCATCGTGTCGGACTCGAAGAACCACGATGCATTCACTGGCAAGCTCGTGCACATCAAGCGACCCATTATGCGTATCCCGACCTTGGCGATCCACCTCAACCGCACCGTCAACGAGGCGTTCAAGTTCAATGTCGAGGACAACACCGTGCCCATCCTCGGACTTGCCACCGAGCAGCTCAACAAGCGGGCGGATGAGGCTGCCGCCGCTGCCAAGTCGACTCCACAGGCCGTAGGCACTCCCGTCATGGCAGAGAAGCACCACTCTGTTCTCCTCGACTTGCTTGCTTCGGAGCTCGGTATCTCGGTCGAACAGATTCAGGACTTTGAGCTCAGCCTCTACGACACACAACCAGCCTCGATCGGTGGCATCAACAACGAGTTCATCCATTCTCCGCGACTTGACAATCAGATGTCGTGCTTCTGCGCCACTGAGGCCCTCATCGACTCGCTCACCTCGGCAGATTCGCTCAATGCTTCGTCGTCAATCCGTGCCATTGCCTTGTTCGACAACGAGGAAGTGGGCTCCGTTTCGACGCACGGTGCCGAATCCAACATGCTGCCCAGTCTGATTCAGCGTCTCGTTGCGCTTCCCGTCTCGTCCTCGCCTGCATCAGCATCGAAACCCGCCGCATCGAACCTGTACGAGCAGGCCGTCGCGCGCTCGTTCCTCCTCTCGTCCGACATGGCGCACGGCTTCCACCCCAACTACCCCTCGTTCTACGAGGAGAACCATCGCCCCAAGATCAACGGCGGCCCCGTACTCAAGACCAACGTCAAGCAGCGATACGCCACCACGGGTCCAACCGCCTTCCTCATCCGCCGCATCGCTCAGCGCGCCCAGGTGCCACTCCAGTCATTTGTCGTCAAGAACGACATGCCATGCGGAAGCACCATCGGGCCCATGCTGAGCAAGCTCGGCATCAGGACGCTCGACCTGGGCAACCCGCAACTGTCGATGCACTCGATTCGCGAGACGTGCGGAACCAAGGACGTCGAGTACAAGATTCAGCTGTTCAAGCACTTCTTCGACTCGTTCGAGGAGGTCGATGCTCAGCTTGTCATTGATTGAGCGAGGGACGTGCTTTCCTGCAATGCAAGGGACGTTCTCTAAGCAGTGAACAGCTTGTGAAGAGCGGTGTGTGATGCGTTGCTGCATTGCAAATGAGATCACAAGATTGCATTGAGCATCGCCGCCTCCTCGGTGTTCAAATGAGGCGTCAACAGAGACTCGAAGGACGACCGACCCGCTGTCTGTGCCAGAAGCTGAAGATACCGCGACAGCCAGCTCTTGAGATCCATGTTGTAGACCGGGTCGGACTTGAGATCCTCATCCTCCAGCCCAAAGTCGTCGTCGTTCTGCAGCGCGTCCAGTCCACCGGGCCCAAGCAGGTCGGAAAGGAACCCAAAGTCGTCCTTGCCACCAGCGTTCGGCTCATACTCGTCATCCCACTCACCGTCCTCATCATCCGTCTCGGGCGTCCGTGCGCCATCCCGAGCGCCACCCGCACCGCCGCCAGCCCGGGACGCAGAGCTCCACTCCTTCAACAGCACCTTGACAATCTTGGCAAACATGGGCACGCTGCTGTACTGGTGCGGCATCGTCTTTGCGCGCGAGCGCGTGCGGATGATGCCTGAGTTGTCGGGAAGAATATCACCGCGCACGTCGGTCGTGGTGAGGAACGAGCGGCGGCTGTCGAGCACCTTGGCGAGAGCAAGTGCGCTGACGCGTTGCGCCCAGAACCCTTGGAAAGTCTCGACGTTGTCGACCCATTTCTTGCAGAGCACTTCGAGACCGTTGCCGCTCTCTGCCGCAGGGTTGTCGGGAGAAGGGGCCACTTGGATCGACTCGAGCAAGTCCATGACCTGCTTCGCTTGGTCGTCGTTGTCGTGCAACAGGTAGGCCACGGGCACGATCAGGGACTGGGTGAAAGTTGCTGTCTGCGCGGTGGCGAGGCGCTGAACCATAGCATTGAGCAGATCCGGCAAGACGTGAGCGATGCGATCGCCAGCCTTGCGCAGCAGCGCCACCACAAGGTCACCTACAGCAAGACCGCCACTCTCGGAGTCATTTGTAGGCACAAGCAGCTTTGCGATGATCTGCAACATCAGATCGATCGACGCTGTCTCGTTCTGAGACTCCTTCCAATCGACCAGCTCTTGCGTGCACTTTTTCACCAGGACCGTGAGGCACTCGATGCCGTTCTGCAGCACGTCGCGATCTTGACTGGTCGACAGAACTTTGAACAGGTTCGGGCAGAGCACGTTGACAGACCCTCGTAACGCGGCGGAGTTGGCACCATCGAGTACGCTCTTTGCGAGCTCAACAGCCGTCTCTGCTACGGCAGAAGGCTCACCGTCCGCGGACGAATTCACTTGATCCGGCAGGCTGGATCCGATGGCGGCTGCCAAGAACGGCAGGCTCTGCTGTACAATGACCTGAGGAACGCCCGGCTGTTTGGAACCAGCTAGCGACTCGAGCAGGTCGGACACCACAGAGAGAAGAATGATGTCCCTTGCGTTGGGCGCCCACACCTGAAGAGCTGCACGTACGATCTCGCCAATGATGGCCGCCTCCACGTGCGGTGTCGTCGTCGCATCGCCGCTCTCTGTCTCTTCCACCACCACAGCTTGCACCGTCTCGATGATGAGGATAAGCGTGTCCTCGGACGCTTGTGTGAGCAACGGTCCGAGCTTCTGCACAATGCGAGGTGCATATGGCCCAACCACGTTCGAGGGCAGGTGTCGGTAGAAGTTCTTGACGGTGCGTACTGCGGAGATCTTGACGGGCAAGGAAGCGCTATCAGACTCTATTGCGTTGACTGCTGCGTCGAGGAACTGCACGGCGAGCTCGGACGGAAGGGAGGTGGCAAATTGTGACGCAAAGACGAAGCCACGTCCCTGGAGGAAAGGAGGAGCATCGTTGCCGACATTGGGCAGGACGATGGTCGAAAAGATGGACTCGAGGTAAAGCGCCTGCTTGGCTGCTGACTGCGTTTCGACAATCTCGCTGATAGCCTCTGCGTTGTTGCCGATGGCGGTGAGGACACCCTCGTGCACCTTCCACCAGTCCTCGTCACCTTTCGCCTTGTCATTGTTGGCCTGCTGAACAAGGTGTTGGAACTGCTGTCCGATCGACCGAAGAGCTGGCATAGGAAAGTCCTCGATGAGCATGCCAAGTAGATCAGCAGCGGCAATGCGCAAGCTGTAGGCGAGCGTCTCGTCGTCCTCGTCCGCAATGAAGGCATTGGCATCGTTGGCCCAGTTGTCTTCGTCTTCCACGGTCATATCGATATAGACAAGGAGCAGGCCAATGAGCTGCTGCAGCAAGTCGGTTTCGCTTCCTTGTCCGCCCGTGCCGCCGCTGACAAAGAGCTCGCGGCAACGATCTCCTCTCGAAGCCTCGTTGATGAAGTCGAGAATCGAGCAGGCCAAGGATGGAATGTCGGATGATACATCGTCGTCCCCTTCTTCCGTTGTTGGTGCATCGAGATCGGATGAGTTGGAAAGATATAGCTGTCGGAAGGCTGGTAGGAGGGAGACGAGGTTGGCTATTGAAGACTGCATGAAAGCCTGAATATGCGACTTGAACTGCGCGCGAAACATTGCGGCGACCTTGAGCGTCTTGAAGATCTCGTTCCGTAATGAAAGGGAAGCCCAGCCGCCCTGCAGGTCCGAGCCTAGCTCTTGAGCGGCATCGCGTGCGAGCAATGTCTGCATCATTGAGAGCCATCGTGGCAGCATGGTCTGTGACGCTTGCTTGACGACGTCCGGGTATGTTTCCTTGACCATGAACAAGGTGGTGAGGCATTGTCGGAAGACCAGCACGCATCGAGCGCGGATGTAGGAGCTGTGTCGGTCTTCTTGCGCTAGCACCTGCTCCAACGCCGGCAAAATCTCCTTGGCGACTTGTATGAGCTGGATTTCGTCCATCTCGACTCGAACGAACTCAGACAGAAGAGCCATGGCACCGTGCAGGCCGTTGGGCTCTCCTTGCTGAAGAAGTTGCTGCAGATATGGGAGCAGGTCGGGGTATTCGTCAGGATAGTCGGGGCCTGCAATGGTCGATATGGCGTAGGACGTGGCGAGACGAATCTTGCGAACGGGATCCGCAAGCCCACTGAGCAGAGCGTGACGGATTTGCTGCTTAACCGCTACATCGACAGCAGCTCCAACGAAACCGTCGAAGTAGGGTCCCCATCGTGCAGTGATGTATTTGCGAAGAGCGAGACCGGCAGATTGTCGAACATAGATGGAAGCGCTTTGATCGAGTAGCAGCTTAACGAAGCCGAGCCCAGCCTGTCCTCGTGCATCGTGCTCGGGCGAACGAAACGATTCGAGCTGCGACTCGGCCTGCGTCCTGATTGCGGCGTCGGGTGACAGCGTCGCCTCGAGGCAAGCGGCAAGCTGCTGCTCCATGGTCGGGACTCTGGACTCGAGAGCGACAAGGTAGGTCAATCAAACCGGTCGGGTTGTCGACGAACAAGCGATGCGACGAAAGTGATGGTTGGAAAGGTGAAGCTTCTGCCACCTGGGTTAAAAAGTGTTGGTCTCGCCGCTGCTCTGGAAAGTCGCAAGTCTGCTGCAGCTCAGGTCGAAAAGACGCGTCTGTGCAACTTTTTTAGCGTTTGCTTCTTCCTCCTCGACAGAAGCTCGTCCGAGAGCCGAGGACAAGAGTTGGCCTCGAACTCTTGTGATGCCTCAACTCAAATCTTTCCTGGACCATACGAGCGGGCGATCAACAACGATACTTCCTTGTGATTGAGTCGATCCGATTCCGAAAGTAGCTAGTAGTGTACAAAGGGGAGCAGTGCAGCAACGCAAAAATGTGGTCACGGTGACCGTGCTTCCAGCTCGGTCGCCTCAGCGTACGGCCAGCCATGAGTGCCGACCTTGTTCCAAACGGTGAAGTATCTCCACCTCGTCCTTCCCGTGATCCTCTTGCCTTCGTCGTTACCTCGCGGCTCCATTCCATCTCGATGCGTCAGGTGTGATTTCCTGAGCAAGGCAGTGACCCACGTGAGATATGCCAGGAAGAGCACGACAAGCCCAATCGAGAGGGCCAGAACATCGCCTCCCACTTTGGTGAGCGTGGCCTTTGTTGTCGGATTCGAGTACGCCACGGGATATGCCGAGAGAAACCTGTTATTTGAACAGAGGTGTCGTTGGAGGTCGTACACCGAATCTTTGTCCGCTGGCTCTCCCAGACAGCCGCCGCTGCGTACGAAGGTACTGACATCCATCGCTGCATCTCCTGCCAGCCCAACGGCAGAGATCACTGCAACGAGCAGCACCACGAACGACAGCATGTCCCACATGTAGATGTAGGTGTACGATGGCAGGATGAACCAAGCCAGGCGCAGGGGCAGTCGTCCGCCATCTGTTCGAGTTGGCAGTACGATCCGTGGATCCACACGAACATGATCGAAAGATGGCGCAGTGTCGATCGCAAGTTGATCTGCAAAATTAGCTGTAGCATTCGAGTCACTTGAGACGGTCGAGATGGACGCGACCTCGATGGCGTCGACCTCGTTCTGAGTAGCTCGGGGCTGTGCAAGCCATGCCGCGACGTGCTGAACACTATCGTCTTGTTCTTGGTAGGCAGGCGGTGCGGCTTCCGACGGCTCGGGCTGAGCACCACGTCCAAGCTGTCTAAAGACATCACCTCCGCCCGAGGACACCGTCCTTTGGCCTTTCGCTCCCGCGCGAGGACCAGTTGCCTTACGGGCGGGCCGATCGAGTTTCTTCGACAGCGCTGATTCGTCCTTCTTTCTTTTCGTTGCTTTGCGTGTCTCGGCAGCAAGCTCCACTCGTTGCTCTGCAGTGAGCGGTGAGGGGCGTGATTGCCGCGGCGGCCACTCTTTCTTAGTCGCTATCATCAGGTTGCAGCTCACCAGCAGAGTGGTAAGACTTGCGAACACAACCGGGAGGACAGCTGCGACGATGAAGAAGATGTTGAAGCTCGGCTTCAGCTTCGCGGTGGATACCACGATAGAGGTCGTCGTGGGCGATGGCGTGGCCATGGTCGATACGATGGTTCCTGCAGCAAGAGCTGAGAGAGACGAGGACGGGTACTCCAGCTTTCGAAGAGGAAGCGACGTTGGAGTCGGCGAGGCCGTGATGGTGCTTTGTGCTGCACTGCTTTCTTGGCGTTTCCTCATGAGAGCGGGTGCAGGTGTGACTGTGGCGGCGATGTCAGCGGCGAGCTGGACCGCTGAGGGTGCAGAGATGCCGATTGCTGATGGACCTGCTGGAATGGATGGTGTGCTGGCAGCTGCGTTGACGTTTGCAGTCGTGGTAGGAATGTAAGTCGAGTAGCTGACGTAGTAGGTCGGCACTTCGATATCAGAATACCTCAGGCGAGAGTCTCGGTACGTCTTGGTTGTGGCTGGATACGGCGTTGTCGAATAGAGGCTGAAGAAAAGCCTCTCTGTGGCATCGGCAGCAAGCGAAGTGCAGTCGTATTCCAGACGAAGTCCCCTGCTCCAGCGATATGGAGTGCATGATGCCTGTCCGCCGCTCCCAGGGGCAGAAATTGTTGGCAGTGCCGTCACTGCACGATCTGCGTTCCAAGCAAAGACAACGTCGGGAAATGCTTGTACGTCGAAGGTCTGGTCGAATGACGACTCTCTCCGCAAAGAGAAGTAGATGACCACCGCGGCCGACGCAAGCATCAGCACGTAAGACGAGTAGAACACGACCAAGTTGACCAAGTTCTCTCGGTAGTCTGTCGTCCTGATGAACTCGGGTGGCTGCAGACCCCGCGGAGGCGCATCGTAGTACACCGGTTCGTCTTCTGGTCTGCGATGTGCGTTCTGCAAGAACCGCTTGATCGGAGTCGTCATCGTGAGAACGTGTCGAACGAAGGGCCTGCCGTGAGCAGAGACTGTCGATAGATCGAGCTGGTGGACTGTGCTGCGTCAGCGGTCAATGTGCATCGACCAAGTTTGGGGGACGGAGCCGTGGACTGTGTGCTACATCGCCAGGCTTATATGAAGGCTGCTTGCGTCGAGCGCAGCGAGGACAAGCGAAATGCGAGCACCAACCAATGCTGTGTCGATGGCTCAGTTCCTGACCCTCGCCATAGCAGCCCGAGACAAAATAGGCACGTGAACGTGCAAATGTGCAATCGAGGAGAGCAATGTCGTCGAGGAACGGGATGCGTTCGCTTCGAGTCAGCCGAGATCAACCGAGCGTGGCGTCAACGAACGCGCCATTGAAGCCGCGGGCGAAGCGGAAGCGGAGCTTGGGAGCATTGCAGAGCCGACAAGCGGGCGAGTTGGCGAGGCTCTGAAGCAATGAGCCCGTAAGGGATTCGTTCACGTGGGCCTGCAGAGAGCTCGATACCGCGGAATGGGCATCCAAGATTGCCCGGCGATTGCTTGCTCGCGAGTCACCAGCGCCTATCAGCGTGGGCGAGGGGCGGCAGTTGCAACAAAGCGCGCTCAATTGAGCCTTGTCCACGCGCATTTTGAGACCTGCAGCTTATTCCCTGTTTGGGATGATAAGACCATTATACATTGCCTAAAACTAACCTTGCTTAACGCTACATTGAGAGCATACGTCACGTTCTTGCTTAGCATCACATTCCAATGTATTAGATTGCCACTAGTACAATGTTAGCGCTACAAGGTTAGTGAGATAACGTCAATGGAATGCAGGGTTGTTTACCAAGCTCATTGTGATCTGTGTGCCTGTGTTGCCCTAGGGTTAGGGTTAGGGTTAGGGTTAGGGTTAGGGTTAGGGTTAGGGTTTAGGGTTAGGGTTAGGGTTAGGGTTAGGGTTAGGGTTAGGGTTAGGGTTAGGGTTAGGGTTAGGGTTAGGGTTAGGGTTAGGGTTAGGG